CGGCAGAAAGCCGATGAGGAGTGTTCTTACAAATAGGTATCAAAGGCGGCTTATGCCGTGTCACTGGTGTGATCGGAGAGTTTCTGAGATGAGCTTGTTGATGGAAGGCGAGGTTACACGAAGGAAATATTATTATAGGCAATTGCCTCAATGTATCCGAGTAAGGTCTCCAACGCTGAAGCTACGCTGGAACGTCCGCGACAATTACCTGATCGTGATTGTTTCGTCACAGGTTTACCCGTTCGGACGGGGGAAAGCTCACTTAAGACACATTGATGTTTTTGGGGGTTTCCCTTCTTCTCTCAGGTCGTCCTGCCATTTAGGCCAAGATCTCCCCAGTTCATCCATTCCCTCCCTTGAGATGATAGGTGATACAGATCACGTAAGACGCAGCAAGTGCGAGGACGTAGCTGCGAATCCGTGACTGCTTTCCCATGGTCAAGAACGGAGGGGTCTACTTCTCCACCATAGGTGGTAACTTCCTCCTCCCTAAGACAGGAAGGAACCTTACGGATACCTTAGGGGGAAACAAATGGGCGACTTCTGCCTGCCTTAATTGCACGTTATCATGGGAGGTTTTTACGTATCTATCTTCTGGCAGGCTACTGTTGCTTCTCCCTGACAGTTTGAAGAAATTAATATCCATCCCGCCAAGTGGACATTCTCTATATTGCCAAGGAAACCTTGAGTGCCTTAATTATGGTAAATTGAACAAAAATTCGAACCTCATATTTAGAATGATTTGTTCTCGGGTGTAGCTTAACTGATCCTTTCCTATCCCATCGGTTCGTTACCAAGTGTCGGAGACCTCTCGGGCCATGAGCTCTCAACAGTCCCGTTCCATCTACCGGCCGGCATGACATAAGTGCGTCTTTGTTGATTTTCCATCTGTGCAGCCACGAACCTAGACGGGATGCCAATCATGAGTATGACGGACGGTACGTACCGAGCGCTTAAGGTGGGTTGCTTTTGAGCCTGTCCTGACTGTTGGACGGTATTGATGGATACTGACACGGGGAAGATCACTGAGTGAGTCTACACACCTACTAATGGAGGTCCCACAATTTGGCACCAAAGCAGCCAGTGCCTTTCCAACCAGCATCGCCGCCCCACAACGTCGAATCCAACCAGAAGGTTACGGGCTTGGGGTTCCACGCTAGACAAGAAGACTCAGCCACCTGGGCAGTCCGACTTGACGTGTCCCTCGCGCAGCTTGAACGTCTTGATTGTATGTCGCCCCACGCAAGAAATACGGCCTCCTTGTCGACCCCCTGACCACGCCAACCGCCTGCGACACGAGAAAAAAGCTGGTGTCGCATTGGCAAAACTATCGGGAGGGGAAGACTCTGCATGTTCCATTGAGTGTCAAGCAGAGTCAGTCGGTTGAGACCAGACTATGGTCAAACAGAACCGCGGACATGTCCGCACCCCGGCCTCATTGACGACGAACCGGCGTGGATGACCTTATCTTGAACAAAGTCAAATGCCAGCAAGCCACTGTAGACGAGACATACAGCAGACCCTGACCTCCGGGCGTTGGTATCGCCAGAGTGTGCTGTTCTGTTGCTCGGACCTCCGGTGCAAGGTAGAGAGGTGAGCAAATCCAGAAGGGAGTTGCCGACGCCAGTACACTACACACACACTCACTTACGACAGGACAGCGCGGCAGGATGATCTGCCAGGCCTGCCCTGAGGTGCTGTGCTACACCGTTTTGAGGTAGAACCCAACATTTTGGTGTACCTGGTAGGTAAGCCGCTGCTATTTGCTGCTGACAGATCTGCGGCTCCGAGTCGGTTCTCACGCTTGCTAGTGGGATGCCTCCCCCTCTAGCTGGCGCCGCCTACGATGATTTGGGTAGAGGTTTAGCCGCAGTAAACCCTCTTGTTTCTTTATTTCTTACTTTCTTCATGGTCCTTCCATCTTCCGACTCGTCCGCCCTGTTTGGCCGGCTCTTGCGGTGCATAGCGCCGCTTCTGCATTGCATCACACACTTCAACACACACGCCCCTAGTCTACTAACCTGTACCGCACTGTCGTTTTCCTTGGCAAACCGGGCTCACCCCCTCGTAATCAGCCTGGAGTGACAGCAGAAGCCACATAGAGTCAGTGACAACTGTGGGTGGGGATTGGGGAACATGCAATTGGGCTCACCTTCGTGTTCTGCCAGATGTTTGGTAATCAACATTCCTTGGGTCCATTGGTTTCCCTTTGGAACCCCGTCGACCGACATTATACGCGGTACTGGTGGTTTTTTTTTTTTTTTTTTTCCTAACGCCGCAAATTTTTTTCTTCTTTTTTTAGTCGCCCAATCGCACAGTGAACAATTCGGGCCGCCGGATACGGGAGGTGGAGAGGGGTGAGAAAGAGGAAGAAGATATCAACCCAATCCTTATCGCCAGGTGGGATGGAAAACTTGTCAAGCCCATCTAATTCTGATCCAGCACGAATGCAGTCTAGTCGAAGCAGTCGGTGCCCGTACCATGGTCAGTCACCACTTCAACCCCCGGGCAGGTGGAGGAAGATCCCGCGCTCGCACAACGCTGGCGTCTTTTCCATGTCTGCAACGCTGTCCAAGGAACCAACGGGCCACAAAGGGGAAGCGGCACGCTAGCAAAAGTCGCTTTGCCCCAGTTGGTACTTTACTACGCCGCTGACATGGAATCAGCAATGTAGCTGTCGCTGTCGCCGTGCGTATGTATGTGCATCACCCACGTATCTACTGCTAGCCTCCAGGCATCTCTGGGCGAGCGGGGGAGATGAGCACTTGTCCGTCTGGCTGTATATCTGTTTACCTCCCTCCACTCCCCGTGCCTTGTCCAACTTTATGCCAAATGTACAGAATTAGGTCAGTAATAGTATCCGCTTCTTAGGAAATTTATCAAGTGTTCTTCCCCCGGGCAGAAAGAATTAAACAGAACCACAAAACATCTGTTTGCCCATGTACGTACTGACTCTCTACACACTCCTGCTCAAATCAAATGGTCTGGAAGGTGCAAACTAAAGTAGGGAGTGGTACGTACCTGCCGAGTGGTCCCGTACCAGTTCAAGGGGAAAAGAGGCGGGGCCAAGCAGGACCCAAGCAAGCACCTCCCTCCCTTGCCCCGTTGGACAACACACACACACAATGGCCCTACCCTACTCTGCCTACCTACTACGTACTCCCAGTAAGTATAATACATCGTATGGAAAAGAGGCACGGGGAAGACGCGACTTTGCACCGCCCATCCCGAAGAGCATCCACAGTTCCAAAGTCTGCAGCCTGGGGCTAGGATACACTGCCGGCAATGCCTAGGATAGGAACAGCAATAAGACCCAAAAGAGAAAGGGGGCAGGCAAGCGTTTTGGACGTGTACGTACATACAAAAATACATATACATACCCTTCACACAATAGACGCAGTAATAGTGGAAAAGACATGGAAGGGAAAGGAAGGGAAGGAAAGGAAGGAGAAGAAAAAGAGGGACAGCGGGTGCAGTTGTCCATCTTACATCCAAACATCTTTTAGTCAAACCAGTCTACGAACATCAAATCCTGTAGGCAAGGTTCAACAACCCAGTGCAACCCACTCCGATCCGATCCCCATCCCATCCATCCCGACCGTTCAGTATCCGTACCATCCCATCCTTTCCTGCCTGTCCTGTCCTGTCTGGCTCTGCTGCCTGTCTCCTTCCCTCTTTCCCTCGTTCTTTCTCTGTCTCCTTGTCTCTCTCTCCCCGGCGGCACCTACTAGTACACCAACGCTCCGCGCCCGCCCCAGGCATCCCTGTCACTTTTTTCCCACCCTCGCATTCACTCTTGTTACCGCGTGCGTGGGCTTTCTTAATTGCCCTTTCCAGCCCGTCAACCTATCACCAAGCTCAATCCGTATTGACTGGCCTCCGCACTACTGTCTTTCCCCGAAACACACGACCACCCACTTTCTACGCGTAAAGGCACCGTACCTCCCACTACGTAAGGCACTGCAGACAACACTGCCTCAGGTACCTGACCTGACCTCACTCTACACGCCTCACCTAGCCATTGCCGCTCTCCTCCACCGTGGCTCACCCTCCTCCTACCATCATCCCGTCCCTTTATCTTTTTTTTCTTCCTCTGATCTCTCACTACTCCTCCAATTCCTCGTTGTTTTTCGCACGAGTGAATCAGTGTTGTCATACGAAACGCCAGGCAACATATCCCACCCCCCCATCTCCTTTTTTTCTCCCCTTTCGCCCTCTTGTAATCCTAAGACTCGTCATCTCCTTCGACGAACTCTCACACCCCCCATTCGCTGTCCTCTCGGCCGACCGGCCTTCGAAACACGACACGTTCTGGTCAACCATCCACTCGTTACATAGACAGACTTGCTTGCAGATTTCATTCCCGCACGCAATCGACATAGTGCTTGCTTCCCTGCCTGTGCTTCTGTACCAGCTGCTGCTGCTCTTGCTCCGCCCCTTCGGGAAAAAAAAAGGGCCCTGTTCAGTTAGCCCACGTTCAGCTCGACTGGCTTTCACGTCTTCGACTAGCACACTCGAGGCGTCACGTTCGTTAAATCTGCTGCATCCAGAAAAGCACTGGTTCTCTCTTGATCTTGCGCCACCAATCTACAAGGAGGAAAAAGAGGACTCTTATCAGTCGTCGAGTCGCTTTCCATCTCCCCGTCACCCCAAGCCCCTCGATACGCTTGCCCGTAATCGAATGGGTCTGAGGCCTATCGAACCCACCGACGCGCCTACCTGTCGACCTACTGCCGCCTAGTAAGGAACTTCGAACAGGAAAAAGAAACCACCAACGAACTCCGTCAGCGACACCACGGCCACCAGCCATATCTTGCTTGACTGCGGTCGAACCACTGAACGAAGCCACATCTGGCCGCCTGTTCCATACGTGGTCGCTGTACAAGGCTCAAAACCGCCGGCGGCTTGCGCTGTGCTGTTGTGACAAGTGGTGTACAAAGTGCACACACAACAGGGCGACCACTTAGCCAGCCCACCACTAACCCACATTTGGGCCCATCATGGCACCCACGACGCCCCGGCTTAAGATCCTCTCAGGTGCGTCCATTTTCCTGACTTCAAATCTTCCCGCCCGCCCCAATGATTGCTTCTTCTTGCATCGGTGCTACCGTGTGTGGATCGAATTTTTGTGTCCCTTTATCTCTACCCGTCAGCCCGGCTTTTTCTTCCCCCATCGCACCTTTCTCGACCTAACTACACTCGTTTTTATTGACCACCCCTCTCTCTCTATCTTTTTTTTTCTTTCCTATTCTTTCTCCCTCTCTCCAGGGACCGGTGCTCTTGCATCGAGTCAAACACGACCACAGTCATGGCCGACGACAACAGCAGCGAGCTAATGAATGTGTGTTCAGTGGGAGGGAATCCGGTTTCCGCCTTCTTGTCATGGAGATTACAGGCCACCAATGCCTGTGACGTTACACTCGTGTGGAAGTCTGGGTTTGATCACGTTGCGCAATACGGAATTTCGTTCAAGTACGTTTTGTTCCTCTACCCAGCGACCTGCGGGCGCATCTAACCAAGGGATTACAGATCGCCCGTCTTTGGCAACGAGCGTTTTAAGCCTCGACATGGTAAGGAGCTCCATGAGTACTCGGAGAAAATTAAGAGCCTTTGCTGACAAGTTTTCCCCCACAGTTGTGCGCGTTCCCGAAGATGCCGCCAACACCGTCGGCCCCTTCGATTACGTGATTCTCTGCATCAAGGCCCTGCCCGACGTTTACGATCTGGCGGCTGTCATTGATGCTGTCGTCACTCCCCAGCATACATGTATTCTAGTAAACACAACCCACACACTCGGTGTCGAGGCCGCTATCGAGGAGCGATTTCCCACCAACGTCGTTTTGTCGCTGGTTTCCAACGCCGAGCTTTCTCAGCTTGGTCAGAGCGAATTCGAACACAAGGGGTCGACCGAGATTTGGGTTGGACCTTCCAGCAAGAATGAAAACATCCCTGGCGCGATTCAAGAAGACATGGCTCAAGCCCTTGCCATGACATTGACAGCTGGCCAGGTTGACTGCAAAGTTTCTCAGAATATCCGTCAACAACAGTATGAGAGGGTCATTGGGTGAGTGGCTTCTCGTGGACTTTTCTCAGTGTCCCTTGCTGACTTATCTAGCCCCATTGCTTTCCATCCCGCGAGCGTGATTTTCGAAACAGCCAACCACATCCAACTCCTCGAGAAGGTTGGTGTAAGAGACTTGGTGCACGGCGTGATTGACGAGTTGCTCGCCCTCGCTACCGCACATGGCTGCAAATTCGACGCCGACTTCAAGCAACGGACCATCGATGAAATGACCAAGCCTACGACTACCGAGAGTATCATGTGGCAGGATTACATTGCGAGACGACCGATGGAAGTCGAAACGTATCTTGGATCTCCGATAAAGTTGGCCAAGGACGCTCGCGTCCCCGTTCCTCGTATCGAGACGATGTACGCTGTGCTGCACAACCTTAACACCGTCAACCGCCAGAAACCAGTCAAGCCTGTCGATGCTGCTATGGCGCCTCCCGGATCACCAACATCCCAGTCACCTCTACCGAGAATGTCGACGCAAAATGGCATTCGCCCGGTGAACGGTAACGGCAACGGCATGCCTCCTGGCCGTGGCCCCCGTCCAAGAAACTCGTCGAACCTTGGCCCGCCCCCACCTGGCATGCGCCGACCGCCTATGAATGGTGGCCCTCCCAACGGCTACCCTCGTGGACCTCCTGGCCCTGGATCTCGGGCAGCATCGAGAAGAGGGTCGCTTGAGGGAAACGAACTGGAAGAATTCTCTCACTTAATGCTCTATGACGATATTCCCGAGGGTGGTGAGCCAGGTTACGGCCCGGGCCCGGGTCAGGGCCAAGGTCCGGACGGCTCTGACCTAGCGCTTCGCGAACGTGAACTCGAACTGCGCCAGAGAGAATTGGCCATGAGAGAGCGGGAGATGCGGATGAGATCGAGGGGTCCCCCTCCTAGAAGAGGCCCTCACCCGATGCGAAACAGTGCTCAAGCGTTTGACGACGACGACGATGAGGATGACTACTTTGATCCTACCTCCGGCCCGCCACCTCCCATGATTGATCCTGAGAACTTCGACATGATGAGCGTCACGTCGAGGAAGAATCGGAAACAAGCACCCCCTCCCCCGAACCGTGCCCAATTTCACAAGAACGAGGTCTATGATGCTGCTGCACCCCCTGTCCGCACCTCCAGATTCCGCCCGACGTTTGGTCGCAATCGATCAAGCCAGATTGCTAACATTCCTGCCATGAACGAGAATATCTTGGACGATCCCCTCCTCTCTTGCTCATCAAATCGTTACGGCGCAGTTGACCGAGGCACAATGCACGCAGGATCCCGAGCGAATTCACTGACAGCCTCACGCTTGGATGAGATGCAGCTCGGTGGGGGCCCGATGCAGATGGGCATGAACGGAGCCTTTCCCCGGCGAGCTAGCCAGTCCCCAGGAAACCCCTACAGCCCCTCAATTCGAGGTGGCAGTGGCCGTCCGTCACCGCCTAACGGCTTTGGCGGTCCTTCGATGAATGGCCGACCATCGCCTCCCGAAAGCGTCCGTCAACCCGTGCCCCGATACCCTCCCGGCCATGGTAACGCAGTCGCGCCACAGCAGGTTGAGCAACATGTCGGGGTGAGCGGCCTTCTCCCACCTAAGCAAAAGAACGTGAGAAGTCTGACTGGTAGTGCGAGCGCCAGCGCGGGCAGTGGTGATTCCCAACCGGACACTGAACCCTCAGCCCACAGCAGCCAGAGCAGTCTCGGACAGCGCCCACCTATTGGAGTGCGGTAAAGCCGAATGTCTGACTACTGATTTTCTGCATCGAAGTGACAAGGCCGTAGCCGGCGACAACGGGACGGCATCGATTTTTCTTGGCCCGATTTCGATCCGAAACGAATACGACGACACGCCTCATTCGCCCGATTCGCTCATCGATCCAAAGGTGGCAATTACACCCTAGGCTCTACGAGTACACACCTGTCTTTGTTTTCTACATCGTCCCGCGGCAAAACGATAACGACACGAAAGGTTTAGACAGGGTGTTGGTCTATTCTTCGACACAACAAAACACATAGCTAATTCGACGACTTTTTATTTTCCTTTATCGAGTGGACTTAGGTCCAGTACATACATACGGCATCGTGGCGATGGGAACAGATCCCCACCCTGATAATGGCAGCATCATTGGCATGGATGACATCAACCCCTCTTGCTCGGCTTCGGAGACCCGCTGTTGGGATTGGAAACGAATGTTTATGTCACGAAGGCGGGCGCCTGGATGATTCGGATTCGCGAACTCTACCGACATGAGCCTGGCTTAAAGAGTTGTGCAGGATTCATTCCAATACCATGCGGCGGAGACAGTGCTTGACGCTCCTTGGACCATCATGAGCGATAAAGGAGGTTGGATGTGTATAAAACAAACGCCTCACCAGGCTACTTTTCTCTCTGTTTTTTTTTTTTCTTTCCTTTTGTGCCAGTCCTTTACGACAAATCTTCTTTTTGGAGCCCCCATGTAACCTAGGCACGGGCGTGGCTGTTTTGATGGGATCATTAAGTAACGAGCATAGACGGGGCCGGAAGCGGTTTTGATCCGGCAATACAAAGATGGGAAGATTATTGCAAGGTCGAGGAAGAAGAAAGGGTGGCATGCTCAGGCTGAAGCCTTCCTGCTAAGGGAATTTTGGCTTTTGTTCCGTAATTTTTAGTTTCCCGCTGATGAGAGTATGGCGACGGAAGAAGACAGGCCCCTAGGAGGAAAGAGGGGACTTAGAAAAAAGTTTGAGGGGCAGAGCATGTAGGCAGCTCCTTTAGGGGCGTTCGATTGAACGCAATGGAAAGTCAGACTCAAGCAAATGTGTGTTCCTCTTACAACATGCCTGTGATATGCTAAGCCCCTCTGTAGCAGAGGCTCGGGCTGCGGCTTAAAGATCAGCAGCAGAGGGCTAGATTATGACGCGGGCTAGGGGTTTCGTGAGGAATTTCTTCTGACGAAGCCCAAGGCCCGGACGGCCCGGATGTGGCTTGTCGGGCGCTTTGATTAAGACAACAATAGCCCACTGTTTTTTTTTTTTTCTTGAGCGAAAAACAATCTCGATATTTGGCAAGTACCGCTGCGCTTGTGCTACGAAAGTCCCTTGTGAGAAGCTAAAAAGCTAAGCAAAGCTCTGTCTCGGCGGGTGCTGCGTCAGAGGACATGTGCCATCTGATGGTTGAACCATCCGTGCGAGCAAGACCCCTTTGCCGTAGCGTTTGCTCTATCAGGTAGCGAACCCCGGGTATTCTGCAGTTCGTCAAATCACGTCGTTTATGCAAGTCGTCCGTTAAGAGGGGGTTAGGTTATGTCTTGGGCTGCTTCGCAACCCCCTCCCCGGTGTGCGCGGGATGCCTGAAGGTCGTTTTCGCAGGCATATACCCAGGCGAGGAAAGTGCGCTGCTGCTCATCATTTTTCAATCCGTATTTCGACCTTGGCAGGAGCAGAATATTACAGTACCTTAGTCTATACTAGAAAAGCAGGCGCACGGACCTTGGTCCCCCCGTTCCCCCCCCCCCTCGTTCTCCCCCCCTCTCGCTCGTTTACCAGCTGTCGGCATGTCAGCCGGGCGTCCCATCAAACGGCAGGCATGACGGCGCCGTGTGGGTGGGGGGGAAAGAGATGGTGGTCAAAGGTGGGGCTATTTGTCGTCTGCTTCGTCAAGGGTAAGTTGTTTACGGGTCCCACTTTTAAAACAACATTGCTGGAAACAACGTCCCGTTAATGAATTGCATTGAATCGACGACGGGTTAGGATATTAAGATAGACCGGACTCCTGGATCGAACGATACGCGCGCGACGGGCATATACCTGAACTTTTTAAAGCTGATATTCGGAAGAGAAGGCATTTGCTTTCCAAGTCTACTTTGTTATTTGTTTCGTTCGCCGCGCGAACAGACGCGACGAGGTATTGCTTTGGTAAGGACCTTTTTTTGAGACCCCTCCCCCACCCCCCACTTCATATGAGTCGTTGTTTTGTGTGTGTTTTCTGTATGACCTGTATGTCGGGTTACTGAAGGTTCTTTTTTTTCTTTTTTTCCCCCCCTCTTCCCTGAGCAAGATCATCATCTTTTGGGGTTTAGAGTGTGTATGTACTGTTTGTTGCTATTTTCGGGTTGATGGGCGGTGAAACCGGAGACTGACTAGCCGCAGACAAGTTTCTTCCGTGAGGGAAATCCACTTTCGGTGTGCCGTCTTGAGGAGAAAAGAGACGTGATAAGACGTCTTGGCGGAGATACTCGGTGCAACGACGGACTGAGAAACGGGAGAGAAGATGGCGACGAGGAATATCAACATGACGCATACGACGCGGCCGTCGATTTCGTCAAGTTCCGGGAATGCGGTCAAGACGCGCCAACTTGTGAGTTTAGTCTTCTTTGTTTTTATATTCACCCCTATCCTAAAACCACTCACATCTTGGCCCTCATCTTGATATCATCCGTTGGCATGGAGAATGAGCCTTCGGATGACCGGAGTGGTTTGTACGGAGATTGCCGGTGGACAGACCAAGAAGACGGGGTGTGACGATCACCGGGGGGGAGGGAGGGGATGATCTTTTTTGCTGACTGTGACCGACTACCAGACACATCTGCATTCGCAGCTCGCGCAGTTGTCTGCCAACCTTGCTGATACCGAGAACCTGGTTCGTATGACGACCGTTCAGGCTGAGAGTATGCGGGGCTTGGGAGCTTGGCATGGTGGAATGTGAGTATCTATCTGTCCCCTGGTCGCGCTGTTTTCTTCGCTCCCGTGGGCTCGTCTTCCGTATGGGAGAGCTTTGCGGGGGGGCCATTCGTTTGTGGACCGGCCCGGAGAGGTGCTCGGATAAGGAATGGATGTATGCTAATTGCAACAGGTTCATGGCTGCTAGCAAGGTCCTTGGCGAGGAAGCTATCAATCGCGATGCGGCGGCACAGGCTAAGGGCGGTCAACGCTAATGGTATTTCGATGTTTGGGGTGTACGGGTGGAATGGAACTGTGTTCGTTTGTGGATGGAGTGCCAAAATTGTCTGGAATCTGGGATGGCTACGATGACGATGAGCGGACCGAAATGTCCGGAGTTGTGAGTCTGGTCAGGTATGTTTGAGATGAATGCATGTTATGGAATGAATGAGGTGTCTGCCTCTGAATAAAGACAAAAGTTTCCATCACTTTTAAGGGTAGTGGCTTTGGTTTTGTGCTTTACGCCGTGTTGTGCTTTTGGGGATATCAATCTGGTTTCAAGGCTCCTTTCACAGGAAGGGCTGCGGTGAGAAGGTGCAAGGAAACTGGAGGAAGATCAGTAATCCTCACACCTTGAAATTGCGTTTGGAGACCAGAGCTCTTTTCTATTTGCATACAAGGAGCATACATCGGGCATTGTTCATTGGCAGTACGGCAGTCAATGTCAAGCCTAGCGATCAAATACAATGATTCAACGCGCCGTCATCTATGTGTCACTACACCGGTTGGCCTGTGGATGTTTCGTATCTTCACACGGCATCATTCATAACTCGTCTATGTGGCCTTGGTCCTCTGCTAGTGCATGGTAGATGGGCAACCACCGTAAGAGTTTTTGACCGCAGTTGGCAGGTGCAGTCTCGGCTGACCAGGAGAATCCGGCTTCTATATCACTCCTGTAGAGACTTGGTAAACGTATGCCACTCATGGATGACTCCGGGTATCTTAGGAAAAGGGCTGGAAGCTGTCTTCTGGGGCTGTAAGCTCATGGTGGTCCTGCTTTTTTGTCATCTTGTTCGTCTAACTCCGTTTGTATTATCTTACAGAACAATCCCCGGAATGATCTGGTTTCAGTCGATAACAGCGAAGCTATAAAGGAGTGATGTAGGCTGCTGCAGGTGCTGATGGACCACGGATTGTTCGTCTAATTCTTGGGGACTGAGGTACCATACTGGCTGATGGTAGTGAGGGGGTGCTTGAAGTAAGGTATAGACAGGTCTAACTGAGAATAGGAGAATCATTGCGATAACCCCTAGCCGAACCTATAGCCCAAGCTTCTACTTGACCGTGTTTATTGTCAGGCGGGAGCTATTCGACTACTATAGAGTATGTTGACGAGTTCTTTGCCCGATGGAAGTGTGCTCTTCAACACGGGCATTTGACCCAATCTCTTCTTAAAGTTGACAAGAACTCAAAATCACTCATACACTTCTAAAATACTATAGCATCCCCTGAGTTGGTTCATTCTGTTCGCTAGGAGTTAGTAATCCAGGCCTCAAGAACGCCCAATGACACTTAATAAAAGCCCCATCAACTGGTGTTCAATGTTCAATTATCCTAGAACTGAGCAATATTTGTTTTCTCGAAAGCCCTACAAATTGATATGTATGAAACCGAAAGTTTCACGTGGTCACTGGGATTTGAGCTCTGTTGTTTTTGCCTACTTATATCCCCTCGCCACCATTTGCTTCCAAGCTTCGTCGAGATACGGCTTATGTTGCTGGTCATACTCCCACGTACAAAGAATGGCGTAGCTACATTTGTGTCTAGATGAATATTTTCTATTTACTTGTTTCTAGTTCCACGTTTCGCGACGTATTAAATATTCCATAGAGCCCAGTTGTGCGTCCTAACCTTCTGTCCGGTTTGGGTTGGGCATTATGAAGCTGGCCAAGTCAGAACCGTCGGGACGGAGTACCATCAACAACACTTCCCTATGTATAGCAAGTGCCCGCCACTAAATTTTGGAGGCCAACCATGCAACTAATACTACAGGCGTGACGTGTGCTATCATCGTATGTTGCGTTGTCCGCGCTACCGTACTCATATGTTATGGCACACTTTACTCACTTGTTTACCGTCACTGGTATGGCATTTATCTCTACGTAAACAACTAGAATGAAGTAATGGATGACATAAGTGAAAGCGGGTTCTCACGGTTGTTATACATGATAGGCTCGCCACTCACAAGTTTGTTGCTCATCATGACTCTAGTGGGCTGTTTCTCCTCTGTTCTTGAGCCAGCTGCCTGGGGAATGTGCCAAAGCTTGACCGGAATTATAAGATGTGTTAACTTTTATATCGGCTAACGGAAGCTGGGTTCGAGCCGTCAGTGATGGCAGGCGTTCTGCTTGCCCTGTCCTTCGTATATCGTATGGGGCGGTACAACCCCTATGCACTCTTACTCACTAGCCACATGTCATGAAATGTCCATTTACACAGTTGCCTTTCTATGTCAGACCAAAAAAAAATATTTGATAAATGTTATGGTCCGCTCAAGGGGAGGCTGTGGCCTCGTCACCACCAGACAACCACGAGTTCAAACGACTGAAGTTAGCATGCAAGCCCTTGGGCACGTCCGCTTAAGTATGTACCCCTGAGCAGCTTAATAAAAGATTATTCATGATATAAAAGAGCAAAGTGTTCACAGCTAAGAAGTCACCAAGCGAATAAGATATGGAAAGAACTTCTGGCTGGAATAAGACACAGGTTGAATAGATAGCAGACGAAGATGGCAGGGAGGGCAAAATCAAGACTCGCGAGATCCAAGCATTGAAATCTACCCCAAACGCTTATCCAGCATAGCCTGAAATTCTCCGTCTCTGTCGGAGGTTAGCGGATTATCCCTCGTCCACCAGACGACCAGCGCCAACACCACCAACATGACGTAGAGCAGTCAAAGCCTGTAGTAATAGGAATGGAAAATGAAATAAAGAATCTACTCCCTGTTGTATGATCATATCACAGCCACTTCTTTCCATGCGGAGACGTACTATCCAATCTAGGAACAGCCCGTCGGACGACCCGTCAGGGTACACGTGAGGCTCCTTAACGTGGTCACCAGTGTTAGTTGCGTAAATATCATAAAGGGACGAGTGCCAGCGTCATTAATCATAAAAGAATTAACGCAAAAAGCTCTTTAATGGTCCACATTCATACGCGAACGAGTTTTCCAGCTCGAATGGGTGATGGCGACTTTGTCTGTCGAATAACTATTAACGATTTCAACATCAATTATCACCTGCTAACTCGCAGAAGGCTATCTACAGACTCTTATCTAGGCTATGCATATGTACAACATCGACTAGCATCTCATGTGCCATGTTCTGCACTTCTAAAAGGAAACTTACCTGCTCGGCATGTATTGGCGGAGGGTATGGGATGCGATGATTTCTTTTTTTTTTTTCTGGGGGGGGGGGGGGGGGCCGAACAAGTTGCACTTCACTGAAAGCCTGTATACTGACATGATACATTTCCAACCGCAGGTATTGTCAGATCTTCTGCGCCGATGCTTGGTGAGAAGAGGAGGATGAATCCCAAAGTCGCTGTAAAGGCCCAGAAGGGGTCGTAATCCCCTTACCCATGCCATGGTAGCCACTAGGTGTCACAAAGTCATCTTTCGAAGCGCTCGAGAGAGATCCTGGTGCAGCTGGTTTAAGGCCCATGACGTGGGGCGACGCATGTCTTTCAAAAGGCTGGACACCAAGAGATTGTCGTCACTGACAGATTTCCAGCGGGAGCAGATCACGCCACCTGTAAGCGCGGATCACACAATGACATCCAAAACCAGAGCAAGTTTGAGATGGATAATGGCGTACGATGGACTGTCGGCGTGAGAGCGGCGCATTTGACGTCTGGATCATATTCTGCGCTGTATATCGACAACTCATTTCCTAGACTTACAAATACACACCAAACCTAATGGCTCTACTAACTGGTATCCTAGCAAGCCAGAAGCATTTCCTTACCGGCGATCAGCATTGCACATCGCTCCTTGGCCAAGATTGTTAACATCAAGGAAATGAGAACCATGGTTGGGTGTGAGAAAAACTGCAAGACTTGGTCGCGCAAGGATGCACAATTCCGGCTTCGAACCGCAGATCCGCATGCGAAACTGCAGTACCAAGGCAAGGCAACATGGCATCCTAATCGAGCATACAGCAGACATGTCTGTATCTGACATTACAGTACTAGTCATTTCACACATCAAATGAGCGGTCATTGTCTGAGGTCTGTGGATGGAGCCTGCTGAGCGGCTTTGTTTCGTTGTTTAGACAATGCGATGTCCTATCATCTTAGACAGTGGCGATGTGATACCAACCAGCAGAGAAAACACTTCACGGGAACCTTTTTGTTTGGTTGATATGGCTGCTCAATCCACAGGAACAGCTGCGTGGAAGTGCCAAACCCTGTCAATTACCATTCATCGCGAGCGAGGCGAGTTATCTCTCAGCACATTGGGCGAGAAGTAAAACCTTACTACCTAGATATGCCACCGAGGGAGGAAAGGCGGTCAATCATATAGACTAGGCAAATAAGGACATGCCTGACGTAGACGCCGATCGCTAGGTCAGAATTCGAGTCTCAAATCACTGATGCCAGTGAAAGTTGTTCCTGCCTGGGATAGTTGCACGTGACAAGTGCGAGAGGCGATGTCGAGCGGTCTGCCCTCAAACGAGTTGCCAACAGAGATTTGAATAAGAGTTCAGAGACGCAGGCTATTCTAAAGGAACTGGTACGGAGACAACTGAGGAAGGGCTGGATAGGATAATCGTACGCGTGAAGCCCGATGTAGAGAGTCTGTTAGTTTTCTCTGGCTGACCGACAAAGTCTGGACCATGATCGAACTGCTAGCGGGTCGCAATGGGGGGGCAAGAGGAGATCAGGCGATTTGTCTGCGACTCAGAGGCGAAGGCTGATTTCATGACGTGAGATAAAAGAAATTACTGGCGAACGCTCTCAAAGTACCACCATCGCATGCCAGGCACCCGCAAACCCGTATGCTTGCAGCAGCGGAGCGGCGGTGTTGAATCTAAGACCTGCAGGCAGTGGGGGTGCCACGAGGGTGGGAAAAATGCGAAGAGACGAGACTGAAAAGTCCATGACGTGCGTGACATCGAAATGTTGGAGGCGAAGAAGAACCATATCAGTAATTAAACATTATATCAAAAAGTAGCAGAACAGCGGTATTTTCGCGTCAGGTCTAGAACCCCAATCGAACACTGCCCAAGTGTGGAACGGCGAGTCGGGCCCGAGTAAGTAAATGGCGGGCTGACCGGGCGTGGAGGGTTAGGGAAGAAAAATGGTCCAGAATGCCGGAGCGGGATGAGACCGGGGCTAGACGACGCTGCGGCCCAGAGGGGCATCGGTTGGAACTGGACGATGGTGGGAGGTGGCCCAGTGAGCCTGGATCGACAGTTATGGATGCTCTTACAATATCCTGTAAATGGAGCGCCATGCAAGACGATAATTTGGGAAGACCCCGCATCGCATGGGCGAGACTTTGGGGTTTTTTATCTCTGTTTAACGCAAAGTGGCCGTCGATGTCAGCTACGATGCCGCCGATCATGCATCGCGGACGGGTTCTTTGCGTAGACGTCGTCGAGTACGAACTTCTGGAAGAAGAAGAAAGTCTACGGTGGTGAAACTAAACTCCACAGTTGTAGTGCAACACCGGCCGCTCGCATATTGACGGCGGGGCGCCGTTTGTCTCAATAAGCCAAAAATCCGGCGGGCATGCGTTTCCTACGCTGTTGCACGACTCAGATTGAGTAGTAAATCAGGTCCAAAGGCCCAAAGACCCATCATAAGAAAACCTGCTGGTGGTAACCGGAAGCCCAGTGTAACGAAGCTTGACATTTCACGGCAAAATAACATGCCCAACGCAGGCGTCGGGTGCCAGTAGCAAGTGGGACTGCCTGAGCATCGACTATCATATGCGATGATCGAGGTCTTAAAGAGGGATGCCATCGGCACGTTCGGCTACTTCGGTGTGCCCTTGTTGCAATGGACCGACAGTGAGTGGGCAGTCTGGGAAGAGTTCGTCATTATTACGGGTGGTGGTTCTGGCCAGGACCACACGTCAAGAAGTGACCAACCCTTGGAGCTCTGATGCTGGCAAGTCGACCTTTCATTGCAGATCGGAGTAGTGGATTGAGGCTGCAGTGGCCAGGGGTTCGAGGCGCAGTATGTTAGTAACCATGTATGCCTCGGGTAAGGTAATTGAAGGTAATACAAAGTAAGATAAGGTGTATAGTAACCTTTTTGCAACAGTTGAAAAACAGGGGATCAAGTGCCGGGTTGACAGCACTCACACAAAGGGATCTAATATAGCTGTAGTGCGGTAGCTTTGGTTAGTTGACGTTACTGCGTGGCGAACACAACGGAGCTTGTGACCCGGATCTACTGCTTTAAAGTGCGCCCGCAGGTACACGCCGCCCAGTGCTGTGGAAGGTTGTAAAGACAACAATCAAATACGCGAAGCGGAACCAAGCACAGAGTATCGTGCCACCAACAAATTGGACCCAACGAAGTGGAGACTCGATGCAGCATTGGCGAATGGCATTTTACGATTGAGCCATTGAAGGATGCGGAAGTCGGACGCCTGTTCAGCTCTACTTTCTTCTCCAGCTCGTTTCGCTTTGGAGTTCTTTTCGGTAGGATCCATTAAACCATGCTGGAAAGAAACTGGCGAATAGATTCTGCTGTGTATACATCGTCGCTGAGTGGCGCTGACACAACGAGCGGGACAGGCGCTGACTCGAGGGCTCCGGGATGGCGACAGTGCCTCTAGGCCGACTGTTCGTGTTTGTGCCGAGCTGTCACTGTCCATTCTTCAATGGATCGACCAGGTGGCTGGGTTCCGTGGCCTAAGGACAGCGGTGGGCAGCAGCAGTGTAGGGCAGCATCCGCCGGATAGAAATGAAACCCAGGACAAAGCGGCCACCGTAGGGGAGTCGATGATTCATCATAACTGAAAAGTAGCCGCCCACTGTCCGAGCTCCAGTACAAGCTGCATGACAGACAGGGAATGGAGGTGAAGTTTGGCTTCGGGTCTACTGCGCCCGCGTCGTCGTCGGAATGCTTGATCCGAGTACAATGACTGATGGTTCAAATAATGGCATGTCATGGAAATCTTCCTACGAAGGAGAAGGCGGAGATGGGAGAAGTTACCTTGGCCACACTTTCCCATACCCCGACAGCAAAAATATGAAGTGCATCGGCTAGTGGGAAGTCGGTTGTGTACACCCAAAAAAAAATGAAAAAAAGGATACGAAAAAGAAATATACTTTGAAGGGAAGGTGACAAAGCAAGTCACTAATTTGGTATTGGCTGGAGCTACTTCTTTCTCTCTACGGACTACTGCTTGGGTAAGCTCAGGTGGCTTCGGTCACAGCTTGTGCGGCTTGGTACGTACTGCGCAGTGCGCCAGGCGGCTGGGGGTCTGTGGAATGCGCCCCACTTTTCTTGGCCTAAAGGACCCGTCCGGGTGGACTCGATCTCAACAACCCCGGACTTCATCTCTGCATCAGATGGCCCCTGCTCGATCTTGGTGTAGCATTGTTCGTCTTTCCCATCCCGCCGCCATCGCCATGCCATCGACAATATTCCCACGTCCGCCGGCCGTGCTGCAGCCTGCAACATGCCCTCGCCTCCCCTCCAAAATGTCAGTCAGTTTCGGTCATCGAGCAATCATAATTCTGTATTTCACCCTATTTCTCCGTCCTTGGTGCGCCCTGTCACCCCATGTAGCTTTGCCGTCCCCGACTGGGCCGGCCATCCATGTCCTGTCATCCCGCCGTCGTTCCCTCCTTGCCATAATGAGTAACGGCCAACTCTAACAGACGTGCCAATTTTCCTGCCGAATCGCCTGACATGGCATTCCAAATCGAGCTGCTAGCAAGTAGGGGTTTCAAAGGCCGCCAGGGGGGGTCTGGACCCAAATAGTTTAAGAAAATCTCAGGGTCCAATCCACCACGGGGTCATGAAGGCATCTAATGCAAAGAGGGGGGAGTCTTCTTGTGATCGTTCCAAAAACCCCCCATCGGCGACCACTCGCTCCGCTTGAAACAGGTTGGATCCTTGAGTTTCCGTCCATATTCCTCCCCACCCTACTGTCAAACTACAGAATACCTCTCGTTCAACAGCCAAACTTATCCGAAGTCGTTAGCCGCACACTCGATATCTGACGCCGCGCACCGCACACCGTACACTACTCCACTCTCGAAAGAGCTTGCGCCGTCAACCTTCCAGGTTAAGCTCTGTTCGTGGGGAGACGATTGACCCTGCATAAGTTCAATAAACCCCAGGAGTAACGTTCCTCGGACGGGTGTCCCATTTCAACAGGGGCTGCGTAAACAACTCTGCCCGTTACGGATACTCCCTCCTATTGTCTTGCAAAAAGCTTTGTCAACCCTACCCTACGGCTCGATCTGAAAGAGATCGAATGCTTTCCCCGCCAAACTTTACCATCATAGCCCGATCGATTAACCCAAAAGTCGATACCGCCGGCGCTTGTAGCCTCATCGTCTGACCACTCAGCCATCGTGGCAAGACCCTTGAATTCAGCGGCAGCTGCGTCATTCTTATCGGGGCGAAACTAACATCCCCTCCTGCTCCTCCCAAAGTCAACCGGGTCCTGCCTTGCCCTAAGGAACCCTGTCAACCGTCAAAAAGTCACATCCTTACCTTCCGTCCCTCGCCTACTGGCTCCGGTTTCCATCCGCGCCCGCAGTCTAACACTCTACCTTACCTTACCTCCTATACCTTCTTCCTCATACGTCGTGGTGATCCCAACACTAGTATCCTTTCCCGCCTGGCTGGGAGCTTAAGCAGATCCAACGGCTTCTCTTACGCCATGACTTTGGTCTAGACTCTTCTGCCATCACCTTTCAAACAAAATCAACATCCCTCGCCCTTCATACAACCGTTAGCAAAAGTTGTCTCTACTACTTCTGTCTCGGACTTTCAGCAGCCCGCACCTTTTTTTTTTTCTTTCCCTTTGCCAAGTTGGGCAACTCCAATAGGATCAGCAACCCCATACCGCATTCTTAACATTGAGCATTATCGATCCATCCTCTTAGGCGAAGATTAGTACTTCGCTTAGGACGCATACTCTGCCTACCATGGCGGCAACAAACATTCTCATTTACCTGCTCCGGCACGATCTCCGCATTGCGGATAACCCTATTCTCCATCACCTTGCAACCGCCCCTGATCACGGATTCACCCACGTTCTTCCCGTGTACATCTTCCCAGCTCACCAGATCGAAATCTCAGGGTTTATTCGTGACGGAAGCAAGTCCCCCAACCCAGAGGCCCGCAGTGAGGTTGGCAAGTTCTGGAGATGTGGGCCACACCGCGCCAAATTTATTGCCCAGTCCGTTTGGAACCTTAAGGACTCCCTGGAGAACGCGGGTAATGGTCTGTGTCTGAGGGCAGGTAGATTTGGTGACGTTGTCGATGATCTCCTCCAAGGGTTTATGGACAAGAAGCAGAAGGTTGGCGCTGTGTGGATGACGGCCGAGGAAGCTGTCGAAGAGCGGAGAGACGAAAAAGCGGTGTCCACCGTCTGCTCGAAGCACGGTGTCAATTTCAAGACATGGTTGGATGAGAAATATTTCATCGATGAGTAAGTTGAGTATTGAGGAACACCTAACATTTTGACGCTAACGTTATTATCATCACTAGTCGAGACCTAGGCATGAAAAGCCCTGATGAACTGGACAACGTGTTCACTGCCTTTCGGAAAACCCAAGAACCACTACGCGAAAAGCCCAAGCCAACATTGGCACCGCCGCAGAAGGGTTCTATCCCATCCTTCCCAGACCAATCCGCGATCCCTACCCAAAAGCCTCCTTTCGAAATACCCTCCACCTATGACGAATTGGAGGCGGCGTTGTTGAAGCCCCTTGACAGTCCCTTTCCCAACGAGCCCAAGTTCCCTGAGAAGACGAAGTCAGTTCATCCGTTCAGAGGTGGTGAAGATGAGGCTCTAAAGCGCCTTCATCACCTCGTCAAGACAGGAGCAATGTCGAACTACAAGGACACTCGCAATGGACTCCTCGGCGTTGACTTTAGCACCAAATTATCGGCATACCTTGCCCTCGGCTGCTTAACATCACGACAAATCCACGAGGCGCTGGTTAAGTTTGAAGATGGGCAGGAAGATGATTTCAAGGATGCTCCGGGATACGGAAAAGGAGAGAACGATGGCACCAAAGCCGTCCGTTTTGAGCTACTATGGCGCGACTATATGCGGCTTTGCACAAAAAAGTTCCGCGAGAAGCTATTCCGTGTCACAGGCTTCAAGGAAGACAGCACGTCTAAATGGAAGACAACCAATTCTGATCTCGCCGCGGCTGACGAAAACCTTGCCAAAGCAGACGATGATACTCAGAAAACGTTGCAACGGTTTCTTGAAGGTACAACCGGCATGGGCTTGATCGACGCCTCACAGCGCGAACTTATTCACACTGGCTACACGTCTAATAGAGCTCGACAGAATGTTGCTTCCTTTTTGGCCAAGCACTTGGGCATCGATTGGCGCTATGGGGCCGAATGGTACGAATACCTGCTTGTGGACTATGACGTGAGCTCCAATTGGTCCAATTGGCAATATGTCGCTGGCGTTGGCAACGATCCTAGGGGTGACAACAGAATTTTCAACCCCGTTAAGCAAGCCTTCGATTACGACAAGGAAGGCGAATATGTCAAGGCATGGGTGGTCGAGACACGGGGCCTGGATAAGCTGGAGAACGTTTTCCAAATTTGGACTACATCGCAGGAGGAACTGGATCGCCTAGGTTTGAGTGACAACGAAATGGTCACTAACCCTATTAAAAAGATCGATTTCTCTGTCGAAGGCAAGCCGAAGAACGGTCGACGACAATACAACAATCGCAGAAGAGGACGGGGAAACTCGAACCAGAGCAACGGTGGTAGTGGAGGGCACTCTCGTGGCCCTCCTGGCGCACCAACCCCGAACGGCGGATATGCGCCACCCTCAGGTGAACCAAGCCAAGGTGCCGGCAGCCCCTCATCATCAAGGTCTCCGCCGAATGGGCCGCAAGGATACAGACCGAATGGCGGTTTTCGCGGCAGCTTTCGTGGCGGACGTGGCCGTGGAGCGGGCGGTCATCGTGCTGGCCGGGGAAACTATGGTGCTAGAGGAGGAGGTTTTAGCAGCCCTTACTACATGCACAACGGACAATATCGTCCACAGTGGGCCACTGCCACCCCTTCCCCGCAAATGTAGAGACACTTGCGAGGCAGTGGACGAGGACGTGGTCAGCGTCCCGGGTAAATGCTCGGGAAAGAAGTTGCGCAGATGGGCGTTGTGGCCATGATACGCTTTTGGGAGGTGATTTGCTGTCCTGACAGTTGCCCTAACACCCGATATCCATGTAGTGGACTGCTAGGCATGATTAGGCCGCCTATGACACACGTTACCGTTGCAGTACAGGGCTCAAGCAAGGAAGAGAAGGACTTGAGAAGCAAGGATGGGTTTGGTCAGTTGTGATCACATGGTGTATTGCAGTTATTCCTTCCTGAGGATGGCTGACGCTGACTACGATTTGGGGCTTTTCAGAGACAAAATATTGCACACTACTCAAGCCAATTGACATGAATTGGCAAAGCTGTGCTTGGGGGGATGACTTTGATATGAGCAAGGCGTTCAATATGTGTTGCTCGACATGGCAGACTGTGCCCGAAACACAGAGAGTATCGGCAAGGGTGGTTAAAGGATAGGTTGTTAGACCAAAGTTAACATGGTGTACTTGATCAAACTGTACAAAAAGTATATGATGATACAATAGCTGAACTCCAACATCCGACAGCTGGTGATTTACGTGATGTGTACCATTAAAGACTAAGTACGTGAACATGACAACATCGCAGGGGTATCATCCCCAGTTGAGAAACCGTGTCCCACGTGCATCCAACTGCAAGTTTAAGCTGTCAAGTATAAGCTTAGAAAAACATTGGCATATATATATATATATATACATAAAGGGTGTAGAGTATCAAACTCTCAAGGCTAGCCTGTACACTACACATATGCCTACTCGTACATTTTGGACACGCCCCACCATTAACACTTCTGCTCGTTCACAATCTACAATGAAGGGAGAAACTCGTCCGCTGGTATCTATCGCTAAGCGCCCAGCAAAATGCATCCATCTCGTTTTGCCCCTTACTTAGCCTCTAAAGCTCACCACAAAAAAAAAAAAAAAAAAACGTGACACGCTCTAGAAATGCTTGCCAAGGGGTTTGACATCAACACCCTTGGGCACGACAAACAGACCCCTGGCCTCGACGGCGGTCTCCCCTTCAGGCCCCTCCATGCGGCCGACGATCCACAGCTTGCGGTCCGTCTTATCCTCGGCGCCGGGGTGTTCCCTCTGTAGCTCGGGAAGGGCCTTGTGGACGCGGACGAGATACAGGACGCCCGGGGTGACGGGCTCCTTGAAGTCCATGCTCAGCTTGGCCGTGACGGCGGTGCCGGCGGTGAAATTCAGGGCGGCGAGACGGCCCAGGGCCTCGTCCATGATTGTGCTCAGCATGCCGCCGTGGACGACGCTGGGCCAGCCGCTCGTGCTCTGGCCGAAGACGATGGCGAGGATGAGCTCGCCGGTGAGCTTGTGCCGGAAAACGACGTTGACCAGGCCCAGAGCGTTCGGGTTGTTCAAGGCGCCCGCGCAGAGGTGGTGCGCCTTGACGTCCGCGGGGAGGCTCTCGTAGGGTTCCCAGTGTTCCCAGTCCGTCGGCCGCACGCTCACTTTGCCGTCCGATATCGAGACGGCGGGGACCATGGCGTTGAGCACCGGGTACTCCTGGAAGGCCTGCGTGGTCGCATGCGAGCGGTACTGCGGGATCTCTTCTGGTTCGTACTCGACCGGCGGGTAGAGGAAGGGCGTGGCGAAGCGGAAGGATGCGATTTGGTCGTCGGTTAGCTTGTAGCCTAGGGCGAAGAAGAAAATGGCCCAGGCGAAGCGGCGGAGGATGACGGAGCGGCGCGAGCGAGGGGGTTGCTGTTGTTGGGGGTGGCCTGCGACGCCGGGGATGGCGGCGCCTGGTGGGGGAGGAGGGGCCGAGGAGAGGAGGGCTGTTATTTGGGCGGGCGTGAGGTGGGAGAGGTTTTGGAGGGCTGCCGAGGCGGCTGCTTGTTGTGACTGTGGTATGTTGATCGGGGGTCGGTTCTGGAGGAAGGGGTGCGCTGTTGCGGTAAAGGGACGGAGAGCGCGGGTTCGGAGCGACGCCGCGCTCGGGGAGGAGGACGAGAGCTCCTGCAGGAGACGGCGCGCACCTGTTCTGGGTAACATTGCTCGTCGAATCGCGTGTTCCTTGTGTATTTGTGGAGTTTGATTCGAAGGTATACGCTGCGGGACGGCAGCGTGGAGGAGGAGGGTGGATTGGCTCAATGCGATGGGTTATGGACTCGCGATAGGTTTAGGACGTCGTTGGATTAATTTGTGTCGTTTTTTTTTTGTGGTGGAGACCTCAGACCACACCTTGTCTCGGTGAGCGGTAAATTCGGTGAAGGGAGCATTGGCCATGCCGCACGGGCCTCCGACCATCGGGGCGGGCTGAGCCGTGATGTCACCGCTACGATTTACGATCGGACGGACCGATCTTAGTGGAGTAAGACCATTGCGGAAAGCAACGCGCTTCTTAGTTTGACTTGTGAACCCACGAGCAACATTGTGTCGTAAAACTTTTGTCATTATGCTATCACCAACGCCATGCTATCTAATGCATCATCTAGAATGCTACTGACTGCAAAGCATCGCTGAAGAAGGAAGAAGGAAAGAAAAGAAAAGAAGAAAAACAACTGTAAGAACGGCCTAAGACACCATCAAGGTACTCCATGCGACCCAAACGCGCCGGGACTTGGGCACCGTAGCCCGTCCAGTGCCATCCGCGGCAGAGGCGCTGCCTTTGCGCACCAGGACGCGACCTATCTCCATGTAACTCTCCACAGCGACCACCATGGGGCCGCGCGCCTCCGATGGGATCCACTTCATTGATCCCCGAGCTTCGTTGTAGTGATCGAAAGCCTTGGCGAGGATTCTGCGACGCACATTCGCAACACGCTCGGTGCTGGGGTTCCTCAGGACGTCCTCGGGAGTCAAACCTTCGTCCTTGAGCCAGGATGTCGGCAAGTAGACGCGGCCGATCTTGGCGTCGACGGCGATGTCGCGGGCGATATTGACGAATTGAAGAGCCAAGCCCATCTGGCGCGCTGTGTTCCGAAGGTAGGCTTGCATGTAGGGCGGTAGGTTATGGTTGCAGTGACAGAAGACTAGCTCCAGACAGGATTGGCCAACAGTGCTGGCGACGCGGGCGGCATAGAGCTCGAGATCTTCCGGTGTAGCAATGGGGAAGGTGTTGTTGCTGAAGCACAAATCCATTTCGAAGCCTTTGAGCAGCTCCGCAAGCGGTTCGCGGGGGATGCGAGAAGAGGGAAGCAAGTTGAGGGCAGAGAGTGCCGAGGGCGGGAAGTTCTCTGCTGCATATTGAGAGGCGAGAGGGGCTGATGTGGAATCGGGGTCCTTGTACAGCAAGCTGAGGTGCCGGTCGAGCTTGGAAATCCAAACGGACGCTTCTTGAGGGTTCTCGGCTTCATCGACGAGGTCATCGGCCAGGCGGCAGTAGGAGTACCTGGTATCTTGGTTAGCACTTGTGTAGGAATTCGGGGCGCCTGGCTTACAGCAGGGTAAGGTCGATGCGTAGACGGCCGGGAAAGACAGAGCTTGCAAGATAAAAGCTGCGACTCTTCTTGGCCAGTCTGGTCACCGCCTGTCGGATACCGAGAATGCGCTCCATGTCGTACTCTGACGAAGGCAGGACTCTGGCGCGCAACAGGGACATTGATAAAGCATCGGCTGGTTTGTCAAACTTGTCTGGGAAGACATCGCAAACGGCAACGGCCTTGTCAAAGGCAGCCACCCCAAAGACAATGAGAATGTTGGTCACCAAGAAGAAGGTGGCCTCCTCAATCTCCAGGTCGCCAAAGAGCTTGATGTCAAGCTTGGTACCGCTCTCAATGGCCCATGTGCCGCGGCCCAGTGCCATCTCATCAACCACCCAGAGATAGACTGTGGGAAGGATGATGGGGAGAGCTGTACATGCTTTCGGCAGGGCGAGAAGGAAGTGTGCGGTAATGGTCCAAGTGAACAAGGCAAACAAGCATGCCCAGACCAGGATCAGGCCCATGTATGTTCCCTCGCCCTCTTTGATGATCAGGAAGGCGCCCAGCGCGATGCTACCGGCAAGAGCAACCTGTCCAAGAATTTTTCCGTGCTTTATCCATTGGGGAACGGTGGCGGGTGAATTGAGGTATTGCGCGTGCAAAACAGGCTTGTTGAGAATAATATACAGCTGAGCTGTAATGTAGGTCTGGATTATGAAAAAGAAGAGCTCCTCAATTGGAATGTCGAAGAGAGTTGGACCGAGAACAGCGTCGGGCGGATAAGACCAAATGCCAGTTCTGATGAGGTAGGAGTCCCAAGGAATAGTGGCCACAAAGGCAATTGTGACGATGAAAAGTGTCCTCACAATATCGAGCCGAGTGAGGAGAGGGTATGAGAAAAAGGTCAGCAACGCTGCCAATGGGATGGTGTACTTGAGGTGCCTATAGGAGTCAGTGAGCTTGTTTTTGAGGTGATTGATTTGCTGACTTACACCAACGCGTAGTCGTAACCCATCTTGGACTGATTTGTGAATTGCTTTGGGCACTATCACAAAAAGCCAAGTCGCGTAAAAGGCGGGTTTTGATGGTGGTGAAGCGAACAGCAAGGTGGATAAAAGACTAGGTGGCTTTCAGCAGTAGCAGCAGCAGCAGCAGCAGCAGCAGCACACTACCATTACAATTGCACCTTCCTTTCGTAATCCGCCAAAAAGCCGAATTTGCCAACAATGCAAGATGCTGCAAGGTTAGGCAAGATAGGGCAGGCAAGCGTAAGAAATGAAAATAGATCCCAGTAGGTGTAGACGCAACGATGACGGATACATTAGCGTGAGTGAGAAGTGGCCCGGTGTAATTGACCCCACGCAGGCTGTCTAATTCACCTTTTGTGTCCTTTTTTTTTCTTCTTTTTCTTGCTGGTAATTCACCGTCAGCAGTTATGTTTGAAAGAATAACGGAAAGATCGGCCAACCCAGCGGTCTCGGAGGTCAAGAATTATCCCGTGTCAAGGGAAACCTGAACAAATCAATGTCTTTCGGAGCATTGCTCCGCTGATGTTTCTCGGTGCTCGGACTTGTTTTATTTTCGAGCACCGGTGGGAGGCGGGGTGGTATGTAGCTCGCTAGGAGAGCTTCTTTCCTAATTTGGACAGATTGCGCGCGCAATATTGGGGGGGGGAGCTTGGGCAACAGCATAAAAAGAAAAGGAAAAAAAGGATAATCGTGATAGGCAAAGGCAGGGATGGTGAGGCTTCGGAAGGTTGAATGTTTAGATGAGGGTGCAGCGAGCTAGAGTGAGATTGGTGCAAAGTGGTTGGCTGTGGTTGGTGTTAATCGGGCGCTGAGCCCCAGTAGAATAAGTCTATGACGACCACATGTGCATCCAAACATGGGATTTTGGTGTCCACCCAAACTAGATTCAGATGTCTGATCAGAACCAGGGATTCTTTTAGCCTGATGGTAAGACGGCAGGACGGCAAGAGGGAACAAGGCAAGCAGGAATCAACTCCGTATCGCACACGCACGTTGGGCACATGGTCTAGTGCCGCCCCCAACAGTGACTGAAGTGAGACAAATGTGTATGTGATGTAGATTTCCTGTGGGAATGTCTACTGTTCGTTGAACAAGATTCATGGCATATTGAACCCAAATGCAGGTTTATACTCGAGACGAATTGTTGCACAAGGCATTGACCGCCTCATCTGTCCTCGTATGAACTTACTTCCCAACCTTTAACTGCTCAAATGAAGTGATTGAAACGATCGATCTGCGAATACGATAGATCGCAACAGGCATGTACTAGTATACATACACGCCAAGCACACAACGTGCGTGGGCCTTGAGTTCCTGCGGCGCCACCAAGTCTCAATCTTGGCGCTTAGCTTGCTGGTGTGCCTGAAGTATATCTGTGGAACAGACTGTGTGTATCTAGACAGGCAATCGGTCAAAATGCAACACCAGTGGCCTCCTCCCTCCGAGTCGAGGTGTCATCACTCTTCCGAACCGGCCGATGCTGAGCACTTCCTCGCACGATTCCCACCCCCTGGCCCCTTCTCGTAGCTTTTGTGGACCCGATGGCATGCGAACGGAAGTTTGACTGGTTTGCTCTTCACATGCTTGATACCAATGACGAGACAATTATCTAGTATGAATGCCAATCGATGCCCTACCATCATGCTACTCGTCTTCGAGCTCTCAAGTCCCTTCAGCATGAGCAGGCGATTGTACCGTATTGGGTAGTCAGTTATTATTGTCTGAATTACCTCGCTCGACGACTTCGTTCTGTTTCGATATCTAGATATCACTAGATACCCCACCCCAATAACGAACATTCAGAATGCCCTCTCTCGGCGAGAAGCCAAAGACGGCCATTGTCGTCGGTGCGGGCGCCGGCGGCGTAGCTCTCGCAGCTCGTCTTGCGAAAGCAGGCTTCTCCGTCACAGTCCTCGAAAAGAACTCCTTCACGGGCGGTCGCTGCTCGCTGATGCACCACGAAGGCCACCGCTTCGACCAAGGACCCTCTCTTTTCCTCCTCCCGCAGCTCTTCCACGAGACGTTCCGCGACTTGGGCACTACCCTCTCAGACGCGGGCGTCGACCTGCTGCGCTGCGAAACCAATTACAACATATGGTTCCACGACGGCGAGCTCTTCAAGCACACGTCCGACCTCGCCGCCATGAAGACCCAGATCGAGCGCTGGGAGGGCAAGGACGGCTTCGAGCGGTATCTGCAGTGGCTCAAGGAGGCCCACGTCCACTACGAGGTTTCCGTCAGGGATGTGCTTCACAAGAACTTCACCAAGCTGATACACCTTGCAAGACCGAGCTTCGTGAGGCACGTCGTCAACCTGCACCCGCTCGAGAGCATTTGGAGCAGAGCGAGTAGATATTTCTGGTCGGAGCGCTTGAGGAGGGTGTTCACGTTCGCCGTCATGTACATGGGAATGTCGCCCTTTGATGCGCCGGCAACGTACTCTCTGCTGCAGTACACCGAGTTCGCCGAGGGCATTTGGTACCCGCGCGGCGGATTCCACTCCGTGGTCGCCGCGCTGGTCCGCATCGGCGAGCGGCTAGGCGTGAATTACCGCCTGAACACGCCCGTGTCCCGCGTCCTGACAGACGGCCAAAAGGCGACGGGTGTTGTCCTCGAATCAGGAGAATCACTGACCGCCGACGTCGTGGTCGTCAATGCCGACCTGGTCTACGCCTACGGCAACCTCCTCCCCCAGACGCCGACCATTTCCAACTACAGCAAGTCCCTCCAGAAGAGAGAGGCAAGCTGCAGCTCCATCTCCTTCTACTGGTGCCTGGACCGCAAGGTCCCCGAGCTGTCCACCCACAATATCTTCCTCGCGGAGGAGTACCGGGAGTCGTTTGACGCAATCTTCAAGCACCACTCCCTCCCCGACGAGCCGAGCTTCTACGTCAACGTCCCCAGCCGCGTCGACCCCTCGGCAGCCCCCGAGGGCAAAGACACCGTCATCGTCCTCGTGCCCGTCGGCCACCTGTCGCAGTCCAAGAACGGCGGGGACGACGGCGGCGCCGACGGCCTGCCGACGGAACAAAAGGACTGGGACGCCATCGTCGCCCGCGCCCGCGCCGCCATCCTCCCCATCATCAGCGCCCGCACGGGATGCGCGCCCCTGCAGGACATGATCACGCACGAGATCGTCAACACGCCGCTGACTTGGGAGGACAAGTTCAACCTCGACAAGGGCGCCATCCTGGGCCTGACGCACGGCTTCTTCAACGTCCTCGCCTTCCGCCCGCGGACGCGCGCCGAGGGCCTCGACAACGCCTACTTCGTCGGCGCGAGCACGCACCCCGGAACCGGCGTGCCGATCGTCATGGCCGGGGCCAAGATCACGGCCGAGCAGATCCTCGACGATCGCGGCCTGGAAGTGCCGTGGGCCAGGGGGTTTGGCGGCATGTTGCAGCCGCAGAAGGAGTCGCCGCAGAACGGCAAGCTGGACAAGGTGCGGTACGGGTTCCACTTCGGCTCGGAGGAGGTCGCCGTCTTGCTTATCGTGTTCTTCCTGTCCGTTTCTTACCTGTATCTCTGGCCGACGGTCCAGAGCCTCGTGTGCTAAAGGTCTGGCGTTGGTGAGCGCTGGATTTAAAATTATTGAATGATGATGAATGGGGGTATAGAATCGTCTGAATTTGAGCAATTGGAATCATTTTGAGCGGGATAACCTGTCAGTAATTAAATCGTACCCTTTATCCTTGAGCCATTGAGTGTGAATTAAGTCTAGGGGTGAGGGAGCATGTACCGTTCGCAACTTCAAGTAGTAAACGACGGCCTGTTTTTTGTTCCGTTCCGTCCAGGTATAAGAACACTCTGTCATATGTGCTGTGAATAACCCCTGGAATAAACAACCTGTAAGCAATTCCGTAGATATACGGAGGAGCCTCCCAAAAGTTTCGACCAGGCCTCCAGGTAGCTATGGGCCCGGATTAACACATCTACATCTATGGACTTCTGCTTATTAGAATCAGCAAGGGTCAGTCGCTAAACATTTATTTTTCAGGGACTGAACATGCCTGAAGTGAATTTTTTATAAGGAGTTAATCCGAGACTAGTGTATGCTAGGTATTGATAAGGTTGGCGAGGTGATTCTATACCTCGCCCTGGTCAAAAGTTTTGGGAGGCACCTCCGTAGTATGTCTTCGATTTGAAGAGTGCGCCAACGTAAGCCTCACACCACGACTTCCACTTACTACATACCTCATATTCACGGCACTGGCAAAGGTAGAAAAGAACCTTTAAAATGTACCTGAATTTGGCGTTTATCTCATAAAACAGCAGGTATGTTAAAGGGGGGGGGGGGGGGGGGAAACCGCAAGTCATCCATCGCCAGGTCGATTGCAGCTTACTACTGACTTGGACCGCAAAGGAACAAGGTTGATATCGCCCCCAGAACACAGCACAGCTTGACGCGAACAACGACCTCAGCGAGCGTAATTGAGACAAGATCTACAGAGTTCGTCCGGTCTTCCAACTCCTTAACAGGGGACCAAGATAACAAGATTCGCAGACCGGAAAGTCTCGTCTATCAATGTAATCCAAAAAAAAAAAAAAAAAGAGTCGTATCCAACATTTTACTCACACAAACCGCCATCTCTCTTTTTACAATTTAGCCTTGGGCTCATCCTTCTCAACATCATCCTCCTCCTGCTTCAATCTCACAACGCCCTAAACCACACACGTTAGCAATGCTCCAGCAGCCCCGATCTTCCTTATTATGCTCCGCTGCATGCAAGCAAAGGGGTAACTCACCTCCTGAACGCAGGTAGCCAGAAGCGTCCCGTCCGCCCCGAAAATCTTTTGCAGCACAACTCCCCTTCCGTCTCCGCTCCACGGGCTCTCCATCTCCGTGAAAAGCCACTCGTCCGCCATCACTCTCCTCGGCTCATGGAAGTAAATCGAGTGATCCAGGGAAACCATCATGCCCAGATGCGGCCTCGTCTTCCAATACTCCACCCCGCCTTCAGTGTTTCCCTCAAACTCGTTGAGCCGCTCAACCTGCTCCTTCAGGTCCGGCGGCAGCTCGTCAAACTCCTCCGGTTTGAACGGGAACCTCCACAACTTGTGAATCCGTCCGACGGTGCCGATAAAGTAGCTGTCAGACATGTACGCCAAAGCATTCAAATGCGCCTGGTGGCCTCCGCTCACGCTGATCTTCCCCCTGGCCCGAACCCAGTTCCTCGACTTCAGCTGATGCGGCTCCGCGTCCTTCCCGCCGACCAGCGAAATCCGGTACGTCTGGAAAGGCGAATGCGTAGACCACTCCGGCTCACCCTTCCAGTCATTCGGCGGGGGCCTCACGCCCTCCGGCAGCGGCGCGGCGTGCCGCACTTGCTTTTCACCACCGCTCCCCTCCTTCACAAACGACACAGTCGTCGTGAAAATACATCGCCCCCGCTGACGAGCCTGTACGGTTCTCGTCGCGAACGACCGCCCATCACGCACACGTTCGACATGGAACAAAATTGGAATCTCGGAGGAGCCGGCGAGTAAGAAATAGCAGTGGCACGAGTGCACGAAGAAGTCATTTGGTACAGTCTTTTGTGCGGAAGCGAGACACTGCGCGATCACAGCGCCGCCGAAGATGCCACGGGCGCCCGGGGGATGCCATGGTTGGCGAGTGTTGGTGAAGATGTCCTGGAAAGTATTAGCTCAGCCCATCTACTTGATATTCTTGTGGTCTCGATCCCAGGCATAACGGATAAGTGACGTTTTGAGCAGGATCGTGGGAAGGGGGCAGCCCGAGTACTCACCGGGCCCAGTACTCCCAGTTCCGTCACTTCCAATACGTTCTCGATCGGGCTCTTATTAGGGTCCTCCGGCGGAGGCCGCATAATGGTTGATCTGCCAGCCGCCATTATGTCTTCTTTGTGGTTTGTGCTCTAGATATCTCTGAAGGCCGGTCGTTATGGAGAATTGAGTCTTCTACGTTGACCCAACACAGATCTAAAACGTCGCGTCTTGGCGTTTTTTTTTTTTTTTTTTGTCTCAAACACAAGCCTCTATAACTCACGCCCGAGTCCCAACGGATGAGGCGAAGCGACACAATGTCAATTTGATGAACAATGATGGATGAGATGATGGGGGAGGGGTCTATGAAAGCTGTAGGTCCCACGAGTCCGGGTCAGAGTACCAGGGGCTTTCGTCGTGCAGGTGGCCCCTAGTTAAGTAACATTGATGAAGGACGAGGGTAACGTTTTGGGAAACTGCCGAGGTCCAAAGTGGAGTAACGCTGGCACCGGTGCCGGTAAGGCAAGGTACCCGTATTACTGGCTCCAAGTACGTACTCTGGGGCCGGGATTCGGCCAGAGGTAAATATTGAATGTTGACTATTCACCGTGCACGAGCCCTTACCGACGGCATCACAAGCTTCTTGGCAGTTGTACGTATGTAATCGGCCAGTCCATACCATAGTAATAAGAATAATGTAGTCGCAGAGTCTGTTGCTTGTACTCGGAAGCACATGGGATAGCATGGATATACTACACTGGGTGCATCTGTCTGAACAGCATCTACACACAAAAGCAAGCTCTGCGAGTGCGTAGGCTCCAGAGAGATATTGTTGCCAGTTATGAGCCATTACTGTCTTCAGCATACTATCGAACAGCTTTGGAGCAACCTGGTTCACCAGCTCTCAGAGACGGTCCACCGAGTGCCCCTTGATCCATCCAACAGCTGCAGCTTTCGAACTATCTGTTTCTGAACTATCTGCTTTAAAATACGCTTCGTGGTGCAACTCTATTCCTCTACCTCCTCCACAAAGTCTTCATAGATGGGTTCCAAGCCATCCCATGTGTGAGGGTCTCCTTCAGGTCCTCCCTTTTCTCTCTGCTCCCAGTACTTGCCATTAAACTTCCAGTACTGCACGCCCGTAATTTCACACGTCGTCTTCTCGAACCAAGCCGATTTGAACTCGGTGCCCTTTGCCTCGCGGTGCCTTCTTCGAGCACGTTGTGCCTCCTCGAGACGGTTCTTTTCGACGGCCGCAAAATCGTATTCGCCATCCTCCATGGCGCGCTGATCTGGACGCAGACGCGAGTCGGTAGGTGCGATCCATGGTCGGAGTTTGTCATCGATGTGGTTGAAGGTGAGAACGAAGGGTGTGAGGTTGAAGGGAATATTGGGCGGACGAGGGTTGGCTTGCCAGATGAGGAACGCCCGGTTCGGGTCGGAGATGCTGCCTTTGTGGACAGACGCGGAATCGCCAGGGTCCTCAATCGTGGCTTCATATCCAGGCGTGAGTCTTGCATACAGCTTCGAGTTCCATCTACCACCCATGCTATACCGCACCCTGCCGTCGGTGTCAAGAACCTTGCCTGAGACCTTGTACGCGCTCGACGCTTTCCATCCACGCGGCTGGAAATCCATCTGACACACTTCACCCGTTGTCCAGTTCTTGACTTCCATAGGTCCGTAGTTGTCCACCGTAGGGTTGCCAGTAATGATGCCAATGACGGACGACGTAACCTTCTTCCAGGTGTAGAGTTCCTCCTTGCCCCCTGCCGTGGGTCTGAGCTTCAGAAACCACGTGCCGAGATGGTTAACGTCGAAGGACTTTCCTAGGAACCTGGACTTGACAGCCGATTCACCCCAATAAGTCCACCTGGGAGACTCGGCCCAGAGAGCACCAATAGGCGGGTGATGGCTGACCTGTTCAATGAACAAGCGGTAGTTTTTATCAGGTCGGACGTACTCAAACGTCTCTCCAAGTAGCGGGTTGAAGGGCTTGGCGACACGTCCGATAGTGGAAGCATACTCACTGGCAGCAAAGGCAGCCACGTAAATGAGACGCTCAATCGAATCCGAACGTTCTGCGGCCTGGTCCAAAAGATCGACGTATTCCATGTCCTCGCCAGCACGGTACAGGAGTGATGTGGGCTCATTAAAGGACACGGGCAGAGTCATCTTGGTCATGTCCTTTCCAATCATTGATTTGAGAATTCCCTGCCAAGTGTTAGCCCATCGTCTTCAGTGCACAATGTTTCGAGATATCTAAGAAACTCACCCAAAGTGAAATCTTGGGGCGGTTATCCGCATCCATCTTGAGCCTGGTTCTGACACCATTCTCATAGCCCTTGAACGAACTGCTAATGTCTGTGCTACCAGAGACGACAAGCTGCTGCTGCGTTTCCTCCTGGGGAGATGAAGTAGCCTCAGCGGGTGGCAGCTCGGTAACCTCAACTTCCCCGGCATCCACCGCGTCAAAGAACTCATCCTCATCTTCCGACTCAGAATCCGAAAGGGCAATTTGGTCAAGTGCCGTCTTCTTCCTGGAAAGGCTCCTCTGCGGTGACTTGGGCGGCATCTCAATATCGTCGTCGGTTCCCACAGCCGCCTCGACGGTCGCGGTCCCGTCGATTTGTTCTGCTTCCTTCTGATTGGTACCGACTTGTGATTCGCTCATGACCTCACGAAGCGCACGCTTGGCAGCCTTGCGCTTCTGCTCGGCCTGGTCAACACGCTCCTCTAGGATCTCTTGCTCCTTCGCAACCTTGGCCATGCTCTCTTCCCACATGCGACGCATGTCAGTCTCGCGGTCCAGCCGGTACTGCCAGTAGGCATCACGGTCCTTGGAAATTCGCATGAGATCTCCGACCAGGCCTGTCAAACTTCTGATAGCAGCGTCGTACGTTGCGAGAGCTTGTGCTACTTTGGGATCGGAGACGGTGGTGTTGGGGTTCTTGGAGGCTTCAGACAGCATGGCAGCGTTGACTGCGGAGATGGTATCAAGCTGGAGCTTGGCTGACTGTGCGGTAATGTTAAAGGCATCCTTGTTGACTGCAGGCTCCTCGCGGCTGCTGGCATCTTCAAAGTCGTCATCGTCATCATCTGGGTCATGATGGCCATTCCCAGCAGCTCTTGACATGCCGGCGTCCGTAGCAGCGTCGGCAAAATCATCGTCGTTGCTAGCAATGGTGCTTGCGCCGGCAAAATCGCTCTTTGGTACAGACATCTTGGTGTGCGATTGCGTTCGCGGTATATGCACACTACTACTCCTTGTATCAGCCACGCTGGCGCTCTCACTCGCGGCCTCGTTGATGGAGAGCTCTGGCGACTTTCCAGCTTGCTCGGCCTTTGCCTGTCTCAGGAGCTCAGCACCGCGTTGCCGTTGGCGCTCTTCCTCCTTGGCCTGGTCCTTTGTCCATTGAATTGAGTTGTTCAGAGCCCAAAACCAGCGCTTAGCTTCGACTTCATGGTTCGCCTTCAAAGTGTACTTGACAGAGGATTTGCCGATGATCTCAAACTTGGTCTTCTCGTCGGCACTCATATGCAACTTGGCAATACGAGTATTGATGGCACCACGACAGGCAGAGCCAGCGTCATCTTGGTGTTTGTAGTAGCTCAGGACGCCGTCCTCGAGCACGAACCATCGAAGCTGATATCCCTTACGGTAGTTGGTCCACTTCTTCAAGTATCCCTTCATCTCCCTAGCCTCTCTTCCTGCCACCGGGTCTCCGGAGGAGGCAGCCCCGACTCCCTGCGACGCCGCCTGGCCGAGGACGGCCTTCTCCTGGATGCCTCTTTGAGCCGCGACGGCGGCAGGCGATCGCTTCAGCATTTGCTTTGTATGATCATCTTTTGTAACGTCCTGAGGCAGCTTTCCCTTCCGATCTCTGCGGAAAGGGTCTGCACCATGGAGCAGGAGCACTTGGATCAGCTGCGTGTTCTTCTTCCGCGCAGCCTCATGAAGCAGGGTGCCGCCAGCCTGGACGGTGGTAGGGTCGGTCGCAAATTCGGTACTATTAATGTCGAGGACCTGTTTGAGGCGGGGCTCTTCAAGGACGGTCTCAAGGGCCTTGTAATCGTTCTGTGTAATCAGAGTCTGGATCTGCCGGACCTTGTTCTCGGCGAACAATGAGCGCGAAAGCTGCAGCTGTTGAAAGATGTCGGGGTTGCGGGCAACGTCAATGGGTAGCTGGCCCTTGAAGTTGGCGATTGCATCGTTGATGTCCTTCTGCTCAAGCAGCAGCTTGACCACCTGGCTTCGGCCCTGCGTCGCAGCAATGTGCAGCGGGGTATTGCCATCTTTATCTCTTGCGTTGACGTCGAGGATGCCTGCACCATCAGACAGCACGTACTCGACGACCTGGAACTCTGCGCATTGGATCGCGAGGTGCAGCACCGTGGTGTCGTCGAGGCCGGGGCCGCTCAGTGTGCTGATGGAGGATATGCTTGTTCGAGGGCCGCCCTCGGCAGTGTCCCGTATGACCTTGGAAATGGAGGCAGTGTCGCCGCTCCGCAGAGCCTCGACGATGCGAAACTTGCGAACAGACTGTTCGAGAGAGACGCCCTTTTCGCTTCCGACGTTGCTCATTTTGGAAGTCAAACCGGCAGGCGGACTGTTGTGTGAGGGGACGCGGCCCATGGAGGGGGAAGTTGTAGAAAGGCGGGAGGCGGAGACGCCCCGAACGGCGTTTTGGGCCATGGATATGTTTGTTTGGGATGTCGCTGGGAGGGTGGGCGACGTCAGCGGCGCACCGTCGTCCGAGTTGGAAGGATCTTCGTCGCCGCGGGAGTGGTTTCTTCGGAGGAGGGAGAGGGCAGCAGCGGATTTTGACCGCTTGTGGGTGCTGGCAAGTCAGGAAAGTGTCAGCTACCTGTTCCCAATCTGCCAAGGTCGGGTCGGCACAGCGAAGGTTGCTGTAGTGCTGCAGGACGCGTGGAAGGTATGCAAGTAATGGGAGAAGCTGTCTCACGGTGCGCGAGCCAGTGACCCATGGAATGCATACCAGCCTTGATGCAGAGTTGTGTTTAAAACAAAAAAAGAGTGCAAAGAAAACTTACCTATCTCCAGTATCCGACATTTTGCAGAGAAGCCAGCGGCGGTAGCAGCAGCAACAGCAAGTGACAGCAACGGAGAAACCAAGCTTCACAAGGACAGCAGAAGCAGCGGGCCAGCAGGTGGGTTCCCCACTCTGGTCGTAAGATAGTGTGAGTTTATATGTACGTATGTAATGGAATGGAGCACCAGGTGAACAAGGAATCACAGTTTATGCTTGGTGCAATGATTGGGTACTCGGACCTGCTGGCAGGACAGGGGGTAAAGGGAGGGGAGATGGGGGGAAAGTCAAGGTGAGACGTGCTTCGGTCGGCGACAACAAGGTAAACGGATCAAGGCGGGCTGCGATAAGGGGGAGGGGGAGAGGGGGGCGGCGGAAAGCTTGAGGAAGCTGAACTGGAACAGGAGGATGATGATGATTTAGTGAAAACGAAGGGCACCTTGCTTCGTTGAGAACGAGGGGGAGGAAAAGGCGAGAAAGAGAAAGAAGGAAGGAAATGATTGCAGTTTGTTGTTGTCGCCGGGTATTTCCAAAGTTGCAAAAAATGAAATAAAATAAAATACAAAAAGAGCGAAACCGAAAATGGAGGCAATGAAATCACGCTGAATATGTCCATGTCCCCCTCCTCCCCTCCCCTCCCCTTCCTCCTCAGCCCCCCTCTATGCCACATCTAACACGCTGAACATAATGCTTCAAGGTAACCTAAGAGCGGATATCTCGACGCTATTTTACATAGCCCCGTCCAAATCGGGCCATGGAGAGGATACCGGGAACAACGCCTACCCGTACCTTTTCTTCATTTTATTAGCTGTCAGCGTCGCCCCTCTTCTTCCTCCTTCCTTGCAGCAATCCAGAAATGCAGAAATGACGTTCTTGGGTGTGGGTGGGGTGACGAAACCACGGCTCCGACCTCTTTTCCAGCCAATGACATGCCCTACTCCATCTTTCGATTCATCGCGTGCAGCTTTCTGTACATCACCTCAAGGTACCTGCTAATCCTACGTCGTAGGCCGTCGCGTACGTAGTATATGAATAATTACACTGTCGAATAGCCGCACACAATGGTGCCTGTGGCGTACATTGTTCGAGCCACATCTTATGTTTCTCATGCTCCCAAGATAGGCCTAGCCGCTCCTGTTTGTCCGATTTTGGATCGGATGCATCGGTCATCTTCTTCCTATTAGAGCTGAACAGCATTGCACATCCGATATTATACGGAATACTTAAATCCACGGAATGGTCACATATGCACCGTTCCTCATCGAATTGCATGCGCTGGGGCCGACGTATTGCATCGTATTGATACGAATCAGTTTCCTATTTATGAACCTAGATATCCATGAGAATAATGCCCCGTCCGTGAGACTCCAAGAACGAAGCTCCTTTTCCATATTCAAAATGAAATAAAATAAAATACATGGAAAATGTTGGCCATGAAACCAACTTCTTCCCATGTCAGATCCTGCAATACAAATATTAAAAATTCTTAATTATGTTACAAAAGAAAGGCCGCAGCAACGGCTGCCAAGCCCGCGGCCCCGAAGGCGCCCAGCTTGCCCGCACCTGCCTGCACAGGCTTGCTCGGCACCGGAGTACCGGCCGAGGTAGGCTTGCCGGGGCTACCGGTGCCTGCGAGGGTGGATGTGGAGTTAGACTTGCCGCCCATGGGAACGGCGACTGTCAAGGTCGTCTTGACGGTGGTTCTAGTGTCCTGGACACCTCCGTTGTTGACACAGTTAGTGCCGGTGCACTTCTCGCCGCCAGGGCCAACAGGCGTCGCGGTCGGCTTGGGAGGGTTGGCACCGCCGCCTGAAGCCTGGTTGCCACCCTTGCCAGTCTGCTTGGGAGCATCACCACCCTGGCCACCCTGGCCACCCTGGCCACCTTGGCTTCCCTGACCTCCCTGACCGCCTGATCCACCAGTCGTCTTAGGGACATCACCGTTGTTCTTGGGTGGGTTGGGAACTTCGCCAGAGGGCTTATTACCGCTAGGCGTGGTGGCAGTAACTGGGCAAACGGTGGTGTACCACGGCACGACCTTGGTGGTGACCTGGCCAACTGGGCAGTATACCACAGTGGGGGCGCACGAGGTGATTGTGTAAGTCTTTGTCTTGTAGACAACGCTGGTGGTCCACTGAGGAGGAGCAGTGGTCGTGGGCTTGGCAGTAGCAGAAGACACTGCGGTAACAGGGCAAACAGTGGTGTACAACGCAATCGTTGAGGTTACAACCTGACCCTTGGTGCAAGGAACGTCAGGCTTGCAGGAGGTGATGGTATAGACCTTGCTGGTGAACACGGTGCTAGTTGTCCATTCTTGAGAAGCAGCGAGAGTGTTCTGGGCGGCAACAGTAACAGAGCCAGTAGCAGTTGGCTTACCAGATCCTGAAGCAGAATTGCCATCAGCATTGTTGTCAGAACCAACAGGAGTAGGCAGCCCAATGATATAGGGATTGGTTGCAGAATCAGAATCAGAGCCAGAGCCAGAGCCAGAGCCACTAGTAGCGAGGGCAGTAGCAGAGGCAGACCCAGAACCAGAGCCTGATCCTGATCCACTAGTGGCAGAAGCAACAGTAGAGTTAGAGCCAGAGCCGGAACCAGATCCAGATCCAGAAGACGAGTTGCCATCAGTATGGTCATTGTCAGAACCAACAGGGGTGGGAAGGGGAACAAAATCAGTGTTGGTGCTGTTTGAAAAGTTGAAACCAGAGCTGCTGGTAGCGGAAGCAGTAGCAGAGGCAGAGTTGACTCCAGAGCCTGAGCCTGAGCCTGAGCCTGAGCCTGAGCCACTTGTAGCAGAAGCAACAGTGGAGTTGAGGCCTGAGCCAGATCCGGATGTTGAGTTGCCATCAGCATGGTTGTCAGAATCTACAGGAGTGGGGAGGGGAATAAAATCAGCGTCCGTACCACTTGCAGAGGTAGAGTTAGAGCCTGGATGAGTAGCAGAGGCGGAGGCAGATACTGAGCCAGTGGCAGACGCAAAAGCAGCATCGGAAACGGAGCCGGAGACAGTTGCAGAGGCGGCAGCATCAGAGCCGACAGGAGTAGGCAGCCCAATGATATCGGTACCAGAAGCAGAGGCGGAGGCAGATGCAAAGTCGGTAGCCGAGGCAGTAGCTGAGGCAGCAGCATCGGAGCCAGACGCGGTAGCAGAAGCAGCAGCAGAGACACCGACGTCAGAGCCAGAAGCAGTAGCAGAGGCAGCAGCGTCGGAGCCGGAGGCAGTTGCAGAAGCAGTAGCAGAGGCACTGACGTCAGAGCCAGAAGCAGTAGCAGAGACACCGGCATCGGAGCCAACAGGGGTAGGCAGCCCAATAACGTCAGAGCCAGAAGCAGAGGCGGAGGCAGATGCGAAGTCGGTAGCGGAGGCGGCAACATCAGAACCCGAGGCAGTAGCAGAAGCAGCAGCAGAGACACCGGTATCAGAGCCGGAGGCAGTTGCAGAGGCAGCAACATCAGAGCCAGAAGCGCTGGCGGAGGCACTAGCATCGGAGCCGGAGGCAGATGCAAAGTCGGTAGCGGATGCAGCAGCATCAGAGCCAGAGGCAGTTGCAGAAGCAGCAGCAGAGACACCGGCATCAGAACCCGAGGCAGTAGCGGAGGCAGTAGCAGAGACACCAGCATCAGAGCCGGAGGCAGTAGCGGAGGCACCGACGTCAGAGCCAGAAGCAGTAGCAGAGACACCGGCATCAGAGCCAACGGGAGTAGGCAGCCCAATAACGTCAGAGCCAGAAGCAGAAGCGGAGGCAGATGCGAAGTCGGTAGCGGAGGCAGCAACATCAGAGCCAGAGGCGGTAGCGGAGACACCAGCATCAGAACCCAAGGAAGTAGCAGAAGGAGCAGCAGAGACACCGACGTCAGAGCCAGAAGCAGATGCAAAGTCGGTAGCAGATACAGCAGCATCAGAGCCAGAGGCAGTAGCAGAAGCAGTAGCAGAGACACCGACGTCAGAGCCAGAGGCGGTAGCGGAGGCTGACGCAATGTCGGTTGCAGAAGCAACAGCACCAGAGCCAGAAGCAGAGGCAGAGACAGAGTCATCAGAAGCAGAGGCGGAGGCAGCTACGGAGATACCAGCGTCGGAGGCGGAGGCGGTTGCAGAGGCGGCGGCATCAGAACCAGATGCAGTAGCAGAGGCGATAGCGTCGGAACCGGAGGCTGACGCAATGTCGGTCGCAGAAGCAATAGCATCGGAGCCAGATGCAGAGGCAGAAACAGAATCATCCGAAGCAGATGCGGAGGCAGCGGCAGATGCAGAGACAGTATCGTCATTAGAGGAGGCAGTTGCGGAAGCAACAGCATCGGAGCCAGAGGCAGAAGCAGAAACAGTATCGTCGTTCGAAGCAGAGGCCGTTGCAGAGGCCACCACATCAGAGATTGAGGCAGATGCGGAAACGGAGTCATCAGAGGCTGAGGCGGTAGCAGAGGCGACAGCGTCAGAACCAGATGCAATGTCAGTTGCAGAAGCAATAGTATCAGCGCTGGAGGCCGCAGCAGAGACAGCGACATCAGAGGCAGAGGCAGAGGCAGAGGCAGAGACAACGTCGTCGTTTGAAGCAGAGGCGGATGCTGCAACAGAGACACCAGCGTCGGAGGCTGAGGCGGTAGCAGAGGCGATAGCATCAGAGCCGGAAGCAGAGGCAGAGACGGTGTCATCGTTTGAAGCAGAAGCCGAAGCCGAAGTAGTTGCAGAGGCAACGGCGTCCGAAACGGAGCCAGAGACAGTGTCGTCGTTTGAAGCAGAGGCAGTTGCAGAAGCAACAGCATCAGAGCCGGAAGCAGAGACAGAAACGGTATCGTCATCAGAACCAGAAGCAGAGGCAACGGCGGTGGCGGAAGCAACGACGTCGGAACCAGAAGCAGAGGCAGAGACAGTGTCGTCGTTTGAAGCAGAAGCAGAGGCAACGGCGGTAGCGGAAGCAACAGCATCAGAACCAGAGGCAGAGACAGAGACAGAGTCATCATAGGCAGAGGCAGATGCAGCTACAGAGACACCAGCGTCGGAGGCTGAGGCGGTAGCAGAGGCGACAGCATCAGAACCAGAAGCAGAGGCAGAGACGGCGTCGTCGTTTGAAGCAGAAGCCGAAGCCGAAGCAGTTGCAGAGGCAACGGCGTCCGAAACGGAGCCAGAGACAGATGCGGTATCGTCAGAGGCAGAAGATGAGGCAGCTGCAGCCGCAGAGGCGATAGTGGCAGACGCAGAGACGGAATAGTCGTTGTCATCGTCGTTGTAAGCAGAAGCAGAAGCAGAGACCGAGGCAGCTGCAGAGGCAGAAGCAGCGCCAGAGACCGACACTGAAGCCGGGGCGGAAGTCGAGGCGGAGATGAACGCGCTTGAGGAAGAACGAGGAATAGGATTGCATCCGTACTTCAGGGCATCAGCAATAGCGGCGTGGAAAGCCTGACCCTCGATTTGGTTCATGGAGCCGCGCGTAGCGTCCCAGATGGAGATACCGCCAAAGTGACGCTTGTTCTTGACCTTGCAGATCAAATCCTTGATGGTCGAGGGAGGGACATAACCGCTCCAGCCAGCGTCTCTGCTAGCGAGAACACCGATGTAGAGCTTGGCATCCTTGCTCTTGGAAGTCTCGGAGATAACGCGTTCCCAGTCATCGTAGTTGGGGGTGTCAGACACCTGGCAACCGGGGTTGTTGTAGAACTGGATGAAGAGCGCGTCGAACTTGGCGTTGTAGATGAGCTCCTTAAGCTGAAACCAATCCTTTGAGGTTGGGCATTGGGGGGCGACGCTGATGTAGTACTTGTTACCGCAGCTTCGAAGTTGCTCAACCATCTTGATCCAAGGCTTCTGGTTGGCTATAGTGTTGTCAGTATAAACTTGGTCAGCGGAATGCACGGTTGGGGGTTAACATACGGTACTTGAACTCGAGGTCGAAGTCGAAACCATCGACGGCAACGTGCTCAGTAGGGCTGATATCGAAGGGACGGGGACCACGCCAGTTCTTGTCGTACGGACCGAAAGTCTTGTCCAACAAGGTGGCAAAGTCCTTACCGGCCTTCTCGCTGTCGATGTCGTAGCTGCATGGTCCGTTCTGTGGGCAGTAGCCGCCGATTGCCAGAAGGACCTTGATGCCCTTAGCCTGGCAGTGCTTGATGTCCTTCTTGATATAGTCGCAGTTCATGATGAGCTTGGTGTTCTCGCCGGTCTTGGGGTTCTTGTAGAACACCTCGCCACCGCAATGGCCGGCGAAGTTGGTTCCAGGATAGCCGCCACCGTTCTTCGGACTGTAAGTGACGAAGGACACAGTGACGGAGGTGACGCCGGGAGAGTCACAGTAGTCTGCCAGCCTATCGTCGGGCTGGCCATACTGTCCCCAGTAGAGGTTGAGTCCTCCAACAGCGGCAGAGGTGGTAGTGGTCGTCGAGGGCGTGCGATAAGTGGCCAAGGCTGGAGCCACAGCTACGGCCGCAGCCAGCAAGGACTTCTTGAAGAGCATTTTCTTCCCGTGGATGATATTAAGGTATTAAGGAGTGATAATATCCGTAAAACGTTCGGGTAGCAACGATGGTAAGGCGGCCGAAGCCTTCTGGAAAGAGTGTGTTGATGATCTGAGATCAACGAAAGGACGCAAACAAAATGTCTGCACAGGCGGAGGGCACGCCGTCGTCTCTGGCTTTCTTGACAGGGTAGAGAAGGGTGTGAAGAAGCAAGGGGAAAAGAGCACAAGGCAGAGGGCGAAAGCCCCGTTCATAAATACAGCCTGCTGTCATCGCCAGACAGCAACGAAGACGCAGTGACTAACTTCATCGGGAGACGGTCGTCGGGATATTGCCTAGAGGCGGCATCGGATCGCGTGTGTGAACCATGCTTGGAGGCGCAGGAGACAATATCCCCTCCCCCTGTTCGCAAGAAAACTCGGGAGAGCAGAACAGCACGAGAAACGTTGGAGCCATTGGCGCCCCAAAGCGGCGTAGGTGGGAAAAGTGACGATGCGTGTTAGTGGGTGGGTGCATAGGCCGACGGTGTGATGGTGAGCGGAGTCTAGAGAAGTTCACTGCTAGGTGACGACGGTGGGTGGATGTTGGCAAGCCTACACAACCACTTCTCAGTGCCAAAAAGGGCAAGCGCCTCATCCATAGGCACACCTCAAGCGGCGGTCCAGGCGGGCGGCGGACCACTGAAGTGGTCCCTCTCTGGCGGTGCGGAAAATAAGGCCGGGCTGTTAGCGGGAAGAGAAAGAGGATTAGCGCCGCTCAAGCGACAACCAGAATAGGGGTCATCGGAAGCCTCCTACTGGCTGTGTCCCCTGACTAGGGTGATTAGCCAACTGGCTGTCAGCGGCACCAGTGCACCACCACACCGGGTTCCTGGTCAACCTTTGACAACTTTTTATGGCCGCCGTTCCGTGAGTTGCTTAGCTGTATTTTTCGTTTCTTGAAACCCACCTCAGTTGGTGAAGAGATAGGGATGAGGAAACGTTAGGTGAGAGGGGGTAACAACCGACGACAGCGGACCTTTTCTGCCGCAGTGTAAGTAAACGAACGTCCCCTACTCTGTTGGCGTGTGGCTGCCCGCTTCTGTTATTGCTCGGGCCATTATGGAGGCTGAGGTCCCTTCCACACAGCTGCCTGCTGAAGGTTGAATTCATTTCAACGGCCGACCTAAAGAGTGGATGAACAGAGGAATTCAGACTGGGGAAATGGGGATTACGAATCCAGATGGCCAGAAAAGCGGACAAACGATAGTAAGATATGAGACATCTAGAAGGCATTGGCATTCTTCAACGGGAGCATCTAGTGAGTGGCTTCCCGGCCATTGTGAATCATACCAAAATTGGATACACATGGCCGGAGAGACGTAATGTAGGACTAGGCCTTTTCTTTTCCCTCCTTATCCCCTTCAACATATTGCTTCAAACCCAATGACAAGGTAACCGGTCTCGCCGTCCAGCCATCTCGTTAGACCAGTCCAAAGTGCCTCGGCATCCCGGACGGTGATGAGGGGGTAAATTGGGCGACAACGTACGGACGGACATATGATCCGGCCCCTCGGGACAACTTTCACCTAAGCATCTTTTCTTGCTCAAGTCGCTCTCGCTCACTAGTGTCTGTCGCACGTCACGTCAACGTACACACTTCTAGCCATGACACCAGGCGCCAAGGCACCGGTTCAGGACCGCCATACGCGTCATTCAGCTGGCCTTACCTCTTTCTCACCCAGCTGAAAGAGTGCAAGAGTGAGGCCCATTGCAACTATTGCCATGCTAAATGAGTTACCGCCGCTCTGGCCACGAGGCTTCAGCCTGTCAGGGGGGGAGACCCGAAAAGCTGAATGACAGCGGCTGCCGGCACTCGTGTCTGTTCTCAATTTCCAGTCCATCGGACCCTTCGTTCCAGCAGTGGCCCGGGTGATCCAAAGCTGGACCATTGGATTTTTACCGTAGTTCCATACTACGGCCGTTTTTCACGCACGCCTTTCATGAAGCTCCACGTTTTTAGCAGCGAAGGATGCACTCCTTGCTGTGTATATGTCGATTCTTAAATCCGGCCCTAGTATCCCGTGCAAGGGGGCAACCAACACATTGTCACTGCGGCATTTCAATCAAACTCATGGATGCTCATTCTCATCGTCCAACTTTCATATCCGTGAACTCTCTTAGGATCTACTGATACAGAAATGTGCGCCTCATGTACTGTACTGCCATTTCCCCCAAATAAAGTAAGAATGAGAGAGTGTAAGTGAAAATAAACAAGCCATCTCTACCCAAGTCGTCCTAAAAAGGCAAGAGGCACGACAACAGGGTCCACTTGCTGCCCCGCCAAAAAGAGAGGAAAAAAAAAACGCCTCATTGTAACCCCTGAGCGAGAGGATGGGGGCTGTTTCCTCTCCTCATTCAACTACATCTATTTTCATCAGTATGACCGCACTCCACACAACGCCTCTTGGTGGAAATGAACATTTCTCAAAAGATATCTTAGACTAAGCAGCAACCCCAAAAGACCGGCAATTCAAGCTCGAGTCAGCCCCGCCTCGGGTTTTAGCAGATCAGCCGAACACCATATAGTCTGCAAACCAACACTCTTGGCAATTTGATCTGACCCCCTTCGGCGGACACAGGTCTAGAACTTCACACTCGCTATGAGGGGTCAAGCTTCTAGCCTCAGTAGATTTCTATCAGAACATGGAGACATCGACTTCCAGTTTTATTTCATCTTTTATCGTTACTAAATTTCACGGCTGTTCAGTTTACTCGCGTGGGATGTTTTCCTCACGTCTTGAACGCCGAGTACAAATATGAAAAAGCAGCCAGCAATGGCCCAAAACCCCCCCAACACCACGCTTTTACCCAAATACACACAAAAGAAATATTCAGGAATATCGTACACTTCCACACCCTTCACTCACGCCCACTGCATCCCCTCGTCCTTGTCAGCTTGATGCTGATCCGCCATCCTCTCCTCCTCCGCCCCAATCATCCCAATATCCTTCCACCTGAGCGGGTTCGCCTGCCATCCCCACTCGATCCTAAAATCCACCCCGCGCGCGTCGAGATACCACGCCACGATGCACTCGATAGAGCACGGCGCCGGTCGTGGACACTCATTCGCAAGCGGGCCGCTCGGCATGTCTTCGCAACCCGAGAAGTCTCGCAACGCCGGTCGGTCCGGGTTCGACGCCATGTCGACAATCTGCGCGAAGCGTTCGTACATGTACAACCAGTGCTGCATGGCTGCGGCGGTGCCGTAGGCGATTTGGTCCGTCGGGCCTGTCATCCCTTTTGTTAGCCTCTCAAGTGAAATGAACCCTCAAAAGGGGAAATCTGAGGAGGAGTGAAAGAAAAAAAAAAAAAAACTCACCAACACCAACGCTTCCCCTCATCCTCGCACAGTAGAAATAATGTTCTCCCTTCGGATGCGGCAATACAAGCGTGTTGCCCAGCTCCTCCAAGCTCTTAAACTCGGGTCTCGCCGAGAACGATGTGTCAGGCCTGATCCGAAGCACAGTATCGTGCGTGAACCCGTTCGTGATAGTCCAGGCCCACCACTTCTCCGCAGCCAGCGAGATTGTTCTCAGCTGGCAATTCAGCCTCCGCAGCCGATCCCCGCACGGCGCCAACATGGCCATCATCCCGCCGGGATACTCCACCTCCGCCTCGGCGACGGGGACGACGTCCACAGACTTCAGGTGCTGGCCGTAGCAGTTTCTCAGTTCCGCCTGGATCGACTCCGGGGTGCGCTTGTGCACGTCAATGTCCGCGTTCTCGTAAAGAATGTACGCGAAGACGTCGATCCTCGAGAAGGAAGGATGATCCGCAATCAGTTGCTCCATGTGCGACTTGCAAGTGACGTGGTTGGTGCGGTACAAGCCCGCGACGATGACGGCGAGGCTGCGGTCTTTCTCGCGGACGTTGGGCGGGACGTAGAGGTCACACACGCCGGCGAGGGTGAGCTGTCCGTCGTCGGAGAGCTCAAGTTGGCCGGGCGTCTTTTTGAGGACCCGCTTCGACGACGTCGGCGCGCTCTCCACGTCGCGAGCCTTGGCGCCGCGTGAGTTCTTGCACGCCGGCTCTAGATCGCTGTGCCACAACCTCACCCAGGTGTTCTTCAGCGTGGCATTGATGACGATGCGGATGTGGCCTTTGTGCTTCTCAACGCTGACGGTACGACCACCGGGGTGTCGGTCGCCGGTTCCCGTCCACCATAGCGGGCGAGCAACGCCAGTGCCGTCGTCGTGTGAGAGGACAAGGTCGCCGTCGGGCTGCAAGGTGAGAGAGTATCGCCCGTTTGGCGAGGTGAAGATTGGGCTTCCGATAGAGAGCAGAACGTTGTCCTCATCGGGCGACAGAACGGCGGTCATCAACTCTTGTTCCGCGTCGCTACCAATCTCTGCCGGTGGTGAAGATGCCGGGCTGGGCTTCAGTTCAGGTGCCGAGCTAGGCGTTGGTCGAGGAGTTTTGCCCATATGAAGCCCTGAAGTAGCGATATGCCATCTAGGTTGCAATACCAGGGCCGCCGACGCGAGGAACAATATCAACGCGCCAATGATGAACCTCGACCGGCGTGAAGAGCCGGCGGCGCGGATACGGGACCATTGGGATTGATTCACTATCATTGCATCGGTGTTAGTCGGACCCATGGTCTAACGCGGTGCCTCTCTCTCTCTCTCTAGTTGTCTAACAGTCTTCCTCCTCAGATCTCACGGACGAAGAAGTGAGAAAAGAAAAATTTTGATCCAGGAGGCACGAAAGAACCCTCAGACCGGACACAAAACTGAGGGAAACAACAAACAACAACAATAATAAAAGGCAAATGGGACTGACTTGTGAGAACAGACTCGAGTGGTTCTCTCAACAGAAGCAGGAGGCCGAGCAAACACCCCCGGCTATATCAGATGACGCACGAATAGTCAGCTTGAGCTCTGACCTCTCCTTCTCCTGTCTTCACCACCTAGAACAGCCCCTTCAGAATTGCCTGGACGAAGATGGTGGGCAGCAGCAAAAAAAATAGACTTGATGCCGTGTTGCGACGACTCGTAAGCTTCTAATCCCGGAGCAACCGACAACGTCAGGGTTGGGCCACGCAGTATCCCTCTCGGCGCCTCTAAGGTTTGCAGCGCGTAAAAGGTTTCGTTAACGATCAGTCGGCTCGACGCCCACCTCAGGTCGATTTCTGACTGGGTTATCCCTGGGCATGTACTGGTATAAGGTTAAGTCGGGTTCGAAACAACTGGTCACCAAGATGAGATGGAGAACCCCAATTCTGAGACGGCAACAGGGCAAGCTTTAGTGTTCAGAAGGTCTTGGCGGTCGGGCTCCTCCGGCAAGTGTCGTTTCTATAGGTCTAAAGAAAGGTTTGAAAAAAAAAAAAAAAAAAAAAAGACACAAAGAGTGTGTACTCTTTAGAGAAGAAGCGGATAAGATCTGGTCCTGCTGTTGCTGTAGCCGTCCCAGGGTAGGGATGGCAAGACACGGTGACAATTCTGGGGTAGAAAAGTGAGACGAAGAAGAATGTTTGTTAGACTGGGGTTCCCGTGGAGTTTGTACTAATCAAACTTTCTTTGCCAACATTACTTTACAATGCAGCAGAAAAAAAGACAAGCAGAGTGATATTGGGTGCTCTGCAATAGAAAAACTAGTCATGGGAAAGAAATTGATTGAAGAGAGGGGGAAAAAACAAAAAAGCCAAAATACCGAGGGGATACTAACTCGCCCGGCTTTACGTTGCACAACAACAGAGAACTCGGACAACAACACGGGACAGAGTAGGATTACACGGACAACCAGCCCCTCCCCTTCCCATCTCTGAAGTCGAGAATATGCGAGTTAGGAACCAATCGGAGGGATACCGTGTCACGATGCTCAGCAGTCTACTACGTAGTATAAGTGTGACGGATGCAATGCCCTCCCCTCCCCCCCCCTTCCTCGGGACGTCCCTTGGCTCCGAACAGGCACCCAGTTTACTTCTCAATGGCTCCCCAATCACGAAGGCCCTTTTGTACGATGACTTTGTTGAGAAAGCGTGAACCCCCTCCCCCCCTCGCCCGGCTTACTAGCGTCGAGCAACGGGCATTGGGGCGCTGCAAGTCTTGGTAAGAGGTGACGGGTGTTCTGACGCGCGCCGAGGCGGTGGCCCACCGTCCGGCCCGCACGGGAATTTCTGTACGAAGCTACTAGTAGAGCGCTTGACTCTCTCTCTACCTCTCTGCTCAGTGGCAGTGTAAACGGGGCAGTCTCAGCACCAAAAAGGTCTTTGGAGAATAATTATGTCCGGAGCCGGCGGGACAGTCGGGTTAGAAAGACCGTTGATCATGGTGCAGAATGGGCTAGGGTAAATGCGAAAGAGAGATAAAAAGGGAAAAACAAAAAAAAGGAAAACATCTCGATCCCTGCAAATGCTTATCTTGTACTACGGAGCACAGGCAAGCGCATCGTGGGCGCGGCGGAGTCATCGGTTGGGTAGATTTTTGGGTACGACGGCCTCCGAATTTGCCTTGGCCTCTTAATGTCTCGGGCGAAACACCGCTTAAGCGAAGATGACGGGGCCACTTGGCGGAGGAGTTTTTACGCCCATTTCGTTACCATGGTATCAAATTGCGTGGGGAATAAGAAGAAGAGAAGGAAAAGAAAGGAAAAAAAAAAAATTTAACGGGATACATGCAAAAGCTCTCATTTGAGCGCTCGCTGCCTGGCTGGCTTGACCCGGCCATGGAGGAACGGACAGTTGCTAAGTCATGGAATAAAACCGGTAGAGTCCCCAAGACTTGGTTCAGCATTTAAAAAAAGATATGGGCACTTACCGGCCAATGCTGCAAAGCATGTATGGACGGTAACAAGAGGTTTGATGTAGTTGAACAATTGGCCGTGCGGCTTAAAGAGACTGCCGGAATTTTGCGCGCCTCTCTCCATGCAAGCTGACCCATGCCACTTTTCACAAGGTCAGCATAAGAACAGGGCTATCGGAATAACCGGAATGACATCAGTTGACAGAGGTAGATTAGGATGATGAGGTAAATTATGATCAAGTTCTTCTTCTCATTAAAATCAGTGCTAACATTCAAAATAGGAAGCGCGCGAGGTAAAGAATGCGCGTCTGCCGTGTTGCAAACGAAGGGGCACGGCACTCGTCTCAACATCCAACCGTCAATTCAATACCGGTGCATTAATACCCGTTAAGTCATGTTCGAAACAACCCCTTCCGCCCCCAGTTCAAGTTTCTAGATCGCGACAAATCCCCTCCCCCTAGGCATACTGCCCCTCCGAAGCAGCCATCTGGCGCTTTCGTGCCTCGTTGATGGCCTTGAGCTTCGCGGTGCCCAGTCCTGCGATGCCCTCATCCTGGTTGTCGCCCAACCAAGGCTTCTTGGAGTCACCCAACATGCTGCCTGCGAGGAAGTACGCGACTTGGCCGAGGATGATGAGCACAAAGGCGATGGGGTACATCCAGTGGATGGCGTAGCCAAAGACGTTGATGCCGATAATGATACCCCAGAAGTTACCCGTCAACAACGAGATGTTGTAGAAGGCGGCACTGGCCATGCGCAACAGCACGGGGACCAAGCTGTAAAAGAGGCAAAGGGCCAAGGTGTAGCCGACGAGATAGCCGGCAGCAGCACCGTTCCAAGTCGCCTCGCGGAAGGACTGGCGGTCGAAGATGGCGGCTTGCACGCCGTTGATGCACATTCCCCACATGCCCATGAAGGAGAGCACCTCATAGACAGGCCGCTTGCTGACGAACCACTCCTCAGTGACGTTGGTGATACCGTAAAGGGTCGCGCCTAGCAAGGCGAAGAGATCACCCTTTAGCAGGTCGACACCGGGGCCACCGTTGGTGCCGTTGATGTGGTCGGATGCCAGGAGAACACCGCAACCACCAATGGCGACAAGGATACCAATGATCTGGAAGATCTTGTAGCGGACCTTGAGGAGGGTGAAGGAGATGATGACTACGACAACAATGGCCCAGAAGTTGAGGAGCTGAGCAGACAAAAGGTTAGTGTAGCGGTAGGCGAGCACGGTAAAGTAGTTGCCCTCGACGTCGAGAAACGAGAGGATAAAGTACTTCCAGCCGTCCTTCAGGACGAGCTTGGCCCACTTCTTCAGACCATAGTGCCAGAGAGTGATGGGGAAGTAGATGAGGAAGAGGAGGATGTAGTTGAAGACGGTCTGAAAGGCCGGAATGGAAACACCGTTGCTGGAGAGAAGTTGGCTGAAGGTGTTGGTAGAGGTAATGCACAGGGCAAGGACCTGGCCGATGAGGAGGACGATCCAGAAGTCGACGGTGGTGAAGTAACTCCACCAATGCACCTTCTGCGCCTCGATGTTCTGCAGACCCTGGTTCACCAGTTCCGCCTCATCTACGCCGCCGGTGATCTGCGTCGTCGTCACCGGCGAGGTGTTCAGGTTCTTGGGGTTGTCTTGGACGGGCATCGTGGGCAAAGGCTCGTAGGCGTGTCTCTGTTGACCGTCGGTGGTTCTGTTGATCAAAGGCAATCGCAAAAGCGGTAGCGACAGTATGGACTCAAATCGTGAGGTAGCACTGGGCATACAATCTGGCGAGGAGATCAGCTACTGTTGCGCAAGTCCAGAGAGTGTCATTTTATATCATTCGCGTCGACGTACCTGTGCAAAAGCTGAGTTAAGCGATATTTGTAGCGCGAGGAAGCTCGGTTCTCAATGGACGAGTTCTGTCGTCGCGATAAGTAGTGGTATGTGTGTTATAGGTGAATAGTACTGCTATTCGGTCTTTCTCGTCCCCTGGCAGCAAGCGCAAAGACTCCAAGTCGCCTGCTGAAGATTCTATCTTGCGATAGAACGGCACATAGACCAATGCGCCGGGAAGTTGTTACTGAAGAAGTCGGCCGAAATGGCGTGCGACATATGATATTTAATCTGGAGCTAGGATCAAGTGGCGTGGAGCGTAATCGCAGGAGACAGCGATGGTCTGTCTTCCTGGTTGAAGCGCGTGATGGTTAGAATTAGAGTCGAGACCTGCGCAAAACTCTCAGTCGCAAAGGAGGGGGGAGTTTAGTCAAGACTAAGGCGATGGGCGGGTTTTATTGAAGCGATAACCCCAGCGGTCAACAAAAAAAAAAGGTGAAGGGAAAAAAAAAAACTTTCAGCTGCTAGGTAGCTCGCGCAAAGGTGGGGAGCTATTGCAGTTGCCACGAGGGTTGGGTGGTCTCTAAGAGGCCTGCATGTGACGTTCCGCACGCCTGACTGGTCCGGACCAAGCACTGCAACCGGTCCAGGTTGGCGGAACCGGCCGATTCCACTCTTTCCAGTGGACGATGCGGCGGCCAAGATGCCCTTCAGGGAGACACATCCCCGTCGATCAACGAGTCGGCCGGGTTCTGGCTCGCTGTTGGAGGGGCACCTGGTCCGTGTTAGCGCCCTTCTGTTGGTTGTGTAGGGTCCGATGGTGGGGGCGGCAGTGGGCGGCAACCGCGGGGCCTCTGATCCTTCACGGCCTCGCTTGCATGGGACGTAGGGGACGTAGGCATGTTTCTGGCTATGTTTCCACGACGGCGTGGGATGATTCAACATGGCGTCCGTAGCTGAAAAATTCTACACCGAACCGCCAACTCGGGCCGTGATTGGATTGGTCAACATTGCATGATATCCCGCGTGGGTGGTTTAGGTTGGGTAATGTGGCAGCGAAGGCTTCATGGCCTGCTGGTCCGACTGATCAGGGTGCGATGTACATGTTCTTTCATGTCCCTAAGAACTGTAATTCCACACTAGTGAAATAGGGCAGACGAGCATTCAGGCAGCTTGTTGTCTTTATCTTCATCATTATCTATGTTCATGTCATGCCCCTCATTTTATGTCCTCTATGTCTCACCCAAGGCGCTTGTCCGCATTAGACTAGGATCAGGGTGGCAGGCAGCTCCAGCTACATCATGGGCATACCTGAATTGTGGCTGTAGGTTGCTGGGAAGAAATCTGGCGATGCCTCCCACAGCCCCTTGCGCAATTCGCGGTAAGATACCTGGCCAACGACTATGTTGTTTCGGTGATCCAGCAATCTTTTCTCCAAAGCAGTTAGAATGGTGGGCTGAAATAAGACAACAAGTATAAGTTGCAGCACTTGAGTTACAGCAGCTCAAGAATAGCCCGGCGATTGAAGTTATTCTGCCTGGGTTTGTTACACCACGCTGTGGCGAAGTTTGTCCCGCCAACGCACTGAATGAATACCCTGCTGTCGAAGTCAATCTATATGCAGGTTTGTCACCCACCGTAAAAAATTGTAAAACGCGTTCCATGGTGTCGGGCGGTGACGAAGTGTAGTTATCTCATTGAATTGTGTGTCTTAGTTTCAGGTTGCCAACACAACCTGTATTCTACAGTTCGCAGGCACAAGCAACTAGAAGGTCACATAAATATCAGGGAATGAGCTCACGGGTAGATGAACAATAAGAGTCTCAGCTCAAACAAGAAGCATCGATTCCACTCTTAACATGCCGCTCTAAGAAACACATAAATGGGGCGCCAAGTTTCTGGCGCGCACTTCCCATCGCACTTAGCCCTTGTCAGTAAAGATCAGCGTGCCATTCCAACGACTGCCTCATGGAATTATCCTCTGGCCACTCAGCAATCGAAGGGATAGCCCATGCTCCCTCGACATAGATCCTTTGTCACCCATTACAAGAGCTATCTGATATCAGCCACTCAGCTGAATAAGGCTTTTCTAGTCCCAACTGGGTTAACCCATTTATGTGTTTTCGAAGAGCGTACGGGAATACTCGACAGCACAGGACGTAGGTAGAAACTGTGGAAGCATATTGCATAGCATCGCTAGACTTACGCGGGAATGGAAACGAGTGATATCCGGGAACCCTTGTAGAATATGAGAGGTGGTGTATTAAATAGGAAATGGTTCGAACTACAGACGGTGCTGCCAGTCACAAAGACACAGAGGTCCGGGTATTTTAGGTCGGGGGGCTTTAAGTTCCCTGCCCAACCAAATCTCCAACGCAGGTAAGGCCAGAGATGACGTACATATCCGTTATGGCAATCCAATACCGTGCAGTATGTAAAGGCGAGTGATTTATTTCGTGACGCCGATTTTCTATCCAAGGGTAGTTGGACTTATCAAGCCAGGCACTCCCGAGACAGGCTGTTAATAAAGTCTAGGCACGTCATCCGACTAACCAAACGCGAGGAGACACAATAAACAGAAGTCCAATAAAAACATGAAGAGGGAGAGTTTAGATTTGGGCGAGACATCGTTGTGGAAGTGGCGTGGCCATTTAAGCTATTAAGCTTGTCGCAGCTCTTGAGCAACAGAGATTTTAACCGCCGAATAAGGATCAAATTTCAGATATGCCGATAGACTACACACGAAACCGAGTCGACAATGAAGATTTAGTTCGGCTGATGGTCGCTACGGGGTGGGATGAGCAGCATAAGCGCTCTGGTGGTGGTGATACTTACATGTACTTTCTTACCAGTAGACCAGCAGCCTTCAAATAGATATGTGACGATAATCAAGAAGCAAATAACATGCCACCATGGTGAGTTTTAGTAGTTCGTCAAAAACACCATGATCATGGCTCTGGTGACGAACAGTGTATTCTAATATCGACGACAAAAGACCATATGAGGCAGCATTCGAACCCAGACAAACACGTACGCTCTAAAGGCATCACGTACTTCATTTAAGCAGGTTATTTCGACAATATAATGATTGCCCACCATACAAATTGACATCTGCACAAAGACGCCAACAAATCCCACACCAACCGACCCTCCTATCGGCTCTCGCCCAAGCAAACAATCCCAGTATCTAATCTGCCAGCCACACAAAAGCGCCTCACATGAGACAACCCCAGCTCGTCACTTCACCACTATACAACAGCAAACGTGTCAGCCCAGCAGCCGTCAGCGCCGCATGCAAATGTACGCCCGTCAGCATGCATTCCGCCAGGATGCGGAACTACTACAGGCCTGCCTCGTTCTATACGAGTTGCCCACCTTCTCGGTACAAATCGCCCGAAAACAGACAGTGCTCGACGTAATCCCCCCCCCCCCCCCCAGATCGCGCCGTGTCACCGTGAAAATGCAGACAGACGAGTCCAGCCGGGACGCCTGCAGACGTCACTAAAACCGTCTAGACCGCCAAGAGGCTCAAACCCGCGTGACAGCCAAACGTTATCTCCAATATCACTAAACAAAATAAAAAGCAAAAAACCTTTCAAATTACAAAATAATACAATAACGCAGTCCGAGCTCCTAGCTGCACTAGACATGGATGCTCCCGATCCACCGTATTCGTACATACAAAAAAAAAAAAAAAAACGCGTCAGACATCGACTGTCATCGAGTCGTCGAAAGTCAAGTGGTCGAAAACAAGATTGAGTTCCGCCGGTAAACACCAGGGGACACCCCGACCACTGGCGTCGGGGGGCGCAGAGGCCAATCGGCACTGAACTTTGGAAAAGACGTTTGATGGAGGAGCAGCTGTTTTGTGGCAAGACAGAGAAAAAAAAAAAAAAAAAAGGTTAAAACCCAGATACTCTCTCGTCTCGTCAGCAGCTGGAATTATCGTTTTTTTTTTCCCCCGCGGAGGTCGGCGCCCGCTGCACGGCCAAGGTTTGGCTTCTCCGCTTTTCGTCCTGTGTTGATGAGCCAGTCTGCCTCACGCTCATACCCGAAGAAGGGCGACATAGTGACAGACATGAAGAGGCATATTAGTAGTAGACGAAGCATCACAGGTGAGGATGAAAAACAATGGTCTTTGACGTGTTCATTTATTATATAACCCTGTCTTCTTGGAACAGATGCTTGCCGCCGTGGCAACAATACTACACAGGCCATGATATGGCGAAACTTTTTTTCCTTCCGCCCAACCGCATTAAAGAGTCTAGACGTCCCATTGTAAATCATCCTACACATCCACGTCTCACTTCGCTAGAACCGTGACCATTCCAAGAAAAAAAAAAAAGGAAACTGCCAGCACGAAAGCTTCTTACAGAGCAACAGCAACGAGACCAGCCAGGGCAGCGAGGGCCATACCGCCAACGGCAGCAGTGCCCTGGGGGGCGGCGTTGCCGGAGGAAGAGGGGCTACCGCTGGCACCAGCGCCAGTGCCGGAGGGGTTGGTGGTAGAGGGAGTGCGGGAGGCGGGGAGGCTGGCGGAGGCAGTTCCGTTGCGTGCCGAGGTAGCGGCGGCAGAGGCAGAGGCGACGGGGGCGGAGGCGTTGGAGGCAGCAGAAGCAGAGACGGAGGCAGAAGCAGAGGCCGCAGCCGAGGCGGAAGCGGAGATGGAGGTTCTGACGGAGGCAGCAGCGGAAGAAGCGGCGGACGAGGCAACGGAAGCAGCAGCAGAGCCGGTAGGGGTGCTGGCACCGGCAGTGGCGAGGAACTTGGCACAGGCGGCGGCGGCGGCCTCCTGGGCCTTACCAAGGTCGGCGGAGCTGCAGGCGCCGAGCAGGCAGCCGGCGACGGCGGGGACGAGAGCCTCCTGCTTCTCCTTGGTGCACTGGCAGGCGGTGTCGGTCAGGGCGCAGCCGACCTTGGGGATACCCTCGCGCAGACAGGGGATCTATGAGAGATCATGTTAGAGGGATTGTACTTTTTGTATGTGTGACGGTGTATTGGCGGGAGAGGGGAGGTGTGACATACGGCGCACTCGGGCTGGCCAGAGAAGTCCTGGGCGGCAACAAGGCCGGCAGCAACGAGAGCGAAAGCGAACTTCATTTTGACTTGTGGTGGTTGAGATTAGATAGTTCTGTAAGACTTTGGTTGGGACAGGTGAAGTCGAGTGTTGTACAGAGCGGACAGGCGACGTTGGGATTAGAATAAGTGACGTGAAGAGGAGAGGAAGAAGGTTGCGACGCGATGTGGGCAGATGGGAAGGGGAGCTAAATATGCGGTTCCCTCCATCAGCAAGCCACCACTTTCATATTTTGGGTGAGTCGTAGTAGAACCCCTGCCGAGACGCTCCCCATTTCCAGAGGAGCTCTATTTCCCAATTCTTGTTCGGTCGCAAAGCTTATCCGCCGACAGCCCGCGCGGCCACTCGGGAAACAGAGGGGAGGGGGGGCGTTAGCTTCTTTGGCCTAGCCAGGAGCTAGCTTTGCATTTCTTGCTAGGGTGTCGTGGGAGTGTGTTTGAGTGGTGGTGGGTGTTGGTGTGGGTGATGACCATTCTCAGCCGGGCCCATAGCTGGGAGCTGGAAGCTGGACCTGGCAACTCGACAAGGATTCTGGCCAGGAACATTCGACCATGGTTCTGGGTTGCTGTCGAGAAACGAGCAGCATTGCAACCGGGAAAAACTTCGCACATTGAGGGTAGCATCCAATCGAGTCCTTTGAGTTCTTGGCCCCAATGCCCACTCCACGCCACAGGCTCCTGCTGCTTCCTTCAGTGGGAACGAGTAAAGTGAAGTCGCCGGTTGGGCTGTGTCGTTCCTCATCAGGGGCTGTCCGTCCGCATGTCTTAGTCAAGGTGCCACTGGCTGACCTGCAGGTCCTGGCGTACCTAAAATAGTTTCCAGAGGAACAAAAAGTCAGTAGTGGCCGTGCGTTTTGATTGGATGACAGGTGCTCAGAACATGCCAACAGCTTTCAACGGACGCGTTGAAGAGGCTTGCCTGGTGGCGTTTTTGGCCGTGCTGAGACAATATCGCAAAGAATGAGCGAGCGACCTGTTTTTTTCTTTTTTTTTTTTTTCTTCCTCCCTCTTCTCCTTGATGGCAAACATTACGTACTGTCTTGTCTCATGGGTGCCGTTGCAGAGGGCTTGATAGGGCATTCTCACATCAGCCATGCGGTTGACTTACTACGGTTGCAGGCCAAAGTAAAACCCCCTTGACGAGTAACTGTGGCCGTGCTCTGTCTGCTTATGTAACCATAGGTACTTCCAGCTCCTAGACAGTTTCTGGACCAGTCAGGTCGCAATTCTCAAAACTAGTGTGGGTCTGCACTCCACAGGACACATCCAGCGGGTTATACTTACCCCTAACACCTAGTAGTGGTGGGAGATGCTCTGACTACCGGCCGGGTTGGCGTGACATGGTGCGAGATGAGCAGGGATAAAAGACAAACTGGGGTAGTGCTTGTAGACCGCCGACAGCAATCATCATCTCCAGTGGGAGAAACGAGCCCCACGACAAACATCTGATTGAACCAATTTAAACAGAGTTCGATAGAGGTAATATCTTCCTTGCAATAAGAAGCAACAACAAATTTCTCTCGCACCGACGCCCGCCGGACAACCCGGTAATCATAATGGAGACTTCATCATACGGAAGAAGAAAAAAAAAAAAAAAGGTTAAAACATGAAATTTCGTGAGTCGCCTTATCAACCAGCAGCAGTGTTATTTTCTTTCTTTTCCTCCCTCTTTCAATCTCCGCATTGGCAGGTTGTTTCTGGATCATGCAATCATTCAGTCTATATTAAACATACCCAGGTAATATCTCTTACCAAATGTATTGTTTTTTATGTTACCCCCTTACCTTCCCAGCAACAAGACCCAAATACTATGAATAACAACGGAACAACCGAGCGACTTGGAAGCTTCCCCGAACCGTTCCTGCGCCGCTGCTCTGCCGATCCGCTCGCGCATTCTCCACCCGACACGAGCCTTAATGCCCGTCTGTTGGCCCGGCTGGCAGACAAACCTGGCAGTGCTCGTGGCGCTGTGGTTGGTTGTACTGCGGCTCCCCGCAACTGTAACAACACCACGTCCTTTACATCCACCCAAGTAATTTCAGCTATTAGTACCCACTGTAGATCCACACTTTGATTGCTGTCGATACACTACGGCCACGGTTTTTTTTTTTTTTTTTCTGCTGGATGCGCCGTCGTGGCTGGAGTCGGACCGTCTACCTCTTGCGTAAACTAGTTTTCTTCTCCAACATTCCCCGAACAAACACTCGCAGAGTCCCCACGTTGTCGTGGCCGACAAAAGTCCAGGCTTGGCCGACGAGTACAGTCGGAGCAGGTGGAATTCTCATGACCAAAGAACCGGTCAACCGCACGTTCTGCTAAGGGTTGTCTTCGTAAACTGAGACTTTCCCTGCCTTGAGACATTGCCATTGTGGATTTAAACCGTCAGGTCTAGCCACAAGTAGCCAGCCACGGTGAGATATTAATCCACTTTACCCAACCAGACGACCACCTGTCAATGACAGGTCTCGGTATGCGTTAGCTGAAGAGTATTGGGCGTAATGAACGGAATGCATGGTCATCTGCTGCGTTTTGCCCGGGTCTTAATATGTCTGCTGAGTCCCGCAAGCATCTCCACGACGACCGTCTCTTCCCTCTATGAGTTTGTCAATTGCCGACGTGGTTACACCTCTTTACGAGAAACCCCGAGTCATCATACCTAAATAACAGAATGATGTCTCGAAAGCCGTGAACCTGATGTTATGAAGCTCTGGAGGAATACGTCTGCGGGGATTATTTAGCCCTTCAGAGTGTACTTGCATGTTTAGGGAGGTGAGGAAGGGACGAGACAACTTATGTAATGCTTCAACGACTTTCGTACCTCGATTGTTTTCTCGCCGTCATCAGTCTTTGCGCCGATTGATAATTGTGCTGTTGGATTTCCTCCCTATCCGTGGTGAGCATGGACATGCTCGTGGCCGCCGTCTCTGGTTTTGGTCGGTTGTTCTGTTAATGTCTCGTCTTTTTCTTGTATTATTTAAAACATCTTCCTGGCCATCATACATCTATCGTTGGAAACCTGCCTTTACAAGTCAGTTGCCTAGTCGCTCTTTGCGAAATGCGAATAACTTTCCCGTTCCCATGCGAGATGTGAGAGTAGGAAGGCTTTGGCCGTTGAGCTGTAGGAGTGGTGCTATCAAAAAGTCTTTACTTCTGTAGGACATTTCTAGCTGTGTATGTGCTCGTTTTAAGACTACTCCTCTCCTCCTTCTCGGGCGGGCTCCTCTTTTACTGTTGGGTTTTCCCCACTAATCCTGTGTCTATGAACTTGCTACGCCTTTCCTGACCGCTAATAGTGGCTCAGCTATAGTTCAACTTCTCTTAGATTGTCCCATATTTGGTTTTAAGCGCTTGGCGAAACGTGTTTTTTGTAGTTAACATGATTATATGTCAGTGCTCTGGCTTCTTATGCTTAGGCTGGCGTAGGAAATTGTGAGGTGAGCCGGCAACTTCCCTTGCTGTTTGGTCTGTTAGCTCTTTTCAACTGCACTCAGTAACCTACCACGCAAATTGGTGCTTACTTTGGGGTGGTAACGGGATATGCCCGGTTTTCTTGCAGCTTTCTTCAAAGATGTGCTGATACATTGAAGTTGGATGGGCTGCCGCGCCCAACCGAACCTCGAAACACAATCAAAATAATAAAGGTTAAAGCCAGCCACTACAATCAACGCCAGTTAACAAGGGGAGAAACTTTCAGAAGAGTGAAATGGACGCTTCTTTTGGGAAAGAACTGGCCCTGCTAGAGTTGAAATCCAGGTTGGATACCGCTCGTGATGCCCTGACAGGAGACGGCCCGGCCATCACCAATTGGTTAACTTGAGTCTGATAACGCCAAGAGCACCACGATCCCCGAGTCTACAAACATTGGTACTAAGAACAAGGACGCTGATGTTGAAGAGGAGACAGACTGGTATTGAATGGATACGAGACTTTTGAATGTTATGCTTTGATTGTTGGTGCGTACTTAAATTAACACTGGATTCATGGGAAGCTAAGGGGTCGCCGCAACGAGGACATTGCTTTGTTTTAGGATTCTTTTCGGACTGAGTATATCGCGTACGGGCACTCCTGCCTTAGAGAGGTGTTTCAAGAATGCAGAGGCTCATCCGCATATTACCACTTTGAGCAAGTGTCATTGCCCTACCTTCCATTGTAATCCTTGAACGCACATGTGACAAAATATACCTTATTTAGACGTCCACGTCTACTAAAATTAACTGAATTACAAACCTTTGATTGTAAATAATCATTAAAGGACAGAAATAATTCGAAAAGAGGAATTCATAGTTTTCGTGTTTGGAAACCTTCATTTGGGAAGGGATCGAGTATCTGTGTCGCGGTTCGACTTTCTCGTTGTTGGCAAGAGAGATGAACAGCAACAAACGGAACCCTGGCTGCCTGGTAGCCCAGAAAGAGCCTGAAAGCAGAGATTTTCCCGGTGCTCCTTCTTAGGCATTCATTCCATTGAAATCTCAGATTTAGACAGTTATATCCCTCTACGTAACGCAGGCTTTGTTGTTGTCGGTTTACGACCCACTTTTCACTCGATTGCTTCGTCTACTTCCCTTTCCTCTTTTGCTCTGCTTCCCTCTTCCTCCTTTCTCTTTTTTTCCCCCTTCTTCTTCCTCGCGCAAGGCCTCCAACTTTGAGAATTGTGTCTGAGCGGTTGGATCTCTTCTTCCTTCTATAAACAGCCCGCCCCAACTCACTTTGAACTTTCCCTGCTCTTATCTTTCCTCCTTCTTCCCCCTCTTTGCGTTGCAAAGAACCTCAACTTGAGAATTGTGTCTGAGCGGTTGAGCCTCGATCCCACCTGCCTTCCCCCTTCTTTTTGCTTTTCTTTACCAAAATTTTCCCTCCAAACACTACAGCCACACTCTTCACGGCACGATAATCCCACCCTTGCCGTGTCAACCAGACTAAGTTTCTGCCCATTACTATAACTTTAAGGTAAGTCTGTATCTTCGCCATTCTCAGTTTTTTTTTTCATGGGGACGCGTTGCCTATTTCCTTGAACCCGATGCGCGACTTCCTCCGACGGGATTCGCGGCTGTTCAGATTGGGTCGAATTTTCTTTCTCCTCCCATCGGCTCCTGCTACTTCAGTATATTCTGGCGTCGGAGTAGAACACTTAGATTAGAGACGGCAGTTTATCATTCTCTGCACAGCGCACAACTGTTTAGTATGCACTAACGAATCCATCTCATAGTGAACCGAGGATGGAATCCGAAGACGGCAATGGCGATGGAGTCCCTCCAAGTGATCCTTGGAAGACTCAGGAGCAAGAAGACCTCACGTATGGAGAATACTGCCTTCGGCACATCGCAAAAGCTTTCTGATACACAGCTGACGGATAATCTTACAGTGAATTGAAAATGGAGTCTGAAAACAGCAATCGCGATGGCGCCCCCTCAGGTGACCCTTGCAAGGATCACGGCGAGGAAGGATTTACTTATAACATCGATGTAAGTTTTGTGACTCGCTCATGATTCGACTTCCTCGCACATGTCATCTAATCATTTGCGCTAGTGGGTACCTTTGGACTCCTTGAGCATCATGGATTGCCTGCTCACAATCACGAACGGAGATCTGACCTGGAAGTCAATGCCTTCTGTACACAATGCAGAACCAATCGGGGAGTGCGGCAAAGAAACGATCTCGGTGAAGCTCGAAATCTCCACTGAGACCATTTCGCCATTGATGTACAAGTACCTGAAGCTTGAGTTCCATCTTTACGAGGGTAGCTTGTCTGATACCCGCGTTGCCGAGGCATTGGTCTACTTCAGTCACATAGAAGACATCAGTGTCGTCGACCTGTCACTAGAAGAGGCTCGAGAGGCTTTGAATAGCCACAATGACGAAGCTGTCGCGCGATCGAGTTTGATCAAGATATCTCTTGTGGCCTCACAAGTCACTTTGAACATGTCAACCCAACAGGGCTTCTCTTTAAAGAGTTTCGACAAAGGTGAGGCGCGTGGAAAGTGGAATGTCACCCACGGCGGCCGCTACCACGACCTTACTATCCTTACCCAAATTCTTGAGTCACAGGGCAACATCAACATTGGCCTCTTGCTCAATAAGCCTCTCCTCCGCGACACAGACAGTCTCACGCAAGTACTTGAAGACGTTTTCGCAGTAGCACTTAGTGCAGACAGATCTGAGGATCCAATGGCACAATGGTTTCCCAAAAGCGCTCGAAGCCACGACATGCCTCTTGGACATGTTCCCAGAATTGGTGAAACTTTGCCTAAAGGATTACCTGTACAGGAGCCTTTAGTGCGCTTTCATAACGAGGATCAATACATGGTCACTCAGATTGTTGGTGCTGCAAATCAGGCGTTCGCAGAAGAAGCTGCAGCTCACGACGTGGTATCATCCGAGTTCTCTGCACATGTGATTCCTCTGCAAAGCTCCAACGACAACTCTCAATTCATTGTCATCATCAAACCCAAGGGACACGATATATACCTTCCTACAGTTGGCGAGTCCTGCCACATCCGAATTCCCAACGCCACCTTGAAGCGTTCGGTTGCTCGTCCAGACGTGAACAAGGTGACTGAGGATATCCTCAACCACATCAGAGACCATACCGACGCGATGGAGAAAAAATTCATCTCTTTTATTCGAAAGCAACTTGAGAGTGTCATGGACTCATCCCATGACGATGAAACCATTCTCAGCTTGCGGTTCCGTGACAGCGTCGATGGGGATGAGGGTGATGACGGCCCTGAAGATCATGCGGCGCGCATTCGTGTTTTCATACAGAATGAGGCTAAATTTCTCAAAGTCGAAGACACCGATGTTCCCATAAACAATGAGGACATCTGGTTTCCAGCAACAAGAATGGACTACAAACTCCCAAAGATCGTGGACGATGCTCAAGTGTATCTGGCATCATGCCCTCTTGAGACGAGAGACGACGCGGAAGAAGACTATAGTGAGCGAAAGCCAATCTCCGTGGAGCTGCCCTTCATCAAGCTGAACAGATCTGCTTCCATTGACGAGTATATGGCGTCAGTTATTAATAATGAGGAGCAAAACAATCTCACAGCTTTCGTTCGCCGTACTGCATCAAACAAAACCATTCGCGCAGAGGTTTTTGCCGTCAATGCGCTTCACAATCCCGCGTCAGCCACAAACGTACTGATCGCACCTCAGAGTGTCGAAGCTTTCCACTATGTGCAGAGCTTCAAGCGTGTTGAGAGCACGCCCACTGTAAACCTGCATGAAATCTTCCCAGTTCTTCGCGCATTTTCTCAGCCCGAAAACCAACTGACGCTGTTCGCGTGTCCCGAGCAGATCGTATCTCAGTACAAGAAACTGGACGCGGCCAAGAAGCTCCTAATCAGTCGCCTTAACAACCTGCCTGCTGGAATAGCCTTTATTCCAGGAGTCGCTGGCTCTGGAAAAACCGAACTGATCAAGTTCATTGTCGCAGCATGCATGTTCGGACAGGGAACAGCAATACCTGTGCCAACATTGTACCTTGCCCCGAACAATCAGGCAGTGGATGATATGGCCAAAAAGTTACAGGAATACTTCCAAAAGCTGGACCTGGAAGGTTCCCCGACTATCATGCGCCTGTACAATTTGGACTTTGAGGTCAAGTCTGTCATTCGTGTTCTTGCACCCGGCCCTGTCAACTCTTACCAGTACTTCGACAAAAGGAAGGCTCAAGATGTCATCCAAGCAATGGATTCCGACGCTGAAAAACAAGACCCAACAGATCGAGCATATCAGTTTCTTGCGATCTACCAGTTTGAGAAGATGGGTCTCGAAATGAACGAAAAGAACGAGAACAGTCGTTCCAAGCGGACTCGATCTACCAACATATGCGCAGATACCGCCGCCGTTGCTTACTACAAGGATCACATAGACAAGTATCGTGACCTTAGGGACATCCTTACAATCAGCGATCGAGATGGCAAGTTGAGTGACGATCTGCTCAAGGAAGCGCGACTGTTGGTCAAGAATGTTTTTCACGATATGCTGGCCGACTTTAAAGGCATCATTTGCACGACATCAGTGGTCTCTGCTAGTGCAACGGTAAAACGTTTCTCAGCCGAAATGTTGTTCATAGACGAAGCCGCACGTCAATCAGAACTCAGCTCACTTATCAGTTTCGCTCACTATCAACCTCGTGCTTGGTTCTTTTTGGGGGACACGGCACAGCTCAAGCCTTACGTTGGGCAAGACTCCAAAAGAACCGACAATCCATTCATCAGACAGATGTCTGTGTCTCTACTCGAGAGAGCAGTCTTGGCCGGTGTCGAGCTAGGATGGCTGGACGTTACTCACCGCCTCCGAGGAAACCTTCGTCAGGTTTCGTCCAAGATTAATTATGGAAATCGCATGAAGACCATTAGTCGTACTGACTGGAACTGGTCGCCTTCAACAGTTGCATTCTCAGAGGAGATGAAAAGACTAGTCGGTGAATCATTAGTCATTGATGATCCATCTCGTGTGGTGTTGCAGTTCCCTTTTGCCCAGGCGACTCTGGCTGGAAGCTCATCAATGAACATCACGCACGTGAGATGGGTGGTTAGTCAAGTCAAGAAGATGTTGAAAAACCCACAGCTGCAGAATGTCGACTCGACTAAAATGGCTAACTTTCTCATCCTGCCTTTGTACAAAGCTCAAGTTGACTTGTACCGAAAAACACTGCTGGATGAGAGGATCCAGGGAAGCATCTCAGGCGAGGACTATCGACGGATTGAAGTCCGAACCCTTGACTCTTCCCAAGGTGAGGAGCGAGATCTGGTTATCGTTGATTACGTGCAAACGCACAAGGCCGGATTCTGCGTGGACCCGAATCGCAATTGCCTGGCCACCACCCGAGCACAGCAATGCGAGATTCTTATCATCAATGCTGGAATGATCAACTCTCCACGTCTCGAAAACAGCAAACCTGGACAAATCATTGCAGCAGTTAGACGTCTCGGATGTGTTCTCAAAATACCATCCTGCACCAACTGCGAGGATCCAAGCCACAACGATGATGACTGCCCTGTCACTGTGAAGAGTTGCAACTGGTGCAAAGAGATAGGACATTCGCGTGCGAATTGCCCCAAAGTACAGTGCACTAATTGCCGTGAACTTGGTCATATAGAGCCCAATTGCAAAGTCCCAAAGCTCTGTCAGCAGTGCGGTGAAGTTGCAACAACTGATCATCACAAGGTTTGCTTAGGCATGAAGATTTGCTCCGTTTGCTGGAAATGCCACACAGGCGACCCATGTGAGATTTGTTTTCACTGCAGAGGGAAAGGTCACAAGGCATCTGCTTGTTTTCACAACCCTGCCTCCAACAAGACGGCCAAAACCCGAGCGATCAACTGCAACTGTTGCGGAGAATTGGGTCACAAGGCCGGCGACTGTCCCAACAAACCAGCTCGGGCATGTCACTCATGTGCTCTGAAGACCATGTCAACAAGGACTGTCCCACACCGAAATGCAAACGATGTAAACAATTGGGCCACATGAAGAAGGAATGCCCTACACTAGTTTGCCACCATTGCGGCGAGTTTGGACATACCCAGAACCAGTGCCAGAATGAGCTTGTGTACTGCAAGAACTGCAAGAAGTCGGGTCACATCGAGAAAGACTGTCAATGGAAGGAAGACTCATCCGCCAGAGATACCCGCCCAGGAACTGACTTGGCACCAGCCTGCTCATACGAAGAATTAAAGCGCAGAAATAAAGCAAAAAAAGGCAACGCCACCAGTGTTCTTCAGTGTATCGACTCTGTGGCTTCCATTCCTGGCCCAGTTGAGGCAAATGGCGGGGAGCTACCCAGCAGCAGCGATCAAGGTGACGTATGGGGTGAAGTAGCTTCTGGAGACAGAAATGGAAATGGCCAGGATGCCTGGGAGGAAAGAGCTTCTGGAAACATGGATGGTGGAAGCTGGTAGATCGGAGACCTGTCATTGGTATGGGCATTGGCTCGTGTGGCTGGGCTTGTCGGTTCGTACAGAAAGACCGCGACATCCTGGTTTTCGTGTATAGTAGACATCAAGAATACGAGGCGTTTTGATACATCTCGATACGTTACTGATGCTGGAATGAGGCCCCTAAAAAGACAGATCGTGAAATCTTCACAACACCAACTCGGAAGGCAACCGGCAAGGTCCTGGACATGACCTTAAACTGTCCTTGTACTGTGCCGGAGATTGTGCTCGAGCGGCCGTTGTACATCTAAACCAAGGTAAGAATACACCTTCTTGCAGCAACTCCTTCCAAATCTCGACATCAGGCAGACTGACATTCTCTCAGTATGCTTCTTTGGGGTAGTACCTATTTCTTCAGTCAAGAGACTCTTTCCTGGGGTTCCTAAATCATGCCGAAAAGGGAAGTGGTACATTTGCCTACCTACCTTGATATTAGAGACGAGAGTTTGCTCTTTCTGCGGTTTTTTCAACAGCTTAATCCAGGCAGCTACATTACTTTGGCCTCCGCTTGCAGTCACGACCTTTCTCCGACCCGTCCCCCTACTTTCAAATCTTATAAATACCCCCCCTCTCCCACTACCTACGTCTGCCTCTGTTCTCAACATCATCCACATCCACATTGTCTTGTCAATCCCAACCACATTCATCTTTTCTTGTCCCAGTCTCAATTTTGGCTTCACTCAATTTCTACGACAACACCATTCTCAACCATGTCGATATTCACGGCGCAAGAAGAGCACGCCAATCCGGCCGTCCACATCGACGAGCAAATCCTAGCAGATGCTCGAGTGTTCTCTTCCATGAGCCGGGATCAACAGATCATCCAGGGCCTATCCATCGCGACCAATATCAACAACAACCTCATTGTCCTCAACTCGAAGTTCGATGCCCTCAAGTCTGACGTCGCTGCCATCAAGTCTGACGTCGCTGCCATCAAGTCTGACGTCGCTGCCATCAAGTCTGACGTCGCTGTCCTCAAGTCTGACGTCGCTGTCCTCAAGTCTGACGTCGCTGTCCTCAAGTCTGACGTCGCTGTCATCTCAAGTCTGACGTCGCTGTCCTCAAGTCTGACGTCGCTGTCATCAAGTCTGACGTCGCTGTCCTCAAGTCTGACGTCGCTGCCATCAAGTCTGACGTCGCTGCCTTCGACTTCACCTCTCAAAGACTCAAAGACGAGGTCCATGAGATCAAGACAGGCATTCACACAAAGGCCTCCGCCAGGTTTGTACCTCTGCATATCTCCAACCTGAGTTATGCAAGCTGACCTTTTCCAGCGAGGTTAACACGTCACGGCGCTTAGCAAATCGGCAGTCTATTAAGAACCATCTTGGTCCTGTGCTGCCTCAAGCTCCTCTCCATGCCCTGATCGATCCCACTACGCTTGTCGACATCAACGGGTTCCCCAGCACTCATCAAGCGTTTTAGGCAATGCCATGTAAGCTTGTTTGTTCGAGCCTTCCAGGGTCACCGTTTTCTAACATATGTAGTTGATGATGTCGTTCGAATTGCCCGCATACTGGGTATTGAGACGGATAACCACGCCCCTCCCTACATCACCCACTGTCTCTGGCGCTTGGTTGCCGGTGATGTCGTTTAGCGACTCCATGGTATTCATGGTGGTGTTGCCAGGCCTTGATAGATATAGATAACGATGGACCGAGCGGAGGCTACATTGGCAGGTAGCGGTGTTCCTTTTTGGTGGTCCATAACTAGATATTCCATAGCGCAACCGCATCAATCGATGCGGAGGATTAATTAGGGCCTTAATCGATCAGTTTAAGTCTAGTTTGTGTCTAGAAGCTGTTCTCGACCTGAGGACCGCATCGACAAGTATCGTGCCCTTAGGGACATCTTGGCAACTGGTGCAATGAGACTAGACATTCGGTGCAATAAGACTGGACATTCGCGTGCGAATCGCCCCAAAGTACATTGTACAATTTGCCGTGAGCTTGAAAAATCTAGAGTCCAGCGAGGACAGAAAGATAGGAAGCACCACGGAGATCAACGCATTACAGAACAAACTCAATTCACATCTATCAAATTCAGACGACCATGCCATCACCCGTCATCCCAAAGTCGTCGACTCATAATGATGGGCCGGGCAGGATCCCACGGCCCGTAAATCTCATTCTTATACTTTTGCAAACCGATAAGCCACCAACTACAACCCCCCATCGCGATAGCCGCGATGAGCACGCTGACGACCATGCCGACGACGGCGCTCTTCCACGGGAGGAAATGCGCGCCGCCGCTGTCGCCCACGATGATGCCCACACCGGCCCCGGCGCCGAGAACGAGGAAGACCGTCATGGCGTAGTGATACCCCCAACTGCGGTGCCGCGCGTACCGTCGGAACACGGGGAAAAGCCCAAAAACCTCGATGCTGAACAGCGTGAGGCTAAAGACCTGTCCTGTGGAGGGCAGTCGACTGGCCAGCACGGTCGAGGCCATCAGCGCGGCGTTGGTGGACAGGGACGCGGGGATGTTGACGTGCACGCCGCTTGAGTAGTCGAAGAAGAAGATGTTGATGGCGAGGAGCCAGAAGGACATGGCCCAGATGCTGTCGCTTGACGTCGAGCGCGTCAGGGACTTGAGGATGGGCGAAAGGCCGAGGAGAGTGCAGTAAATCAGGACGGCACTCTTGACTGTGCCGAGGCGTTGGTGGAGCCGGCTTGTGTCGTCTCCCGGGAGGGGGAAGGATGCCCTTCGAGGGGGCGGATTGCCCGTCACCTCCTGGCTCTGACGACGGATGGCAGATTGAGACGTGGCGGAGGCGGACGAGATGAGCGAGCTAGCGGACGCAGAGTGCGAATGCCGTGCCATACGATCTGCGGTGGTGGACAAGTTTGTGACGGAGCTGGTTGCCGTCGTCGCTGCAGAGGACTCATCCACGTGCGACGACGGGCGTCTCGGCATACTACCCGTCCTCCGACTAACCGTATCCCTCCTCCCCGCAACAGCTCCTGCCCCAGCAGCAGCGCCGCTGCCGGTCTGGTCAACCATGATGCTATCCTCATCAGCCTCCCAACGCTCCCACAGCAGCCAGCCTAAGCATGTCGCCAGACTGCCACACGAGACAATCGACACAGGCGATACGCGTTCCTGGAAGATGAGGACGAAGCAGACGATGAAGACGATGACGGAACAGACATGCTGAACAATGACGGTCGAGTCAGCCACCAAAGGCCAAAAGTCGTAGGGTTGCAGGCGCGGGTTACGCTGCAAACTCTCGAGGAAGGTGGCCTGGTCGGTATAGTTGTCCGGGTAGCTCTGCTTCACCCACATGAGCTTCTTCCAGGTGCGCTTGCGGCTACGGCGGGAGCGGGAGCGGTGCTGGATGCCGTCTGGGTCGAGACCTCCGGCATTGTGACGGAGCCGGGCGCGAGCTGCGCGGTGGTCTGCGCTGGTGCCGGCGTCGAAGGAGGGAATCTGACGACGGGGAGGGGAGGTCGCTAGGAAGGCATCCTCTGGGGCGAGGTGAGATCGGTTTTGAGATTGGAGGTTTGAAGCAATGGCGGAGTTGGTGCCGGCATTGGGCCCGGAGGCTGCGCCGTTGATGCCGCCGTTGAGGCCGGCAGGGAGGGTGGAAGAGCGGGTTAGGAGCGGGAAGGTGTCGTAATCCGTCGGCGTCGTCGGGGACATCGAGCCGGAAGCTGCAGGGCGCAGCTCACGGATAAAAAGGTTACGAGGGACAGGAATCAATTGGCCTGACGTAGCTGGTTCGGTGATGGGCTACTGGCGTTGAGGAGTGAGACCCTCTCAGCCTCGCGGTCGCAAATGGATTGAAGTTGGACGATGGCGCGCAAGGCTAGCTAAGCCCACTCACTTACCAACTTGTGCATGGTAGAACGTGCCAGGGGGACCAAAAATAAAATTAAAAAGAACAAAAAAACGAAAAAAAAAGAGGGAAGCGTGCACAGACGGGGAAAGGGGATTGGTGGACCCCTCAAAGCTCCTACTAGTAGTGTAGTAGCTACTAGTACCCTTTACGACTTCTAACAAGGGTCTCTCTTGCCCGGATCCAAGTACTGAATTGGGAATCTTTAGCTGGCGGCTCGGTGGCCGAAAACAGCGGCATCCGCCGAGAGGCAGAAGAGATCGCACCTACCTTATCCAGCCGGCCAGATGGTACTATTGGTGTCCTCTGCAGCATTGCACTATAGGCTACTTTGCGCGAGACCCAGGGGGATTGAAAGTAGGTGAAGGCGGGTAGGGTAGGGAATCATGCCGTCCCCCAACCAAGCTTAACTTTTGCCCGACTCGGGAGTCGGAAATGCAACCATAGTTTGGAATCGTGAATACCTGCATCGCATCGCAAAGCAACATCTTGCGCGCGCCCTCTCCCACTACGGTAACGTTGTCTATCCACCAGTAAATCGCTCTGGTGACGCGCAGTCAGCCACGTACCCTGTACGACCGAGCCTGTAAGGGATCAATTCGGTGACTTTTTCTTGGACAAGCACACGCAAACACAAATCGGCTTGCGTGTCGAACACGAAGATGATGCTGCGGTCCCATTCTGTTCCTTACTTTCCGGGCAGACGAAGGGATTGAAGCTTGCGAAACACCAAAATGATCGTCACGAATTCCAGTAACGCGTCCGTCGGCGCAACCCGCGGGCTCCAAACCACTGAATCTCTACGGGTGTCTACTATATTGACGGACGCTTTCCGGCATCATCGTAATGGTCCACTAGCCCGGTGTCCTTCGCCCGACTCCCGAGGGGGGGCAATGAGCCTCGATGTAGTTCCACCTCCCTCTGTAAGCACCGCCTTCCCGAATGAGACCCGGCATCACCGTTACCGTCGTCGCGGGTCCTCGTAATACGAAGAGGTCGCATGTGCTTCGCCTTTAGGGGGACCCGAAGCAGCTCAATCTTCACAGCAAAGAGGAGGGAGACCCGCAGTAGCCCAAAGCTTGTTACTGCTTGTTCTTAGGCCAGGACTCTGTCCGTAGCCATACAGTACGAGCATGCCACTGGATCTGGCATTTCGGCGTGGTAAGTATGCTTCACGAGAATTTCTACCCTTGCGTTGTCCGCAGCACACACTAGCTTCCCCCCCTACCACCAATAACCAGGGCTTTATTTTGGCTGCCTGGTGTTTAATTCGTGGTCGCGTGCTCGTCTGCCGTCCCGAGCTGGCTAGTACGACCGCTTCCCTGGGCTCTCTGTTTACAGTCCTGTCAGCGTCCAGGTCGACCGGTCCAGACCCCTTCTACGCCGCCGCCCGCGCAGTGCAGGGACTAGGCCGGAAAAGCAGCAACCTGCAGCCGTTGCGGGCTGGAAAAGAGTTCGCTTGGATGCTACCGCTTAATTTGGGAAACCTTCGCGGGCGATCCGGATGATGTCCCTTATTGAGCATACTTCGTGCTGTGTCTCTGCGCTGGTCTGGTCTGGTCTGGTCTGGTCTGGCACAATTAGATGTCCAAGCTAGCAAATGATGCCCGCTCTGAATAGCCTCACCATCTCAGCTCGGTCACCAGAGTGCCCAGTGTTATGGTCGATCATGCTTCTTTAGACTGTCTCCCAGGAGCAAGCTTGATGTCATCAATGAACCGGTGATCTGCAACACTCGGCTCTACCTCCTTCGTTAGGGTCGACCTCAACGAAGCAGGAATTGCCGGACATGCTTGGCGAAGTACAGATTTAGGTCCATAGAGGTTTCATTCACGACGTCCCAACTCCCATTCTCAATGGGCCGAAATGGGCATTTACGAGTGGGAATGTGTTGAAACTGTTTTGACGTTCAGACAACTTCACACCAGGGCAAGAAGAAGCGGGTTTCGATGTTTCTGCCGATGTGGAGACGTCGGGTGCGATGGAATGAAGCTGTCACAGGAGTCAGGCTCCAGTTGCGATGAAAGCGAATGCACCTATTTTGCTTTGAAGCGGTACTTGTCGCATTTTCCACATAGTTTTTGAAGGGGATCGAAGGGATGTCCCGTGGTGCCATTTCCGAAGCCAGAGAGACGTCTGCGGGGCTGGTGAGGCACTCGAACACCTTGAGGTATGGGCGGTTCCATGTCTCTTTTCGTTGTTAGGCAGTCGACGGCATTCTCCGTGTCTTGAGCATTGAGGCGTTTGACGAACTGAACACGAGCTGGAGCAAGCATCGGTCCATGTCCATCAGTGGATCCTTGGTGTCGATCTATTACTTGGATTGCAGCAGTGTTCTTTAGCGTCAGACCGCTCCAGGCAAAAGGGGCTGTCGAGCAGTTACACCAACCAGTATTTGGTTGTTATCTTCATCCGTAAGTCGTAGGGGGGTTCGGCATACAGTACAGCAAAAAAAGAAAAAAAAAAAGGGCCTGTTGTTTGCACAGCGTCGTCTACAAGGCTTGGTTGAGTTACATGACGAGACGATCAATTGCTGACGGGATCTGAATGAATCTGTCATTTGCCCCTCGATTGGTCTAGGTGGCATTGTCTTGATCATGCATCATTGACCAGAAGTGAGCGGCATGTCATGTTTGCATTGAGTCGGGCGCAGCTTAGTGTAATTTCCCTCTGTACGAGGTTGTGCCAAGCATCGTGGGGGAGCTGGGTATGTAGTATATACCACTCTTACTATGTGGTACAAAGTACAAGACGTGACTAAGCATCCCGGGCGGAAGGCGTTAAAAAAGGAGCCAGTACGGAGTACGGATAGTTGGTGGGCTAACACGAACTTGGACAGATAGCCCAGTGATGGTAGAGATGGCAGGGGGCCTAGTCCAGCCCGAACGTGTCTTATCACTATGGCTTATGGACTACAAAAAAATGGTAGACAGAGAGGCGGATTGCCGCATGCCGTGCGCAATTCGATGGCGCCCACATGGGACATGGTCAGGCACTATAACCAGCCATTAATTGTGTCCGTGTGCTTCTCATCGGAGTGGTGGATGCGAGGTGTTAATTGAACAAGAGTACCCTGTCGCGGGCTGGGCTCTCTGCTCATTTTTTATTTTATTTTATTTTCTCCGAGGAATTTCGACATTGCCCAGCGGCCTGGAAGCGGCGATGCTGACTGAAGTTCCGCTGCTATGGGCTGATAATTTTCAACAGGGCCCCTACTGACGGCCGACAGGCAAATGCTGGTACCTCTCACACAGGGCATCTCCCCACGTGCTCCTCTCGCACATGTGGACGGGCAGAATGGGGAAATGAGGATGCGGGGCGACAGGAGGCCAAGCTGTGAGAGAAGACTTGGGAAAGCTTGTCTTGTGGTGGGAAAGGGGAATTTCCGCAGGGTGGGCTGCTGCACATAGTAGGGGTTGTGGTGGTGGTACTGCTGAGCTGCTGTGTGAATGGTTAATCTAATGCCTCTCACAGAAAACACTGTTAAGTCTTTTCCGAGCTCTGCCCATTGGTTTATTCTACCTTGGGTGCTTGGCTGACCAAAAGTGCATCCTGCAAAGCCAGAGCAGTAGTAAATGCCAACGGGCTGGTTCTTAGTGTCGACCCGCCACAATTGTTGGAAAAATCCCCCTCAGTCTGTAATGGCGAATCACAGAGGCGGATGAGACAATGTGCTGTCCTAATGGGGTCATCAGCTAGCTCTGCAAACTGCTGGCCCTGGAAGCTGATAGTCTGCCACTACTCCATTATGGATACTGTCTGTCAGCTTTGTTACCTTTCCACCCCTCGCTTCTCAGCGTTGAGGGTATTTTTGACTTCTCTGCTGACCCCTTGCCCCACGGTGGTGTTTTCTACTGTACTGCCTATTACAACGTGGAATAATTATGTGAATTAGCGGAGCAAAGCTTGACATTTGGTGTTACCTCAAAACCAACCCCCGGCGCACATCTCCAGGGAGCCCCCATACTTCTCATCTCGAGCTTCACCTCAGGCTGTGACGACAAACGTCGAGTGTTTCCCCCCCTGAACGAGATACCTGCGAGTCCAGTGAGGCGCGCTTATTGGCAATGTCTTGCTGTCGAACAAACCCAACACCCAATGGAACTGAAGGAATTCACACATGCATGGGACCCCCCCCCCCCTCGTCTTGCCTTCGAGCGTGACACATGGGACATCTCAGCAAGGATGTGCACCTTTCCCTTTAGGGTTCTATTTGGCTGTTCTCGCTTCCCTTGGATCCCGCGGCCCTTTTTTTTCTTTTTTTTTTCGCTTCTTCTTTTCGGCCGCCAGGGTACAAACCGCACGCACCCGCTTGAAAATAATGGGCCCTCACCTAGTCTATGGGGTGCCCTGTACGGATACTATAGCAGTGCCCAGTGCCTGACCCTCTTCCCTCCGTACATGGTGCTCCGAACATTGGAGAGTCAATTCCAGGGGGGGCTTGGGGTTCTCACTAACCTTTATGGCAACACAACCAGCAAGCCAGCCAACGCGCTTTTAGGATTGGGCAATGAGGTAGTGCAGGCTTGCCAACCCTCCCTATTGGCCCTCTGCTACTAGTACCTCGGTCGCTCATCGCCAGCAACCAGCTTATGCATCTCGTTCGATCCTAAATCGGGACGATTGAAAACACGTCGGAGGGTAGACGAGATCTCCCCCCAAGGCAAACAACCCCCCTCCCTTTCCCAGCCTTTCTTCCTCTTTCAACATGGGTGCCGAGAAAACCGAGTCCCGAAGTGCACAGAGGTTGACATTGTACGGACTCTCCGGCATAACCTCAGTCGAAAAGGTAAGGCCATTACAAGAAACAAGGATCGCCGAGACCACTGCAACAGATCGGCTCCAACGGCAGGCACCCTCTCGCATTCTCATACCTATCACAGTAGTAACACATACTATTTAGGCCTACGGAGAGTCAGTCATCAATTGGTTGTGAGCCGTGCCCGTCCCTTGTCGTGCTGGACTGAAATGCGGCCGGTAGCGCTAGCTGCATTGGAATCTGACTGTCTCCAAAGTTTAAAGACGAGAGAGAGATTCTTGAGGAGGACCACCGTGGTAAAGAAATCGGGACACACCCTGCAAGATAGCAGCAGCGTGTGGGAGGAAAGCCTGGTTCGAACCGAAGCTGGCAACAGGGAGCACCGTGGTTCGCAGGGTCCAGACTATCCCTGCATCCTCGGTCGAGCCTAGATCCCTGGTCCTGAACCTGCCCACCCCCCAAAAGCCTAGAGTCCAGCGGTGACCCCATAGACGCCCGCTTTTGAGGGGAGCAGAACGAGAACAGGGCCCTGGCCAACTGGGCTGGACCGCCGTCTGCAAGAGAACCAAGCGAACGGAAAATAGAGAAACAGACAGACCTTTGCCCGTCTTTGGGCTGAGCCAGGCAGGCCATGTTAATCACAATGCGTAGGTTATTACATCGTTGTCGTTCTCGTCCCGCTCACTCTTGACATAATAATACCTGCCGCCGCCTCTCAGTTCCGCACAATCTCGCCCTCCTACTGACTACGGATGTTCCCATTCCAGACTAATCTCCTCACTCCGCACGAGCACCCTTCTCACTACTCTCTCTCTCCCCCCCGTGTCCCGTGTCTCTGTCTCTCTCTCTCTTTGTCTATATTATTAATATTATAAGACCGCTTGGCACATCATCCCACGAACACGAACACGTCCTCTCAGATCTTCTCTTCTGCCCTTGCGCTCCCGCATCCGGCATATCCATCCATCCCTTCTCTCGCACACGACCGCCTCATCCCATCTTCTCATTCCTCACTGTTCGGCGAGCCACACTAGAGCCGTTACTTGTTTTGTTTCACTCGCCTTGGAGGTTTATCGCCCTCCACCACCGGGCCCGTCTTTTAGTCTGCGTTCGGGCTCTCCGTGCCTGACTGACTCTCTGCCACCCTTTCTATTTTCCTCTAATAAATCGGGTGCCCAGACCTGACATCCCACCACGGCTGTTCATCCCCCGCATCACCACCACACCTCGACACAGACACCACCCACTCACCCAGCAAGAGTACCAGTCGCCAAGCGCACCTGTAATACATACAAACTGCCGTTTACACGCCTTGGCTTCAACGTATTGGTGGAATAGGTGCAGCTGCAGAAGTTTCGACAACTTACACCAAGACTTTGGAATCGTACAACAGTCCACACTCGAAGGACTTAACGACAGTTATCTGGATTTGACATATTCCATTCATCTATTGGGAGAAAGTTTTTATTTTGGTTACATTTTGGCTACGTCGATCCACGATTATCAGAGAGTAACCGACAAAAACACCTCACATCAATCCCAACACCTCTTACCGAAATCACCGCAAACATGAAGCCCGCAACACTCCTCTGCGCTCTTGGCTTCGCCGAGATGGCTCTGGCAGTGCCCGTCCCAATGACCATCTCAGACATGATGGCACACGTGAAGGATGAGGCACACCGTCTTACCCGGATAACACGCGTGTCGATGCACCGCCTGCGCCCCGTCGCCATTATCCAGGAATCAGGGGACGACAAGGTCGAGATTGTTTTCGACAACCGGCCAATCTCCCCTTCCAAAGTCCTCCCCCCGTCACTCGTCCTCGCCGCTCCGAGACCACTCAAGACCAACTACCTCCAATCCCTGGCAAAGCACCCGAAATCCGGAAAGGAGAGAGTGGTTGACGTGAACGGCGACGGGACCCCTTCTACCATCAAGCCGCAAACTCTCGAAGACGGCCTGGCGGAGCTGTTCCCCTCAAGGAGATTCAAGCCCTGCTGGAAGACCGTCCAGATCCCCAAACCCTCGATGGCCGTCTTCGAGGAGCACCCCGACCTCATCGTTCTCGGCGCAGTGATTGCCTTGGTCCTCGTCCTTCTCGTGCTGGAGACCGTCGGCACGACTTTCCAAGGGTGAGCATTATCCCACGACCCCTTCTAGTTTAAAAAACAGAACAGTACACTAACAACAGACTTAGGGTCCGCAAACACTACTCTCCTCCTCAAGGACAAATCAGGCTGGAAGGGGATGAGAAGTCCTGCAAGGCTCTGTCCTTCCGGTCAGATGATATGATTCCCTGTAACGATGAAGAGGACGTGGGGAGACAGGCATTATGAGGGCTTACGAATTAAAAGGGAAAAAGAGAAAAAGGGGGGCATGGATTCAGGTTACGGGCTATTAATGTGATTCTAGACATTGCGATACCATTTTATTTATTAATGAGCGAGGCGCTGGTTACGGAATTGAGATGAAGATTTTATCTTTTACCCCCCTGGCATCTTGTGTGAACTGATACCCAGCTATGAGGTTAATTGTGAGGCGGAAGGAGAGCAGAACCTACGAGTGGAGGGTCAGAAGGTTGACGGAAGAGGTGCGGTGGCTTGGTACAAGCACTTTGATGGAGAGTCAATCGTGATGGCACCGAATACGTGGGCAACACTGAGCGAAACACCGAACGTCGACGACAAACAACCATCCTGATTATCACGAATCTCATCCCTTACGATTATGGACCTGCCTTTCGCACCACTACCCGACGAGCTAATACTACCCAAAAACGAAGAGCGACGTCTTGCCGGGTAACGAAGCCATCAGCTTTCACCACGTTGCCGAACACGACCATTGGCAGGCAACTAGTAGGCCAACGCAGATAGGACAACCCGTTACACTGCGGGGCCATATTTTTAGCTTACTTCCCCCGACTTCAATGAGGATCTTCGACCGTACGACCGAGCCGGGTAGGGATGTCCCCTACATCGCCTAGGCAGCAACCTTACGGAAAACCTTAAACAAAGGAACGATGTGTTGTTATATTGAATTGGGCGATGCGGAAAGGTTTCGAGGGACGACGGGAGTTCTAGAAGACGACGGTATACGAGGAATGAAAGACGTGGCTGAAGAATATAATGGGTCCCGTCTCGACGAAGCGGTCTTTTGACCATCTCCTAAACCTTTCGCCACTCTTAAAGTCTATACTATCATCAAATGAGGACTAATAATGCCACATAATCGTGGATCTAGCACCCACGACAACAGTAAATGCCAGTCTCTAAGTGATTCAAAACAGCCCAGGATTTACATATAAAAGTGCCGCAGTAAATCTCGCGCCGTATATCTTTTTCCATGTCGGGAATTACCACAATGTATAATAGCTGTAGCGCTGCTGCCGTCTTTCCGTGTCACTACCCGACTTAACCGCAGAAAGGGGGGCCATACCATACACATAGCGTTAGTTAGTAAGATCTACGGGGAGAAAAACCGAGCGAGAGCCCCCCTTGAAAGAACCAACCGCACGCCCCAAGTGCTTCCGGGCTCTGTCGTTGCTGAAATAAGCTTCTGGTCCCTGGCGCAGGACGGATATGTCGGCACCGGTAACGCCGTATATCACGAAATGAAAAGTACCCGTTCCCGCAGACAATCTCGTCCAACCCCTCCCCCCTCAACCCCTCCCTCCTACTACCTTCATTTGCAGTGTATATGGCCGGCACTAGGAAAAAAATATTTCTAGAACAATGTTCAAGGATGTACGGCACCCGCCGTGTCGTATACTTCCCGTTCTGCTGTGTGGAGGGCCACAGCCATCCCCTTTATAATACCGCATATACGCCCCTGTCAATATGCCATGTACTCCACATTCTTTGCTATACAACTCGTATAGTAACTACTACTGTAGATGAGGTTTTTGGTTGCGTGCAAGAACCTCAAGTTTTCTGGGATCAAGGGGCTAAGGCTGCGGCGTTACGACACTGTTGGCTAGATGATCCACGCGACTAAGGTAGCTACAACAGGATGGAAACCCAAACATGACTTGGGTCAGCGCCAAGTTGACTCTCAACTTGGGCCGCGGCAATTTCTGGGTATACGTCCTCTATTGTGACAGCTTCGCCCCGGGCCAAGGATAGAACCTGCTAAACGGAGGCTTCAAGATGATCACCCTCGCGCTGGTGGCGAGATATAGCTCGATCGTCATAACTTATTACGTTCTCATGTAATCTGTCTTACGCGGGAGGCTCTGACAATTTTGATGTATACGATTAAGTTCATTCAAAGAAGCCGAGATAGCCAGGAGGACCCGCCTGCCGACTTTACACTCCGCCAGAATACTCTTGTCTTCTACTGCTTACATCGTCAGCGGTAGATGTGGATGGCTATCTTGGCCATCTTGTCTTCAGGAAACTTTAATTCCAGCCCGAGCTGGTTGGTCTCAAGTGGCGTTACTAGCTTGGATATGTTTGTATCTTGGGGCGATCTCCAACCCTTGCTTCAGCTGGAACGTTTTGACGCCGTCTGGTTTGGCATGAGGATACTGAATAGTATGTGGAAGCCATGGAGGTTGCAGAGGTGGCTTCTTTAGAATATCCTTCAAGTGCCTGTCGCGTATGATACGTTTACTGGCAAGTTTGTGGCCCCAGTAGCACCCGCTTCGTTTGTCCACTCAGAAAGAGGTGTAACCAGATGCTGCGTTTATCCGCTTGTGGCCGTCCTACTCTCTTCTTCTTGATCTTATAGAACACACATCTCGTATCATTCATAGGGAATATTAATCACAAGTCATCGAATGAGGTCCTTACGATGCCTACACCGTCCCCTAGCCTGTGAACATCCCCTCGTGTCTGTCTTTCGATGGTTGTCGACTTGAATGTATCGGATACAGATAATAGCACAACATGGCCCCCAAAAACATGTTACTTGACATCGTTTTTTAATCGAAAAAGGATGTGAAAAGGTCCTCGCACATGCCCATCTATGATACTGCGTTACCTTACCACCGTTGGTAACTACAGCCTGCCCCGAATCTCCCGATTCTTTCCTGCAGCTCAGCTAACTCTACTCCTTGCTAAGCAGCATTCCAAGACCTCAAGCTGCGCATCAACCGCAATTTGTTTGACTAAAGTTCTATTCAAGCCAATCTAGAAACCTATCTGCTTTGAGGATCAACATCCCCAACAAAGACTACCGGCACCGTTGCCAACGCCAAGACTGGCCGAGAACCATTCAACAACAATTTCGAGTGGCAAAGTCTTCCAACCTGCCTGGCTACTCTCAAAGTAGCTCCCACCGGCCTCAACAATGATTGGCACAGTGAGAAACCATCTCACTATTGCTTCCACGTGAAAAACTAGAGCCAAATCGAAAACTACCGATCTTCTCGGTCCGCTTAGAAACACATGCTAGCGTCGCCCGCCCACAAGATCTCTTTCTCATCGGTTCTGACCCTGACATCTGATATTGTGTCACTTACATGAGATGAGCGCGGGCTCAGCTCCGATGCGGGGGTGTGGCACACATGTACAAAGTACGTAAAGTGTACATGTGAAAAAGCGGGGGGCGGGGTAGTGGACGAGACAATGTCTTCATATGTTTTTATTTTTGTTGTATTTTTTTTCTTGGGTTTTTACGGTTCAGACTACAATAGAAATAAAAACATTGCTCGAGACCGCATTGTTTCTTTTCATAGGTAACAGGATATCGTAACGTAGTTTACACAGGTTGGGGGGCGGCATGCAGCTTTCTACAATTAGGCACACATTTGTTTTTTATGAGCGGTTCGCCATTTAAGGCTTGTAGGGCTTGGGGCCGATCATGAGCTCGGGGCGGACGAGCTTGTCAAAGTCCTCCTCGCTGAGGGCCTGGAGCTCGAGAGCGCTCTCCTTGAGGGTGAGACCCTTCTTGTGGGCGTTCTTGGCGACCTTGCTAGCCATGTCGTAACCGATCTTGGGGTTGAGGGTGGTGACAAGCATGAGGCTATAGAGTGTCAGTGTACAGATAAAATAACAAAAGGGGGTGGATTCTAAACTTACGACTCCTTCATGATGCTGGCAATCTTCTCCTCGTTGGCCTGGAGACCGACGACCAGGTTCTTCTCGAAAGAGCGCATGCCGTCGGAGAGGATGCGGACACTGTGGAGCAGGTTGCGGATGACCAAGGGCTTGTAGACGTTGAGCTCGAACTGGCCGTTCATGCCACCGATGGTGGTAGCGACGTGGTTACCCATGACCTGGGCGCAGACCATGGTGAGGGCCTCGCACTGGGTAGGGTTGACCTTTCCGGGCATGATGGAGGAACCGGGCTCGTTCTCGGGCAGGACGAGCTCGCCGAGACCGCAACGGGGACCGCTGCCGAGGTAGCGGATGTCCTGAGCGATCTTGGACAGGGAGCCGGCGACGGTGTTGAGGGAGCCGTGGGCCTGGACGATGGCGTCGTGGGCGGCAAGGGCCTCGAACTTGTTGGGGGCGGTCTTGAACTCGGTACCAGTCATCTTGGTGACCTCCTCGGCGATGGCCTCGGCGAAGCCCTCGAAAGTGTTGATACCGGTACCGACGGCAGTACCACCCTGAGCGAGCAGGCGCAGGTCAGGCAGGGAAGACTCGACGCGCTTGATGCCAGCATCGAGCTGGGCGACGTAGCCGGAGAACTCCTGGGCGAGAGTCAAGGGGGTGGCGTCCTGCAAGTGAGTGCGGCCAATCTTGATGATGTTCTTGGCCTCGAAATCGTCGACCTTCTTCTGCAGAGCATCACGCAGGCTCTTGAGAGCGGGGATAAGCTCACCCTCAATCTCGAGGACAGCGGCGATGTGCATGACGGTGGGGAAAGTGTCGTTGGAGGAGGCGGAGCGGTTGACGTGGTCGTTGGGGTGGACGGGCTTCTTGGAGCCCATGGTGCCGCCGAGAATCTCAATGGCACGGTTGGAGATGACCTCGTTGGCGTTCATGTTGGACTGGGTGCCGGAGCCGGTCTGCCAGACGACGAGGGGGAAGTGGTCGAGCAGCTTGCCCTCGGCGACCTCGGCAGCAGCCTGCTGGATGGCCTTGCCGATCTTCTCGTCGAGGCCGAAGCGCATGTTGACGGTGGCAGCAGCGCCCTTCAGGATACCGAAGGCCTTGACAATGGGGGGAGGCATGCGGTCCTGGGGCTGGTTGATCTTGAAGTTCTCAAGAGAACGTTCAGTCTGGGCGCCCCAGTACTTGTCCGCGGGGACCTGGATCTCGCCAAAGGCGTCGCTCTCGGTGCGGGTGTTGGCCATTCTGGGAGCGGTGGTGTGCAGGCTTCTCTGGAGGGAGAAAGGACTGGCGAACTGTGTTGACTTGGAGGACGTCGCGGGGTAAATAACTGCGGGGGAAGAAGATCGGGTCGAGCATGTGGAGAGGCTCTTCGCGCATGTCCTCGGCCTAACGGTAAGCCGTGAGTTCGCCAGGCCGGAAGCGGCGCGTCGAGCTGGTACCGATCGAAGCATGTCGGGCGGTTTTGTTGGCTGGTGGCTGCGTATAGGAGCTTTCTTGGAGTTAAAAATGAACGAAACTCGAGACTTGATGTCTGAACCGAGCCAATTGAAGTATAACAACTTCGAGGGGAGACAGGAAGGCGCGCAGAAACAATGCTAGACCTTGGAATGATTTCGAATACAAAAAGGGAAAAAAAAGAGAGACTCGGAATTTTTTGCGCAACAACAGAGGTCGACCTGCTCCGAATTGGCTCCGTTGGGGAAGCTCTGACATTGTGGAGCTTGTCGTGGTCTGTGCTTTCCGGCTTATCCCGATATTCCGAGTACTCAGCACCGTAGCAACGATCCGAGAGAGAGTGACGAAATGGCCGACCCGCCTCCGGTCTTCCGTAGATTTACGTAACCATGCTTATATAATACATGGACGGCCTGCCTTTTTACCGAGACGAGCTGTGACATACTGCAGAGTATGCCACCACGATGGTATGCAGCCACGCCATGATAGCACGCCCACTTGGTCACTTTCCCACAAGAAGCCACTTCCTCTCACATCCACTCGACAACCTCAGCCCCTTTTCGAAGCCCCTTGCACCGTCGTCGCAGCGGAGTGGCAGCGTGTTGATAGGGTGGTTAGCATAGTACGGTGGGCTTCACGGCCCCGCCCCGCTGCAGTATGTCATCACTTAACAGCGAGCTGTCAGGGGCTTCAGCGTCCTCTTAGGGGTTCAGAGTTCAGTCCCATTCCCTGTGGGCGGTGAAGTTGCGGGATGCTAGGGGAAATCTTGGCTTCTTCTTAGCACGCACCGGACTTGCCGGCGCTCACAGCCTTCTTTGATCTCCACTCGTAGGACCAACCTCTTCCCCCGATCATGAGGGGATCGACTGGGGATGCGGTGCAGACAGTAGGGCAGTGTTGAGGCCTCTAAAACTGAGGCCCTCACAGCCATTGGCTCCGGCTGATACCACACATGTTCTTAGCGCCTTATGGCCTAGACGGAGAATAACGATCAGCAGATCCAAAGGACACACCTACCTCGCTGTACTGGTCCATCACTGCATACAATACCTCAAACCCCTACTCGTTGGTGCCTATACGGGTACCTTGAATTGATCACGGTTGACAGGGGCCACGATGCAGCCAGGCTGCGAGCCTCATTAGTTTGCTGCATGATAACTGTAGTCGTCCTTGTTCTTTGGGTCATGGAAGGTCAGGGATGGTTAATGATGGAATGCAACTGGGTGGGTTTCACCTCCTTCAGCCCAACTTGCGCCGCTTGTACCATCTTTGCTCGCTAGCATTGCTCATGCTCACCCCATTTTCCCATGTTCCCAAAGTCGCTAAAGTACCTTTCCTATCCTCGACTTTTTCTTCTCTATTTACCTCCTCTGTCAGCCTTTCTTCCTCCTTCAACAGCTCCTTCTTCTCTATTACCTCCCCCAAAGTTGGACCATCTAAAAAGGATTGGGATTCCCCCAAGTGCCGCTCAATTGACGTAACGAGCACGCGACACTTCCATTCCCTTTTATCTGATAACGGCGCCTGGGTCACCCAACGCTCTGTTCCACTTTTTTAACAGAGCCCCTCCTTCCCGCCCGCACGTTTTGTTTCAACTCAAGCTTTGAACCCCACCTCGACTGGCCTCTGCTCCAAGCAACTTTCAGCTTTCAACTCAACTTTACAGCGACAAACCTGGTATAATTGCCATAATTACAAGCAGTTGCCATGTCTCTCCAGGTTGACGACCGCAGCCGTCGCGACCGTTCCCGCTCCCCGGGTCGTCGAGAGCGTAGTCGCAGCCCTGCAGTCCCCGCCATGGTTGACCCCTCGCGGGAATCTAGCTATGCCTACCCCGAAGATGATCTTGATGACAGGTACGCCAGGGATAGAGGGGATAGAGGCGCTCGCATCGTCACCGCCGAACCGGGCGCCCCTGCTCCTCCTGGTACCATGTCGGGTGCCATGCCCTATCCTGAGGACGGCAGCGAAGCAATGTTCCCCGGCAGCCGTTCGCTCTACAACTACGACGACCGCAATTCGGCTTCCTACCGGCCGCCATCCTCTCCACGAGACAACTACCAGCGTAGCTCTCGGGACAGATTCGACGACCCGCACGTCAGAACGGCTTCACCCCGCGATGAGGATAAGCTCAAGTACCTTCCGGCCAAGTACAGCAGTCATGGCCGCAGCCGCAGCAGCAGCAAGTACGGCAACGAAGCCGAATACCCGCCTCCCCAACCACCCCGTCCCGGCCCGGACGACCTCTATCCCCCACCTAAGCCTGCCCGCCCTGTGTCGCCTGGCGGTTATGCCTACGCACAACCTCAGCCTTATGAATATGCCAAGACCGACGAGAAGACCGACAAGGCTAGAAAGAAGGAGGAGAAGAAGAAGGCGCTAGAGGAGAACCTCACCTATGGGTATGATCAGTACGCCTCAAAGCCTAGCTTGGCACCTGAGCCTCAATACTCTGGCCGGGCTCCCAGCCCAGGCCCCCAGATCTCCGCTGGCGCTGCTGCGTACTACGGAGCTGACCCCAGGACTTCTGCTTCCAACGTCTTGACGGTTGACCCCAGCAGCCGCAGGCGGGACAAGTCGCCTCAGCCGCCTACCCATCGCATGTCTAATCTGTCCGTCAACACAGGCCACCACTCTTTGAACATGAACCTGTCGTTGGCCAACGCACCTGGCTCGCCGTTGCTCGAGTCATACCATGGCACGTACCAAGACATGTCGCCCATGCCGTCGCCCTTACTCCTGGCATCTCAGCCACATGATTTACAGGTGATGGAGCCCATTTCTCCAATCGGCTCTGACGATGAGGGTAGACGACGACGGAGGGCCCGGTTCCACGACATTGAAGACGATGCTGCCAGGATCGCAAAGGCGCTCAGAAGCGATCGCAAAAGCCCTGACACTGAGCCTCTCATCGAGATCCTGCCTGGCCTGACTCATGACCAGGTGATGGATCTGCGCAAGGAGTACAAGGCACTTGTGAAGACCGGTCCAGACCGCAAGGGTGTTAACGTGGCTAAGCACATCCGCTCTCGCCTCAAGGACTCGGATCCCAACCTGATGAAAGCATGCTACTCGACTGCCTTGGGCCAGTGGGAAAGCGAGGCGTATTGGGCCAACTTCTGGTACCAAGGTGACAAGACGCGCCGCGAGCTACTCATTGAGGCGCTCATGGGCCGCACGAATCACGAGATCCGTTTGATCAAGGACGGCTTCAACGACAAAAAGTACGACAACAGTTTGACCAAATGCATGAAGACGGAACTGAAGGAAGATAAGTTCAAGAAGGCTGTATTGATGGTGCTGGACGAGCGCAGGATGGAGGAGTACGACCCCTACGGTCGTCGCTTGGCCATTGACTACCACCTCGTGGAAGACGACGTGTCAGATTTGCGCAAGGCTGTCAAGTCAGAAAAGGGCGGTGAGACGCTGATGATCAGCATTGTTGTGCAAAGAAGCGACTCGCATCTGCGTGAGGTGCTCAAGTTGTACGAGAGGACGTACCGGTCTAACTTTGCGCGTGATGCGCTGAAGAAGAGCGGTAACTTGGTGGTAAGTGCTCCCTCCCGTCATTTACATCAGACGAAGCTTAGTCACTGACTCATCCGATATAGGGCGAACTACTGGCTCACATCCTCAACGGTGTTATCAACAAACCTGTGCGAGACGCCCTGCTTATTCACCACGCCGTCACAGCCAGCCGCAAAGACGGTCTGCGTCGCGAGTTGCTCATTTCCCGGCTGGTACGCTTCCACTGGGACCGCCATCACATGGAGGCCATCAAGCGGGCATACCGCGAACGATATGGTCGCGACTTGCAAGACGCTGTTAGGGAGGCCACGACCGGTGAATGGGGCATCTTCTGCCGCGAATTGTGCATTTACCGTATGCCGAATGATGTGAAGAGCTATGAGCGTCGGTAAAGGAATGAAAACCGTCGCATGAAGAGATGGATGAAGATGTAATGAGACTATGTAGTATGGGAGGTTATCTGGACGAAATGTTATGATGCGCGCTGGGTATTCTCCACGTTGTTGTTTCTCCCCTGGTGAATGGAAATCTTGATCATGTCCGGGTTAAATTCTTCCGAACCTCGCAGCCCTCCTTCCCTCATCCTCCCTCCGCGAAACAATCATCCTCTCCCCGACCCCATATGAGTCCTCGGTGTGGTCGTCAATCTCCCCTACTCGGTCATCTGGATCCGACCTCCTCTCCCAGCTCCGTGCTCGCCTTCGTCTGTAATCGCCCACGCCGGCATCATCCACTACCGCACCATGCATCATAGCCATGTCTTCGCTGCCATCCCATCTCCTCCTGTCCCATCTCCGCTCGTGTTGGTCTCTATCTCTTGTAGATCGTACAGGTGTATCTGCAGGATAAGGAGGTCCACGAGGGAAGGTTTCGAATTCGTCAAAAAGCAGGGTTCGCCTCCTATTTCTCCTAGGGTGGGTGTTGCAGTCATCACCGATGTTTCTGTTATCATAATACTTGTTCTCTCTTCTCATCCGATGCCAATGTCTTCCGTCTCGGCTTCGCGGGTGCATGACTTTCCCATGTGAACCCAAAGAGCAAGCATGTCTTGTCGCAACATTAGGTGTGTGAAGCTGGCGAGGAGTATCGACTTTGAAGCCCCATTTCTTCGGGTCTTGCTGTTCTCTCATCAGGACTTGCTCGAGCCTTCAAAACGGAACAAAACCGTCAACAAAGGGGAGGGGGAGGGGAGATTCAGCATTGGACATTACCTCTCCGGGACATCTCATCACACCAACAACATCACCACCCCACTCCCCCTTCTTCTTCGCAGGATAACAGCCAGCAGCCCAAACCCCTTTCTCATCCTTCTTCTTCTTCTTCTTCTTCCTCCTCTTGTCTTCCTTACCTTTACCTGTGCAACTTAGACTACACCCACCGTCACCGTCTCCCATGCCAACAACACAACACTCGAGCGTCTCGTAACAACATTCGCTTTCCCAGCCAGAACAGCAACAACAACAATCTCCGCACTCGGAAAGATCCGAGTCCGAGTCCGAGGTAGACGAATCATCATCATCTTTGTTATCGAAGCGATAATACCCGTCGTCATCCCCATAGTAAACCATCTCATCCTCATCAACGCCGCCGCCGCCGCTGCGGCCTTGCTCTGACCGGAGAGCCAAAACAGCTTCACCCACAATCTGGCGTACCTCTTGACTACTCGCAGATCCCATTTTCCGTGCCCTTTTTCAAAGAAACAAGTGATAAATTAACGGCAGTGTATCGTCAAGAGATAGTTATTCAAAGAAATGTCGAATGCTCAAAAGAAGAGTTGAAAGGGCCAAAGAAGGAAGGGGAAGGGGGGGGGGGGGCTTTTGTTCGTTCGCACAACCATTCATTCACTACCTCCCTCCTGACATCCACTCTCGGCCTCATGTAGGCACATAGCCGTCTGAGGTAACTCAAGTCCTACCGACAAGTAGAAAACATCTGCCCGCAAATACAGCGGTGAAGAAATTCGGCATTGAACAACGTATTCTCTTGAGTGATCCTATGTGCTCGCCCATAACTGGAAATATGTACCCTGCAACGCAAACCAAAGTACCCGAATGCTAGACCTTGATTCAATACGGTATACAACCAACAAAAACACCATGCACGCCTTACAAACACCCTTTCCACCAAGCCCTGGTGGGCCTTTAAAAAAGAGTAAACAACCCACGCCGGCCCCATTTAGACATTACACATCTCGCATATTTCCTTTCACAAACATACCAGTCCCCTTTACAAGAAGCCCTTCGTCATACTAGGAGCCCGACTAAGGCTGCTCTTGCGCTTGGGGACTGAAATCATTGATGCGGCATCATCTTCGATGCCGAATCCGTTACGCCAAGCACCGCGAACACTCCCCATCACGGACCCTTTCTCGGCCCTCAAGGCCTTGAGGCCCTCGAGCTCGCGCTCGAGGCGAAGCGACTTCTCCTTCTCTTCCCGAAGCTCCCGCTCCGCTCGTCGAGTCGACAGCTGAATCTCTGACTCGGAGGACTGAAGTTCCTCGATCGTCTGCAGCAGCTTCTCGACCTTGTCACGCATGCGGGATACATCATCCTGCAGCTGCGTGTTCTGCTTGTCCCTGCGCTCAATCTGGCCCTGGAGGTCCTTGACGATTCGGTCAACGTTGCGGACCGATCGCTGGGACTTGTTTCGTTCATTCTCATGCTCCTCAAGCTGAGACTCAAGCTGTACATAGTAAACCATGATTAGTAATTTGCATTATTGAATGTGAGCTTTTTTTTTTTGGGTATGCTTACCTCTTGGATGCGTTTGTGGAGGAACTTGATGTCGTGACTAGCGCTGGAGTAGCCCTTGGTCTCGAGGTCAACCAATCTGATTTGAATCTCATTCAGCGACTTCTCGAGAGCGGCCTTGTCCTTCTGAAGCTGAGAGCTGGTCTCGCGTTCGACCATGGCCTCCTTCTGCATCTCAGATGCCAAGGCTTCGGCACGTCTCATCTTCTCAACCGCCGCGGCGGCGATATCTTCCTGTTGGGCCAGGTTCGACTTCAGCTCCAACATCTCCTTGTCAATGTTTGCGGCATCGCGCAGAGATGGGCTGTCGCCGTTGGTGAGATCTTCAAGGCCGGCCTTGGCCTCTTCCAGGCGTGCCTCGATGCTGCGCTTCTCCCGGACGAGAAGGTCCCGTTCCGAGGTGATATCGTCCACTGACGCGCGAAGGGATCGGACCTGCGAGAGGAGGGTGACAATCTTGCCTTGTGCCTCACTGTGGGCATTGACCGCCTCATCGCGAGAGGATACGACGTCGGCCAGGGTCGATTCGAGGCGTGATTTCTCCTTGGACCAGGTCGAGCTGTTCAGAACTTCGTCGTCCCACTTAGAGCGGAGCTCGTCAAGTTCCTCGCGCAAACGCGCGATTTCGGCCTGCTTAAAGAGCTTCTCTTCACGAGCCAGATCCAGTTCCTTGGTTAGCGTGGCGAACTCGGCTTGGTACTTCTTGCGGGTCTGCTCCATGCTCAACTCCTTGTCTTCAATTTCATTCGCTCTCTGGTTTCTGTAGTCCTCTAGCTCGTGCTGGAGTCGTTTCTTCGCTTGGGTCGCGGCTTCGAGATCGGTCGATACGTCTTCGAGTTTCTCTTCGAGTCTCTGGTTTTGGCGTTGTAGGTCCTCGAGGGTGGAATCCATTCTTTCTCTTTCGGACATGATTTCGGCGCACGTTTCCTCGGCTTCTTTGGCTTGTGCCTTCGCGAACTGCTCGGCTCGGCTTGCCTTCAGCACCGCAATTTCCGCTTGCTCCAATTTACTGAAATACTCATCAGCACGACTCTTGTACAGGTTCAAGCTGGACCCAACGTCGGCAAGTTTTGATGTCTCGTTATCAAGCCGGATCTGCAGGTCAGAAAATTCCTGCAGGAGCTGGCTGCGGCTGTCCGCCTCCTGCTCACGAGCCATCGTCATTTCCTCGAGCTCGGACTTGGTGTCGCGAAGTTCAACTTCGAGGGCAGCACGATCGTGACGCATCTTCTCGAAATGGTTCTTGACGTCCGAGAGCTCCGAAATAGCATCCCTATGGCTGTGCAGAAGAGATCGGCGTGCTTCTTCTTGGCTGTTAAGGGCATCTAGAATCTCTTCGTGGGATCGGGTTTGAATATCACGCAGGGAAAGCTCGCCGGTTCTTACGCTTCGCTCCAGGGCCGATACCTTCTTAGCTGAGTCATCCAGCATGTCGTGGAGACGACTGTTGACCTTCTCAAGTTTTTGCATGCGAAGCAAAGAGGGGCTCTCATCAAAGTCGTCCGAGGACGATGATGCACGCTCAATCTGGCTCTGGAGATGACGGTTCTGCATTTGAGCAATCTGAAGCTGATTTTGCAACTCTTCAACTTCAGCCTTGAGGTCCATACGGTTGTTGAAGCTGAGAATGTCCGCAGTCTTGTCAGATCGAGCCGAGTCAAAGGGCTCAGGCTCAAGTCGTCGAGTGGGTGTCGAATTGTTCGAATACTGGCGAGCCTGCAGCTTAGATCGCCTAAATGTAGGCGAGCCATTAAACGGGGCCTCGTTAGGACTGATCTCCTCCAGCTTCGGCCTCATGGGAGAGTCAACACCTCTATTAGAGCGTAGCTCGGCTAGCTGTGTCTCGGCGTTCGTTCGGGCAGCAGTTTGAACTCGAAGGTTCTGCTGGAGATCCTCAACTTTCCTGACAAGGTCGAAGTTCTTGGTAAGCATGCCCTCGTTTGCGCCATCCGCTTGAGGCGGAATTACAACTTCGGGATCGACTGTCTTGAGCACACTCAACATCTGTGCTCGCAACTCTTGAAGCTCTTGCTCCCTAGCCTCCATAGTTGCTTGCAGAGTGCGGACAGTGGCTTGTGCTTGCGTGCGTTGTTGGCGTTCAGACTCAATTGTCCGGTTGGCTTCGGCCAATTGCACCGTGAACGTCGATGTCATCTTTTCAGCGTTCCTCGAGGTCTTAGCTTCCCGGGCCACTTCGTGGTTCAGGTCTTCAACGTTAAGTTGCAATTTCTCAACCTTTTTCTCAAGGCCAGCGATGGTGAGCTGGGCATCCCCTAGTTGCTTGTTCAACTTTGAGTTTTGTTCCTCGACACGAGTTTTCTCCTTTTGCAGGCCCAGCAGCTGTCCTCTCGAAGCTTCACTCGCTCTGGAGCTTGAGCGTGCAATCTCGAGTCCTTTTTGTTGAAGCTTGTTGAGAAGAGCGCGATTGTCGTTTTCGGACGCTTTGAGGCGGCCCTTGACTGTGACCAGTTCACGCTCAAGTCTTTCCTTCTCCTGGTCGTTCTTGAGCCCAAACTCTCCGGAAGAAAGAATCAACTTGTTCAGCTCCTCAACTTGGCGGTTCAGATTAGCGCACTCGTCTTCGAACCATTTCAAGCGTTCATGGGCAGCATCCAGGTCCTTGCGAAGGCTTTCCTCTCGTTCGCGAGCAGCTCGAGAAGCAGCACGCTCTCCCTCGACCTCAGCTTGCATCCGGGCTTCTTCAGCTTGCGTCTTGGCGATGCGAAGGCGTCTAATTTCCTGTCGAGCTTCCTCGCGCTCCTTCTCTGCCGTATCACGAGCCTCCTTTGTCCGGCGCAAGTGATCCTGCTGAACGTAGAGTTCCTTCTCAATGATGATCTTGGACTCATTCAGATGGTCGTACTCCTCTTGAAGAGTGTTGTACTTGTGCTCACTTAGTAGTAGGACGTCATCGCGGGATTGACGCTCTCTGCTGAGTTCCTTCTGAATATTGTAGAGTTCGTCCTTGAGGTCCTTGATCTGAGCCTCCAGAACCTGCCGATTCTCATCTGCTTGCGCATCCTCGGAGAGTCGAGCTTCCAGGAGTTTTTTGGCATCCTCGGCTTCTCTTTCTAGCTGAGACTGCTGTGCTTTGATAGCCGTGAGTTCGGCCTGGACGTCACGGAGCTTGGACGCGGCCGTCTCCTTCTCAGCGGCGAGAGTTTTCTTCTGATCTTCAAATGTACGGCGATCCATCTCAAGCTTCTTGTTGTCGCCTCGGAGAACAGAAAGCTCACTCTCTTTCTTTCGGATCAAGTCTTCGTAATCTGTTGAAGTCTTGGACAATTCGGAGAGTTGTTGCTGGACCTGACGATTTTCGAGGGCGAGCTGAGACTCTCTTGACTTGGATGTCTGTAGTTCCTTCTGCGCTGCCCGCAACTTGACTTCGGCATCTTGGTCAACCTGTAGAAGCTTGCTCTCCAAGTCTCGTGCTTTACGATCCTTGAGGTTAAGCTGGCTTTGGAGCATCTTGATCTCATCCTCCAGACGTTTCTCTTGCTCACTACGCTCGGATTGCTTTTTGGAAATCTCTTCGATGGAGCGCTCCAACTCCCCCATCTTTGCTGAAAGCTCAGACTTTTCTTGCTCCAGCCTTGCAATCAGTAACGCAGCTTGCTCAAGTTGAGCACGGTACTTCTCGACATCGTGCTCAGCCCGCTTTTTGGCTTCCAACAAGTCGTCGAGCTGGTCTTCCAGCCTCTCCTGGTCTTCTATGGCCCCGGAGAGTTTTTCTTCGAGCTCGGTTTCTCGTAGTTGCAGGCGCTTAAAGATCTCTTCCTTGTCGAGGGCAAGTGCACGCTCACTCTCAAGTGTTTGCTGAATACGAACCATCTCGTTATGGACATTCCGTCTTTCCTCCTCCAGTCTCTGGCGATCGCTGACTTCTTGATGCATCTTGTCCTGCAACTGGCGAATCATAGCATCCCTCTTCTTGACCTCGGTGGCACTTCGAGTAGCACCCAGAAGGGGTTTCATCTTCACCATAAGCTGCCACCATGGGTTCTCCATGAGGTCGAGGTAGACGTTGAAGTTTCTCTGGATGATGCGAGTCGCTTCTGTTCGGAACAGCCTCTTGTATGCACTTCGTCGTTGGATGTAACCGCGAGCGACTGATTGGAATCGCGACATAATCTCGGTGATCAGGGCATCACGTTGCTCTTCCAATTCGGCCAAAACACCGGCCCTGAAGAAGACCTTGGTTAGGCCCACGCGGTACAAGCTCTTGTCAAGACCAAGCTTGTCAAGCATCATGGCGGCAACGGCTTGACCTTCTTGATAACCCTTCGGCATGTCCCTGCAGAGAACTTCGTAACGCTGACGGAATTCTGCAAATGGCAACCTGTTGGGGAAACCAGTTCGGGCAATGCGAATTCCCTCTAGAACACCATTACATCGTAGTTGATCAAGAACAAGCAGCTTGTTGAATTGCTTAGGCTTCTTCTTGTGGTTCGGCAAGATGCATCGAACGAAGTGAGGGTGGGTGGAATGCAGTTGGGCCATGAGGCTGTGAAGCTGCTCCTTGTGGCGCTGAGCGACGGTGCGGAAGAGGCCCTTCTTGACGCGGCTGCGGCTCGTTGCAGGGTCATCATCAACATCAGCACAGTCGGCGAAAAGGTCAGCAATGTGTTTGTCTGTGGAGGAGGCGAGGAGGCGAGTGATGTTATCGTTCAGCGGATCTTTGTTCTTCTCCAACCAACCCTCTGTGGAGTATTCAACTTCAGCGGCGTAATGAGTGAGTATAAAGCCTTGCCCTAGTCGGGAAGGACGGTACTTGTTGGACTTCTTATCCCATAAGGAGTTCAATTTCTCGGTAAAAGACTTGTCTGTCGCTTTTGGCATTACGCAGTCTTCATCCAAGCATGAGAAGATACCAATAGGGTTGGAGAGCTCAATGAGATCGATTGTCGGTTGAAGATCCCGTCCAAAGTCGATGAACTGCCATTCGATTTGTTCTCGGGCGTACTCCTCTTGTTCAAGGACGAACATGTGGTGGTTAAAGAATTGCTGGAGCTTTTCGTTGGTGTAATTAATATTGAGCTGCTCGAAGCTGTTTTGCTCAAAGATTTCAAAACCGGCGATATCCAACACTCCGATAAAGCGTGAATCATCCAAGCCCATACCTGTTCGGTCCAGTTGACGGTTGATGCGAGTTACCAGATCACCAAAACCTCTTTCGTAGATACCCTTCGAAAGGGCGTCTAAGCCTAGCCGAACTTGCTCAGGAGTCTGGACCTTCTCAACCCACTCACGGCCGGCCTTGACTCTCGGGTGCAGCAGGCCTTGTAAGAATGGCTCAAGGGGAACTCCGAGAAGTTTGCATACCTTGGCTGCTTGCTCCTTCGCGTCGGGTGCTAACCTGGCTTGGTCTGCGGCACGGCTCTCTTTAACAACGGAAATGTTTCCAAGATGAAGTACAGCAGCAATGGTGCGAAGAATGGAGCTCTGCTCCTTTTCCGAGAAGCCCATTACATAAAAAGCCTCCATTAAGGAGTCCCATTCATCGCGGTCCGACACTCCAACAATGGTATCGTGGCCGGCGCGGGTGTACGCAAAATCCTCAACATCAAGGCCATCGAGGAGAAACTCTGACTTCATCTTCTTGTCTGCGCCTTTGAGCAGCTGGTAAAAGATGTGGTAATTCCTCTCATGGCCGTTGATTCTCACAACACGTGACTTCTCTAGAAGGTACCAGTCAATGAAAGCGCCGGAGATGGCGCCGGCTCGGTTGAACTCGATTCGGATGAACTTTCCAAATCGTGAAGAGTTGTGGTTGCGGACAGTTTGGGCGTTGCCAAAGGCTTCGAGGATCGGGTTGGCGCGGAGAATCTGTTGAGACAGGTTTGATTGTTGCGATTTGCTCTTGACAGGTGATTCTGAGTGCGCAACTGCTGCGAGGTATTGGATGACCTTCTTGGTGTTTTCGGTTTTACCAGCTCCGGATTCACCAGTTACGAGGATGCTTTGGTTTGCACCCTCGTCCACCAGGTTACGAAAGGCTTGGTCGGCCATTGCGTAGATGTGCGGTTTCGTGTCCTCCCTGTTTCTTCCCTTGTACATGTTGATGTACTCGTTTGTGTATATAGGTAGCGGGCAGTAAGGGTTGACTGTGACCAAGAAGAGGCCGGAATATGTGTAAATTAGGTCGGCTTGGTATCTGATGTGGAGGTTATGGACCACGGATGCCTCGTTCAGATGGGTCAACTCGGCCATATCGTTTGCCTTGTCGAACTTGGCGGGATTGACTTTGTCAACGCTCTCGGCGTCAACTTCTCGCTGCTGCGTTGCGAAAGTTAGCTAGATTGTAAGACAAAACGAGACGACGCCAGCGCACTCACGGTGCCATCGTCGCATTGGACGAGTATCTTGTTATTTTCCAGTTCTTCCACTACCCAGCCTCTCACGAAAGCGACTTGCGGGTCCTTAAGCCACACATATCGCTTTCCTGAGAAGTCGTTTTCTCCTTCAATGCCCCTCACTGTGTCGGAGCCTCGGCGCATCTCCTCAGTCTTGATGAAGGAGGGCGCAAAAGTGCCAGAGCCGCTGTTCCTTGAATCGGAGCGACTATGGCGGAATTGGCCAGCAGCAGGAAGCGCTGCGGGAGCGGCAGGAGCTGCTGAGGCATGGGAGTGATTTCTGACGTGCGACGTGGGAGTCGACACAGCGGATAGCGGGGAGGGTGAAGAGAAGACTGCGGATTTGGGGCGACCGCTGCTAGGACCTGGAGAGGTCCTAGAGAAAGGATTGTTTCGTGGTTGCGCCATGATATCAACGTCCAGGAGACGTGTTTCGTAAAAGGAGGAATGCAGCCCTCAGGGCCGCGGGTCGTGTCACTTTCGTCTCGTTCGTCGCAAACGTCACTGGTAGGTGGTCCCGCTCATGGAGTAAACATTAAGACACAAGCAAAACTGCCCAAGTGCAACAATGGACAAACTCTGAAAGAAAACAATACAAAAAGAGTCGCCAAATCGCAAGTTCGAGGGCCGTATTGCCGTTGGTAAAATGACAAAATAAAGGCAGGCTTGGGAGGCTGGGAGGTGGAGGAAGAACAGCGACGTAAGGATGGATATTGTTGACTTTGGACCACTTGAGCAGGGATTCAGGAGGACGGTTGCTCAGGGTACGCCAGTGGAAGTAAACAATGGGGGGGGGGACAAGAGCCCCACGTGACAGGCGTCAGGATGTGTGTGACGCGAGACGGTCTCAAGTCAGCCTAACCGAAAAGAGGAATGGCGCATATCGAGGGCCTTTACCAAGCACGGGCGCGAATTTTATTCCGCTGGCTTGCCCCGGCATTCGATTTCATCAGAGTCTGCCCAACCTCATTCGTCGCATTGCACAACATATTCGAAGACTTTTTGATCCACAACGCTCAAACTTCTTCTCTCCCGGTATCAGGCAGGACGGAGAAAGAACCGCGCCGCATTGCATCGCCTTTTTTTGTTTCTTTTTTTCTTTATTTACTGTCAAGAAGCTCCCTGGATTACCTAGTTCCACGTACGGGGTACCTTGTACGCTTCTGCATGGCGACTGTGTTTTACCGAGCTTTGACGCCGTGAAATCTTCTTGTTATCTTGGCAAGCAACCAACGACGTTGACCGCCCACCCGGTCCCCCTCTCCCTGCAAACTGCCATGCTCTTCCTGCTCTTGATCACAGACTCGACTTACCTAGACTTATCGTGCCTTGCGTCATTATCATAGCACATCCAGTTACGCGCGCTAGTCTGACCGACTTTGTTGGGGGGGAATATTTGGCGACAGCAAATCCCAGACATTGATTGCTGGTCGCGCGCCTTCTCGTCCTTTAGGTCCCAAGTTCACTCTTTTAACGTCTGGCGCCGGCAGTCGTGCCTTCCGTCCATAACATGAACAACTACTATCCGTATGGGTACTCGACGTACCCAGGGCAGCCACCTGCTCAACCTTACGCGTATCCGACTGCACCCTCTTTCCCACCGCCAACGTATCCCCCGCCTACAAATAACGCGTTTGAACCTCACTCCCAACTTCCCGATCCCTACGACCAGAGTCAAAGTATGATACCTGGACTCGGTTATGCTCCGCCTCCCCAAGGTTATGGTTGGCAGCAACCGTTGCAACCACCGCCTCACCTACCGCAGCAGCCGCCGCCGCCAATACCCACTCCGCAGCAGTGGGTTCCGAGAGATGAGCCCAAGCTGATCCCCGCGTCGCAATATTACCCTAGAGATGCCGTTAAGGAGGCATCCAAGACTCGAAATTCCGCCAGGTCTGGGCCTAACTCGCGGCAAGCGCTCAACCAAGCGACTAAGGGCAACGAAGATACTGAGGAAGGCGAGCTCAGCGAAGGCGAATTCAACGACTTGTACGAGCCGCGAGATGCCATCATGGATACCAGCCCTCGCCAACCAGCCAGCACCGCCCAGTTGGGTGCGGCAACCTTGGATCAGGTTGACAATGGCCATGGTGCCTCTGCCGTTGTCAACTGGTATAATGGCTCAAAGAATGGTGGGGTGCAAAGCCCGGCTGCTGTGGAAACTACTAGTCCGTCTCCTTCATCCCGACGAGATTTGGACATGGAACAAAAGCTAACAGTCAAACAGCACGAGATCGATCTGGCTCATATTCTCCATATCTTTCTCCTGGTGAAATGCATACACCTGTTGCCAAACACGGCCAACACACTACTTCCCAGAAGCAACAGGACCACAGTCATGGAACGCATTCCTCTGGGTCTGGAACCGCCCACTTAGGAGCTCATGCGTTACCACAAGCTCGAAGGAAGGCACTAGCAGCTATCCTTAACCTATGGCCCCTGGATGTCCGCTACCAACAGTACATTGACGAAGGTATTGACGAAGCGGTCGTCAAGGATTTGTTTGCTCAGTTGGACTTGGATATCAGTATTCCGCGTCAATCCACTGTTCCTGGAGTCTCAGCTCAAGTACCAGGTGACTCCCAGCCAGCTGCCCAGGCGAGTACCATGCATTCAAGGGCGCGAGCAGCTACGGCCATCGCAAAGCCTCCTGTGCAGGGTCAAGCGCCAGCTTCGTCGGCTAAGTCAGCTGGAGAAGAGCGAAAGGATCGTATCGCTCGTTTGCTGGCCGCAAAGGGTGCAAAAGCTGCCACTTCAACATCTAGCAGCGGACCACAAGTCGATTCAAAACCAGGGCAGGCTCCCGGTATGAGTGACAAGGAACTTGCCCAGCAACAAAAGATGGATGCCCTGCAGAAGTCCCGGGAAGCTCGCGCTCAGAAGGCTGCCGTGCGTAAAGGTTCTTTGCAGGCTTCTCAGTCAAAGGAACCATCACCAGTATCATCCACCCGGCCTCCTTCAGCAACAACCGATCATCAAGCCACTCCTTCGGCATCCCAGCTCCCTCAACCCGCTGTACCTCAAAAACCACCAAATCAATCTGCTCCCGCATCCGCATCATCTATCCCCGGCCTATTCTTGTCAGCCGCCCAAGCTGCTCCAGTCAACAATCAACGGAAGCGTCCTGTTGCAACTGACTTCGTTTCAAGTAATCAAACCAGCAAACGTCCTTTTGGCTATCACCGCCAAGACAAGCCTTTCGTTATTGATGTTAGTGACGCATCGGACGACGAAGACGTTGAAATGGAGAAAGGGTCACCTACGGATGAGCCTACACACTCTCAGCAGATGGGCACCTCCTCTCAAAGGACCGCTTCATTCCGTGACTTCCCGCCGCTCACAGATGGTCGCCCCCAGCTTAGCCCTGCACCTAGCAACATTGCTACGCCCCAGTCAGGAATAATCGCCGCTCAGCCCAAACAGGCGCACCTGGAAGTGATGGACAAGCAGATCGAAGCCATGAAGCGGAAGATCGCATTGGCTGAGGCCCGTCGTAAGCTGAAGGCCGCTATGAGTGGCCAGTCGTCTGGTTCTAAGTCGAATGTTCAGACGCCAGACAACACCGTTGAATCTGATGGAGGCAAGCCAGCCATGAGAAGGGTGCAGTCCATGGGGGCTTCCAATGCGTCAGATCAGCCCAACGGGGGCTCCTCGCCTGTAGTTGCTGAAGCCAGCAGTTCTATGCGCTTGCCCAAACCGTCCGAACAGAGAGTTGACAGTGAATCAAGTCGTACTGAGAAACTTCGTGCCGTCAGCACGAGCCTTCCTCTTGTGGAAGGCAGACTACAAGCAAAAAAGAGCAAGTTGCGCTTGCTTCAGTCTCAGGTGGCTCGTTTGCAAAAGGAAATCGAGGAAGAGGATGCCGAGAAAGAGAAGTTAACGCAAGAGATGGAACAACTCAACCAATATTCCGACAGCGAGTCAAGTGAGCCACAGAATCAGCTGAAAAGCAACTCCGGTTAGTGATGCCCTTGCAATAAGACTTGGAAGGTTTGCCTATTAACCCTCATGCAGTGGACCCTCTTGTTTCTCAAAGGTCAACAAAACCTCAGTCTGAAGTTCAGGCTCCAGTATCTGATGTTGAAGCCACAATGCTGGCCCCAGCCTCCGATGAAGCAGGCGATTCGGCTCCTCCCAGCGGAGATGCTCCCAAGTCCCCCTCCCCCGTTGCGCAAAATGACGAAGATGCCTCCACCGTGGCACAAGTCAACAGTGCGGTTACTGGTAAAGCCGCGACGGGCCCCCCTCAAGCCCCTGATTCTGCAAACAACGCGGTGTCCGCAACTTTTGACACGTCTGCCAGCCAGGTGACAAGCGCCGATGAGGCAGAAGAGTTGCGGCCTGTTACAAGTTCCAGTGATGGTCCTTCTGATGTTGTCATGGATGAAACTGAGGACACCAGTTCTCAAGACGAAGAGCAGGGGTCCTCGGAAGCTTACGAGCCGCCTGAGGTCATTGCTCCTGTAGATGCCGCCAAATCTCCATCCATCAGCCCAGTACCCGCAGGCAGTACCGTCTCGCTGGCTAATAGTGATGCTGACCTGCAGCAGCCAAGTTCAAGAAATTCACCGGTTCCTGAACAGATCTCATTAGGTGTAAATGAATCAACCCCTGAGCAAGGAGTTGATGCCGTGAGAGAAGTACACTTCGTTTCACACCACGGTGAATCCCCATTTTCTAACCTGCTTTCAGGCCCCTTCTGCTGCGCAAAGCACTGATGAGATTTCTTCCGGAGATCGTTTCACTCCCTACGAGAGCCCGCTGCAATATTTCCGTGCTTATCGATATCATCCCAAGTATGCTGAAACCGTCGCCGGCGGGCTTCGGTCCCTCACATATAGCAACAGGATCGACCCGAATCTACCCGTTTGCCCAGACCAGCTGGCAAGTCGGGAATGCCCCAGAGGTGCTGACTGCATTTACCAGCACTTCGAGGCCATGAAGCTGCCGGGTAGGTCGCCTTCGCCCCGCAAGGACTGCTGACAACGTCACATGTTTTCGAGACATGTTGAACGCTGACGGTCGCCCCCAACGTTCTAGACGACCAGATCCTCCTCCAGCTTGGCGGCACCCAGCTTGATGGGGCTGAAAAGGCACAGTACAACGATGGGCTGCGCAAGCTCCTCCAAGAGATGAGAGCACAGAACATCAAAGATTTCCCTAGCATTGCACAGGGCATTGTCGACTATCACAATCGTTTCACCGGCGATCCGTCCAAGATCTTGCCTCTAGGCAACGTCTCGATTTAGTTAGCAAAGTGGGTGGAGCCTAGCATGACTGTTTCTCCATCTATCGTAATCCCCCTTTCCAGCACTTGTACGAGTGACTGAGCTTCTACCCCTTTTTCTTTTGCATCAAGCAATAATGTTCCCTTTTTCGTCTTTTACATAATCCGCGTATCCCTCAAAGGTTGAAAGAGCCTGGTGAGGAGGGCTTTGGGCGGCGTTTGCACGATACCCCCTCTTTGCGTTACTTTTACAAGTGATTCGGCCTGAGGCTATCAGGCATGAGGCGCAGGTGCAATGGAAAACGGCAAGTAGGCAAAGAAAAAAAAACATAATGTCTAGAGGGGAAAGAATCCACTCTACGTATTGAAAATATTGAGATGATGCAGCCTGATGTGGCGACCATCGTTCGAAATAGCTGTTTGCCCTTCATGGGTATTACGTAGACAAATCAAGAATATGTCTTCAATACTGCTTGCACTTGTCTTTGCGCAATGAGTGAACAGGACTGTAGTAAGATGACGACATCCTGGACCGGTTGCAAAGGCAGTATTAAAGTATCACTTGTGCTCTTAGGATCGATATTGTAAAGTCTTTTCGTTCTGTTGGTTTGCCTTGAACTATCATCTTCATAACATCAACGTCCAATCCCCAACAAAAATAGCCCAAACTTTATCAACTAATCCTCGCGACTTCTCACCCTTTATCCCTTCCCCCATCAACAGCCAGAAACCACCTTGGTAGCCACCAACTCGTGGGTGCTTTGTCCCTCGAAGAAGGGCGCGTTCTTGTCCGTGTTTCTACCTCCAAAGAGTTCTTTAGAGCAGAAGCCAGGATGGAAGAAGTTGAGTCCAACCACGGCTATGATAATCATGACACCCTCAAATCCAACGAAAAGGTCCTGCCGTTCCATCAACGGGCCCGTCCATCCACGGCTCAACTCCGCGATGCGAAAGACACAGCGCCAGAAGATGCACACCGTAGATAAGGTCAGCGCACCGAGGAAAAAGCGGAAGCGCCACGAGGAGCACAGGTGGCCAAAGATTGCGGCGTCGCGGTCGAGAACTTCTTGAATCGCCTGGTTATTGCTGTTGTTGTCGTTGTTACGCACGGCGCGACTGCGGCGCCAGGTGCTTATGGCGAAGTCACCCGCCACAATCATGAAGATGAGCAGGGTGAAGACTTGGAAGCAGAGACCGGCAATCATGACTTTGTCGCCCTTGTCGGTGGATTCACCGTTGTGGTTCGCGACGGAAGCGACGGTGCCGCCGGCAGCTTGGAGAATTAACGAGATCAAATCACAAGGGATGAACTATAGATCATGTTAGCTTTGGCATTCCTCCCCCCCCCCTTTTTTTGTTGTTTCCTCAAGTGCCAGAGTTGGGAAGTGGGTGACTTACTATTCTTGTGTACCACTCCGGTGCGATTCTTGAATTCGAGGCACCAAAGACTTTGACGACGCGGCAGAGGCAGAAGTAGATGGCAGCTGCAAAAAAAGTCGGACCGATGGTCAGGCAGCAGATCTGCATGAGAAAAGGCGCCTTTCGCCAAGGGTTGTTCCAGCTCATGAGGCGGCCAGCATACCCCAGGATTTCGCAGGTCACGCCGAGCATCATGGCGATATTGAAGCCGTGACCCCGGCGAGTGAAGGCGTAGGTGGCCGCAAAGGCGATGAAGGAGGCGCCGAAGATGCCTGCGAAGATGGCATTGGGGACGAGGTCGATCTTGTACATGTAGTAGCTGGGAATGAACTCGCAGTGCGGGTTTTTGGGGTTGTTGAGGCAGTATTGCATCATCAAGTAGATTTGGTTGTAGAAGCTTAGATCGTACGCACCACTGTCGAAGAGAGATGCTGCAGGGTTTTCGAAGAGGGACGCAGCGGGATCGTCGAGGAGACTCATTTTGGGCGGTTTGTGTCTGTTGTTTTGGTCTATTTTTTGGGTGCTGGGTTGGTTACGTGAATTGTACTGTTCCTCTTTGGGCAATTCTCGTTCAAGCCGTGGTTTGAATTGTGAGATGAATGAAAGATAAGAGGAAAAGATAGAGAGGCAACAACGGTCACTTCATATGCACTCCACTCACCTATTTCGGAGAAAGGTGAGCTACAATGGTGTTACTGGAGATGGGATTGATCTTGCGTACCATGGCAAACGCCCAGAAGCGAACCGAAGGAAAGAAGGCTTTAGTTCACAATCCAATGACGAACTATATCGGGTGCGCAACTGCAAAAATACAAGATGAAAGTGTTATATTTTACCGGTTTGCTGCGATACCTTTATGGTAAAAGGAGACAGCGCCGAAGTCTAATCGACGTTGGTACAAAAGTGTTGTGAGCCACTCGACCGGTGGCTGGCTAGGCTCAATGTCCAAGATGTTTACTGCAGACAACAACCCTGGTAGCCAAGGGGCTGCGATGATTCTGGCTGCAGATGGCACTCTGAGATGTTAGAATACAAAAGTTCAAGCTCGTATCAGCTATCTTGCAGAACCCCCTCAGCCAATATTGGCCTACTTTCGACAATACAGTGCCCACCCATATGTTTCAAATAACTTCTCATCACCGAACGTTTTCTCTCCCGGCCCCTGAAGAGATTACCGTCAATATAAGTAGTGACGAATAGGCATCAGTAGAGGTTGATTAACATGTGAGGAGGCTCAGAACATACCAACTCCGAATTTCATGACTGGCCGAGCATGACAGCGCTATTCGCTTCTGGGCTACGCTTCCTAGTCGAACCGCTAATGTCTTGTCAAAATACGTAGTTTATAAGAAAGATCATGGGGTAAACCTGGGGTGTTCGACGCTACTCATCAGATGCTACGCTGTAGGTTTGCCGGCTCGGATGCTAGGTGTCCCGAGATGGACTTGGCAAAGAATTGTATGACTGGAAGTGGGACAATATTTAGTTGTATTACCCACCGCGAGGCCACGGTGTGTTCCTATATTGCATATTGTCCGACTTTATTCCAACGTTTGTTTGGTAGGAATACATTAGCAGCCTACACAGCAGCTACAGACACACCTATAAATGGGGACGACACACAAGTTAAGCTCTAACGAGCTACGTGAAATCTGCCAACTCTCGAGGCATCAAAGACATGCGGCCCATACGACTCTGCCGAAATGCTACAGATCCATGCCGGTCGGTAATGTTAATCCATTCAGGTCCAGAAGTGGCAAGAACAAAAACCATGCTATTCTTGGAGTGGCACAACTCTTAACTATAAATAATTCTCTAAACTTTGAATTACGGGAAGACACGGTACAACCTTCTCTGTTTGCGGCCACAGCCCAACCTCTTGCCATCCTCATAGAGACACTCCTCACTGCGAGCCACCACTTCAAAGTTCATGCATGCGCGTGAAAGCGAAGAGTAGAAGGTAATAGACACGATGAGAAGGTTGGCAGGTAGTTTTCAAGTTCAAAAGTACATTGAGAAAAACGGCCGTGTACGAATTATTCAAATTACCTCAAATCGTTTTTGTTACCTAAGGCTCCTGTGTGAGAAAGTGAGAAGCCTGCACTGGGCTAAGATAGTAGTGTTGGGCGTGTGCTTTGCTTTGGAAGAGAGGCAGATTTCGGACACTGCCCTCATTCGCGTACTACTGCCAAACATATACCCGCCATGGCCGGATTCTGTACTGTTCTCTCCGCTCTTGTATGCTGAATAATGCATCGTGAAGACTGATACTAGCGTTCCTTCCACATAGCTAGGCTAGCAACCTTGTTTGCTATTGATTAGAATGACACAGCGGTACAAGTACAAGATCAACACTACATCTGTCAAGTGTGCTGTATTCCAACTTTGGAACGCCCAATTTCTTCCACTCCCGGACATCAAGCCTATGGAGCTACTGTAACCCGCTTCTTCTTCTTCCCACTCTTAGCCTCGTCCACGCCAGCGTTGCCCAACCCCCTTGCATCAATTCCACTCTTCGTCACGACTCCTCCGAGAGCCTTACTCGTACCCAAGCTGATGCCCTTACCCTCGCGCATGCTATCCAAGCTCAAATGGCTTCCTCCACTACCTCGTCGTACACCAATTCCCTTGAGCTTCGCCGTGGGTGACTCGCGAGTGTCTAGTGGGCCGTCGCTCTTGCCGTCTGGATTCGTCGTATGGCTGTCGGGCCTATCCGGTGAAGAAAGAACGTCGTCGTCGTTAGCTACAACCTGAGAATACGGAGTTCTCATCCGCGTGGTCACTTGTGGAGAGGGAATCCCCGATCGTCGTTCTCGAGACTTATAAGAAAGCGGGCTTTCCGTACCGTTTCTATGTTGAGGTTCGTCCACCGCGTTGGAAGCCTCGCTTGCAGATACATCGCTGTCCTTAGCAGCATGTCGATACGCGTTCCCAGAGCCAAGGAGACTTTCCTGTCTCGCCAATTGATACCGGGCATATTCTTCCTTTGAGTGTTGGGCGTCTGTGAAGCTGTCAAGGGCATCGAAAACATGGGGGAAGACTTGGGCATCAACGTCGCGGCCCCAGAGGAAGTCAAGGTGCTCGTAGTGGGGGATCTCGGTGGCTACAGTTTGACTTGGGAGCTCCTTGAGCATGACTTTGATGTCGACCAACGAGTCGCTGCCGCCATAAACAAGCACGATGGGTGTCTTGATGTTTCGCGTTGGATACTTGGCGACTTTGGTGTACTTGCTCGATGAGCTAATAGACACAGGCGGGTGGACATCGTCGTCGTACATCTGGAACGATTTGTTGCGGATAATTTGGAACCAATGAACCACACTCTTTGTGCTAGTGAACGAGTAGAGATGGGGATAAGCGGCGAGTTTCTGGCTAAGTGAGATATTCTTCGTTTGCCAGTTGAACAAGAAAGAAAGTCCAACATCGATAGCGCGTACGAAGATTGGCGGATAAAGAATGGACTGCCACATCGTTGCGGAACTCAAAATAGACCGGCGGCCGAAGAGGAGAAACAGTACCTGGGGTGATGCCTTGACCAAAGCGTCTACGATGCCATTAGAAAGACCAGCTGGCGACATAGCAGGTGCCAAGGCAATGAAAACGTTGACCTGCTGGTTTAGCTTAGGGTGGATGGCGAGCGTGGCGAAGGCTTGCGCAGTTCCCTGAGAGAATCCAATATACGATAAGCTTTCCTGGTCTGTTGTCTCAAGAATATAGGCGATGCTGTCGGGGATGTCATGGAACGCAAACTCGTCGATAGAAAAGTTCCAGAACTCCAGCGACTTGGGCGAGTGGGCGACCGACTTCTTTGAGTATTTGTTGCCGCGGTTGTTACCCAGCTACGGTTACCGTCAGATCCGTACTTAGTGGGATGCATTAGGAACACTTACCCAGACGTCGTACCCCTTCTCAACAAGCACAAAAGGCAAGCATCTCTGCTCATCGGTCAAGCACACCCAGACTTCCGAGTTCATGAGAAGGCCATGGTGCAAGTACACGACCTTCTTCTTTAAGCTGTTTGGGCCGCAGTTCACCTTTTGGCCCTCCTCTCCCTTCTTCCACGCTAATCGGTGGAGGCCAAGCAGGAAGCCATCCTTCGTTTGTGTAACGTGCTCCTCAGCTTCGTATCCGAACAATCGGCAGAGATCGACAAAATCGGAGGCATCCCTCACGGAAGTCGAAATAGCTATGCGACACTCGGGTTAGCTCAATTGCACCATAGGGAGGAAACAAGGGCTGGAGAACTGACACTTCTTGCGCTCCTCTGCACGTTTATGCGCCGGCGTGGATAGTCGATTAAACAGTCGACGCGACGCTCTATAAAAGAGCGAGATGAGCGGCGACGCTGGGAAGCTCCACGTTAGCTAGGTTGGACGCCACAATCCGGGCAAAGGATGCGCATTTACGTACGCAGAGCTAAGGTCAGGACACGAATAATAGCCTCAAGTCCTACCAGGAGAAAAGAGCCCACCAAAGCCACATACTCGACGCTATACAGTTCCATCAGCATGGTGTTGAATTCGTAGCATTGAAGCTTCTAAATATTGGAGTCAAGGGAAGAGAGGGAGGGAGTGAGTGAGTAGTAGATGGATTGGCCTTTGGGATAGCCCTTACATGTTTAGTCGACCGATGAAAGGGATAGGCATCTTTCGAACAGGGTCGAACAGGCAGGGAATGCAAAATAATGCGATAAAGGACTGCCGGCGCGAATCAAAAACGATTATGTCTTAAAGTGGGAAAAGAAAGGAGCTTTCAAGGCATCATCACTATAATTTCTGAGGGGGGCCTAAAGCTTAACTTAAGAAACCGGGCCGTATTTCTGGTTGTTGGCAATGAATGGCGAAAAGAAATGTATCTGGAAAGTGGTCGGGCGCGAGGTGATGTCACATGTGAAGATACATCTGAGGGAGAGCTCTCAAAAAGGTCAAGGTCCCAAGGAAAGTCGAGGTCATAGGTACTGTGCTGTCACACTCTTGGCCCAAAAGAGTGACAGCGTGCCAGCGCAGCAGCGGGCAAGGTACCTTAATAATTAAGGAATGAGAGAAGGGGGCACGGGGTTTGTATGAGAGCAAAGCGGGTTGAATGACAAGCCGAATCCTTGAATAGCGGAGACTTGAAGGACTGCAGGGACATGGCACTAAACCAACCTTAGCGGCCGCTCTGTGCTCTCACACCTTGCAGAAACCGCTGCATCCGAGTGGGTTGTTTCTTTTGTCCAATCACAGGGGGCCTGTTTTTTTTCTTCTGTCGCAAACTCGAAGCTCCGGCAAGCTCCAAAGTCGAACCACGACTTAGCTGCCTCTATCCACCAAGGGAATGCCCCCAAGATAGTCAACATGCCTAGCTCTTGCAAAGAACTTCGTGAGTAACCTCTATAGCCAACTTAATGCACTTTTTAATGGTATAAACTGACTCAATTGCAGGCGAGGCCCTCGCGCAATGTCTCCAGGAATCCGATTGCGTGATGGTCCACCGCAACAGCGCCTCCGACTGCCTCCGTTCGCCCCTCGTCGAGACTCTCCCCACCAAGTGTCAGCAGCTTAAGAAGGGTTTTGGTGAATGCAAGCGCGGTATGGTCGACATGCGTAAGCGCTTCCGTGGCAACATGCCCGTCAACTACAAGACCATGAACGACGCCGAGGCCGGCAAGGGCTACCAGCTGTACGCTGGACGGCCCGCCTTCGCCGGTGGCAGAGGCGAGACGGACGGCAACGAGCCCGCGCCGAAGGACTGGAGGGAGGTTGAGAATGAGAAGTACCGCGCCGAGCAGGCCGCGGCGCAGAAGAAGTGATCTCTTACAACTCCACGGCGAAGCAAACAGCACGAGATACTGTACAGGCTATGTGTATGATCTGAAGAGCGAGGCATCGGGAGGCGTCTTGGAGTTTACAAAATGGTCTAGTTACCAGTGTACGAGTATAGGCTGCGTTATGTCTTTGGAATGCTCATGGCGAATATCACGGCTCAATCTACGGCTTTACTACCGGAAGATTGTGTCAGCTTCTGGCCCAAAAGCGGAATGTCGCAATCAGGCACTCCATCATTCACGAGCGTTGTCCTGTGAGGATATTTTCAACCAGAAGGCTTCCTCGAAGCACGCAGGTGACGAATTTCGAGGACTGTCGGATTGAACAGCCAATCAAGTTCAAACTGAAATATCTAGTAGCCTCGGCCACTAGACCTAACATCAGTAAGCTATATTTGACTAGAAATATACAATGATATTAAGTACAATCACTTGTTCTAATATCTCAGCCACTCATATCACAATGGCGCGTTGAAAAAGGAAATCCAAAGATGATTCTTTGTTCTTTGCAAAAGATTTGAGTAGTACAGAGCAATACCAAGTAGGGGTGGAGGACACCAAACATTAACCCTAGCACCACTTGGTGTTTCAGTCGCACTTTACAGAGCAAAGAGGACTTGTCAAGGAAGTAATGATCTTAGTCTAGAGTCCAGTAAGTAGACCGGGATTGAAACCAGCCGCACACGAAGAATCAATAAGCCGCATCTGTTAGGTAGTCACTCCACCAAACAAGATTGTAACAGATTCAAATACGCATGTAATTATTGAATTATATTTCTGCCGAATGTGTCCTATGTTCCTCTTCAACTCTCTGGGACAACTCTTCCGAAAAATGCACATCCCATGCCCTATTCCTTCCAGCTAATATCCGTATTTTAGTCCGTCCAGGTCTGGTTGGTTGATGCCCTTGGGGCACCATAATCCCCCGCACCACGAAAAGGTCCAGACTTTGCAAGGGACCTTCCACGCAGTTTCGGACCCGTACAAGCGTACGAGCCCATCCCCTACGCTTCATCAGGCTTGCCCAACTCTCGGCGTTATGATGGGCTGATTTGAATAAAAAGAAAAGAAAAAAGAACGCGTCATCCACTCGATTCCCATCCGGCTCAAGCCTTTCCTAAACTCACAAGAAGTCCAGGCCAGGCGAGTCAGGATAAAGCCCCACCTTCTCAAACCTTCCTCTAACTCACGAAGAGTCTGATCCAGGCGAGGCAGGTGGAACAAAGAGCCAAGGAGAGAGGCGCCGTCACTTCAGGCTCACACAGCCCTACCAGCGGATTCTCATCATCCGTGGCCAGCCGCGCCGGGTATTGATAGTTGTGCTGCACGTTTCCCGGCGCGTGGCAACTTCGAACGGATCATCAACGCTTCAGGTATCTGCGGATCCTTCCAGCGGTGTAAAAAGTTGTTTTGAAAAAACTGATTCTCGACTTGTCTTCCGGCAGGTATGCCCCGCCTCCAGACAAGAAAATCGAAAGAAGCTTTTGCCCAACACCTTCAGCTCAACACTTCCGAGGAAGGGAACATCCGGGTGGAACGAAAGTGGCACTCCTGGCCTGCTCAACACTGCGCATGATAAATTGTCGGTGGTGTGATGATCGTAGCGAGCATGGCGGCGGAACGGGGGAGGCTGATTGAGAGAAGAAACGCAGGAATCTATGGGCTTGAGTGGAGGACTCGACTGCGTGGCGAATTCTAGAAGGAGAGAGTAGAATTGCGCTAAAGAAGAGGAGGATGAAATTCAAAAATCGCAGGACGGGTGAGAAAGCTTTATAGGAAGCAAGTAGTCGTCCATCAGAAGCCGGTGGAGTTGAAGTCGAGAAAAGGTTTGGAAGCGGCAAAGGCAAGACCAAGCCTCCACTCGGTATGATCTGCAGTTTGTGAACCACTGGCACCACACACCTGCAAGAATGCACGCTAGCAAGCGTTGGCCGTCCCTGTTCCGGTAGGAGGTTGGGGGGGACCGGGAACTGACCAGCCCCATCAGGTTTCGGTGGAAACGTCTCAACCTCTCTCCTCCACCCACCCAGCACCCCTCCAACGAGAACTTGTAACGACTTCATACCCTCGTCTTCTCCAACCTCTCCCAACCCCAAAACCCCATGAAACCAGGAGCGACTCGCAACTCCCAAGGATCTCATGGCCTGATGTCTGAAACCTGAAATTGCAAATCATCGATCCATCACTACCGCTGGGCTAGCCGCGTTTTCAAGCCAAGCATTTCTCGCTTCAGCCCTTGTCGTCCAATTGCTTACGTTTCTGTCCGCAAGCGGACTTTACACTCGTCTCACCCACTTCTTCGTCCTTCTTCCGTCCGAGTAGCGGGGCAATAAGGTGTTACCAACGGTTGGTAGGCAATCCCTAACCTTAAACGGGGTTTTTTGGTGGCCTTCTTCCTGCCCCTCTCGTGACGACGACAAGCTTTTGAGGTGGCCTTTCGGTGCTGCAGCATCTACTTCGGGCTAGGAAGGTCTGGTGTCAAAACTACAGTTGTTTACTACTATCCCTCATCGATACACTGGATACTTGCGTTCCATAGGGTGGACGGACAGCATATCGCCCATCTCGGCATTTACGAGGTCAAGGAATACTGTACCAAACGACCGAACACAACACCGATCAAGATGGCCCCAACTATTATACAGTGGATCCTTGATACTCGGAATTTGTATCCAGAAGCCACCGAAACCAAGCAGCTCGAGCAAGTAGTAAGAAAGCTCCCTCTTCACTTCAGCGAGAATCGCCCGTGAACCCCTTGTCTGTTTCGTAGCTCTCCTTGCAAACCGACCCCTCTCCTCAATCAGATCTTTCCCCCAATAATTTTGTTCTTTTGGTCCGATAGTTCATCTGCTTCACTTCAACCCCCTGAAGAAACAACCTGACCAACTGACACAAAACACAGGCATCCCGGGCCCTTGCTCTTCTCAACGCCGATGAGCGCAAGGCCGTACTGAAGTACTACCACGTTCGGGACGCAAAGCTGTCACTGGGCTCGCACCTCCTGAAACGCTACGTCATCAGTCGTTTCTGCGGTGTTCCCTGGTCCTCGGCCACCGCCGTCCGCGACGAGCGAACCAAACCCGTCTTCCGTGCCGCTGACGGCTCCACCCCGCTGAGTTTCAATGTGAGCCACCAGGCCGGTCTTGTCGCGCTCATTGCGGTCCACGGCTATGACCCGCTCAACGGCCCCGTAGATGCCGGCGTCGACGTAGTGTGCACCTCGGAGCGCCGGACGAGAGACCACGGGATGCTTAGAAACGAGGGCTGGCCTCGTTTCGTAGACTTGCATGCTGACGTTCTATCGCCAGCTGAGACAAACTTTCTCAAATGGCAGGTCCTTTCGGCTATTCCGCCTGGTTTGAAACCAGGAGCGTCGTTAGAGGATGCCGCAGACTTCAAGCTGCGATGTTTCTACGCTCTATGGTGCTTGAGGGAGGCGTACGTTAAGATGACAGGCGAAGCGCTCCTTGCACCGTGGCTCGCAGATCTGCAATTTAAGAAGTTTCGGCCACCGACCCCAGCAGAGAAGTTTGAGGACATTGGCGAGGCGGTCACAGATCATGAAATTCTCTTCAAGGGTTCCAAGGTTGATGATGCGAATGTATGTCTGAGAGCACTAGGCCCGGATTATATGACTTGTACAGCAGTGCGGACTCCGCAGCGTAAAGAAGACGGGCTGGCATTTGAGATGGGACCATTTACCATGCTTTCTTTAGAAGAAGTGCTGAATTTCGGAGAGTCTCATTCCAATTCGGGATAATTGACCAAGTAAACATCTGAAGACGATTGCTTGTCATCTGAACTGATCATTCAGCTCGGGTTTCCCGGCACTTTAGCTTGGCAAGTAATTACCAATTGAACAGAAGCCGCATCATGGAAAACACACTGCTCGTATGTTGACCTTAGGAAACACCATGATAGAACTTGTTTACCAACTTGGTTCACCGATTTGTTCGCTTTTCTTGTATAATTTGACAGAGTAACACGACCCGACATCAGTTTATGTGTGCAAGTGCAAGATCAGGCCAATCGCTACTCAAGTTAAAAATTCCCTTGATCTTAAGCCAACCTGGAGACTCCTCTTCGCGCATCTCCCCAAAAGCCTCTGGGGGGAACAACCAGAATCCCAACGCCGGACGTGGCGCCACAGAAAGCACTTCTGGGCCGTCGAAACTAGGCAAGCTAGGCCTCAGTCCAGATGCCGTTCCAAAGCATCCCGCTGGCCGGTTACCGTTCCATCCTTCGCCCTCCCAGCCACGGAACCACCACTGCAGCCTCAGCCACTCAAAGTCCTCTTCCTGAAGGTACCCGATAGCATCCGCGCGGCTGCGGACGTTATACTCCTGGTTGGAACCAATCATCACACGAACGTCCACTGACGGATCGAGCTCGTCCGGGTCGATAGTGAGGTTACGTAGCAGGCTCCGCCAGCCGAAAGGTTTCTCGCGTGGGTCATGCACGCCACCCCATACTTTCAGCAGATCGCGCGAAATGTTTCGCGGGTCCCGAGTTGGACGGTCAAAGAAAGTAAAGGCCGGAAAGATAGGAAAGCCGTAGTTGAAGACGTGTGCGTGGGTATAGGTCAGCACATCGAGGGCGCGGCCACCAGGATGGACACACATGAACCAAATGCTCTTGAGGTTTCGCACAGTAGCCGCGAAAGCTTCCATAGCGGTATTATCGATGCCAGGGGGCTCGAATGCCATGATATCTTCTCTTCTCGGGTGAGATTCGTTGTTGGTGGATGATGCACTGAAGTTGTCATTGATGACAAGGTGTTGGAGACCACGGCCTTGGGGGTCCAGGGCGCGAAGGTCGTGGATGAAGTCAATAAATATGTTGTTCCATGATGGTCCGGCTGCGATTTTAAGGTAATCCCAATCTAGGTTCAGTGAGAGTGTCCTCTTCTCGCTGTGAGGATTGGATCCGAGGTAGCATGGTAGCTTCACATGGTAGAAAGCTAGGGTGGCTTCTCGAGACTCGCGGTTTACTCTCATAAGCCTTGAAAGGAATGGGCCTCGGGGTTTTATGACAACTCTATAGTGATTTCCGGTCATAGGCCTACCTAAGGCGTTAAGGAGCGTATATCTGGTATGACAAGAGAGATTTCTATCCCCCACCTCCTCAACAGTCACATGCAGCAAGCGATTGCACCGGAGGGCGTGGTTCCATACGAGCAGGCGGAGCTCCACTGGTAGTTGAGAGAATATGTGAAAGGAAAGCTGATTTGACTCCGATGGATCGTAGTTGAAGAGTTCCAAGTGTGGCCGCTTAGGCAAGTCGTCGTCATTAGGCCCTTTCGAACACTTAGAGGTGGTAGCCATCGTGAAAGCCTTGATGTTCACTTCGATACACCCAAAAGCTGAATCACAATGTCGCAAATAGGAGTTCGATGACGGGCGCGAGACCAAATGTCATAGACAATTTAAGCGAGCTGTATTTCAGTCTAGCATTCGAGTGGCGTTGAGCGTTGACTCAAATCGTCGAGGTGCAGCTGGTCGCCTTGCCGCCAATGTCTTGCCCAATCAGCTCCCAGAAGGTTGAAGTCACGAACACTCCTTTAACATTGGTTACCATACCATGTTGTAAGCAACCAAGTCTTTACATTGGGCTATCGAGACTATCTGGCCTTGAAACCCTTGCAAACCTGCCGACAAGAGTCAGTACATGGACACAAAACAGTCGAGGGACGGGGGAAGGAGAAGCTAGAAGAAAACCGTCGATTTTATGCCTTATATTGTGTCAACCAAACAAATGGGTGGATTAATACACCATTATTTAGTTGATGTAGGTTTGTAGTATTGCATGTCCCGACGCTATGATTCTCTACGACCGCAATTTTAGAGACACTATACCCTCAACCCCCCAGCCTTCACATCAACCAAGACCTTCCTCGAAGCCTCTGAGAACTTGGGAAGGGCAACTCCATCTCCTTTTGGTGGCTCGGCATAGTATAGGGGCACAACCCTCTTTGCACCTTTGGCTACCTCCAAAATAGTCCCGTTGCCATACTCAGGGTTCTCGCATAGCTCAAGCATGGCTCTCGCAATCTCCTCTGGCTCGATAAACAAGCTTTCGCTCTCCTCGCCACTAGCCATGTCTTTCTTTCCAGGGTCTTCGTGCCACATCGGTGTCTACAAAGGACAAACATAATCATACGTCAGCAAATACCCACTTAGAAGATGACATGAGGTAAGCTCTCACTCACCATGACAGCCCCCGGCGCGACGGCACTACAACGGATCCCCAAAAGATCCCTCATATCTCCCAAACTTCTCACGAAGCCATGAAGGCCGTGTTTGCTGGCGAAATACAGCGGTGTTCCGATCCCGTAAGCATGTCCCGCGATGCTGCTCACGTGAACCAGACACCCTGGGCGGTGCTCCTGTGTCCAGTACCCGATGGCGAGCTGGCTTAGCCTGATTGGGTGTGTTAGGTTCACATCGATAACAGCGTACGTCCCAGGTTCGGCGTCTGCAACGTCACGGGATTCAGACTGCGGGTTGGATGGCGTCTTTGGCGCATTCCAGAAAGAGCTCCATGCTGGCTCAAAGATACCTGCGCCGGGGACAACAATGTCAACATGTGGAAAGCAAGTTAGGGCTCGGTTCCATAGACGGGCAAGTTGAGGCCAAGAGGTGACATCGGTTTGTTGAAAGAGCGCGCAAGGGCGTTTGCTAGAGGATTGTTGGTCGGGGTATTGTGAGATGAGGGCAGACGCCTCGGGGCGCAGAGCCAGATCCCCAATGAGGGCCGAGCAGCCATTCTCGAGGAGGAGCTTTGCGAAGGCTAGGTTGATGCCTGGTTCTTTCTAAGTAATGCCTCTGTTCAAAGGTGATGATGATCAAATCATACCTGACCCTGCGCCGCTTATAACAGCATACTTCCCGGCCACGGATAAAGACATGTTGATGGAATGATTTGCGTCGATAAATCAAATGAGGTCCAGAAACTTTGATAATAACTAGTTCGTGTCCTGATGGCTGTTGGGCATCAATGAGGCGGAACTCTTCCGAGGGCAATATGCATGTCTTACAAGTCGGTCCGCGAATGGGCATCATAATCCATGGAGCGAGGATGGATATCTTCACCCGGCGCGTAACGTGCTTTAATCTGAAACAATGATACACAATAAAAAGCCACTTTTTGGGGTACCATTATCCGAGGAGGGAACGGCGCAGTCCTGCAATTGAACCTCTAGAACCTGTAGAATGATATATTCGTGCAATGAGTCCCAGCTCGCCTTAAGAGTATCATCCAGGTGGGAGTGTAACACTCTAGGAGTATTACATTTTTATTACTATTATAAGTAGATATGGGACTTATGCGGCTTTTGTTCCCTTTTCCTCGTCAAAACCCCCCCTGGAGAAATCACTAGCTGTTATGACTGCCTCCCGACGATGATCGCTTTCGTTATCCTCTGGTTTTCCTTCCCTTGTCGCCCATCCATCAACATACCTTAATGTCTCCCGACTCCATATCTTGTTCATCAGGAACAATCTAACTGGCACTAGGATAATGATGATAATGGGGAAACCCGGAGCAGCAACTGTTAACGTTACGCCAAATACGATACCGGTAAGAATGAGTTGCGAGATCGTGTATAAGTGAATGCCGCCCCATGATGCGCCATGAGGTAGCGCTGGCAGCTCCGAAATAGGCGTAAGCAGGTGCCAGATCCTCGTCAAGATAGGATTGACGGACAACGACTGGTAGCCCATGAACATGAACAGCCCCGCAAGAACTGATGTCGGCGTGAGACCTAGGACATGTTGAAAAGGTGGGCTAACGAAAATGAAGATGCCTGCTGCCTGAATGAAATGTGAATATCGCTGCTCATGGACTCGCGTCACAGGTTTAACAGGATGAGTTTCACCAGGTTCAGAGTCTGGCGCTGGCGGATCCTCAACGACTGTGTACATTAGAGACTCCGAATGAAGTGGTGCTTGCGGAAGAAGCCCATTCGCAGGGGGGATGCCAAGAATGCCGCACATGATTGTAGTTGTGCCCAAGAGCATGACATCCCACGCGTAACCTCCAGGTTTTTGGATACCGTATCTCTTAGCCGTACAGATGATGCTGCTGATTTCGTGGTCGAAGTAGAAGAGAACGGTGATAATGATGCCCGGAATGATTGCGATGAAGATCCACCCGATGGGAAGTTTCCAGAATTCCACAAAGAAGTAGTTTCGATCCGGGGAGGACGGCTTGAACGTTTTTTGCACCATCAACCTATTGTGATCAAGGTGTGCCAAGTCACCAACATAAGGCATGCCGATGAAGAATACGATCGAAATCGCAGCAGCATACTCCGTCAAGCCCATGCGGATGTACCTGTGGAATAGGGGCTTCCACGACATTGCGGTGGACAAGAAGATGGCTAGCAGACATGTCCCGGCAGCACCAATGATCGAGTACAAAAAGGCTGCGAGCGAGACTACCGCTTTAGTGCGCTGAAGCTCTCGAACAGCCTTGTAGAAGTAAATCACGCTGTTCAGGAGTGAGAATATGTCGGCGCTGAAATCGGTAACGTATTGCATGGTGTAGTCGTGGGCATTGAATATTGCTAGAAGATAATGCATCCAGCCAGCGTGAATCAATGCCCATGCCATGAAAGGCAAGAAGGGAATCTGTTGATGTTAGCTGTGTATCATGTATCGGAAAATCCCGCAGCACATTACCTTGAATGAGTTCTCACATAGCGAGTATATGTTCTCAGCCAAGACTGAGAAGGGCCCAGTGACACCTAGAATGGTCAACGGCTGTGCTGAAAACCTGGGAGGCTTGTTAGCATAGGAGTTTTTCGATGACTTTCGTTTATAAGAGACTCACAAGGCGAAGATTATTCCACAGAGGCCAGTACTAAAGACAACCTCGATGGTGCCCCACGACTCTCCAGTCAGGACGTACAAGTCACTAGCGAAGGTGATTCCTGGCAGGATATTGGTGAAAAAGACATATACTGCACTAGCCAGCACGAGCTGGTTAAAAACAGCCCAGTCCGAAACATATCGCAATCTGAAGTTCAAGAAATCTTCCCTCAACAGTCTGAATGGCCTTAGCTTTCCACTCTTGGCAAAGTATCCTCGCCATCTGCTTGGTTGTCGCGAATTTTGCCGTCCCGAACTTATTTCAACGGCTGATGCCTCTTCTTGATTTTCGGGCCTTCGCGTTCCCATGCGAGAAACAGCCTGCGAATCGTGAACTGGCGCAATAACGTCATCACGGGCTTCCCGCGCGGTGGCCGACCCATTTCCACGGTTGTCATCGGTCCCCATTGCCATGGGCGTTGGCGCCATTAAATGTCGGCGCTAGGGCTACGATTGTCATACAGGTATTGAGAGAATAGAGAACGATTGCCGGCTAAAGGCAATAAAATATGGGTTGTATTGGAGGCAAAGCATTTTTAAGTATTGAAATGGCGTAACATCTATTCATGTGAACACTAGAGAGAAAGAGAAAAAGGTCCAAGAAGACACCACCTACCTCACTTGGAGGTTGCGTGGCAGAGTTTGGCAGAGTTTAGCATGGTCTCGAAGCCTCCAAGGCTGTTCCTTGGCAGGACTAGGCACGATGGCAAACCACGACTACTCGACAAATCGAACTGTGTCTGTTCACCACGTGGATTGAGGACGCTCATTGGATGGTCTTGGCGAGTGGAACAGGACACCGACCTCGGCTTTTTTTAGCATGTGACGTCACCGCGCATGAGCCAGAAGCTGCCCCTCCAACGAGAAAATAGGCTTATCCAATAACGTGCTTCGGTCAAGCAAGGCTGTGAGACGGGTGTCATCAGGCTGAAGAAATTTTGACTTGGTCAAAATTTCCGTCAAAATTTCCACCGATTGGCCTGTAGCTCCGTTAACCGTCGACAGTCAAAGAAACTGCGCATCAACCAAGCCCGCAAAACAATGATTACTCACCTAGGGTAGATCCACTCTTATCATAGGGCCAATCTGGTCAAAGCCTCTATCCGTTCCCTCTTACCCCACCATACGCATACGAAAAGATGCTTCCGACTGCTGCTCGCCGGAGCTTTGTGCCCCGCCTTCGCTTCGACGTATCCGACTCCATCCCCCGTTCTTACTACCTCGGCCACCACCATGCTGCCCTCCGCGATATCACCACTCGTCTTTCAGAAGTAGGCCTCGTTCTTGAGTGCCGCGACTACCGTGTCCCCATTACAAGCTGGAACCCGATCCTCGACCGCGCCATCGCCGGCCGCGAGCGCATCGTCGTTTACACCCATCGCGATCTGGGTACCGACAGCCCACAATCCGTAGAACAGGCCCTACGCCGTTTCCACCGCGGACAGACCGCCGCGGGGGGGTCTCCACAGCGAGTCGTCTTCTGGCGCAAAGATGACGGGGCGAGTACGAAAGGCCTGTTGGCTGAGATACGGAACGTCGCGCGTGGCGTGGACAGCTTAACGGGCATGCGCGCGCTGGTCGTGGGCATGCCCAACGTTGGCAAGAGCACGCTGCTCAACAAGCTCCGTAAGCATGGCATGCAAAAGAAGCCTCAGGTGGCTAAGGTCGGCGCACAGCCTGGAGTCACACGCAAGTTGTCTTCACCTGTGCGCATTCTTGAATCTGAGGCTGAAGGCGGGACGGGGCTTGGCGAAGGCGTCTTTGTTCTCGACACCCCTGGAGTGTTCATGCCTTACGTATCCGAGGCTGAGAGCATGGTAAAGCTTGCACTAGCAGGGTCCGTCAAGGATGACCGAATTCCCATGGTGATCCTAGCAGACTACCTTCTCTACCGACTAAACCTCTTGGATCCCAGCGCCTATGCCAAGTACTGCGAACCCACGAACGAAGTTAACCAATTTCTCGACGGTGTAGCGAACAAAACGGGCAAGCTCAAGAGCGGGGGCGAAGCAAATGCCGAGAGCGCTGCTGACTGGATTATCAAGCAATGGAGAGTCGGTCAACTGGGGAAGTTTGTCCTCGATGACGTCAATGACGACGCCTTTAGGGAAAAAGAGCTTGAGAAGGAGGGACAGGGGGCGCTGAGCATGAATCAGGCGAGGAAGAGGGAGAAGGAAGCCAGAAAGGAGAGAGCTTTGAACAAGAGCAAGATGATTTGAGTGAGACTCAAGGAAAGTAATTCTGGGAATAAGAGCTATAGAGATACCCCGCACTCTGTATCATACATGTATAAGATAGGTAAAGGAGGGTTATTTGTACATTAGATGCGCCAAGATGATGCCGAAATGTCGCCAGACCTAGTTTTAACTCCAACCCAGTTGGGAACGCGTTCGCGAGAGCGCTGCCCGCAACTTGGGAGGTTCGTTTGTGTCCGGGTATTCGACAATTCACCCCAAAACCTGGTAGTACCGACCGAAATCAAAACCTATAACCGATGCATACGCAACTTTGACTGACCATAGTAGCCATTTTTGTAACCCATTGCTCCAATCAATCCCATCCTACTGGGATAGCCTCAACGCCGAAAAGTTAGCCCAATCAAATAATGTTGTACCGTCGGATGCCACCGCCGGAAGATCTCTGGTATCATACGCCGAAGCCAACCACAACTATGCCTGTCGCCAACGAGCAAGCGCTCGTTTTAGGGGAAAAGAAACCACCGTAGAGCGACGCAGTAGCCAGAATATTAAGAAGCATACTGGTTCTGCCACCGCAGCAAGTCTCGAGTCAAAACGTCCATCATTTCCACGCAATTTAGAGCTTTGAACTCCTTCGATTCGGATACATTTTCGTTCAATGCACCGTTTCCGACTGATGATTCTTTTGCTTCCATGTCTGGGGCGCCGTCAACGCTGATTTTTGGAGCATCTGGCGCAATGGTCGCGCGAGGGCTTTGTTGCTGAGAGCTATTCTGGCTGCTCCGTGACCCTGGCAGGGCCTCTCCCGCCAACTCCACTTGTGTTTTGGAAATGAAGTCAAGGAATGCTGTCACTCGTCGTTTCATATCGTTCATAGATACTTTGCTATGCGCGTTGTTCGCTCTGTTCCTTGCTCCATGCTTGGAATGATCGGCGGCTGAGTGCTTGCTAACTCCAGCGCCAATATGGTCGTCGTGGTTCCGCACAATGTCTCTTGACATCGAACGGGCCGGTGTATCTTCGTGCTCGTCTCGATCTTTAGTATACTGATTTCGACCCTTTCCCCTCTTTTGATGGTTACGACTTGACTTCTTGTGTGTGCTGCCCGTAAGTACTGGGTTCGCAGGTGGAGTATCGGGAGTCGGCGCAGAGGATGGGGGTGCCTCGAGCGGCACGGCGACCTCGGTGCTAGGCTTGACCGCAGGTCGAGCGGATACAACAGGAACCTCTTCCGACGGATCTGAATCCGTGCCCACGTGAGCTTCAGACTCCTTAACGAGATTCGTGGTTGTAGTACCCTCAGCCCTTCTGCGATCTGCGCGACCCTTGCGCCTGTTGGCTGCCTCGGCACGCTGGCGATCACGCTCTTCACGTTCCGATTTCTCACGTTGATTGCGGGCACTGCGAACCTTTTTAGACTGGCCATTGCGAGTGTTTGATTCCTCTTCGGATTCGTCCTCGACGGCCTGGGATTTTTCGGGGGGCGGCGACATCGACGGGGAACTAGTGCGTTGTCTCTTTAGACTAGCCAAGTTTCTACACCTGTTAGTGGTATCAAAACAACAATGCAGTTAGCCACTTACTCCTCGCTATCGCTGCGACCTCGTTTCCCTCGTCGCGCTGTGATTTCTGTTTGCTCCGGGGCTTGATCTTCTTTGCTCGCCTCAATGGCTCGCCGTAACTGCTCGTCCTCGTCATATGCAGCGTCTCGACTATTCATTGTCGACCTCCTCTTGGAAGACTGTGTAGCTGACGAGGCTCGTCCATTTTTACTTGTTTCCTTTGGTGACCGAGTGCCGTCCTTGACCAACGAACCAGCCCGGGATGTTGCGCGCGAGGGGCGGTTTAATGGTAGATAGTTCGAATACCGTTGTCTGCATGAAAGTACGTCAGAATGAAGCAGGTAGAAAGAAGAAGACAACGTTGAGACCGAATTTTTTCAACAGTCATGAATGAGCTCCTCACACAGCGCTGGCATTCGAACAGCACCAACGGTACAGTGGAAATTGAGGAAGTGGAAAGGGCCTTGAGATTGCTTACCCATTAGTTGCAGTATGTATCTTGTGGAGGTCCTTGCGACACTTTTCACAGAAGTACTCATCGGGAGAACTCTCCTCGGTGAAAATGCCGACGCAGGCGCCGTGCTGCCAGACTTTGCACACATCGCACTGGACAAACAATCCGGAGACCTCTTCTGACAGTTCAATGCTGGCGAAGAAGTCTGCTTCTGGATTCTGTTTTCCATGTTTGGGGTCCTCCTCAAAGGGCGGAGGCCCAGGGTATTCATCGAAGCCACAGACGCAGCGAACAGACTCGTCATCTTCCTGAATATCGTCGCTTCCTGTGGCCATGTCGTAAGGATCAACGCGAGCCTTGTCACGGGCGTCTTCCTGGGCGCGGGTTCGACGTCGAGAGGGTAGAGGGTCTTCCAGGTCTTCGGGGGGCTCTGAGGAAAGCGAAGCGCTTGGTGTGGATTTGGCGGATGAAGTCTTGTTGAGAGATCTTGTGTTTCTTTCGCCGCGGCTAGAAAGACTCGAGGTGGTCGAGGATTGTTGAGATTGAGAGACGGTATTGCCTCGGGCTCGTGAAGATCGTCGAGGCGAGGGGGGTGCCATTGAGGCAGTGAAACAGGAGGGCAGAGAGAGGAGGGAGCACGAACGGGAGAGGAATTCGAAAGAGGGAGGGGAGGGAAGTTCGGCGGGGACGAGCGGATGACACCAAAGTAGAAGCTGCTGTCGCAATGTCGAGGCTGAACCGAGAAGAAGAGAATTGATAAGATCAAGGAGAGGAGAGGGTGAGGAAACGAGTGGGCAGAGGGTGGGTGGGTTGTTGTGGTAGTAGTAAGAGGGCAGTTGGTCGAGCGAGCGAAAGTGGGAAGAAATGATCGCGACTCGCAGGTCGGGCTACTGAGAAGGGAGGACTCGAGTACTCCAGCAAGACTTTTGAGGAGATTGAACAGTTCGCATGTCTGAGAATCGTGGACAAGGTAAATTCATGTCGTGACGGGTCGGGTAGAGAGAGGCCGGAGTGCGGAGTGGGAAGACAAGAGAAAGAGTGCGCCCTGGAAGAATGGCTCTGGGTGAACGAGATGGGCAGGCGACTGGAGCACGCTTCGGGCTTGCAAAGTGCAGTACCGTGGGTGCGCCGTCTCTTTCGCTCTGGCCTGCAGGAGCTGTTGCCCTCCGAGCACTCAGGGAAAAGGCATCTTTGCGGGGCTGGGCTCATTGCTCTGTACTAATGCCAATTGTGCTGCACAAATCATGCACATACCCTGCATAACATAGCGGATTTATGCATGTTCGGAAAAACCCTGACAAAGCTGTCGGGGTAAGTTCGGGTACTAATGACTCTTGACTTCCCACAAATGAGTTCCCAATGGGTAGAATATCAGACAATCTGAGGTACCTAAAACCTATCCGTGCAGAACCACTCAGCAGGGGCTTTCTTCCGAGCCCCCCAAGCAACACAATTCCCGCCGTCCCCGCCCCAAAGCTACCTTACAGTCCGTGATTTTTCCCGCTCCAACGGTGCTCGTCTAATCTCAACGTCAATGTATCGGCCCTATAGCCCCTGTTTGTGGTGAGTTGCAGCGAGTCTCTATGCACGGCACACAGTGCGTCTAGATTTCCCCTCCATCCGTACGGTTGCTCCCCTCACTCTTGTCATCCTCGACATTCCATTCATTCCATTGCCCCAGCCCCCGGCACCCCATCCACAGCGGAGCCCTGGTCTGCTTATCTAAGACGTTTGAGCGGCCCTGGTTGACCTACGTCTCCTAATCACACACCAGACATTATCAAATGCTGTCATTAGCAATCAAAGCTGGGGATTTGTATATTGGCTCTTTCGCAATCCTTAAGTGCTTGTTTCTACCTTGCTGTCGCCCCTGCATCCCAATTATTTCGTCTGTACGACTGCTCTACTTGGCCTTTCGAGCTCCTACGTACTCAAAGGTGTCTTCGGAGTAGCCCCAGCCGAATTCTGGTGGACCGAGTTGGTATGCCCGCTCCCCTCTCGAGTTTGCAAGCTCCGCCCGTCCTTGGCTCTACCTTACCTGAGGCTCGTTGTGTAGCACTCCCTTGACTTTCTCAAGGGAAGGAGGCAGGTTGGGTTGGGCGATTCTGGATTTGTTGGATGTGTTTGTTGTTTGGCTAGACATGGGGCCTGACATCCGTTACGGACACTTGCTGATGGTTGGGCAAACTCAGGAATCAAGGGTTACGAGCTCCTTCCCCCCGCCTTAAACACGAAGCTTTCCCGAACCCTCTCCAATCCGACCACCGTCTGCGAACATTTCCTGGTGTAGTCATTCTTGTCAAACTGGCCTGCGCTCTCCGCGAACCCAAGCTTCTTCTCGTGAATATTCTCGGCGCCTTGTCTCGGATAGCTTGTAGCATGAGGTGTTATGGGTATGCCTTACTCTCTTCGGACCTCCACCCTTACCTATGCCATATCTCATACCACTACTGTCCGCGCGAAGCAAGGTGCTTTTCAAATTTTGGGCAGCATCACATGTTCTAGCATCTTATGCACTGGGGTCTGCATATTGGCCTGGAGTGGTTGTGGCAATGAGCTGACCACACTTTTATCCGGAGCTTGCTGCCTCAAGCTCCATCGTTTGACGAGGACATACGCTGACCTCTATGCCTGGTTATTGAACAGGTCATAATCGAACAATGTCTCCCGAAAGCGTTTCTTCTCTGTTTCCCCAGAGGCCGATTCGCCCACTCCCGAAGCGCCGGCTGCGAGAACGGTTGTCCCCCGAAGTAGCAGATGCTATCGAATATCCACCAGCAAACCAAAACTCTAGTCCTTTGTTTTACTATCCCAATATTATCAGAGATGATACATCACTGAGGACGGGGGGTATGAATGGCTCGAACCGAAGTGGCGCTGCGTATGAGCACAGCTCGAGAGGCATCACAGGGAACGGAGAGAGTGATGAGGAGGAGCTGGCTTTGAGCAGCAGTAAAGTTGTTCGTCGATCGCACCCCGAGATTCTGAACCGAACTTCGGCAATGCCACCAAAGCCGGACCAGTCTAAACATCCTAATCCCCAACCGCCTCCGTCCACAACATCCTCCGCCGATGGATACGAATCGTTCGAGAATACCAACAATAAAAAGAAACGAAAGATACCAACCGCGGGGGACTCCGCACTCTCTGGCGCGCACTCGCTAGTAGACATAAGCAGCATGGGCGTCTCAGCAGCGACCTCGCCCTCGAACGAACATGGCGATGTGGTGGGGTCAGCATCACCATCATATTATGGGGCTGGAGGCTTTGTATCGAATAATCAAGGCATCTCTGGCCCAGGAAGAGGTAGATTTGGTCGATCGAGAAATGGTAGAAGTCCTCTTAGAGCTTTGTCTGACTCAACAAACAATTGGGTGGGGAGAGGGGCAAAGATTCGACCACCCCAATGGGCGACTTCAAGTGAGTTTCCGCTTCTCTTTTTTACATTGAGCTCCATCATATCTGGTATGCTCTTTTACACGCGATGAACACGGGGATCGCAAAGTAGCTCTGATGGGTCTGGTGTAAGCCTGGTCATTGTCTTTGTTTGGAAGTGAATATGAAAGTTGCGCCTGCCTTTTGGTTGAAACTCCATTCTGGCCCAATGCGAGAAGCCATGCACTTCAGGCTGAAAGTTCCCACCTGCCTTAATTTCACTTTACCCTCCCCTTCATCTCTCCTTCACCTTTGTTTTATTTCCTCTTCTTTGCACATCATAAAAACTATCACCCATTTCTATCAATGATTCCTACTGACAGACACCACAAGACGAGAACCCCGGCATAATATCAAATGCTATTGCAAACGCCGAGAAACTCCCTTCAGCACCTGGCCAAGAGAACGTAAGTCTCTTGCATCAACATTCTTCCAGCGTCAAGTCCAGCCCGACCGCCACTCAATTTACTTTCACCTGTGATTCCCCAGTCCCTAAGCCACAGTGGCCTGGAACCGACCCAGCAGGCTCACAGGGCTCGCTTCCCGGGTACGGTGGTAAATCTAAACACGCTTCAATGGCGACCCAAACATCATCGGAAGCCGCAGGCTCAACTAGCCAGAATGTTACAGCAACAACCGGCAAAGGAAGTGCCCAGCCTGGCGCGAAAAAGAAGAGTCGTCGCCGTGCTGAAAAGGAACTCAGAATGGCAGCGAAGCAGCGTCGTCAAGAAGCCGAGTACAAATACTACAACAACCCACCCAAGCCGGAGGATATGTGGATTTGCGAATTCTGCGAGTACGAGCGGATTTTTGGCTACCCTCCGTATGCTCTAATTAGACAGTACGAAATCAAGGACCAGAAGGCTCGCCGGAAGGAAGAAGAGCGAAAGCGTCTTTTGGAAAAAGCCAAGGCAAAGAGCCGAAAGGGCAAGAAAGCAGTCAAGTCCCCCGGCAAGACGGCGTCACTGCAGAATCAGCAACAGGTCGGTCCAGCCGATGCGCCGATGGCCACCATGGCAAGCAACCCGATCCATGACGACTACATTAACGATGGATATCCACATGACGACTATTCCAACGATATTGAGGAAGAAGAAGAGGAGGAATTTGAGGACTCGTATTCTCAAGAAGATCCACCGATGCTTCTCAGCGATGACCCCGACCAAGAACCTGAGTGCACCGATCCAGATTGTGAAACCTGTCGTAAACCGACCAAACAGGTGGATGATCCCGGTGATTCAATATCATGAGAAGTGTTCTTCTACAGACCTCTGGCGGCCGTGGCATCAGCCTTCGATAGATGGCCCCCTACCTCTGCATCGTGTATCTACATTCATTAAGGCGCGGCATTCATTACATGGCCATTCTCCTGATGCTTGGCATGTGGCTCATGACCGTTGATTCGGCAACCTGCTTGTCCATATCAGTCACAAACGCAGAACCGATTCTACTTCCTTCAGCCCGAAACAAGCAATAATCACTCCTTCGACTAAAAAACAAGAAAAGAAAAGAGCCGCCACTTGCCCCGTCAGTTGCGGCGACGCTGCAATAATACTATCAATAGCGGCCTGCTCGCATATAAGAAAAGCGGATGGATGCAACATACTCCGCCTGTAGTATCATTGCGTTTAAGGAGGCATGGAGGAGGCGAGCATAACCATCCAAAGAGTATCTTTAAGACACTCTAGCAGGTCTAGGCAAGGTTATGGAATAGCACCCCGGAGCGGCCTTATGGCACTCCTTAGGCCATCTTGAGGTAGCATAATACACCACACTCTCATGAAAAGTCTATAGAAGGAACTGCGGATGCAATTTGAACATGTGTTGTTGCGGTATGAAATAGCTATAAAGGGATATGACGTAATTGGGACGGGCACGGGCACTGACTAGAACCTGGTCTAGGCTTTACCCACCTTATTCAGGAGCAGACTTAAGAATGGATACGCTGCTGTTTACCTCAGTAAAAGGGACGTAATCTTGATTAGAGCTTCTCATAGTTTGGTAGCCGATCTACTCAAGGACCCCAATTTAAGCCTAGTAGCGATCCGAGTGAAGAAAGGACAGCACAAAAACGTGCGGTTTTTTCAGGCTTTAAGATCGCGGACTGAACTATGATCAAGGCCGGTTGTTTGAGAGGAGGATGATTAAAAATGACCTATCCGACCGGAGGCGGCGCTACCATAGTCTCTGACCGAAAGAAATACTTGCCGATACTAACGATCTTCCGGAAGGGTTGGAACCTGGCAGCTGGTGGGCAGACGGTCATTCCCGTTCCTCGTCGTCGATCAATGCGGTCGACGGAGCATGCATAGACCTGGGAAGGTTGTATGTGTACAGTGACGTTGGCCGGATCATCTTTCCGAAAGTTCCAATGCGGTATGGTGTGTAGTGTTTGTTGTTTGTTGCGTGATGGATTCCAGCGCAGAGCTGCTACTAGTACACACTTCCAGCGGAGCCGAGATGCAACTCAAGCTTTTACGATTCAAATTTCTCTAGTACCGGTCCGCCCATGCCGTCGGCAGGATATGGTGCCTACGTAGTAGTACGGATACTGCTGGAAGCTTCAATTAACTGGATGACCAGGGGGCGTGGGAAGCATAAAAGCTTCGCTGTCAGTCGATCCTGAAACAACCCTGTCCCATCCACCACCGCGCAAAGTGCTGTAAGACGTCGATCAGCTTCTCCACAAGAGGTTCGGCACTCATACTACTTGGTAACTTTGACGGGCGCCTGCCTCTAGAGGCTGGGCGGATTGGTTGGAGTTGATTCCGCTTGTCCGTATTTAGTCCAACTTGATAGCTTCGGTGGGCGGTCCACCGTTGGACACGATGAATAAGCACAGATACACATAGTAATAAGGGCCTAGTGGACGATCTTAATTGATTTGTGTTTCCTGCAGTATGCGTTGTGCGCATACTCTTGTCGTGGCCTTTCAAGAGCTGCCACCCCCCTAAAGATGAATCATTGACGTACCGCACTGCCGGCCAAAGCCAATCAGCTTTGTTTCTTAGCTCAAGCTAGAAATCTACTTCAGGGACCTAACCTTGCGAAACGCAAGGCCACTGGGTCATTAACACCGTCACAATTGCACAGCTGTAGCGACATAACCAGCAAGCAGAGCCCTTCAGATTAGCACCACCAGTTTAGTGGAGATTGATCAAGACCGGCATGCTGTCGTCCCAAAGAAGAAAGGCGCCTGCAGCAAAACAAGGGTGCCTCCAGAAAAGAAGCGTCCTGTCTACACAACACAGCGGTAAGGTGCATTGGGCAGGCCGTAGTGCAGGTGCCAGGTGCCGCTGTTGCTCCCGCCGCATCCATTGCTGCTGCAATCACTGTAGAAAATGGGGGAAAGTACGGACACATACGTAGTGCACGCACGGGCAGCCCCATTGTGGCTGAAGTCGACTCAACTCTTCCGTCATCATCCCATCCCATCCACCTCCCATCCCATCCTTTTCTGGAGGAGCCTATCCACCAACTTCCACCCCCCAGCTGCTTTTTTCCCCGACATCACCAGGTCCATCCGCCGCAGTTTCCGTCTTCCTGCGACCATTCAACCATAACTCCCCACCCCGAGGTCTCATTTCCTTTCTTATTCTCATCATTGTCTTTTTACACTTTTATATTTGTTAAAATTTTATTCCATGCGACGTGCTACTGAACTCCTCCAGGCCTTGCGCCGTTGATCGACAATCAGACAAGCCAGCATGTTTGGCGGTTCAAGGAGACACCGGCAGGCCAGCCAGGTGAGTGACTGGGCCCCCGACTTACACTTTCAGTCGATTCTCTGATCGCGCCAATTCGTCTCACATGGGTTTCTGAGTTTGCAAGCGTCCTGCATATTTCGATTTTCTCTTCGTGACTATTTTACATCTTATACTGACTTTTTGCGACTCTCAGCCATTGACTGCCGCGACAGCAAACCCCAATGCAGCTACCGCAGCTGCGTCTGCCTTTGCACGACGCGCATCCTCCTCGTCACTCTCATCCGCCGCTGCCGCCGCCGCCCTTCGAGCGAGACCAACGACTCCCATCAATGTGGCCGAAGTTCAAACGAAGCGAACTCAGAAGCGCAGCACATCTGTATCGTCGCACGGGAGTCAAGACACTAGGAAGGGCTTGCAAAGGTCGCCTAGCCAAAGCTCTATGACTGAAAGAACCTTTCGCTCACCATCGCCTCACCGGACTCCAGCGGCCTCCGAGGATGCACCGCCGGTCCCGGTAATTCCGGACGACGTTCGATCAAACAGAGGGAATTCGACGCATACGAAAGCAACAAAGTTGCAAATGCAGCCATTTCGTGTTGCGAGCCAAAAGGCTAAGGAGGGCGCAGGCTCATGGTTTGGGGCCGCAACTGAGGGTAACATGGCCAATGTCAGGACCTCAGATGCTCCGATGCGCGCCACCTCACCAGAATTCAGTCCAGGAGCTGTAAGCCCAACTTCTTCTATCAACTTTTCGTATCCCAGGGGCTTGCATAGCGCATCGCCCCCGGCATCGCCAACCTTCGAGAGCATGAGAATGACAAGTAGCCAGCGACATGCTCCAACTCGCCGAACCGAGTCAGTTAACTCTCGGTCGACAACTTCGGATCAATCACTCGTATACGATCCAAATAGTCGGAGGATGGTTCCTAAGGTCACTCTCCTAGTAAAGGAGCAGACCGTTCGTGACGCATCTGAGAAGTCGGCTCAGAAGAAAAAGCATCAACAGCAAGGACTGGCTAGGAGTGGCTCTCATCTGGCCAAAGGCACGGTGAGTCGAGTGCATGGTGCTGCAGTGGACGCTGAGCGGCCAGCTTCCGACCGACAAGAACAATCTCAGGTTTACGTTTCTTCAAGCGCCCCCGAGCAGAAGTCTCTTCAAAATCACATTCCAATCAGAGAGACTTCACTGTCAGCTCCAGTATCACCGCATGTGGAAGAACACCAACCCAATGACAGAAAGGTGTCACCACCACACACTTCAACCGTTGAGACCCATGTTCATCAACCTGCAGTGTCCAACGCCGGAGTTAGTCTTCGGGAGTCTATCAGCAACCCGGAACCCCAGCCGCCAGTTGTCCAGGACGTGCGGAAAAGCGATGGTGCCACCATCTTACCACACTCTGAACCTCGCCAAGGTGCGCCGATTCTCGGAAGGAAGCCATCAATAGTACGAGAAGAATCAGACGAGGACTTAGAGGATTCAGAAGACGAGGAGGCACGAAGACCTGCTGCGCAGTACGACGTTGCTCATGTGGCTGACGCAGCACCCGTGGTATCCTCAACTCCTCCGAAACAACCATCGCTATCTTCCGAGAGCACCGCTGTTGAGTCTCCAGTATTCTCATCTCAAAGGCATCAAAGCCCGCCAGAACAAAGACAGCACGGGAGTGTCCGAAATGACCGTGCGCATTCGAGTAGCCCAGCAAGATCAGCACGCTTTGCGCTGGGTACAGATCAGTTGGTCGTCAGACACGAACCCCCTCCAAGATCAGTCTCGCCTCGAAAGTCTGCCATGAAACATTCAACCAGTCCTTCCAGGGGCGCTTCACCAACTGATGAGAGTTCTGAAGCGTCTGGTCCGAGCCGATATGGCAACGAAGCCACAGCCACAGAGCCACCAATGGCACGTAAAAAGAGTGTCCGTGTTAGTTTTGACGACGAAAACACCAAGGCCGTCGGACAGGTCACACCGAAACCAGAGCTCGACTTGTCAATTCCCCCTAGTCCGCAACAAACAAAGCGACACTGGTACAGCCATCTAGGTCGGAACCGCAAGAAAGACATAATTGCTTTAGATGACGATGAAGTGATGAAACCTCGCCCTGCATTGCCTTCATTCGGCAGCATACGTGAGAAGAAGCCACGGGATACTGAGGAGCGACCTCTGGTTCGACCTCTCGAGCCCCCTTCTTCCCCGTCCGTGCCTGAAGCATCTGCAGACCCAGACGCAGAAGGGCAGTCAGTCCTAGTTGGTCAATCCACTGACCACAATGTTGGTGCGATTCTCAATCAAGAGCAAACGGCTAGAAACGCCGCAAACATATCAAGGTTCCGGGAGCCGCTGCCTCCCGTCGTAACTTCTATCGAAGGAAATGGTTACTACTCCGCTAGCAGTACGGGCTCTGAAGATGAAGAAGAGCAGGAGATCGTGCAAGAACCTGAGCCAACGTTACCTCCTAAACAAGTCAAGGAGGAAATACTTGCTGCCCATCCAGAATTGGTAGATGATGGGATTGTTACAGCTGCACAGGCAGGCCCAGCTCACCAAAACAATGTCGAAGACAGATGTGCCAATGACGAGGTTCCTTCAATTTCTGTCATTCAGCCGACTCCGACTCCGAAGGAAAGTGCTGTCACTAGCCAGTCTGGTTCTTCTGGGCCTGGGTACTTCGACGTTCCCGGTGGATTTCCAGAAGATAGCGAGGATAATGAGCCCCGTCCTCAAAATCACCCTGAAGCACACAATGACCAGAAATTTCATACTGACCATGCAACAATACCCAAGGTCGATCGAGTTGTTGCATTTGCGCCGTCTGCACAAAAGACTACATATCAGCCTCTCGTCGAAGACTCTGAATCTTCAGAGGGGGACAGCATATACAGTGACGCATACGAGGATCTCTCTGAAGTTGAAGGAGACGGTTTCATGTCTCTGGATGCTATTGTCACCACTCCTATACCTGACAAGGTCTCACAAAAGCTATTTGAGAAAGCCTTGACCACCCCGCCTCAAGAGATGCCTGAAGATCACCAAGCCCATGTGACCCACAAGGGACCAGGTTCTCTGCAAATTGTGAATACATCTCGCCCAGAGGACGAATGGGAAAAGGCTAAGGAGTATTGGCGGGGTTTAACCAGCGACAAACGCAAACAGCTAGAGAAGGAAGTGCAGGAAGAGGCCGGGGCTGATGGGGACCTTGAAGAAGTTGTCCAGCCTAAGAAAATGAAGAGGAAGAAGTCTGTTCGCCGCAACGAACCAAGTGGACAACAGCAAACGCTTTCCGAATCCGAACGGGTATATCAGATCCAGCCCGGTGCCAGAGCCGTTGATGAAGTAGACGAACTGCCATCAACATTGCGCCAGACTCTCCGTGGTCGACAGCAACATGACGCTCCCAGAAACGTAAAGCTCCAGAAGACAATGAGAGGTGCGCAAAATCAGCCCGTGGTAGCTGCTGGCACGGGTATGCGGAAAACATTACGGCCTGAGAATTCAGCGGCAACCTCTCAAAACTTCGAGCAATCTCAACATACCAATTCGGGAAGAATGCGAATGTCTATGAGGCAACCCGCAACCTCTCGAAATGATATTCCTCGGGAACGGTCAGATGACACGGGCTATGATCGTCCACTTTCGCTACAGGGTCCACCAGCAAGTCGGGAAACAGAGGGCAGACGCAACAGGCATGCATCTATGGATGCGTCGATGTCAAGCACTGAGCTGGCGCGGGCAATGCAGGCCAATCTCCGCCGACGTGCGTCAGACTCAAGTGAAAGCAGCTTTAAGCGAGCACGTCCATCTCGTGAAGGTTTTGGCTTCCGAAAATCCATGAGATCAAATATCATGCCAGATTCGCCAATGGCCGGCCGAAATTCACGCTTCAGTCTTCGATCAGCGTCGCCTCCAGGCTCACCCTCCTCGCCGCCTCTCAGTATGGGCACACGAATGACTATGCGTACGCTCCGCAGTGATTCTAGTGATGGAAGCGCCCGTCGCATGCGTCTACCATCCTTTGGAAAATCATCCTCGAAAAAGACTGTTGGCAAATCTGGCAACAAGAGTCGTTTTGGAGATTCAAGCGACGAAGATGATGCTGGCCCGTCCACTTTTCGTAGTCGTTTCGCTAACTCCAGTGACGAAGAAGAAGCGCCTGCGTCTCCGCCTGTGCATAGTATGTCCAAGTCTATGCGAACGCCCAGTTCTGCCGCAGCTGCAGCAATGAAGGTACCCCCTCCACGCTATGAGGAGAAAGGCGAAGTATCCCCGGATCTTCCGGACAGCAGTGATGAGGAGGCAGCACCAGCGCAACAGCAGAAGCGCATGTCTCCAAGAAAAGTCTCGAGCGCTAGTGGCCGCCTTGTCAAGTCTCAATCTGACAGCCACGGGCTCCAGCGATCTGGTTCCGGCCGTGGAGCACTCATGGATTCAGCGACAACCCCCTCCATGGGAACCCAGGTCATGTCACGACCTGCCCAAGAACGCAGAGGCAGTTTCCTTTCGGTCCTTCGCCGTAAAAAGGACAATAGCGTAGGCAAGATCTCACGCCCCACGCACGGCGAAAGCGCGGCTAGGATGGATACCAAGTTGGAACGCAGCGCCGATGAGATCTCAGCCCTTCGCAGCAATAACATGTCTTCGGTGCTGCAGAATCAGCCAGCGAAGAACTGGCCGCTCGCTGGAGAGACAGTCGATGACGAGAAGCGGCCTATGACGGCGGGAAACAGCAAGCCGATGGACGAGTCTCGGCCTGTTTACACACAGCGTCGCAGTACCAACCAGGGGCTTGCATCGTATCGTCCTGCGGAGCTTGACGAGACCCAGGTCGAAGGTCCTGGCAAGAAGAAGAAGAAGTTTGGCACGCTCAGGCGGATGTTCAAACTAGATGACTAGGCGTCGGTCATATGCACCATTTGATCTATTACCAGCAACTGTCGCCCACTGATCATTGGGCTTTTCCTTTTGAAAAATTATATCAAAGTAACAGACTTTCACTTTTAGTGGTCTGTCAAATCTAACTAATCGGGGCGCTACATTGCACTCCTCCTTAATCTGTCTATCAACATCATTAGCGGGCGCGGGCGTTCAAGGAGGGTTGATAGAGAACATGCGGACAAGATTATGAGCTTCCGCACATGCGCACGCGAGTGGAATTCCCTCGTTCATTTCATATGTTACAAAACGGTAGTCATAATGTCGGCGACGTGTGGTTGCTGGCTAGGCGGGATTACTCAGTATGTTGGAAGGGTAGAGCAACAGGATGGAAAATACCCACTAGGCACTTTGAGAATGGAGACGGGACGGCAAAACAAGGAAGCCAATTCCATGGAATGGAGATATGTATAGTACATGCTGAACGATACCAGAAAAGGAAATATTCAATTAGCGGAAATATCCCGAGTTTCAATTTCGATCAGTTTAGATCGCACCATCAATACCGTTGAGACGTCGACCCCTGAGTCTGATGAACTAGCTTATTCGTCTGTCTTCAAAAGCATCTGGCACAATAGATCAGTCAAAGTCTAACTCTAATTGTTCATCACTTGTGGGTGAGAAGCAACATACCACGCTTCATCTCTTGTTGGTCGTTTTTCTTTTCTATTTCGATCGAAGACGTGCAACCGTGCTCCTCCATTCAAGATAGACATGGGCATCTATGCTGTTCCGACGTTAAACCTTTGACTGGGGCAGCGTATCCAGCAAAGGAAGATGATGCAGGACCAGAGGCTGAAATTAGATTATCTGTAAGGTGTAATTGCGGAATGGTACTCATGTAGAATATGGTATTGTAAAGTTATATCTTGACAAAGCAAAAAGCGAATGAGGAATTTTGAACACGGGCTGGTTTCAAGGTAAAAGCTTTTAACATTGAAGATAAGCTTATCTACTCCGGACGATGCAGGTCGGAAGATTTGAATACGCACAAACGCATGAGGCGTCGTCCCCTTGGAGGATATATACATATCGCCCTTCCGTGTTCTAACTTATTTACTTTGTGCATTCACGGCTAGTTAGTTTGGAACATTCAGACTCCAGTATCGTATCAAAAGAAATAAAGTGCCCCTTGTCTTACGTCCAAAAACACGTAACCTGATGTTACCTTGTATAATGTCACCCGATGTTTCCTGTCAAGACAGATATAGTCCGCAAGAACACCTGCAATTTTCTAGCTGTCAACAACGCTGCATTTCGTTACCTTCTTGCTTGACTCTGGGGCGCCACTCTTGTCTTAGTCAACTGCTACAAGTTGCCTCAAGAGCGATCCTAGTCGCTGCAAGACTATAACGGCTGAAAAGATTGTCACAACACACGCGTAAGCCTTTTATTTCTCTTGGGGCAACGTGTACACCGCAAAGAAAAGAGAATCACAAAGACCCGCGAATTGTGCAACTGGCAGTTATCGTCCAGGGGCAGATGATACGAGAGCAAAGCAGAGGAGGAAGAAGAAAATGTGATGGTGGAAACGGCTTCCAAATCGCGCCACTCCTTAAAACAGACACTTCGCAAAGTACTGTGCATTTGCGTGGTTGTGGGTCTACGAATGCTCACGAGTCTAAAACATACTGTTATGGTAATCGCAGAATAGCGACAACCAGCAGCGTAGCGAGATCCAAGATGCTGCAGCTGCTTGAACACATCCACAGTGAATAAAAGTATGATTTACTCAATATGCGGTGGCGTTTGGCGGACGAACTGGTTTATATTGAGTTTAACAAATTGTGATACACATGTGTGTGCATCATGTGGTTTTGAACTGGGTTTACCAATGAACTTGCAGCCACAACATACTTAACCTACCCTACGAAGCTGTTGAGCTTGCAGAATTGCCCTGCCACCACCCTAAAGTCTTGGAGGAATTAGGTGATTAGGCAAAGGTGGTAAGAGTCACAACTGCTCCTCTCGCTGTTAGGTATGGTGGATCTCGTAAAGTAGCAGGTACCGAGGTCCTGAGTGCTATCACTTCGAGAGACCATTATGCTCTTGTGTATCCGTATTCTCCCAGATAATATTGACCAGAAAGAAAGAAAAGAAGGTGGGGCATTGAACGACGTGAGATGTCACCGCCATGCAGTTGTGATAGCAAGCTGCGTGGGCAACCCCTTGCTGCAATTTACGTCACTCTGCTGCCCATCTCCCGCGTGTCCCTCTAATACTTGCAACTAAAACGTAGTCACGTAACAATCGCATTGTCATCGAGACAGCTCGGCTGTACCGTCAGGGGGCCGGCATCAGGCCAGATAGCCCCCTTAGTGTCTGAGCAGGCCAAGACGAAGTCATTGATTTCAACCGGCGTAGTTGCCCCAGAGTAAATCAGCTCAGATGAAGTTGCCATTAGCGTGCTGATCGCTCTGGCATCCATGTAGATACAGCACCGTGGAGAAGAGGGCTGACTGCATTATTGTTGTTACAAGTGGTTGGTCGAACGGGAAAAGACGGATGGCCGAGCATTCTATCTGGGGAGAGCACGCGGAGTGCAATTCGGCCCTGTTAGCGCCACGTAGCGCAATGGTGCGGTTTACTTGTAGTATAGAAAGATTTTGGTTGTCATATAAACATGTTGCCCTTTTTGGTGACGACGGTCTTCTCGGCTGCCTCGCAATTGGCGAACACAGGATGAGCTTGTCAGTCACGCAAATGGGGCAGAAATAAATTATACTTCTTCCGCTCCCCTTGTCACATTTTGAGACGCGGTAGCAACACCACTTACCTAAAAGTAGTAACGGCATGCGTTTGTGATCGGGATTTCATCAAATCGGTAGCCAATTGGTCCTGCGCATGGTGGTTTTTGGAGAAGAGTTGTGGTGTCGCAAGGTCGTGGCACCTGGTCACACGACTTGGTTCTCGGATGCTTCCCCCGCATTCAACCAGATCAGAAGACCATTAGACAAGGGGAGTGGAACGCGATTGTGAAGTCGGGAAAAGCAAGCACCGGTTGCCCCGGCCGAGAATGATACCCGAATTTGTCTTACATACCTAGGCAGCCGGGGGCATTGAATACTGCAACTCGCTGCGTCTGCCATGGGCGTTTTCAACCACATCGCGTTTGTAAGGCACCACTAAGTGCCTGTATACATCCACATGGTGTGATGTGATGGAGTTGCCGCTTCACTTTTCCTTTTTTTTTTTTTTTAATCTTTCCCTCCCCCCTTTTTTCGGGCTTGTCTTGTTCCTATATTATAGCCGCTCCACTTCTGAAGTTCCCCTTTGAATTTCATGGTCGCACTAGGAACCACTTCCGCCAGTTGTCTGACCTGCTGATTCATGTTCGGTAGAGCGGTGAGCAGTCCACCATGTCATCGGTGAAGAGTTCGTTGTTGGCCTCGGGCAAGCTAAGATTGTGATCATGACACGCCGTATCCTGGCTGGTCAATGTGGGCGGGGATGTCACGAGCACCGGAATGATGGGCAACTGTGCTTGGGAATTGTCAGGTAGCTTTGCTGGGGAGATTCGTCCCTTGTCGGGGCCGTGGCAGACTGGGATGCATGGGTATGCGATTTTCACTTAAGACACACCACATGGAGACGGGGCCGGGAATCGTCCCAACAAGTTGGCCGGGTTTGCTTCGGGATGGAAGGTTCCTCGGAACGCGCATTCGAGGCAACAAATCCAGCAGGGCTGTGTCCGCGTCACACCAGGAGTGGCCTTGCCCGAGAGGAAGGTGTAAAGAGCAGAGCCGTAGACACCCGTAACCGGGGTGTCGTTTTGGGCTGATATGATATCCGCGCAAATCCCCGGCCGGTTCCTAATGCCCATCATTCAATCAGCCGCCAGACGAATCAATGGAAATGTGACCGAGGACGGCCAAGGTAGCAGATGTAGACCTGTGCCGGGGATAGGGTGCGACAGATGAGTGGGTGACGGTTCCAAGTTCCAGGGGCAAACACCACCGCCGGCGCTACAAAGGACACCAAATTTGTTCTAGAACGCCATTTTCTGGGGACGTGGGGGCCGCATCCCTGCTGGGATTATTTTCGCTGTTACCGTGAGCACTGTTACTATCCGAGTTGTTGGAGGTGGTCTTTCGGCCGCGTCTGTAAGCCTCGCCCTCCGTGTCACTAATTGATGTAGGTTATGGGGATATGCGTGTGCATGATGCGGTGTTGGTGGTGATGGGGGGAAAGCCGATCGGATTGCGCATCGCAAACAGTGCCTGGGAGACGGCTGTAAGTACGGAATGATGCATGTGCTGACTGTTTGCATCTGTGGGAGTGTGCGGGAGTATGTTGACCCGGCATCGCTGGGTACCGTTTATTATTCGGCCGTTTGTTGACAGTCCCGTGATAGTGACTGGGGCCTCCATCTTTCTCTCATTTAGGTTCTTGCAGGACTTTGGGGACTTGGGGCCGACTGGGTGAGGTGAATGTATTGAAGTGCCCACAGGCGGCTCCCTCCAGAAGTGTTCAATGGTTGTCGGACAATCAAACAAGAACGTGGCCATGGTGTTACTGATGAACGTTGCTGGCCGCGACAGTGCAGACAAGTGCAGTCTCACCACGGCGGATGTACAGTGGGCAACATGGATGGATCCAAGGCTGGCAGGTTCCGGGATGCCTGTGGCTGAAGTTGTGTGCCCGAAGAAGAAACAGATCTACTGGTCCAGAGCTCAATGGGCCGAGGTCTGATCTCAATGGTGTTGACTTAAACTCTTGGATGACATTGAGAGGAGTAAAGGAGGAGAAAGCACATGCAGACAGAAGGGGCGGTTGGTTGTTGGGTGGGTGAGACGGAAGGAGTAGAGGTGAGGTAAGGAAGGGCAGGGGAAGGAGACACCCGGAAGGGAAGATAAGCTACGCGGGCCAAGTGGCTATCTTTAAAGCTGTGCTAGGAGGCTAACACTCAGGTAGCTTCCATCTTGGACGGTGAAGGCCCGTGAGGGCGGTCAGGACGGACAGCACTGCCCAATCCACAACTGAGGGTAAGTACTCGCTTCTTACTTTCACCACACTCCATCCGTATCCGTACTTGCTTGTATGTCTGGCTCCTTCATGCTCCTCTTGTCTGGCTCCTGCTCCTGCTCCTGCTGCTCGCAGCGCCAGGCATGTGGGCATGACGTCCAAATGCCGGAGGCTATTTTTCTGCTTTCACTGCGCACAGGTGTGTACTTGGAGGCGTCGACGTTGTTGTTTGTCGTCCCCCCCGTTTTCTCCCTAACCTTGCAGCTGCTTCGGGCTCGACGAGGACCTAGAGCGAGCAAGCCTCTGTTCAGATGGGTAAAATTTCGGCGCGGTACAGGGGGGGAACAGAAGAACCCACCAGGAAAATAGGACAAGGAGAAATGAATGCTCTGCACAATACCAAGAGAAGAGGAGTTTGTTGGCTCAGTGCGGGTATTTGAACAGGCAGCCAAACTGTCCTGCCTTATGATCATCATTAGCTATCCCAATGTCAAGAATCAAATCTGAGCGCGGCGGAGAGCCTAAATGAGAAACCCGCCCTGGGTCACTTGTGAATGGGCCTCCATTGCAACCGACAGAACATCATCTCAGGGCCCGACAGGGGTAGCTTGGCCAGCCATACTATAGTAGGGGGGGAAGAGACAGGGACCATTACCGTGTACCTACCGTCTATCCGTAAGGAGGCACCGAGACAGGTATCTCTCCTGTCCCTAGCCAGCCAAATAGCCAAAAGTCTTTCTTTCCCTTGCCCTCTTCGCGACCATTACATGTTTTTTTGATACTCGTCACCCATGAGGCCCTCCCCCTTCTCAGAGACGGGTGACGAGACTGCTCGCTATATATGATCCACTAAAGCTTAGACTTATTTGTTCGTTGGGTCTCCATGAGGGCTTGATTGGAAGGGGATGGGAATAACAACACAGGGGCTCAAATGGGGGTAAAGTTGTCGGTTGACAGAGAAAGGAAGACGGGGCGCCATACAGATGCCATACGAAGAGAAGGGACCACACGGCCGCTTCAGGCCCCCCAGCCCCCACTACAGAGTACCGGCTTGGTACTTGCTTACCTGCCAGTTTTGTAAAGCATAGGGGTATGGGCAAGAGCACCAAACTCAGCAACATTGGAACCACAGCCTACAGGGCTCTCTGGCATTAGGCAATCCCTCGCAGGGTACTTTCAGGCACCACACGGTCTAGGGCTCTGAGGGAATGAACGACATGTCACAGTAGTGTGGCCCACGTCTGGTCCCTTTTCCTGGCCCATTTCTTTTCTACCCTTCTCCGTCTCTCAGCCTCTGATGTGTCTGTCTCTGTCCAGTCTTTTCTTGTGTCCGTCGCCCTTTTGTTTTTTTTTCTTTTCCCCCGTCTTTCTCCAGGGCATTTCATGGCGTAGGGAACGGCACTCAAGTCATGTACCGTACCTGACTTGACCGGACTGGATTAAGGTGACTTTTCCAGCCTTAACCTGAGTCTGCCCTTGGAGTCCCATTTCTAAACATTCCAATTTTTCTCGTGCGTCTTCCATCCACGCACGCCCCGACTCCCCTTCTACTCTACTTCCGCCTCCCATCCTTTTCCGATCTGATGCCAACGTTTTTCATAACAACAAAATATTCACCCACCCGCGTGCTTCCGGCCAGCATCTGCTGTGGACCAACCTATCCCCGATTCCGTCTTCCACACAAGCGCAACACCTTTGCCCTCTCCCTCTCAGTGTGTCAAGCCCTGACATACGTTCTCAGCAAAGTCAACCTTGAGCACTGCTTTCCCCAAGCTTGCAGTTCCCCCGTTTCGGGCCTTTGACCTTCACGACGACTTTACCTCGCCTTGCTCACCACACACTCGCTCACTCAGGTATTGCTGAACCTAGCCTTATCTGGCTCAAGACGTTTTTCGTCTTTCACCATCCATCTCATCCGAACCCTGGAGTTTATCTTACACTTGCTTTCGGGTCTCCGTCCAGCGGCATTCCTCCTGCCGGAGCTACACGCACTTTCTCACGTCTTTCCGTACTGTTGACGAACGGCCGGGCCACCATCCCTCCACCATTCCTGCTCCACCCTCCACATGTTGGCAACACACAGCACCTCTAACGAAAACTCGGGGTCCATGAAAACGGCCTTCGGAGTCTGCACAACATATGAGCCTAGTCCTGCCGCTTATTCTATCTCTCCATCTCTCAACCCCTCTCTAGTTTGAACCTCGAATCCCACTGCCGTCTCTCAACAGAACAAACCCGCCTGTCACCTGCCCGCAGTCGGTCCTAGATCAAGTGACCAACCCAGGTTGCAGTTTGCTTCTCACTAGCAGCCATTGTTTTTGGTCACACATTTTCGAGCCAAACCTCCACCAAAAAATCAGCATTGAGCCACATTTACTTTGTTTTGAGCGCGACCATGAGCCCCCTTGATCAAATCAGGTAACCCTCATTGTGCTTTGCAGGATTGCCCACCACCACGGGTTATCTGTGCCACCCGGCAGTCCACCCGGCAGTCCACCTGCTCTCTACCTTCCTGTTAGTTTCCAGACGCATCTACCGTCGGCCGTCTGGTCACGGTAGGAACCACTTTCTTTAAGATGGATTTACCAAAGGGCTTCGTCAAGGATGATAGGCGTATCTACGGGGATTTAGCATCACTATCACAGCCCCTCCCGTCCGATTTCATCATCAGGATGTGGCGCCGTAAGTCGTCCTCTCTTGTAAGCTACCGTAGCTTCCGCTCTTGAGAGCTAACATTTGACTCCAGTTTACACCACAACAAATCTGAAGCTTGTCGATCCCACCGCACGTCGCCTGGAAAACTTCTGGTGGCAAGTCATGGGTAGCGACAGGTGTAAACTGAGAGCCGATACTTTGGCCAAAATTTGGGAAGACATCTCGTATGGCCCGACGTTTGTGCCGCTCAAAGGTTCACCAAACCGCTGGGAGGGACCAACAGTGAGTCCTGCGCCGCCTCACACCACATCGACGCCCGCTGATTTCCCTGCACAGACACCCCGTTTCAACAGCCAGCATGAGTCTGACGTACTGTACAATGCGCAACAATCAACACAGGACGTCAAGCGCATTGCCGACCAGTCGGCCATTAAAGAACTATCTGCATCCTCATCTCGTCCCCCGCCGCCTCACCCGATTTTGAAGAAGTCCAGAGGAGATTCCAAGTCCGGACCACGGCCAACAGCACGGTTTGTATCACCTCATGACTCTACCGATGAAGACTTCAAAACCAGCGAGGGAACGTCTTCAGGAAGCACAGCCGCTAGCGGTTTAGAGATGCGACCATCAACAATGGCATCACCAGCGAGGCTCAATAAGAAGAAGCCTTCCACCCCAACCAAGCGTTTCGTTGCCTCAGCGTCCAACAAGAGGAGACCAGTTCTTCCCAGAAGGCTCAGCTCGCAGTCTTCAACGAATTCGGATGTTATGGCCAAAGATGTTGGTTCTGCAAATGGGACTAAGCATGTTGGAAGTTACAATGTGGTTCACCCTCAGGTCGAACAGACTACTGCACAGAACTCCTCTGTTTCTGAGGTGATGGAACCCCCTCCAAGTGCCAAAGCATTGGGAAAGCGACCGGCGAACCGCACAAACTCAGAAAAGTTAAACCCTCTGAAATCACCTCCTGTAATCGAGGAGCGGCGAAGGCCAGTCATTGTGCAGACGACAAATCGTGCACCAGCCCCACCACCGCTCGACAAGTCGGCCATGGAAAATACTACGCAAGATGCAAGCAGGGTGAGGCAGGAAGGCCCCAAGACGCCTACCTATGCCCCATTGTCTTCTCCAGCGCTGTCATCGCCAAGAATTGGGTCATTCTCTTCATCACGCTCTGTTTTCTCGGCCCCACGAATGGAAAGAACATCATCAAACTCTGAAACTTACCGACCGCGTGAAGCTAGCATAGGACGTGGTCCTTCTCATCTGGGACTGTTATCCGGCGCTACGGCAAAGACATCAACTGTGGCCGCTGTAGGCCATGTATCCATTTCCGGCGAGCCTGATAGACGCGCGTTCGAAGCATTGGGAAGTTTCAGAGAAGATACCGAGCCCAAAGGCACTCCCAGACGAACATCCTCATCATCTCATTTCACACCAACTATGCCCAGTGCTACCCCCGAGGTTCCCCTGGCAAGGACAAGAAGTCAACTGACGCTCCTCCTAGAGCGCGAAAAAGAACGTCTCGGAGATAGGCCAAGACAAAGATCTTGACACGCATGAAGGAAATGCTTTTATTTCTCTCTGACCTATAATCTATGTACTAATTCGAAAGACACGAACTGCATCAACAGGGGCTTTTGGAGTTCTGGGGCACAAAATGGTTCAATTTTCCCGCATATATTATTTCCATAAAATTTGGGCTTTTCCCGGCGGTTGCTTTTGGCCCCGGCTAGCATCCCACATTTATCTTCGACCTTTTCTTTTCAGCAATTCGATAAGGCCCGGAACTTGATGCGGGCAAGATCGGTGGATTCGCATCACATGAGGCGTTCTCATTACAGGTGATTTTGAGGCCTAGTTAGGCCAAGGCCTGGGAAACATTACCAGGGAACAGCAAGTTACAAAAAGTCGGTTATTTGCATTCAACAGCGGTGGCGCACATATCCAGAATCGACCAGAGGAGCATTTCCCTAGGTGGACTGTGTATGGACAGCGCGTCAACTGATCCGATAGCCTTAGCAAATGAGAAAAAACTTTGGTGCCCAGAAATAGGCCATCTGTTGTTGGCCGAGTGGCGGCCGTGAGTGTGTGTTGTCGTGACTGAAACAGAACATGGGATAGCCTTGGCTCTGAGAGACATGTAGGCTGTTTCTTACAATGGAGGGCTGACTCGGCTTGTTCGACATGCTTGCAACGTGTGGCAGCCACGCACCAATGATGTTTTGATGACAACTTCTTTGAAGGATTGGAGGCTGACTCGTTCAATTGTGGAAGGTCAGAAAGGGTATACCAGGATTCTGTTACCGCGAATCTGATCACTGTCATGATCATCCAGACCGAGATAAGTGGGAGGGACTGGCGGGGGAAAAAGCAATGCACAACTGGTCACGAGGTCCATCGATTGCGACAAGGGAGAGAGGCAGTGGACCTGCTCACTCGCAAAGTCATTACGCAATTAAAACGCTGTAGGAATAAGGACCTTTCCTATCGGAACTGAAATCCGGGGGGTCTTTTGTGATTTGACATGTGTCCCATCCCACGAACTCCCGACCGCCCCCACGTTTTCTGTCGAGCGCGAGGGGCACGCACACACACACACACACACACAGGTTGGGTTTTTAGATGAGAAGAGAAGCTGCTGTGGTTATAAGAGCTACCCTGGTCCGGTTCCTCCGTTGACAGGGCTGCGGGATAAGAGGAGCACAGCCTTGGCTTCAGGTCACACACAAATATATATATATACATGTACGTACGTATGTATGTATAAGCGCCAAAAGTTCTGGTTGGGGTTATGAGCCGGTGGAAACCGTTCAACCGTTCAATTAGAGCTGACTAAGGAGGCTCCCACGGGGAAACCCCCACCACTATGGAGCATTGAGATTCTCCTCGTACCCTGTTGATCGTTGCTTAATCCTACCACAACGGGGAGAGGAAAGGAGATAAGTCCTGTCTATTCCTGCCCCCAAGCGAAGTCCACCTGTTCCTAGCCCGGAATACCTGGTTTGAGGAGCCCTTCGAAGTAGGTCTTGAGGTGGGAAACCCCCCACGCTAACATGCCGCTGGGAACTGAGCAGATAAACGAACCTTCAGCTTCCTGGAAAAGGATGGATGTAAAGTTTCCCAGTTGGCTTCGCTCTAGATGACGTCTTCGAAGTGGGCTCCGCCAGCAGCCTTGCTTTGCACGACGTGGGATCATGCAATCCCCCCAACGGCATGGCATGGCATCCTTGGCTCGCTGGCACCGTGAAGAAACCAGGGGAAAACGAATCACCTGGAAGTGAGGGCCTGGCAAGATTCGTTCCTCTGGATATCTGGGATTGCGAGGTGAAAACCCGTGGGACAATGGACGACCAGGAGAAAACTGACAGGTAAATCACTCATACGGTAGTCAAGGTCAAGCTCGAGGATGGGGCGCTTGGTTGCTAGGCTCCCATTGAATCGAACCCGTGTGTAGCTTGTTGGCTGTGATGCAACACCAGTTCTTGGTGAACTCAACATTGCGGCCCTCCCAATAAGTGCATGCCTTGTTTTGAACTTACTCTTTTCAGCGTTGTAACCCACGTCGGATCTGTCCGGCCGTAAAACATTCACTAAGAGTTAGCTGCTGACAGTAAGATCCTCGCACAGTCGCTCCGTTCTTAAATTTCTTAGCCTTGTAAGCAAATCGACTTGATATGGTCATTTCGCCCAGCCTTGAATTGAAACCCTGTGTTTCGCCTCTCCCCCCCCCCTCTTCTGAGCATTTGTCCAATTGTAGCCATCGCCGCAGGACTCTAACCCAGTTTCATAGATACTAAATTACCTTACAATCGTAGAGGTAATTGTCCATTATAGTTTGGAGAAGCCCTTTTCGAGTTGCGTAACCGTAAATGAAACCAAAAGACTGAACATATCACCCCACAGATGTGTCTAAGTCGCGCAGCTGTACTGTCCATCATGATAGTCAACATTGGGAAACTATCACGCACAGCAGCCAGTTGACTGAATCAGCAACTTCATTATTCCCTTTTTGATAGCATATTAAGGCAGCCAGCGAGTAACGAGGTATCCACAAAGCAGATAAATCTCAGCTCAGAATGGCACTCTGTTGTGTAACCCTCCAGATATACGCCTTGACCAACCAACTACCCACAAGGCCAAGACAGGTTTTGGAGGGTTTGATTCGACTAGATTGCCTCAACTGCATGCGGGCATGCATACTCTAGACCCTTCCCCTTCCCCTTCCCCCTCCCCCCTTATCATCACCCTCCTGCCCACCGATGGCGTAGCACAGCAGTATGCCCATGTACGCCGACCAGCCCACATTTTACCCCGATATCCATCGTGCAGCATTGACGCGGCCATCTCCTCCTGAAGCATGTGTTCGTACGCCCCTGTACCGTGTGTATCTGTGAACCAAGTACGTTTTGTGGGGAGAAAGAGGAAAAACAGTGAAGAGTGGCTGCTGTCAGCAGCCACATGATTCTTCGTTACACAAGTTCGAGTCACCCATCCCACTTCTTGGCCATCCGACACAGCCCGTCATCGACGACGTCGTGATGCGGCGCCGGTGTGGAGGACCGTGGCACCAAGACAAGCTGCCCTGTTTCCAAAGAGAGACGAGCTGCGCAGCCCGCGAAGGGGAGCTAGATAGATTGGCGATACCGGTAGGCTTGAGAATGTGGCACCCCCCTCCCCTCCCTTTTGCGAGAGCCATCTTACAAGCCATTGTTGGTCGGCAGTGGCGCGGCATATGCATCATTGCGGGTTATGTTTCACTGCGTCTCGGGAGGGTTGTCTAGCTGGTCCCAATGAGTCAACTTCACCAATGACCGAGTCGATATGTTGCCGCCCTCTAGATGGATTGTTTTCACATGTCAAGATTCAATGTCAGCCACTAAAATGATTCAAACATTTCATTATTGACGTTGTGTCGTTCGTCGATTGTAGACTGCTACAGTGTCTAATGCCCGTCGCAAGCAAAAACGCCCCTTTATCGGTGATAGGCGCAACTTTTGATCCACCTCTTATTACACTTTTCCTCGTCTTGATTGCACCGCCAACATGCTGTTGTGTGCTTTTATGTGACGGTGTAACCACCGTCGACACGGAGGTCCGCACCAGTCACGTACTGGGAAGCATCAGATAGAAGGAAGGTCACGGGACCCATGAGATCCTTGGGCTGACCCATCTTGCCCTGAGGGATAAGGGAAGTCCATTTCTGCTTGAGATCCGGGTTATCGTCGAGAATCTTCTCGGTCCTGAAATGTGCGTTAGCTAACGGTCACGTAACCAATTTAGTAATGCAGTTCTGGAGCACTTACAGAGCTGTAAGCATGTAACCGGGCGAGATGCAGTTGACACGGATGCCGGCGTGAGCCCATTCGACGGCCAGTGAGGCAGCCAGGTGGCGGACACCAGCTTTGGCGGCATTGTAAGGCCTGTTCATTCAAACATTAGCTAACTGCTGTGTCTCGAAACCAAAAGTTGAATGATACGTACGCTTGAGGCTGGGGCACGTTGACAATGGAGCCAGACATGCTACCGATAAAGACCATGCTACCAGGAGACTTGCGTTCCATGAGGTGCTTGGCTACTGAGATGGCGAAAAGGTAGGTGCCGTCAACATTAACGCCCCAGAGTTTGCGCATGCGGTCAATGGGGTAGTTGACGGCATCGAAGTTCTCGGTGAAGCCGGCTGAAGTGACAAGATTATCGATCTTTCCATGCGCAGCGATGACTTCGGCGATGCAGGCCTCTACAGAGGCAGGATCTGAAACGTCGGAGTAATGAGCGGTAACTTTAGGTACTCTGAGCATTGTTAGCCATTAGGTTCAGTGCAACTGGCCTTGTTTGAGTTGGTCATGTGCTTACCTGGTAGCTTCGGGGTTCTCCTTTTTAAACGTTTCGATAATGTTCTTTGCCTGAAGTTCCGCCTCCTCCTCTGCAAATCGTCAGCACTCAATTCAATAAATAGTCATGAGGGGCGGACTCACTGTTCAGATCGACAATGGCAAGGTCACTGCCTGAGTAGACCATGCCCTGGCCCATGACCAGACCGAGGCCGCGTGCACCACCCGTCACAACACCAACATGGCCCTCAAGAGAAAAAGACGCGAGAGTGGGCTTGCCAATACCGCCACCGTGGCCGCGAACAGGCTGGCTGGAAGGGAGCTCGTGGTCCTCGGGGTACTCGACCGTCACCTCAGGGTCGGTTCGAGAGTACTGACCCGGGTGTGGCTTCTCTCTGACATGCGGGCTACTGCTGATGTTCCTTGACTGCGGTTGTTGGGGCTTCGTCGCAGAGAGGCTTGCCGCAGCAGTAGTAGCTGAGTTCTGAGACTTGCCTCGGATTTGGGCGTTCTGAATGATGGGGCGGATTGTCCGCGCAAGGCGAGCGTTGAGAGGGCGAAACATTGTGACTCGCGTGCGATAACCGGTGTCACAAGGTTTGGGCGCAAAGGTTGGTTTAAGGTTCCCGGGGCGGAAAGGGGAGGAAAGTCAACGGTTTTGGGTGTTTGCTCTTCTGGATGATAGAAACGGGATGATGTCACCAGATGAGCTTTGTTGGGCGACGACTTAAGTGAGCTCTCCCGCTTATCGGAGCACACAAGGAATGGCTCAGAGCACCAAAGTCGAGTATAGAAACGTTTCGAGGGAGCTCTGGTGGGGTAATGACGTGGGACAATACTGTGTAGAGGTAGGTGATTGACCCTGATCGTCCGAAATAGAGCCTGTATCGGGAAATGCGCCGGATATTAGGGACCGGTTGGAGATGGTTCTTGCCGCTTTTGGAGGTTGGAAAGACAGCAAAGGCATAGAAGTCAAGAGAAGAGGGGGGACAGGCTTCGTTTATGAAGAGCTTGGGCAGCAGCTCAAGCTTAGGTAGTGGAGGTCCAGATTGTGCAATCAAATCAATTACAAGGAATAAGGTGGGAAAACTCACGATATCGGGCGTGCGTGGACGAGGCATCTGGTCCCTTCCAGGGTGAGGTCGACCTTTTGCACCTTATCCTCGCACTGCCTCGCGGGGACCTCCCCCGGAGCTGGGCTAGAAGATGCGGACATGCTGCCGTTGCCGCCACCTACATAGTAAGAACCTCACCCCGGGGCGGGGCTGAATAGGGCACCCTTTACGATTTGCAGCTGCATCCCGGATTGCCCGGCTGGGAGACTCCCGAGTGCCTGAATTTGGGTGACTTTGGACCGAAATGCCAAATGGAATTGACCACTGACGTTGCAATGGCTGGCAAGTTTACCCCAGTCTGGGAGTTGGTAAAGGCCACCCCCCGCCTAGGTCTTTCCCACTCAGCCCACTATGACTTCCCCAAGGGACCCTGTGGGGTAAAGCCAAAGAAAAGACGAGCCTGAAGGCCGACCTCTGACCCAGCATTGACGCTCCTCCAACTTTTTTTTAGGCCTTCTTGGGAAAGAAGATTGGGTATCTTTGGCCCTTGCTCCACAGTTACCCCAATTTTCCTGTGCAGGATGGAGTTCTAGAATGCCATGAGATTAGGGGGGGCCGAGGGTCTGGCCTTCTGACCTCTCGCTCTCCTGAGTCCTGAACTGAGCTCCGATTCGGAGTTCCCAGCTGACAGCGGCCCAACACCAATAAGGCTTTGCCTGCGTACAGGTATCTTCGTTTCTTCTTTCTGCTCCCATGTCACTCTGTCACCTCATCACGTTGATTGGAACTTCCATCCTGTTGGCTCGGATGAAATCCGTATCCACTTGTTGATTAATTTTCCCGTTGAACACGAGATTCAAGGCAGAGCAGATGACTGACCGATATTGCTATTTTCCATGCCAATCACCTACAAACCCTTGGCCATCCATTCCCGTCCTTCAACTGTTCCATCCTTTTAGTTGTACGTCGTCAGGCCACACCCGGGTCGCCGGAGACGCCAGCCCAGCGGTTCGGGAATGCCGCTTCAGGTCATCCGCTTACGCTTGCCCTGTCCCATGCACTTTTGGGGTTCTGGAAGCGCATTCCGCACATCCATCCTAATTCATCTTTCAATCCACATAGGTACTCGCCTTCGGCTGGAGAATTCTCATGGTATGCGCATATTGTAGCAGACTAACCAGGATCTTATGCGTGATGTGTGAGATTTTGAGGCATACGTCCCTTCCTTCGCATACACCGTTTGCTTTCTCATTGATTCCAGGCGTTCGTGTTGCGTCGAGAAATGCACCGAGATAAACTTGAGATGTGATGAACATCTACCATCCAGAGCGTTCCACTCCCAAGGCTCAGGTACGCATCTTTTTCTACAGTTGGGGTTCCCAAGCCTTCTTAGCGGGTTTCTAGATCTACGTTCTCATGTGAATTAATTCGCAACTGTTATTGCATATGAATCAGACTTTCCCATTCAATGTTTGACTTGAATGCCATGAAATGTAGTGATAATGCTTCAATGCGCTATTGAGCTTGCGAAAAACAATGGCGCATTAAAGCCGTATAGCGAAGGCTGGCTCAACTTGTTCAATTTCTGGCGCCGGTCAGTAGACTTATCAAATTACGTGAGGTGGGTGCTTCAGAAGGCAGAAAGAGTCGTTCGAATCTTGAGCATCATTCTTTGAGAAAATGCGTCGCTTGGCGGGCGGAGACGAAATTTGAGGAAACACCAGCAAAGGGCGTAACATGGACTGACAGTAATGGTCCATGTAGCAATGATCATTATATTTGGCTCTCTGGTAATCCTGCCTTCTCATTGGGGCCAAGTCCTCATCACCCTGATCGTAGTCAGGCAGTCGAAACTACCTCACCTTCAAACCAATTACAGATCAAATTTTCTTTTTTTACGATTCTAGATCAACATCTCTTTTTACAGTGCAATATTTTCTTCGTCATGCGAGATGGGCATATTCCTTGTTGAACGCTCTTCCGATCACCATTCTTCTAATCTCTGATGTACCGGCACCGATTTCATAGAGTTTAGCGCTATTAATCATATTAGCACTGACAACTAAAAAGGGTATCACATTCTTTGACTTACTCCCGCAATAATCTCGAGGCTGGCATCTCTTCCACGTATCCCATGCCTCCGAGGAGTTGAATACTGTCCAAAGCACACTCCGTTGCCCTCTCAGCGGCATACAGAATGGCACCTGCACAGTCTTGTGTCCGGATCAACCCGTTCTCGTCAACGGCCTTGGCTGTCGTATAGGTGTATGCTCGAGAAGCCTGCAGCTTCGTGTACATGTCGGCCAGCTTTCCTTGGAGGAACTGGTTCTGAGCGATGGGGATGCCAAACTGTTTTCTCTGATGGGTGAAAGGCAAAGCCACGTCCAGCGCGGCTTGCATGATACCCAAAGGCCCAGCACTAAGGACAAGACGCTCCAGGTCAAGGCCCTCCATCAGCACCCGTACGCCCCCGTTGATTTTACCAAGGATGTTCTCCTTTGGCACAAAGACATTGTCGAAGTTAAGCTCGCCAGTGTTGCTTCCCCGCATTCCCATCTTGTCGAGTTTCCTGGCGCAGCTAAAGCCCTTCGTCTTAGTTTCAACCAGGAACGCAGTAATACCCTTGGAAGCCTTCTCGGGCTCCGTCTTGGCGTAGACGACGATAAGGTCCGCATCAGGGCCGTTCGTGATCCACATCTTGGACCCGTTCAGAAGGTAGCCGCCATCGACGGCCTTCGCCGTCGTTCGCATGCTTACAACATCGCTGCCAGCCCCAGACTCTGACATTGCCAGGGCGCCAACGCTCGTACCAGCAATCAGTCCAGGGAGGTACTTCTGCTTCTGCTCCGGAGATCCATTGAGCTGGAGCTGGTTGACACACAATTGTGAGTGTGCAGCATAGCTGAGACCAATTGAGCCAGAAGCCCGTGAGATCTCCTCCATGACGACGCAGTGCGCCTGGTAGCCCATAGCCAGGCCACCGACGTCCTCGTCGGCTGTCATACCCAAGAACCCAGCGTCGCCGAGCTTCTGCCACATCTCGTTGGGGAAGGCATTGCTCTTGTCCGTGTTCGCCGCGACCTCCTCGGTGATCTCGCGCCTCGTGAACTCCTGCACGCGCTCGCGCAGCTCCGAGAGGTCGGCTTGTGACGGCGCTTCAAAACCTTTAGGGTGCTTGGAGGAGTGACGTCGGGTTTGAAGGGCGGGGGCGGCGGCAACTGGCCGCAATTGACGAGCTGGCCGCGCCAGGGATCTGAATGCTCTGACAGTCGACATGATTGCACTTCTGAATGAGACCTGTACAAAGTAAATAAAATGAAGAAGAAGGAAGGGAAATTGGGTTATTCCTCTTGTTGATGATCTGAGTTACCTTAGCTCGACGCCTAGCTGAGGTCCAACCGGGACAAGAAGGTGCTCGGCTAAGGGCGGCTTCTGGCGGGCCGAGGCCAATGGCTTGGACGTCACTGGAATGGTATCCCGTCAGCAAGCGAGCTCTCCCCTCGAAACACTCCCATATTCAAGGGCTTCGTCGGCAAATGTAGTTCGTCTTCTTCAAATCCCCGAGCTGTCGCACCGTTGGCAACACCCTCACAAACGTCCAAAAATGTCTCTCTCACGATCTTCAAGAGATGTCTTGCTGCTGTCGCGTCAATTGACCCGGCCAAGCGGATTCAGGGCCCCGCGCCTCCCGCGATCCTCCCGCACCGTTGCAACCTTCACGCCGCCGCACCAGGCGAGTGCCATATCCCGAATTCAGACCAATGTCGATCCATCCTCTGAAGAGTTCAAAGAGAATGAACGGCAGATGGGTGAGGTCATGAAGAAGATGCAGGACCTGACGCGGAAGGTACACCTCGGTGGCTCGGCTAAGGCACGGGAAAAGCACATTGCGAGGAAGAAGATGCTGCCGCGCGACCGAGTCACTGCGTTGATTGACCCCGGCACTACTTTCCTGGAGCTATCCCCTCTGGCAGCACACGAGTTGTATCCAGAGGCCGACGTTCCCGCCGGAGGTATCATCACAGGTGTCGGAGTCGTCGAGGGTGTGACATGTGTGATCGTTGCCAACGACAGCACAGTGAAAGGCGGCACATACTATCCGATCACAGTTAAGAAGCATTTGAGGGCACAGGCTGTTGCTCAAGAAAATAAGCTTCCGTAAGATAACACGACCCTCTACTTTGATTTTTTCTGACTCTTCATAGCTGCATTTACATGGTTGACAGTGGTGGTGCCAACCTCCCCCATCAAGCCGACGTGTTTCCGGACCGTGACCACTTCGGTCGCATCTTCTACAATCAAGCAAGGATGAGCTCGATGGGAATACCCCAGATTTCGGTTGTAATGGGTCCGTGCACCGCTGGCGGAGCCTACGTCCCCGCGATGAGTGACGAGAGCATCATTGTTGAGAATCAGGGCCACATCTTCCTTGCCGGTCCGCCACTTGTCAAGGCAGCCACGGGTGAGGTGATAAGCCATGAAGAACTGGGAGGTGGTAAGATGCACTCTTCAGTTTCTGGTGTGACTGACTACCTGGCGGTTGACGATGCCCATGCCATCACCCTTGCCCGGCGGAGCATTAGCAACTTGAACTGGCCGTCAAAGTCACCATCCACAATGGCGCCGGCAAAGAACTATGCTGAGCCTCTCTATTCGGCCGATGAGCTTCTTGGGATTGCCAGCACAAACCTGCGCAAGCCACTCCCTATTAGGGAGGTCATCGCTCGTATCGTTGATGGTTCTGAATTCTCTGAGTTTAAGCAGAACTTCGGAACAACACTCGTCACAGGTTTTGCTCACATCCATGGTTACAAGGTCGGTATCGTCGCTAATGATGGTATCCTTTTTGCCGAGTCCTCCGTGAAGGGTGCGCACTTTATCGAACTTTGCGCTCAGCGGGGCATCCCATTAGTCTTCCTGCAGAACATATCCGGCTTCATGGTCGGCTCTGCCGCAGAGCGGGGCGGCATTGCTAAGCATGGCGCGAAGCTGGTCACTGCAGTTGCTTGTGCGGACGTGCCAAAGTTCACGGTTGTAGTCGGTGGCAGTTATGGTGCAGGTAACTACGGCATGTGCGGTAGAGCCTACAGCCCGCGCTTCCTCTGGATGTGGCCGAACGCGCGTATTGGCGTCATGGGCGGTGAACAGCTGGCTGCTGTGATGGAGACAGTCGGCCAGAAGGTCGATCCCGAATTAAAGGAGAGGATAGAGCGGGAAAGTGATGCAACCTACTCGTCGGCGAGGTTATGGGTAGGTCACCTTGTCCACGTCATCGAATATTTACTAACGAAAACGCATAGGACGACGGCATTATCCCCCCTCAGCACACCCGCAAGTACCTTGGTTTGGGTCTCAGGGCAGCGATGTCGGGCCGTAATGAAGTTAAGGCTGGCGATACCAAGTTTGGCGTGTTCAGGATGTAAAATGCTCAGATATATAATCATTTATGACAAGTTTAGCCTTCAAGAAATGTGTCTCCGTACCTCTCAACTCCAGATCTACCAGGAAAGCTAGCCGTTGTTGAGCATTGTTTTGGTATGCGAACAACATTCGTTAATCAGCAATTATTGACAAGCGAAAAGACCACAATAGCGTCACATACCCCATCAAGATCTCACCAGATTGCCAGGCATAGTTAGGGCACGCCTGGTTTCAGGTTTCATCCGAACCTCCTGGAAGGGGGATGGATACCCTGGCTACCTTCCCGCCGTTGCATATAGTGATAAGCAGAGCATCTACATGTCGCGGCTCAGTATATGGAGAGATTCTAAAATCAGATCAGAAGTAACACATATCGCACAAGGAGCAGATTGTTACCCGGAGAGGACTTCCCAATTTGAAGACCTTGGCAGAAATATACGGGGTTAATTCTGCAGTAGATGGGACAGGAGCCAATTGCACGGAACTGACCCCAGAGACACCCGGCCAGCACCCCTGCCGAACACCGGCGGTGAAAACCCAACTGTGCTACTTGGGCCCCGATCGTGTTCTTCATCACTCTTCATCGGCCAGCATTTCTGGGATAGCCAGTGCCGAGAAGCATCAAACGGGCTTACTTCTTTGCCCTTTGCAGAATGAGCGCGTCACTGAACAAAAGACGTGGCCATTGGAAAGAGGATCCACGTGCTCTTCTACTGAGCGAGATGTTTACGGGTACGCTTGGTTATGCGGTTGGCACACTCCTTGGCAGGCTTGATGTTTTGTTATTGAGCCTTGTATTAAGATTTCATGTGCAAGGCGGACAAAACAGAAGTCCGTTATGTGTTCGTTTTAGCCGACGATTCATTCAGTGATGTGATGGCACGCGACTACAGCCTTCCTGACCAGAGTATCTGGCCACTGCAGTCATTGAGTAATACCATTCGCTGGATAGTTGCGAGTTACATCCCGATCCTGATTGAGCAAGACTTATGATGCCGGCCATATCTTCTCGTAAAATGGTGGCAATACCACAGCCCAAAACCCATTTCTCTTTCCTCTTCACTGAAGACCGTGATGCGGTGCGACCCATGAGCACAACCACACCCTAGTCTCACCGATCTTTAATCCTTGACTTACCGGTAAGCCTTCGTCGGGCTAGCTATGCACCTTCATGCCTTTCATTCCCTTAGGGCTACTAGTATGTACAAGACCCCTGGTCGGCAAGGGAAGGGTGGTTAGTGGGCTTCGACGCCCGTTGTGGCAACGTGCGTACTCTTCCCACCGATATTTTAACCCCTCGCTGGGGTTCATGTTATGCAACCGCGGGTACGAGACCGGTCTGCAGAATAGCGTGTTGGCATATTGCCAAGACGTTGGGAGAGAAGGGGCAATAAGGTAGAGATGAGCCCCGACAAAAACAGAATCGCCGGTTCGAGTTGACACTTTTGTCGATGACCCCTATGATATTATTCACCGCCTTAGGGCTGAAGGCAGGTATATGAAGGAAACCATCCTAATCAGCGAGCCCACCTGACCTCGTCTCGTTAACTCAAGCCAAGTCATCTCTGGGTACACTTCTTTCTTTTAATTTTCAGTCCCAAACAGACTCGATAACAAACAAACTCACCATATCAGGTCGAGAAGTCTTTCTCCAACCTTGCTGACCATTATATATACTCTCCACTCAACAAGATTTATCACTTCAAACAGCTTGTAAAGGAAAGACGACAAAATGGCTCCCTCAGCTCTGCCAGATGAGCCCCAGATGTACGCCCCAACCGTATCCGAGATGGCACGCGGCCGGCGCTTCTACCCCTCCCACAAGTTCATCACTAGCTGTGGTACAGTCACAGTTGACTTGTACGCACGACGCGTACTACTCGTGTACAACAGACGACATCACATCTATCAGCTGCCAAAAGGGCGTAAGAACATTGGCGAGGGTCTGATGGCTGCGGCACTGCGTGAAACCCGCGAGGAGACAGGCGTTGCTGTGACTCCTATCGTCCTGCGGATTCGGACGAGGGCAACGCCTGCCAATGCGCCATCCGGTGCACCAGATATCACCGAAGACAACGAAAACATGGAGCCGGTTGCTGTTTGTCACTATCCAGATCCCAACTCTGGTGCGATGAAGATGGTGTTCTACTTCGTTGCGGAAGGAACATGTGGACTTACGCCTGATGGGTGGACCGGGCTGGATCGAGTCAAGTTTAACGTTGTCTGGGTTGGTGTTGCGGAGGCGGCGGGCAAGTTAGCGTTTAAAGAGGATGGAATGGTTGTCGAAAAGGCATTGGAGGATCTGAGGATCTCTGGATATGATATCTGATTTGCTTGGTTAAGCATTGGGCGGAAGCAGAACATGGGCGTTGGGCATGGAAAAAGGGAAATCAATCGGTAGACGGGTCTTTCGGCTTGACTTATCAGGTTTCTCGGCGTTTGATATCCAAAAAGTGTTCATCTTTCTTGGACGAGAATTTGCAAACAAGGGGAAGGCTTACATTGACGAAAATTGAATGGTTTGTTGATGACTATAAGCTTGAACATTTACTAGTGAAACCCATTTCGTAGGCCTCCAATTACTCAAAAGCTACACCTTCTGTTTTCATGCGTAACATGCCAACACGAAAGTTACCTATCCAGACATCTGATCATACCCCTTACATATGTATGCATTGATACACAAGTCTTGATGCAACGTGGATTTGGGCGCCGCCTCAGTCCACTGGCCATTATGACTAGCGTGGAGAAGGACATGAGATACTAGGTCTAGTCTCCTTATAGGGTATAAGCCTCTGCAGTCGAATTGTGAGATCTCATACCATTAGGGGTCAAAAAAGTAATAACATTGCGCTGTCCTCGTTCCTTTGTCACAAACTCCAGATGGAGATGGATACAAGCTTATGGCAGCATAATAACTCGAGGACTTGCCCAGGGAACCCCAGAACAACTAATTTGTTAGGATTTATCTTATTCCACAACAATAAGAAACTCTTACCATATTTTGATATGCCTGGTATCTGAACTACACAAAAAAAGAGGAAAGCACGATGAGGCATAAATACTTGTGGTTTCAAGTTAGGTGAACTCCGAAGCCGACGGGGGCTTGGGATTTCGACAGTATCAAGAACTTCTCAGCTTCGCAAGTTTTTCATTTCAGAGCTATGTATCTACCTTCAAATGAAGTCTTCCATATAAACTACCCGAGCGAGCCACGCTGCCGGGTCACAGAGGCGGTAGAGGGCACAACTGCAGATTCGCGGTTAAGCATCTCGCTTCTGCATGGGTGCTGCACTTGCTGCTCCGCATGGCATGACTACGAACCACAGTGGTATGATATGGTTTCCTCTTTCTCACCACGAGGACAGAAGGAGAACCTCGATAGCTACTGTCTATCGTTAGCAATGCCGATAGAGCCGTCCTGCCCGTCCTAGCTCGGGCCTAACGCCGGCAAAGTGGCGGGTCTCCCGTAAGGTCCACCGTTGGCGGGGTTTGATCCAGTCGATTCGGTTCCACTGATGAGGTGGTGACATCACCCCCACAGCTACCCCTCATCAAGCTCAGTAACAGTTACCCCTCCATTTGACCCCCCAATCGCAATCGCTGGAGCACAGTGAGTTCGCCCCTTTTACCTTAGCCTTCAAACGCCTGCAAAAACGGAGCCACACGTTTTCCATAGCCATCTAGAAACGAAAGCCTACCCACAAGAAGAGTCCAAGCCACCGCCCTTCCGTTAAGATTGGATGGCTTTCCACGCAGTAAAAACCGCTCGCCCCGCTTCCCAAGCTCTGTCTAGGCAGTCTTTGATTCAGAAAGCCACAAACCACCCCTCCCACTCCACATCTGCTATAGCTTCACATTCAACAACTTCAGCCTCGATAACCGCTGCACCTACGAGCTTCACTTGCCGTGTACCGTCAAACAGCTCGTCGTATTTCATCCATAACAAAAGTTTCTCAACTCAAACCGCAAGAATGGCGTCCACTATGCCCGCCCAGCACGGCCACAGCCAGGCCTGCTGCAACATCCCTCCCGTCATCGCCAAGGGCTACCAGGCCAAGGGAAGCTACGAAGAGATTGGAGGCCTGAAGACTTGTTCGTCACCACTCAATTGATCTTGCTTCCCCCCATCAAAGTAGTATGTTACTAATGACTGCCAAACGGACAGACGTCACCGGTCCTGCCGACGCAAAGAAGGCTATCGTTGTCATTTACGATATCTTCGGATATTTCGATCAGACTTTGCAGGGAGCAGACATTTTGGCGACCAGCGACGCACAGAAATACCGAGTATTCATTCCTGACTGGTTCGCCGGCGAGCCTTGCCCCATTGAGTGGTTCCCTCCCAACACCGAAGAAAAGCAGAAGAACCTCGGCGGCTTCTTCCAGAAGTTTCCTCCTCCCAAGGTCGCGGGCCAAGTTCCCGATTACGTCAAGGCCATTCAGTCAAAGTACTCTTCCCTCGAGTCTTTCGGTATCCTCGGTGTAAGATATCCTGCGCCAATCGCAAAGCTAGTTCTGCGAGACTGACCGTTCTTAGTACTGCTGGGGAGGCAAGGTTGTTTCCCTCGTCACTTCGGGCGACAGCAACCCATTCAAGGTTGGTGCTGAGATTCACCCTGCCATGGTTGAGCCTGAGGACGCCAAGGGCATTAAGATTCCTCTGATCATGCTCGCCTCCAAAGACGAGCCGGAAGACGCCGTCAAGCAGTTCGAAGAGAACCTTACAACTGCCAAGCATGTCGAGACTTTCAAGGACCAGATTCACGGTTGGATGGCTGCCCGCTCTGACTTGGAAGATGCGCGTGTCAAGGAGGAGTACACTCGTGGATACAAGACTGTTCTTCAGTTTTTCAGCAAGAACTTCTAAGAGCCTAAAACGGCCTATTGTAATGATTTTATCACAAAAAGCGAAGTATTGGCTGTAATAGTGGCCAATTCCCAATGAATAATCATGTCTTATGAATAACAAATCAATCGATCAGTCTATATTTATGATTCTGGAGACATTGACCAGGAACAAAAGATATTGACACCCTCGGTGCGGTTTCATTGCGATGCTCATTATTTGTCTAGTGGTTTAGGTGAGATATTCTCTAAACATGCATCAAGTTGGAACCGGATATGGCTAAAAGTTCGCACTACACCGACTATACGGATTAAGATTCAATGATAACGGTGTACAATTTTCTCAGTATGGTTAACTTGTTGCAATCATTGATTTGCACGTGAAGGTTCACCAACCAGTCTCAAAGGATGTGTCAGGTTTCACAGTGGCTACGCAAATAAGAGATCTTCATTGACAAGCCAGGCTTTTTCAAACACATCTTTGGCCGACGGTCCATCCTGGACTTAGCATGACACAACGGCCAACATGATATTGGGTGAGTGTCGTTTGATAGAAACCAGAAAATCACCCATGGTCATACAGCAAACAGGTCGGAGCTAAGAATTTGAACGTCACATAATCGAGATAAGTGAAGTAATGAAGAGACGCAAAATTCTCTGAAAGTCTTCGAACTCATCATGATATAATGTTCTTTTAATTCTCCTGTTGGCGTTGAAGGTATCATATCCATTGACTAGGAGACAAGTCTTGAAAGTTATATCATATTGAGAAAACGTGGTTCAAACTTTGAAATATACTCATTTCGACTTGGTTTTAAGTCTCCTCAATCTTGATGTTAGAATATCGGCATTCGCCACGTTCTGCGTCAATTGAGGCACCCTATATTTGTCTATTCTGTTTACAATTACATCTTCATGAGCCAGTAGGTAGCAGGAAAAGTCTGGCTGATCTTCCTCTGTTGGAACGTGAAACAGTGCTTGGCAGCTGGGAATAAGTTTTTGATTCTCGAAGCGCCCAGCAAATCTTGACCGCTTTCTCTTGTATTTCAGCACTCCCAAAACACTGTTGCATTGCATGCCACAGAGACGGGCAGCCGTCATTGTCCGCCAGATTCAGGTTCAAGTCAGTGGTCTCCAGAGTACACTTCACCAAGCCAGTTAAGTTGAACTTTGCGGCATGGTGCAGTACATACCACCCCTGATTATCTACTTCTATGTTGGCATCGGTCTTGTAAAGCATCTTGAAAATCTCGTCCACCTTAGAGCGGTGGCTTATGCCGTTTAATGACATCGTCTTCCCCTTGTTGTCCCCAGTCTCAACTTCAGCGCATACAAGGGGGACGGTGCCTGTAAATCACGCCAAATCGGCTTTGGGCTGGGTAAAACTAACCATAAGCAATCTGCGCGATGTTTGAATGAGCTGGATGGTGTGATTAAGAAAGAGATATCGGGCACCTGTATCTGTGATTTCTGAGTCGGCATCTGGGAATAGCTCGTCTTCTTGCCCCGAAATATTCCTGAGTAGTCTGGTGAGCCAGTCGAGTGATCACCTTTCTAGCCTGTTATAGCGAATCCCGCAGATGCTATAACTGTGGTTTCGGTAGACATCATGTTTTCTTTATTGATTTCTGGCTCGCCTTCCTCGACAGCAGGAGCATACTTGAGTTTGAGAACTTCCAAGGGCCGTTTGGCGCACACAATCCAAGAGATGTCTTCGGCTGCGAGTTCAGCATGTTCTTGTGGTTGTTCCTGTTTTCTTCTCCAAGCTTCCTTATAGACCTCCTTGTAAACTCGAGTTCCCTTGGAAACACTTGCTGAGGCTTTGCGGATAGCCTTAGCCTTCGTCTTATAGGGCAATGATTCCATCCGCAATTTGGTCCAGAAAAACCCGTCTGCTTGACCAGTCGCTGATTTGAATATCCTTCCAAGTGTTCAATTTTCATCCATCGGTTCTGCTCAAGACTATCTTAATTTCTCGCTGAGATGCTAGGCTTTTTCAAACAAAAATCTGCATGTCTGGCATTCTATTCTCTATGAATTACCCAACATCATCGTCATCATCGCTGGCGCGAATTGACGAGAAGATAGCGCCTTTAAAGTGAAAAACCTCTCCAAAGTCCCCGGGATACTTCTGATGTGGCGATGACGTTGGCAGAACGTCCTTCTTGAAGCTGGGAAACCTCCGACAGAAATCTTCATCAACTCTTTGACGCACATTCGTCCAAGGTTTTGATAACGATGTAAAGGCTTCTGGAGGAGGAGGAAATAACGACATGGAGTAAGTTAATAGTATTTTCCAGCGTCGGTCATGTATTGTTTTCGCGATGTGTCTCGAATAGTGATTTTAAACACACATGGAATTGAGAACGCGATTGACGAGGTTTGCAGGAAGATCGCCAATGGTTTGTTTTCCTTGATTTTAAAGTTGAAATACATAAGCGATACCGATATTGGTATTGTTTCGGAGTCGATGAAGTAACTCGCCAAGTATGACTGATACCATGATTTCTTGCCAGCCCCTGGGATACTAACGCAAAGGAGAGCGCGGTTCTTCTCCGATACGCAGAACCTGAACTGGACAGAATCCAGAAGCCACTGGCCAGTTCCATTTTCTCTGCGTGAAAGATTGTCTCGCTGCTGTGGCTGGTAGTCTGTCGTAGTCAATCAATCCAGGATTTCATGCTGTTGATTGCTGATATGTTGGCCATGCATGGAATCAACAACTTGTTTAGTGTCATGTATAACTTGATTGTGGGGTGATAAATCAGCAAGTCTATTAAGAGATCTAATAATTGAAATATTAAACAACCTGTCCCCACATTGCTTGATCACATCAAGCAGCTGAACGTTTCATGACATTCCCAAGTGAAGCTTTTGGAGATCCTCTGTTGTCATCCGCAGCCGCTTCCGAAAGCACCTTTAGTTTCAAGTTTGAGAGTTTCCCGTTCTCTGGACTGGTTTCCAGGTCTGTGTGGCCTTCAAAGACCTGTTGTAACTCGTTCAAATGTTTGCGGCAACCTTGAACGGGAGGTTCAACGGTCCGCCTCTCATAGTCACTGAGCTGTCCACCAAGACAGTCAATCTCCTCTAGCCCCAATTCCAGGGCCTTGATTCAGTGTAGAATATGTCAACATGTCACTTGAAAAGGCGACTTAACGGTATTCCGCTTGGCTTACTCGCGATTTAAAGAATCGAAATGATCCAGTGCATCGTCGAAGCGCCCGCGATGTAGCTTGGCCTCCTCTAACACGCCGATAAAGTCGCCCACTCCGAAGCCGAACGTGTTGTTGTCAAGTGACCCATTTTGCTTGATCCGATACTGGGCCGAGGTGGTCACCATGCGCCCTAACACATTTGGAAAGCGATTCATGTCGTGTGAGGATGCGGCTGCGCATTATCGTGGCTTTGCCTTGACAGCCTTCATTGGGAACAAAACCAGGAATGCGCTGTTAGTTTACACAGTTTGACAAGGGTGGGCATTTGTGCTTCTATGTCCTTCCAAGATACTATCAGAGTTTTGGTTGACACAGCGTAAGGCCAAGTTCTGGAAGAATTTGACAATTACATGACGTCTGCTCAAGGGGTTCGTTTTCATAACAGAATCTATTTTAAACTTATACCTAAGCCAGCCAACAACACCTCTTCTACGCCATTTTGAGTGCTTAAGGCACAAGTCTCTTGGGGGTACGGGGGTAGTAGCTCGCCAGGTGGACAGACGGCAGGTTGAGGAACCAAGCGACGACACGGTCGAGACCGATACCACCACCACCGTGGGGAGGAACACCAGCGCTACGGAAAACATCGACGTACTCCTTGATACCCTGGCTGTTGGGGTCGATGCCCTTCTTGCGCAGGCGGGCCTCGAGAACGCTAGGAATGTGAATACGCTGGCCACCGCTAAGAATTTCCTGGCCACGCATGAAGAAGTCGTAGGCGTTGGTGACCTTAGGGTTCTCGGGATCCTCAAGGGCGTAGAAGGGACGGGCACCCTCGGGGAACTTGTCAAGGACATAGAAGTCGGTGTTGAACTTCTTGCGGATCAGAGCACCGAGGGCCTTCTCCTGGGGAGTGGACATGTCCTCGTCATCCGAGACATTGCGGTACTCCTCCGGGCCCTCCTCGCGGAGGAGCTTCTGTCCCTCGGCAAAGGTAAGACGGACCTCCTTGCCGGGCTCGGGGAGGAGGAATTCGTCGGAGGGGTAGACGGCACGGACGGTCTCGATAGCCTCGGCGCAGCGCTCCCTGAGGCCACGGAAGATGTGCAGCAAAACCTTCTCAAGCATGTCCTGAACCTCGTGGTAGTCGTCCTCAATCTCCATCTCCAGATCGAGACCAGTGAACTAAACAGCGTAAGCAACAAACCCAAGAAATTGCACAGCGAGTGATCCTCCTACCTCAGTCATGTGTCTAGGAGTGTTGGAGTTTTCGGCACGGAAAACAGGTCCAATGCAGTAAACTCTCTTTCTGCCACCGGCAATCTCAAACTGCTTGTAGAACTGAGGAGACTGGGCGAGGCAAGCGCTCTTCTCAAAGTAGGGGAGCTGGAAGACGTTGGCACCACCCTCGGAAGCAGCACCGATCAAGCAAGGAGGCTCGAACTGAACGAAACCCTGGGCGTCGAGGTACTCGGCGAACAGCTTTCGGGTTTGCATGCGGACTAACTCGGTCAATAAAAATCTTCAGTTTATTAGTGGCGTGGACCTACCGTCAGCAATAGCCTGTTGAACAGGCGCACGCTTGTGCATGACGGGGTTGTTGAGATGGGTGGACATGCTCGCGCTAGGGGTGTTGTCGATGCTAACACCCTCAACGCCGCTCTTGATTTCCTCGACAGCCTTGTCCTCCTGGGGCGCATTGGGGTCCTCGTCATCGAAGCTTGAGATTGCACGGTTGGAGACAGCCAGAGACATGGCCAGGGCCTCGGGGCCAGGAGCGATGACGTAGAGCTTGGTGATGTGAAGCTCGTAGTTGCTGACCTTGCAGCTCTTGACAGGCTCGAGGGGCTTCTGGACAGTTGCCTCAACAAGAACGTAGGACTCAAGAGCAAGACTGCCAATCCACTTGACCATCTGCTTGGAGACGGGCTTGCCCTCAGCGCTGGCGGCGATGACACCCTGGATGGCCCAATTGCGCTCCTCACGGAGCTCGATGAAGCACATCTTGGCGCCCTGCATACGCGAGTTCTGGATCCACGCGCGCACCTTGATGCTCTTACCGACATGCTCGTCGCCGACATTACGGAGGTTCACACGCTCGGCGTCGACCTTGGTCTTCGGGGTAATGTCGCCGTAGTTATCCTTGGCCAGGTCCTCTCCGCCTGCGCCACCAGCAGCCTTCGCGGCAGCCTCAGCGGCTTCACGCTCAGCAGCCCTGCGAGCCTTCTCCGCCTCCTTCTTGGCCTTGGCCTCAGCCTTCTTCGCTCCCTTCTTGGATTGTTTCTCACCACCCTCCTCGTTGGCGGGGGCGGGGGCGGGGTTGGAGGTAGGCTCGGTCGCCTTTGCGGGCTCGTTTGGCGCGTCAGCCATGTTTGCGATTCGGTTCTATATGCGGAAAAAAACAATTAAGACTCGAGCTCGAGTTTTCAGCCGGGTGGTGCGTTTTTAACGTCGATGTGATGACTCTTGTGGTCTGACCTTCGGTGTGACTGTTTAAGTGACAAACAGGTCCACGGCCGGGAAATTTTGATGGTGGGGCAGGGACGACCCCTCACAAGCTGAAAGCCATTGGCGATGAAGTCACGGAACGTCGCATGTGCGGGCGGTGAGTCAATTCATGTACTTTGGGCTACCTCAGTGCAGTCACAAACGATCGATATCTGAAATAGCATGACTGTCATGAATCAATTGGCTTTAAGGCCGGCGAAAAAAATATAAAATTAGATATTGCAATCAGCCCACCCTCTTCCATGCGCACCATGCTGCTAAATCAAACGCCAACCTGCACCGCCAGTCCTGGTATGCTGCCGCCAAAAATGAACACAACCAAACTTGTAGTAGGTACATACAGCAACAAAATTTTCTAGTGTCGCAACCAGAATACAGTATCGAAGACCCCGTCTAGTTATTCCCTGATGCCCAAACTAGGCAGCTAAAGGATGGGTCTCGGACTTCTCGCAGGTGAAGAGGTTCACGTGGTAATCCCCTCTGGCTGCACAAGCCAGAATGGGTCTATGAGGATGGAAGGCCGTGGCTGCAATTGGCGAGCCCCTATTCTGTTGGAGGAAGCTCGAGTATGGCTCGACACGGGAAAGCTCATGCCCATCAAAGTTGAAAACCTTGACGGCATGTGTAGAAGTACCACTACGCATAGGTCAGTATAGTGGCCAGGGTGAGGGGTCCTATTTTTTTTTTTTTTTTCACTTACACAGCAAACACCGGTAGGTGCTCATGAGTACTGGCTGTTCGAAGAGTATCCCGAGTCGTCTGGTAAACGTGGAGGGGCCGGTCCATACGTATATCCCACAGCTTCACCTTGCCATTCCTGCTGGCGCTAAGCAATTCTCGTTGCCCGCCACGCTGCATATGAACACTCTTGATCCATTGCCTATCGGTTTCATCCTTCCACTTCTTCACCATGGAATCTTGTGCCCTGAGACGCGTGTCAAAAACGCGGACAGCACCGTCGCCAAAGCCAGCGACGAGCGTATTGCCTGTCATCTGATCAGATGTTAAGGACGTAACACAAGATCCTGACCGAGCAGGAATGTCCATAATGCAAGTCTCGAATGCCGCAGACCACACTCGGATTACCCGCACATCGCCAGCCACGAGCACACGACCTGTTGATTGTTGCCAGTCAAAAACCATACCCGAATTAACATTGCTGGGTACCATGTGCGTAAGAGCTCGCCAAGCCGAAGCTAGACTGATTGATTTATCGGAGTCATAGTTCTGATAAATTCGTATCACACCATCAGACGAACCAGTCATTAAGAAGGCCTGGTCATCCTCGTTGATAAACTTCATGTCGCTGATTCTTGACCCTTCAGGGTTTCCGTTTGAAAACCTGCTTAGCCGGGAATGTTTTTTCCAGTCCCATACACACACCGTATTGCCATCATCTGCCACGGCGAGATGGTCCTCAAACTGATGGAAGGTCAACTTGGCAGGCTGCGAACCATTATTCGTGATACCAAGTTGGTTGTTCCACTTGTGACTACCTGCATACTGCTTGAGAGGTTGTGTTTCGGTCAGAATGAAGTCGTTTCTCGACCTCCTCCAAAGCCGTTCGTTATACTCAGTGCTACCTGGCTCATCTGACTCGCTCGGCTTCATCTGAGGCTCGCAGAAGTATTCAATCGACCATTCCAAAAATGTGCTCTGAAGGGGTAGCGTGGGGGACTCGCTCGGCTTCCGCTCTTCGTATCCACCAGAAACAGGCTCTTTAGCAACATGATAGTTGGCATGGACAGCAGTGGGGTCACTCTGTTCTGGGGGCGCGGAGGCAAGCTCGGGTGCCTTAATCTTTTGAGACCCACTCCTTTGCAGTCCTGGTGAAGGAGCTGGAGTAGAGTAATTGGCCTTCTCACCAGCTTCCGCCTTGCCATCACTGCCAAACAAGGGCAGCTGGAACAGCAAGCTTGCTGTGCGGCGCAGCAAGCTAGGAGAGGCCAGAGGTGGAGTGGCCATGGTGTTTGAAACCCCAATGGCGTTGCTACGCCGATTCAAATTCAGGTGGTTCTTGGTAGAAGCTCGCTTTGCCCTTTTTCGGATATCATCGATAAGGATCTGCGCGTGTTCACCAATAGCTGATGTCGTAATCGCCTGATGAACGTAGTCCACAATGATGGTCGCGTCTCGCTGAACCTCAGGGTGGGGGTCGACGTTGAGCATCAGAGCATGCTTCCAACATGCTGCGAAGACGGTGTTGTGTGCGAAACCATGTACTGTAGGCTTGATGGTTCCATCAGCATTCCTGTTTTCTTTGCGCGCATAATGCAGCCCCATTTTGTGGTTCATGCCATCTTGCCCAGGAGGGAAGAGGAGGTATTCCCTTTCCTCTTGCAGTTGTTCGTACGCAGCAACGATGAATTTGCTTTCAAAGCGGACGATGAACCTGGACAAAAACACGAGGAACTCCCGTCGGACCATCGGGCTGCCGTCATTAGCCATGTCCAATAGGGTCCAAGCGATTGACTCCTCAATTCGGGCAACCTCGTCAGTTAAGTCAATTATGCCCAGGAAGGTAGTCATTGCATACACCATAGCTGCACGAACCTCGCAGCATGGGTCTTTTGTCAAGAATGACAGCTTCGCTGGGGCATTCTCACGAATACCACGCCATTTAGCTTCAGGGAGTTCCTGCCACAGTTGACTAATGCATAGACAGGCCCACTGTCGTAGCAAAGGGTTTTCCTGATTCTGCAAGTGGACCAAACAGTATGTCATTATGTCAGTTTGGTTGCACACATGCTGGCCTGGCTTGTAGTCCTTGCACAGCATGGACAGGATAAAGGCGCACATTGCCTTGTGCTCGGCCTCGTTAACAACAGGGAGGCTCTCAGATGGCTTCAGAATTTGAGCAAAGTAGTTGTAGCCACTGTCCTTGATGAGGTCCGCTTGACATGAAATGTCAACAGCTAGTATTCTTGTCCAGATGAAAATCATTACTGGCTTTAGCTCAGCCGCAGCCGACTGTAGTAACTTCAACACGTATGGGAAAATGCCAATGCTTAAAGCCAGCTGCACAGCCCATGGACCCAAGTCAAGAAATCTTCCAAGCAGAATCAGAGCTCTGACTCTGTGCTGCTGACTTAGGAGAACTTGAAGTACAACGGGCAGCTGCTCTGGTGGTTGCTGGGACATGGCATCTCCTCGCGTTAGATAGACGTCGAACGCCGTCAGCTGTTCGGTAAAAAACGTCGAGTTTTGGTACTCGTACTCGAGGCCCTCATTCTCCTTTCGCTCAAGCATGGGTAACTGTGCTAGAGCCATGTCTACCGCCAGATCCCAGCTCGCCCACAGAGGGTGCTGGCGGGTCTCAGGAAGCTCAGGAAAGGACTGCGGATGGCAGCCGTAGACGGACATGATCCTCTGAGCAAGAAGGAAATTGCGGAACAACGCAGCTACCATTAGGTCTTGTCTAAAGAACTTCCGAAACAGGTGTCGCGGTAGTGTCGTCCAGGCAATGGTGTCTGTGATGGCTGTGAAGATCCAATTCAGCTCACCAAGCGGAGTTCGTCTTTCCTGCAATCTTCCGGGCAGCTTCTTAGCTCGCTCTGGAGTAAGATTCGTCTTCAGAGGGTTTTGTAGGACGAAGAACCAGAGAGCCATCTCGATTGGAGTAGTAAGACAGGCAGTAAATAAATCTGCTGGTAGCAGAGGGTTGGTAGGAAGGTTCTCCTTTACATCGCAGGCGGCGAGGTGGATGTAGGGCTGGAACACCGTCTTCTCGTAGTTCGGATCCCTCGCAGCAGCTTCCTCTTCCTCCTGTTCATGCTTCTCTACGAAGCGATGGTAGTTATTGAGAATATTTCCGGCTTCGGAACAGTCCCAGACATAAATCGTTGGAGCATGTAGCCATTGTTGAAGATCGTACAACGAAACCGGGATATACTGTGTATAGTTTTTGTTAAAAACCCATATCTCACCACTCGCAGTGGGCTTCGGTACTCCATGGCCGTTGTAATGAAGTAAAACTCGCTCATCTTTTGCGTTTCTACGCAGAGACTGACAGAACTTCTTCGTTTCTTCAACTGAGGGATCCAAGTACTGCTTGTATCGTGTTCGAATGGCAAGCGTCTCATACTGAGCTTGAAGCGCCTTGCCAATGTTCTCAAGGGCTTTTTGAGGAGGGGGCGTTGTAGGGTCAGTCCAGGCCTCGAGTTTGGCACCTGGGTTGGTCTTAAGCTGGTCAGGAGGCTCGACAGATATATTAAGACAGACGGCCAGCGCAGCAGAAACAGTTTTTAGCCTGTCTCGCATGCGCCAATCCTGCAGCTCATGTAGTGTTGCCTTCGGTTTGCCAGTTGTTTCGTGTCGTTTATCGGTCCAGTACATGTACCAATTCTTGAGAGACAAGTTAGCGTGGGTCAGTATGCGCAACAACATCAACTAATCCGCTGGTCCAAAGACGCGTCACTTCGCAGTTGCGAGTATCTGGCTTTGGACTTTTGATAAAACAACAGCCTTCACCCTTCCGGACGACTGCATTGTCTGACATAGCCACAGGAATGGAATGTGTGCACAAACACTGGCGATGTGGTGCCCCGCGCTGCCCCTCCGAACTGGAATTCGAACGGCCATGCTCATAGTCATGGCGCACAAGTAGCGAAGAAGCAGTCTCTTGTTTTACGCAGCGCAGACGGTGGTTCACATTAGACCAGTCCATCTGGAAACCATCTAAACAAGACCGCAAAGTAGAGGGACGCAGGAGCTTGAAGGAAGAAAAATTGGGTGTGAAGGAATTCGACAGCAACAAGAAGAAAGGCTATGCTCACATTTGCCAGTGCATTTATGACATCTGGGGACTCGTGGTACTCTTCGAAACCGTGTCTGGCGCCCCAATGCGGGAGATCCTCTTCGGAGTGATCAACTTCCTCGACTGCCCGGCTGCCTCCATACTCGCTCTTTGATCGCATGAGCAGTGGCTTCACTCCTGGCCGACTTGGCCGGTCTGAGTCGGACTGTTCTCCTGTCGATATTCCAATAGAAGGAAACTGTTTATTACCGGGCGCACTCGATGGACGTCTGGCGGTGCTGTCGTCATGGCTCGTGGATCGTTGAAGGCCTAGGGGAGGATGGGCAGCAGATGAAGATGGTTGCGCCGTCGCATCAGCGAATGCAGAGGCGCCGTTGGGACGCTGCATGGACGGCATTGTGACGGGACTTCCATTAACACCAAGCAGCGCAGTGCTGTTGGTTCTTCGTGAGATGCTAGGGTAGTGGCGGGGCTGAGAGGAGGAAGGTGAGGGCTTCGAAGAGCTCGACTGTCGAGGATGGCTGGCGGAGGAGGCACCAGGGTGAGGTTGATGTTCTGGAGTGGCGGCAGCAGTCATGATGTCAATGACGGTTGGTATACTCAGTGCTGGCGTGCAAACCACCTTTTCAGCATTCACCGCGACGACATTTCGGTTTCGCGGTGGTCGCGCGGATGAAATGGATGGAAATGTGGCAGGCGGTTGCGTCGGTGACGCGAATTTGGAGTTTTTGGAGAGGTGAATGACAGGTCAGGTTGGCGGCGCAGTCGTAGCGGGACTGAAGGTGCTCAGGTGCTGTGTGGTAAGGTGCCTACCTCAGTGCAGCGCTTGGCCCGCGGTAACGGCAGTCGCCAAAAATTAGGAATGGAACCTCGAGCTGAGGTCAGCTCTGGCGACCAGCCTATCAGCAGCTCCGTCTATCGTCGCCACCCACTACTCATACGCTTGAGAAAAGCTCCCATAAAAATGCCCGAAAGTTTATAAACTTCTTGATACGATTCCTAAAATTCAATGCCAGGCCATAGTTGGAAATCAAGCAAACACGAACCAGTTCATTTTGTGCTACGGTGAGCACCGCCTGAGTAACCTGAATCAGTGGATACGACATCGGTGTCGGCACAGGCCGAGTCCCTCAGGAGACGGAAGTGACTGGCCCTGGCCCTGACCGCCTTTCAGCTCCACCTCTCCGCATCTTCGTTCGCAACCAGCCGCTGCCCGCAAGTGCAGCAGCACCCGATCCGGGGCCAAGCATATGAGGTCTTCGGCCGGGCGCACGGTTCAGGCATTTGGCGGTAAGGGCGCTAAGCTGAATCAGTCTGGTCCATAATTACTTACCACTTACGTAGTGTTCACCTGACCTTCCTCGTGCAACATATCCGTTCGGTATTCCTGACATCCTACAATCCGAAGTTGCTGCATGTTGCATGCCACGCCGACACGTCACCTCAGTGGTTGTCCTTTAGATCTATCTTTATATTAGGAAGAGATGGAGTCTATATATACTGATAACCAGCCTGCGGACTCCAATTATGCGCGAGGAGAGTCTCAACAAGGCTACTGATGTGGCCAGCATTGCTTACGAATTAGCAATGAATACACACTCACACTCACACAAAACACCATCGTGACCTTCAGCATCTCACAAAATCGGAAAATTAGTTAGTATCTCCTGGGCTCTCCTTGGAACGATAGGGGGGTTGGTTTGTGGGATAGTGGGTAATTAAGAAACATTGTCTTGCCCAAGTGGCTGGTTCGCAGACTTTTTATTTTATTTCTTTGCTTCTTGTCTTTCTTCCTCTCCTCTCTTGTTCCTTTCTCTCAATCCGTTTTGTGGGGATGCTGCTTCGTTTCTTTTGAATGGACCATCGTAACTCACTCGCTGGGCTCCCACATGTCATACTGCTGATTCGCATACCCCCGAACCCGCTGCTATACCTTGTCGGATGATACGATTTACGAGCAGGATGGTTTGGACCGGGTTACACTCTTCACCCAATGTCCGCTTGCCGAGACTCTGTTTCTGCTCTCGTTTCTGTTGCTGGGGATGAGAGCAACAACCGAAGCACTGGTCATCCACTCCCCCACGCTGCTCGGCAGGGCCATCGTTGTTGAGACGATTTATGCTTGAAGCCCCATTGTGGCTGTTTTTCTGTTTCCTGGCGGGTCGTATAGGATGGGTTAGCCGGTTTGTAATCGCCCGATGCGCCCATGCACAATCAGATGCGATCGCGAGGATCCATCCTGTTCGTTTTCTGGGCTCGGACCTGAAAAGCTTCCTGCGTCGACACGAGCCTCAATGTCTGCCGTGTCTCCTTTGGCTCTCACGCACCATATTTCCCTTGCCCTTCGCCCGCGTGCTGAAGGGTACAGTTTGGATAGCGCTGTGTGGCCCCCTTCTTTCTGGCTCCCGTCTGCTTCGGAACCTGCACTAGAGCTAAGGCTCAAGCTTACCAGATTGCCGCATCTTATTCTCAGACGCGCCATCTCAGTGAAGCATTCCCTTTTGGCGATTTAGCAATAAGGCTAACGTGTAGTTTAATTTGCCAACATTCCGCGCCCATTCCATCGAAGCCTCCGTCCCTGCGCCACTGCTACTCATCCGTCCCAGAATCTTTAGGTCTGCATCCATACGCAAGCCAAGGCGTGGTACAGTGAGATACCTCAACGTCTGTAGTGTGGAGCACGTACCTCACCCAAGCCCGTTCTGTAATCATCGTCTCACCCAGCTGGGGCCGTGGTCACCACACAGTGTACCACCATGATTACCCTTCACACCCGTACCGTATTTCCCAGCGTCGCCTTCGTCACTCCATCTCTCGAAAGTAGTCCCTTCTTTTTTGTTCATCGCCATGCAAAACATTGTGCTCGCTGCTGTATCTCAAGGCCTTGGAGAGTCCGTGTGCGGAAAGGTTATCTAATGGCTTTGAAAAGAAGATGAAACGCACCACCTCATGGCAGACGGGCCCCCCTTTACGGGAAATTATTCTCGAATGTGCTCCGTAACCGCCCTCTTTTTGCTGCTACGGGGGCACACCCTCGGGACTTTTCTGGCCGCTGAGGCCATTAATGGTAAGTCTTATGGAAGAATATGCCCAGGGTTAATTGGACCGACCGGCATACTTTCTTTCGTCTCCCGTTTCTGTGTCCGTTCCTGGGAGTACGGGGTGGTGCAGATTAGGATTTTCATGAATTCTTGCGCCTCGGGGCATTTGAGTGTTTTGCATCTGTCGTCAGAAACACCTACATACGTCAAAAATATAAAGCGGGGCCCTGCATTTGCTGGAACCGATTGGCTTCACCAGCCAGCTGGCTACCTTCTTAGGAGCCAGAGCGTGTTGAAGCAGCTTCAGGGTTATCCGTTGTTATTATAATTTTTTAATCTACGCGGCGACGAGGTCTCGGGACGAAATGAAAAACGGCCGAGACTTTTGGTATTTACTCAGAAGATTGAGGTCTCGTTGGTCGGGTTCCATTGCATCCTTGGGCGTTGAGCTCTGGCTGCGAGGCACAGAACACGATTGTGCAATACGAAATCACGGGCGCCATCAACGACAAACTAGCGATACAATGACGGACATTTCCCGACTCAGGATTCGTGATCTGCACCTTTCCGTGGCATCGGACTGGGGACTGTTGCTGGAGCATTGATGGCAATGTCACGGTGACGAGGTGAGCCAACAGCCACGGCGTGTAGTATCCATATATTCTTGGGACCAGGCTTAGGACTGATTTGGCTTGGGACGTGGAGCTCTCTTCCGGAACTTGTTGAACAGGCTACACCAAAGCAAAGCCAGCCCACACCAAAATCGATACCCGGACGGCCACGTTTAAAAAGTTGATTTGAATTTTACGGACCTTCTCACATGGGACTTGGCGCGCTACAGTTGGGATCTGCAGATGATGCCAGGCGGGATAGAGGCTGGGGAGTAACGCCGATGGTGATAGCGATAGCGATGATGGTGATGTCAAGGAAGCAAGCCAGCAAACACGACGCAAACAGAGACAAAAGTGCTTAAGGTATCATCAACTTGGGGCTCTCGACTCAGTCAACGAACGGGCACGCGTCAGGTCGTGCCAGACGAGCCCTTAATACAACATTTTGTCTCCATCAAGATCTTTTAATACCTGGGGGCGTTTGGTACCAAACCAGGGAAAGACAAGGTCGGGTACCTGGGAGTACATCTCCCGGCAAACAGAATGGTCCGCCCCTAGGACATGGTGGCCCATGCTGTGGGTGGGTGGATATAGGCTGTAAGGTACCGCGTGCCGTACCATGGTGTAGTTGCCTGGTTCGAATCCCCCCTTCTCTCCAGCCCCTTTCGCAGCGGAAGGGGACGCTGACCACTCACTCGTGCCAAGGGCAAAGGGTAAAGAGTACTGGCCAGTGACATGCTGAGGTGTGCCGTTTGCTCTAGCAGCCACGTGTCTTGGGGTGTATTTCCTATGTTCCCCCTGATGTCCGAGCATCCTTTCCTCTCTTCCTCCCCACCGCAGTGAAGAGGCGCGCCCGCCTGCAGCCTCCCCGTGCTCCTCTAAAAAAGTTTCCCATTATTCTGCTTGGATACTGGGCCGCCCCTTACCTTCCCCTACAGGCCACAAGCCCCCCCTTCACCATATCCACACAACAGCGGAAACCATGCTGCGCGACATCCCATTGGTTATGATGAGTTGAAGGTCAAGCCCCTGGGCGCAGGTGCAGCGTGCAGGGGGGTAAATTGCCAGGCAGTGGACGGAGAACAGGCCAACGTAGCGACCCAACGGAGCCAGTCAGTGCAGGACCAGCAGCCCCAAAACGGGATTGACCAGCCCAACTGGCACTGGGCTGTACTTTGCGTGCATTGCTTTGCCTTATTCTGCTTTACCTTTGGATGCCTGCCGCTGCGCTAAAGTTGCTGCCGCTACTGCTGTGTGCTGCGTCTATCCTGTCACTCTCTCCTGCTTTAGTCCCCCAATCGTGGTGGTGTACTTTCCAAAACCTCCTTTCACCATCCTGCCCAGGAGAGGGAAACGAAAGACCTGATGCGAAAGAGACATTCTTCAGCCTGGCTCTCTCACACTTTTTCTTTCCTGTTGCTCGCTGCGAAGTCCGTCTTCTAATCGCACTCAAACGTGTTTTCAATTACCAAGAGCAGCAACAACGCCAGTAGGAGCGACAGTCTCGGCACCCTTTCTACGGACAGGCCCGCCCGCCGAAATAATAATAAGACCCCCCGAAAGAGACGAACGCAATTCGGAGGGGGGCCGCCCAGGAAGGGGGAAGGTTAAAAAAAAAAAAAAAAGTACCCAATCCCCTAAAATCCAACGAGCCAACCCCCGTCTGTAGCAGCTTGTACGCGCGGAGTTGACATCGTTCCGTTTCTTCGCCCAACCCAGCCTCCTCTCTCTCACACACTTTCTCTCGTTTCCTCACCCCTCGCTCCCTTACTCGCTTCACTGCGCTGGAGAGGAGGACCGGAAGAAAAAAAAAAAAAGAACGAGGTCGAACAGCATCGCAAGAGAGTCCTCACCCAGCAACCCGCGCTCGCTTCTACCCCGGACACTCCACCGATGCCAATCCAGCCATCCGTAAACTCGAGCGTCGACTCCCTTTCCCGTTCTTCTGTTCCTGCATCCGCTGCATCTCATCGCGCCGCAGCAGATCCCACTTCAACGAACTGGCGATAGCATTCGGATCCTGCATTTGCCTTCCACGATCCAACAGGCCGTTTTTTTTTATGTTTTTTTGCTCTCGTCACACGAACGTGACCATTTGAACGACCGAAACGATACGTTTAATATTTCCCTCGAAGCGCACTGAAAACGGCTTACGAGCGACTCAATCCCCTCCTTTACTGCCGCCCAGCGCGCAGGCTGTGATCCGATCCGTCATGGCGTTCCTGTTCAAATCCAAAAAGAACCAAGATCGAGCTCTCTCAAGTCGCGATGCGAACTCCGGCGGTGGCTCCCAGAGTTCAATTCAGAGCGCCAGCGCAAGAATCGCAAGGGAAGAAAAGAACGCTACCCAGCGCTCGACACCCACTGGCAGCGTGAACTCAATCGATCACGATGGAAGCGCTGGAGCTGCAAGCCCCGACCAAGGCTACGGCCGTCAGCGAGGGCTCAGCGTGGATCAAGGACCGTCGCAGTCATCTTCCAGCGACCTGCCTGTGAGGTTCCCCGGCCTTTGGGGACGCATCGTCCTCTCTTGTGCTTTACTGACCGCTTCGTAGCTTCGAAATGGCCCCCCGGTCTCTCAGCAAAACATATCGTCTCAGCAACAACAAATGATGAACCCCAATGCGTCGCTTTACCCTTGGTCACAACGACGGCTGACCTATACGTCATCGCACCCGAGCCCCTTTCCCCGATATGGCGCCGCTGTCAATTCGGTTTCGTCCAAGGAAGGTGATATTTACGTGATGGGTGGTCTAATCAATAGCTCCACTGTCAAGGGTGACTTGTGGATGATCGAGGCCGGGCAGAATATGGCTTGTTACCCTCTTGCGACAACCGCCGAGGGACCGGGCCCCAGAGTCGGCCACGCAAGTTTGCTTGTTGGCAACGCTTTCATCGTTTATGGTGGTGATACTAAGGTTGATGAGACGGATGTCCTTGATGAGACGTTGTACCTTCTCAACACTTGTGAGTTGTGCCTCGGTATTGCGATATATTGCCTTGGACAGCGGCTAACCTGACCTTAGCTACGAGGCAGTGGTCGAGAGCGCTACCTGCTGGTACAAGACCCTCCGGCCGTTACGGGCATTCTCTTAATATTCTTGGCTCCAAGATCTATATCTTCGGTGGACAGATTGAGGGCTACTTCATGAACGACCTCTCTGCCTTCGATCTGAACCAACTACAAATGCCCAACAATCGGTGGGAAATGTTGATTCAGAACACTGAAAGTGGAGGCCCGCCGGTGGGCAAGATTCCTGCAGCTCGAACCAACCACTCCATGGTGACATTCAATGATAAGATGTACCTGTAGGTTTTGCTTGAAGCTTCTGGTGTGCAAGATACTGATTCTCGGTGCAGATTTGGCGGCACAAACGGTTACCAATGGTTCAACGATGTCTGGAGCTACGACCCTGCCACAAATGAATGGTCACAGCTGGATTGCATTGGGTACATTCCCGTCCCTCGCGAAGGCCATGCCGCTACTTTGGTCGACGATGTTATGTATATTTTCGGTGGGCGCACCGAAGAGGGTGCCGACCTTGGAGACTTGGCCGCTTTTAGGATTACATCGCGCCGATGGTATACCTTCCAGAACATGGGACCGTCGCCCTCTCCTCGATCGGGCCATAGCATGACGACTGTTGGCAAAGCCGTGGTGGTTGTTGGAGGTGAGCCTAGCTCATCTCCTGCCAGCGTCGGTGATCTTGGCATCGTTTACATGCTGGACACCACCAAAATTCGATATCCGAATGATGCCCAGACCCCACAACAGCCAGCCGGACAACCTCAGCAGCAGAGGGTACAGCAAGCGAGGAGGCCCAGTACCGCAGCTGAGACAAGGAACCTGCTATCTCGCGACGGCTCCACGGGACCTCCTGATCAGAAAAGGCTGGTCGGGGCACCTCGTGACCCTTCTGCAGTGAACAGCCCTCCGAATGGTTACAGGGGCGGACCCAATGGGACGGAAGCCAGCAACCCAGCTGCTGCTAATAACATGTCCAGGGTACCGAGATCAGCAGCGGCTTCGCCCCCCGCTGGACCACCCCCTCAAGGCCCTACTCCTGCGAAGCCTTCAGTTCAGACTGCGAATTTGGGTAGGGTCCGTGGGCAGTCATCGGAAAGAGACGGCTCCGCTGTTGGCTCCCCACAGCTCTCTCAAAATCAATCGCCAGTCATCAGAGAGGTAAAAGAGCCGGCTTCCAAGGACCCAGAGGTGGTCCCAGTAACCAATGGTCGGCGAACCCCTCAGCACCAAGTCAAGAGAACCGGCTCACAGTCGGAGTCTGTCGCTGCTGAGCCGACCAAGCCTAAGTCAAGGCAAGGTAGCCGCTCTGGAGGCTCGGTTGATAGCACAACTGAGCCAGCGTTGAAGGCTATTCAGCCTCAGCCTCAATCCCAGCCTCAGTCGCAACCGCCACAACAGCAACAGCCGATATCATCACCGCCGCAGCAGCAGCAGCAGCAACTGCAGCAGCAGCAGCAAGTCCAACAAGCGCAAGCGAACCGACCCGCATCTCCACCCCCACCAACTCGCCAAGCAAGCAACCCACTGTCTCGGAGGTCTTCCGGCCGCAACTCGCAGACTGTAGCTTTACTAAAAGAACTGGACACGGCCAGAAACCGCAATGCCTGGTATGCCTCAGAACTTGAGCTTGCGCGAAAGGCGGGCTATGTTCCCAACGCAAGCCTCAGCCCTGTTCTGGATAGCAGGGCCGCCGAAACATTTGATGACGAGGACAAGCCCCTTATCGAGGCGCTTTTAGCCATGCGTACTGAGCTAGCTAATGTTCAGGCCTCGATCGATAAGCAAGCCGTGCTCGCTGCGAAGCAGATCGCTGAAGCTGAGAAACAGCGAGATTCGGCTATTCAAGAAGCCGTTTATGCCAAGGCCAAGCTCGCTGCTCAAGTAGGCGGCAGCGTTGCAAGCACGCCTCAACTCGATGGTGAACGCGATGTGGATGATCGTTCGACCGAGATTAGCCGTAAGCTGGCAACTGCCCTCAACTATCAAAAGGATCTCCAAGCTCAGATGGAAATGCTTAAATCTGAACTCGAGGCCGAGAAGCGTGCTCGACAGTTGGCTGATGACACCACAAACGCTTCACAAAAGCGCATGAGTGAGCTCGAATCATACAAAACCATGACTTCGACGGAGCTGGAACAGCTAAAGGCTGAGTTGCACATGGTTCAGAAAGAGGCAAGAGAGCAGGCGGTTCAGTACACCGAAGCCATGGCGTCCGTACAGTTTCTCAAAGTCGAAAAGGAAGACTTTGAGAAGAAATACAACGAATCGGTTGGCAACTCGAAGGAACAAAATGACACATTTGACTCCCTGCGCGAAGCAATGGCCGCATCTGCAGAGATGAAGTCACATCTTGAAAGCAAGCTGGAAGAGGAACGCTCGCAACGGGAGAAGCTTGAGTCTAAGCTGAACAAACTAAAGGCTGAGCACGAGACTCGGACGGCTGAACTTGTAGCGGCAACCCAGCGACTACGCGATGCCGAGGAGCTTGCTGAGAAGCATGCCAATGAGGCTAGAACACATCGACAGGCTGTTCTCGCCGGTTTTGACAAGGTTTCTACCAGGGATCTTGGGGCTGATACCAAGGCTGATTCAGAGAAGCTTAAGGCTCTTCAGGGGCAGCTCAATGCTGCCAATGCCTTGGTTAAGAAATACCAACAAGAGGCGGACTCCGCCGCCGACAAGCTCCGTACTGCCGAGGAGCGCATTGCTGGTTTGGAAGTCTATCAGGAGCAGTCTAGTCGCGAGGGCGTAGCCATCAGAAGACAACTGCAAGCGGCTTTGAGAGATACCCAGTCTCTGCAGGCCAAGAACTCGGATCTGAAGCACCAACTTCAAAACCAGCAGCTGGAAACTAACGCGATGACGGTTCAGCACAACACATTGAAGGATATCCTCGTTGAGCGTGGTATCAGTCCTACGAACATGGCCCGTACTCGAAGCATTGGAAGTCCTCGCGTAAATACCCCTGAGCAAGCACGCATCCGCGATCTTGAGGACCAGCTTACCGCCGCAACCACTGCGCATGAAGAAAGCTCCCAACGCGCAGCCGCACAACAAGAGGCTACTGAAGCAGCTTATCGCGAGAAGCTCACTCAGCTCGAGAACGATTACCAGTCTGCTGTCCATTACGTCAAGGGCACCGAGAAGATGTTGAAGCAGCTCAAGGAGCAACTCGCTAGATACAAAACGGAGAACACTCGTCTCAAGTCCGAGATTGAGGAGCTCGAAGAGCGTGTTGAGGCTTCAGCCTCAAATGTCGGAGGAGCCGCTCCTGCCAACTGGGAGAGCGAACGCCATATCTTGCAGGAGAAAATTGAAAGCCTCGAGGAGGATCTCCAGGCCTCAACCGAAAAGCTTGAGAACCAGTTGAACGCGGTTAGGAAGGAGTTGGATGAGACTAAAAAGCAGCGCGAGGGCGCTCTTAAGGATGCTGAGGAGGCTTCCCGTAAGCTGGGCGCCAACCGCCGAGATTTGGAAGAGCTCCAACAGGAGAACGCTCTTTTGGAGCGCCGAGCTCAAGACGCCGAACAGAAGGTCTCGCTTCTTCTAGACCAAGTCGAATCATCGGTTGACAGCTACCGCCGACAAAGTAGACAAGCGCCTAGCATGACCTCCGAAGCAACTGTAGGAGGTACCAACGGAAACAGTATAAGCCACCAGCGACAGGATAGCTCGGATGCGGATAGCAACTATGGTGGCGTATCTGGCGGTGTCGATGGGCGCAACAGCACTGCCTTGGACAATCTGGCTAACGAACTCGAGACCCTGCGCACCCACTTGGAGGCCACCAACAAGAACTACCGACTAAGCAACACCTTTGACTTCGAGGGCACCGCGACCCCAACGAGGAAAGATGAAGAGGTCGGACTCGGCCTCAGCGAGAGCCTTGCCGACTGGCGAAAGCGTCTCGATGTCGACGAACAGACGGAGAATGATCGAACCAAGACCAAAAGCCGACCCGATCGGCCTTAGTCTGGCGTTTTGCGGCGGATGAACTCTCGCTTCGCTTCATGACAGTTACCAGACGTTTGCCACTACCAACTGTATATTCTTTTGCTGTTTCAGAGCAGCAGTTCCCACGGAGAAGGAGTTGTCGGAACTTTTGTGGCTTCCACTTGATGCACCGCTAGTTCTGGTCGACTCCAGTTTTTGTTTCGCAATGATTCCACGTATTCATGACGAAACAAACTTCACTTAATTTTTCCAGTCGTTTTTCTGTTTTTGCGTTCTTCTTCTTTGCCCATGGATTTTCTGATGATACATTACAACTACGGCCAGCCCTGCTTGTCCTTTTATGATGGGCTCGTGCAAGAGAGCAAGCTATGGAGCTAACAAAAAGGGGGCCTACCTATTCTTTCCTATGAGATGGGCGGATGGACTGCAAAGGTTGGCATACGTGTCTTCCTTTTTTTTGGTTGTTGTTTTATTTTCGCCTTTCCTTTCTCTAAGATTAATGTACAATATCTTGTGCGGTTTCATACTGCCCGTAATTTCTTCCTGAAAGTCCTTGTTACAATGTTGGTCGGGTCTTCTCCCATCAAAAACACAAGACAAAACAGAGAAAAAAAACGGTGTAGTCGGGAATTTTTGATGATCGAGATGAGCGAGCTGGCTCAAGAAAAAGGGAGAGACGAAATGAAGGGGATCGTAAGGAGTCTTCCTTTCCATTCCGTTTTATTTTTCCGAGAGTTTTTATAGCTATTTGCCCAAGTCGAACCTGGTGGCCCAAGAGAGCTAGTGACGGTGGACTTTGAGGGATTGATCAATGATGAGACGATTGTTACCCTGAAGTTGTCCGATACTGTGAGCTATGTCTGTCAAGTAGACGTGTATTACAAGGTAAGAACCACGTGGTGGTGATTTGGTATTAGTGTTTGTATTTGCTCGGAGTAACTTTTGATGAACAAACTTTTCTATTCTATTTACGTCAATAGAGTCAAGGGGCACACATAGCGCGATTAACATGGGCTTGGGTGTCAAGCCAGTGAGCGTGGTATTCGACAGTTTACTACCTCGAATGCGCCTGCGTGATTTACAGAGCGTTTTTCTGATGTACAAGTCCAACAACACTATCTATACACTCTACTCGCACCCCTTCCTAACTGACTCACTTGCGGTTCGTGCCAGAGACGAGAAGAACCACACTGCCCAGCTGTCTGCGCAAGTCCTCCTTCTCAACATCGTGCGTATCTTCAACCTCGCCCCAGGAGCCCGTCTGCCAGGTCACCTCCAAGCTGGAAGCCGTGGCCGCCTCCTCAACACCGAACCGGTCGGCACCGGGAACTCTGTCGCCGACAGGACCCTCGCTCCACTCAACGACCAACCTCGCGGCGCCGATCATGCTCTTGCCCGCCAACACGGCGCGCTCCAGGCCGGCAATCTCCCAGGGGTCGAGCCCCATAACCCAGCCCTGCACAACCTCTCTCACACCCTCGTTCTGTCGGCGCGGAAAGATGCTCTCTCCGTCGAGCACCGGGACAATGTCCAGACCAGGCCAGACGCGGGAGGTCAGGAACGAGATGATACCCTCGGCAGTGCGCTTCTGCACGTCTCTCAGGCTCTCGCCGGCCTCGTTGCGCCTGTCGGAGACTCCAGGGGGCGGGGCCCAGCAGAGAAGAGAATCGGTATCGAGGTAGCGCAGGACAGTGGTGGCAATCTGCTCGCGGATGGTGGCGGACGCAGCGTCGTCCTCGGCGATGTCGATTGCGCGGCAGACGAGCGAGGTCAGAGGGATCAGGTGCTGCCTCGTCGCCTGTTGGGAAGATGTGAGGAGGTCCCACTCGATCGCGAGGGCGGAGGCGAGGTGCTGCTTCGAGGGAGGAAGGCGAATGATCTCCTTGGTATTGGGGTGACGGAGGGGACGGGCGTCGAGATGGACCTGCAGGGCGCCTTTTATTGCGATCTGTCAGTACAAAAAAGGCTTCCACAACTTCCCACCGCCCCAGCCAGACTATGACGCTCCGGGAGATTTATATAAGAGGGACAGAGGGGATGTTAAAACACATACCATTGACCTCCTGCACACTAACGTCGTTCCAGAATCTCCTCGTCAGGCCGGCGGCCTTGCCAGCGGCACCGCTAGCCTTGGCTTCCGCGGCGCCGCGGATATTCTTGGCCTGCTTGAGCATCTCGGCCTGTTTCCTCCTCCTCTCGACACGGGCGCGCAGCTCAGCGGCACGGTCATCAGCCTCGGTGGTGGGAGCGGGCGGCTCCGGCGGCGGGCCGGTGCCGACAACGGGCGCGACCTCGGCGGGCTTGAGGGGCGTCGACGAGATGGTTCTCGCGGCGGCGATGCATTGTCGTCCGGTATATGTGGCGGCGGAGTAGGGCGACAGCGGCGAAGAAGCCGCGAAGAGGCGGAGAGGTATGCGTGTTGCGGGCTTCATCTTGTCGACATACACACCTTTTTTGGTTAACGAAAAAAAGATGTTGACGATTTCCTATGGAACTGCAGGAAGCTAGTACAGATTACCACAGTGGAAATCAATTGTTTTTGGTAGCTTCACGGCATTTGCCGCTCTAGGTACAGGGGTCTGATTGGCTGCATGCAGGGGTGACATGAGCCGGAGAGCTACCTTCGGGCGGTGAGCTCGGTGAAGAGTCGGGTGTACGAGCCAGAGTAAAGAATTCAGGGTCCTGGGGTATGCGGCAACTTGATACGCTAGATTCGAATCGGAATATGTGTCTTGTAGCTGCGCTTCTTTAAAAACTGCAAACACTCGGCATCGCGCCTCGCTAAACTTCTAAGCCCAGCTGTAGTAATACAAAATCTTCCAACAACTCGCCCAAGCCAATTAGTAAGGCGGCTTTGTGATATTTCCCAAGCTAAGCTCCCCTGCTCGGCTATCAATCCCATTAAGAAGTTCGTGTAAATCCACCCCTCCACCTGAAACCATCGACGGGTTTCTGTCTCCTCTCATCGATCCGTGATACAAACTCTCCCCGCCCCGGCTACTAACATCTCTCTTCGCCGGCTTCACCGCATAGTCCTGAATAGAAATCGACGATGACAGCCCTCCGATATGCTCAGGAAGTGGCGGCACCGGTGGGACATCTTCGTCTTCGCTCTGCTCGTACAGAGGGTTGGAATTCAACGGCCCACCTTTGCTGGATTGCGATGCAGAACGCGGGCGGCCTAAAGACGCCGCGTCGCCGTTTCCTGTCTGCGAGGTGGCCGGGTTGAAACTGAGTTCCGACGGCGTGAAGTCATAGCTGACCATGCTATCGCTATCGCTATCATGGTGCAATCCAGCTGATGTGCCGATCGGTGTGGCCGGCACTTGGCCTGTCAAAACTGCCTTAAGCTGGTCAACAGATGTAACAACACCCCTGCTGGAATCTGAGCGAGATGGCGACACGCCACTTCTGACACTGCTTTTTCGAAGCTTGCTTATGGGAGATAAGCCGCCGTGGGTGTGGGATGTGTTTGGGCGCAGATTTTGTTGGCTACCGACTGGCGAAGACGCCGCCGTGTTTCCTTGGCCATTAGCGCCATTGACCGTCAGGTGGTGTCGGTTGGTTCCCATAGTGCCAGTTTTGGAGCCAGCCAACGACTCCGACTTGCTCCCGGCTTGGAGAGCTAGCATGGCTGAGTCCCTCGACCATTCTGCTAGCATGTGCTCGCGGAAGGCTGATGGCAGCTCACTGTCAGGGTTTGGAGCAACAGTGCTGAGTGATGAGCTAAGAATCGGATGCGAAAAGTTGCGCCCAGGTGACTGTGCAGGACTTGTTGGTGGTGACACGCTAGTGTCCGCATAGCTTGCGGTGATGCTCTCCACGAGCGACGTTCGATCATCAAATGGCAGTAGGGCCTCAGACTCAACCTCGTCGGCGGGCATTTTTGTAAGTGACGTAGACACTCCAGGTGTGATAACCTCCATTGCCGGTGGGGGAATAGCCACCCCTTCGGTCCAGAAATGCTTACTGCGCCGTCGGATGACTTCGTTTGTGATAGCACGGCCCACGGCCGAGTTTTCAATGTCAAACACTTCGGTGACGGCCCAGAAATATCCATGGCAGAGACTACCAAGGCGGACCTTCTGCACAGGTGTCTCGGCATCGGGAATGTCTTCCTGAAGACGGAAGACCATAGGCAGTCCGTACTGAGCTGCATTCACACCCAAACGAGTTACTAGCTTGTTGAGAAGGACATGCAGCAGGACGATATCATAATCGAAGTCAACGTATTGCAAGGCGTTATCATAAACTGCAATGTGCAGAAGCTGAAGGAAGTGCGACCGATGCCGTGAGGCCTTGTCTCGGTTGGACGCGCTAGAAGCAGCTCGATGGGCGGCATTACCAGGCTGGAGTTCGCGGCTGTTCTTTAGTGAAGATCGGTGATGTTGTGTATGCTCATCCCGAGCCTTGAGGTCTGCTGGCGTGGTTTCGCGGTCAAGCCAAGTCAACAGTGCGTCTACGTATGCCTTTCTGACCTCACCATCTGGGTCCCGCAGGAGCCATTGGGTATTCTCCCAGACTTGGATTGGTACTTTGTTCCTTGACAAGTTCATGTTACCAGACATTTGTGCTCGCGGGTTTGCCACAAGAAGGATATTCTTAATCGCCTTCAAGGCTGCCGTTTTGCCCACGTTACGTGAAAGGTAGGTCTCTACTTGAGTTTGACTACCATTGAGGTCGTCTGTTGAGGTCTGTTCAGCATTTTCTGCTTGCGGCGACGAGCTGGTACTTGAGGACTTGGACGGCTTAAGTCGAAGCAGGATGGTAGATATCATATCAGAGATCTGGTCTGCATAGTAGACGTGTGTCGCAAGGTCTCCGATGCAGGATTGGATACGCTCAAGGAGCTCGCGTCTTTGAGCCATGGTTTCTCCAGAAGCCTGAACAGAGGATGGCGGCCCAGCTTCGGACTCCCCGTCTACTCTTCCAAGGCCACCAGGCAGGTGAATGAGCTTTTTCATATGCTGTGTCAAGCCCAGCAAGACATCCATGGCGCTCAGGCCAATCAGGTTGACGTCGGACCGTAGCAAGGATCCAATCATGGCAGTCAGAGCCAAGTGCAGCTTGAGATTGTCATCCTTAACGGGCGATTTCAACAAATGATCCAGCGCAGTTACCAGGATGACGTAGCGGTCTTGAACGGGGGCCCATCGCGCGATTGTGTCGTAGATGCTAATTGCCCAACCATGATCCTTGGCAGATTTCTCGTCCGTTTTTACGACAATGTTGCCGTTCGCGACACGTTTTTCGATGAATTGAAATAGGGCTGCGGTAGCAGAGTGAATCTGTGGCCGGTTGGGCACCACAAAAATCTGCTTTAGGCATTGCAGAGCAAGTACACCAACGTCCTCTTCGGCCAGCTTATCCACATCGAGGGCAGTACCAGTTAGGGCAATAGGGTTGGCTTCACCCGTATCGCCGGTCCCCTGAGTTGCGACGCTCGTCCTACGACGAAGCTTTTCGGTTTGGACTTTCTCTTCCATCTGTATCCGCGACAGGAGGGTCTCAAGCAGCTCGTCGTCGTCCCACCAGAGGTTGTCCAGAATCACGGGAACAATGACATCAAACTGGCGGCCAGTAACTGAGGACAGAGCCTCCGAAGAGGATACGCTCCTGATTGCCTCCAAACCAGCGTTTCTCCATCGCATCAAAACAGGCTTGCTGGAAGCGCCTTTTCCAGGATTTTGGCGGGTCGAGGCGAGGGAGGCATATGTGCGGACGATGGACTCGTACTGAGCAAGATAGGCCTGATCGGCAAATGAGGATGAAGTGTCGTGGTTTTCGCAAAAGGCCTCGAAGGTAGGAATAGACGACTCGACCATGGTGATGTCCTTGGAGCCAAGGATCAGGTCGATAATTTTAAGAACATTGGGAGCAACCAGCGGTAGGTCCTTGGGAGCCTTCTCAATCAATGCTGTGAGAATTCGGAGGGTAACTTGGACATTTCTGGGTAAGGTCTAGTCAGCTAGGTAGTTCATGTTGACAGCCAGGGAGGCAACGAACCCGATGCGCTGTCGCCAAACATCGCTGGCCGTCTTCTTCTCCAGAAAGGAGCCAATCTTCTGGATTTTGGAGCGTCGAGAAGTGGCATAAAAGAGCAAATAGCTCAGTTCGCTAGAATTCGGTTTAACATCGACGGCGCCCTTGGTTGTCCGCGGGTAGCACTTCAGGACTAAAACCTGGTGCTTCGGGCGACATTTTTGTTGGAGCGCGTTCATGGCGCCGGGAGATTCGGGCCTAGGGAGCAAAGTACAGTCGAGGAGGGACTACCGCGTGGCTGGTAGCAAGAGATGGGAACGAAAAAGCATCGAGGTTGAATATAGCTATTTGGAGGCGTCGTGTCAAGATCGAGTCAGGAGAAGCGGTCGTCGTCGTCGTCGGCTAGGATCGCGAAAAGCAAGGAAAGAGTAAGGCATTGGAGAAATAAAGTGGAAGCAGGCGTAGTGAGAGCCAGCAGTGGGCGGCGATGAATAGGTGTGGCAGACAAGACACCCGACAGAAACAGATTCCAGTCAAGGTCCAGCCAAGCCAAGCCAACACAGGGGACGACAAGTCGGACCGGGGGTGTAAGCGTGGGAAGATGAAGCGTGCTGGGTCCCGCAAGAGAGAAAGGGTAAGAAAAAAAAAAAAAAGAGAAAAGGGACGTGGCCGGCCTGTGAAAATCGCGCGCTGAAGGAGGTACCACGGGGGCGGGAGCGCTTGCCGGGCGAACTGCGGGCTGCGGACACTTGAGCTGGATGGGCCGAAACGGTGAACTGGCTGTTTCTACCGCACCACCTTCCCATCCTGCTGCGGCCTGCATCGTCGTCATCATTTTACCCAACCATTTAGTTGATTGGCCCTAAGGCTCATTGGTGCAAATCTTGAGAGGGTGGACTCTGTGGTATTTCATTTCCAGAACCGGGTCTTTGTATTTTTTTTTCCCAGGCAATATGAAAGCAACTGCTGCTGCAACCAAGTTGCACATGCTCGGACAAATGTACCCTCAAATGCACCATACCTATGCGGATACCTGGGGACAGACAAGGTACCTGGTCCGAGAATCCCTACGCAGCCTAAACATGTGCGAATGAAAGGCGCGGCTAGAGTGTGATAAAAACACCGAGAGATTGCCATACAGAAAAAGGACAAGGACCTGTGTGGATACAAGGATGACAATCTTAGGAAGCTCTCGCGCTGTCCGACGAACACATTGGCTCATCCACAAAACCGACCGTATCAGAGAGACAGGATCCTCACCAACTCGCCCCTTTGGGTTGTCGTGGGCCCGGCCTAAGAATCGAATTTCCTATTCCCTGCAGCCCTGTGCTGTGTTTGATGAGGGGCAAAAGGGGGTGGGGGATTTCCACAGCGTTTGCTGCAACGCCTACATAGTGTCTTCTACTGGATGATACTGCAGGCATTGGGGGGCACGGGTACGGATTGCTACTGAAGGATTTATACATCTCAGTACCTCAGCTGTGAAGAACGGCTACGGCGGAATGCCGATTTACTATTCCATGCAATTAGGATTTGTGCTTTGTATTGTTGTAATTGCCGTCGCAGCGCCCATTCCCAAAGGTAATATCCAACGATGGGATGGTATCAATAGGTAGGTAGAGAAGGAAGTAAGCAGTAACAGCATTTACACCGGTTAGTAAGGTGTCCTCGGGCGAAGCTACAGTATTACCATCCGTAGCTATCTGACAATAACAGGCTTGGTGTCATGGAAAAGACACCCGGACGGCTATCCTGCTTCTCCGACTTGATACGAATGCACTTGTTATTGGACGCTCGTTTCATCGCCGTTTGTCTGCCCTGGCATGCAATGAGACCTGCTGCTGACGAACTCACGATGCAGCGGCCCCAGCAGTCGAGTACCGAAAATTCAGCGATCTACCCTCTAATTTGGGCTTCCGGAGACTTTCAGCCAGGCGTTTGGGAGTCAAGAAAAGTGTTTTGGGAGGGCCTGGGACGGGAAGATGCCTGGGATGATCCCGCCTGTTCGGACTAGTTCTAACAGGCGCTCAGACACAAAAACACAGGCCCAATTATGCCTTCCAGGTATGCCTTACCGAGCAAGGTACTCTATCGTGGTAGCTAGCTAGCTAGCGTAGCTCATTTCAGGTAGAGCTATTGCGTTACAAAATGTAATTTTCATATGATTGAGATTGAGATGAGCTGGTCTGTCTTTTTCTGTCACGTATTCGTATTGCGGTCAGTGCCACTTACCACCGTTAAAAAAATAAAAAATAAAAAGTAGAGATTTGAATAGAGAGGCGGATGCTCTTCATTGGCTCTTCCGCCAGTATATTTCTCCTTCTCAAGAGCTGTGCCTTTCTCACCCCTTGACGCAGTCTGCAAGCCTCAGCTCAGACACCTACCTGTCGTCCAATTGTTCAGAGAGGTCGTCACCGCTGCCTCGTCCAATGTCGTCAGCGTCGCATCCCATCCAAGGCATCCCATCCCCCACGCCCACGCATTTCATACTACGTCCAATTCCCAACTTTTTATTTTGTTTTTCTTTTTCTAAAACGCCTTGACGTATTTCTCTCCCTACTCAACGCTTGTTGATCTGACGCCGCCGCCATCAAGACTTTGACCTTGTCGAGCCCACTTCAAGCCCATCACCCCCATCGGCCGGTTAGACCTGTAGCATCACCACTTCTCACTTCTTTCTAGGCTCCGTTTATTTGCCTGCTTCTTGGCATGTGGATTCGCGTCTCTACCCCTCACTCATCACATTTCAACATCTCTCAACCCCCTGTGTATGCCAACACATCCAGTGGCCTCCACTCGTATCCAGATTTCCCCCAGAATACGCTCTCAGCCGACCCAGGTAAACTAAACGTTACCTGTTGATTCGATATCTGCGCACGGCACGCACATCGGATACTGTTCCCTTTTCTATCCCAGCCTAATTCATGCCAGGTTTTCACTTGCAGGGCGAGGGTGCCAACACCACAGCAACAAACTAACAGTAGAGTGCCTGAACTGGGATCGAGTAGAGGCCTTCAGCACCGTATTCTGGACCAATCACGTCTTGATTCGATCTGTCTTTGTGCGTCTACTCCACATCCCCGTTCTCTATGGAGCGATTGCAGCTCCGACGAGCCCGATGCGGTTCTGTCCTACGGCTACCGTCCATGACCCCTGTCAGACCCTCGCCGCTAAGTAACACGCCGAATTCGTTCCTGAATTGGAGCAATTTGGTACTGCTCTACACAATGTCATCGCTAACACTGCGAAAGCCCTCCATCATGACTGTTTGCCGTCAGCTACCTCGTGAGTCGACCTAACATTTCTCGTTTAGCTCGAAATAGCCCTTTTCAAGAACAAGCCTGCAAGGCTGAAGGGTCTTCATCCTGGCTGCTTGCTTATTATGTGTCATTGTGAGACCATATGCTTGCCAAGCGAGGCCGTAAGCTGAGCTCCAGACGGGTCTCGTTTGCTGGTTTCACCGATCACACTTGGCCCGCCCCAGATGTCACCGGTTGCGATTTGTATACGCCCCAGCAAAATAAAGGCTAAAAGCGCCAAAATTGCAACATCAACAGTGGCAAACATACAGTTGTAACCGTATGCCGTTAGAGCATCCGTATGGCAGCATAAGTTCCAGAATACTCCCAAGTCCTGGACAGTATGATGGACTGCAGCAGACCAAATGTAAGCGGCCAATCATCAATGCCGTTCAGTTGAACGGCAAGCATAGTTGAACAAGCCAACGACCTCGGTATATATTGCATTCTGGCAGGCTTAGTATCATCAGGTTAACCAAGCATTCGACCATGGGATTCACAAACCAGACACAACTCGAGGAGACATGAAGTCGAGTTGACTGGAATTGATTGGTTCATCTATCCATGCAACGCATCCCGGACAACTCAACTCTTGAGTGTGGAGCCCCCTTGCCGATCAGCCATGAGCATGGAGGTTTATTTCGCTGGGCTCGCTGAAATGGCAAGTTGGGACGACTTGGAGACGAACAACAACCGCCAAAATGGGCTGGCTGTATTCAGGGATCATCGCAGGTGAGTCTATCTCCCATATAACATTCAGTTGCACTCTTGGTTTTTATTGTGTTCGCCAAGCAGCATCGAATGCTATCTGAGGTCTCAGACTACCCTTTGTTTGACGAGGAGCCAACTCTAGCATGTGAATATAAACTTGACATTAGGATGTGCTAAAGATACAATTTCCTCTGTTACCCTGGAATTTATCTGAATTTCATTGAATAGGTTTGCCGAGCTCCTCTTTCTGGTCAGGTCTATCGCGGAGGCGATGTACCTGCATCATGACCAGTCAACGGCCACTTTGCGTCTCGGCCGTCACATTCGATAATGGCCCTGATATCAGCCTTCGGTTCTTTATCGCACGATGCTTAGTACAAACGAGTGAAGCATACTATAGCCGTTTTTCTTCAGAGTACGTGGTGGTGTTTCATATTCCAGAGAAAGAGGAATTTGTTCCAAACAATCAAAAGCCTCGTTGAAGCCGAACATGACCATCGTTTTGATCTTAACTGACACAAGACAAACCTAAAGGCTCAGTGACCCCAGCCCATGTCGTTTGTTTATCGGAATACATGTGGGGTAGTGAATGAGGGCGTCAAACCAGCATCAGGGAGTTGCATGCAGAACCTCGAGACCGGGACGTTTGCCTTTGTCCAGTTCCGCCCAGTTGGTATTACCCCAGCATGGAAATGATGGGCATCCAGAATACCTTGGCCAAACAAGCGCTGGATTGCCGACAGTGATCTGGCCAAAGGAGGAAGGTTTGAGATGTACAGAAAACCCAAAGAACGATCCGCATGCAGAGGCAGGAAGAAGAGGACAACGGATGACGGCAATCTCTCCCTTTGTCACCCTTTGAATCTCAACCAACGCCATCGGCTTTCGGGGCGTACGCTGGTGAAGCTACGGATACTGGCTTCCTTCTCGCCCGTCAGCCATTCCCAAGGTTCCGTTTGCCGATCCGCACTAATGGAGCCAGACATCGCCCACCTAGTTCAAGCTGGGCGCTCTAGAAGCTCAGGAGCGGGGTGGCGCCTCAACTTATTTTCATACTTCTACCAGCAGTCCACCCTGACTTTTTGATAGTCCCTTCTTCTGCTTCAGGGTTCTCATCAGCTGCAAGTCTTTTAGGGGCCTTCATCACCTTCCCTTTTCAGCTTCTCGCCATACCCTATCTAGTCTTTGCCAGCTCCGCCCAAGATGAAATCCAGGATTATGGCTGCAGCCGCTGGTGCGGCTACAGTAACTACCGCTGTCACTGCTCTTTCTATTCCTCATACAGTTGAGGGTAACGGTTACCTCAGCGTCCCAGTCAACACGGTCAGGTCAGATCTTGATGGTCTAACCAAGCGTGATGCCTTCGAGGTACTCATTAATAACCGCCAGTTTTACTACTCCATGGATCGTAAGTTATCTGGCCCTTTCTCGCTTCATGATAATGAATCTGATTTGATGCAACAGTTATGATTGGCACCCCGGGCCAGAAAGTAACCGTCCTTCTCGACACCGGCTCATCGGAGCTCTGGGTCAACCCTGACTGCAGCAAGGCACCTTCCGCCTCTCAAGCTCGCCAATGCAATTCATATGGACAGTATACCTCGCGAAACAGCCGTACTCCGCCATCCGGTCCCTTTGGCGGCCGCAAACTCAATTACGGTGACCCCTCGCAACCCGCTACTCAGACCAGTGCCGAAATCTCCTACTATAGCGACAACGTCGCCTTGGGATCCGGCGTCGTGCTCAACCAGACCTTCGGTGTAGTAACCAGGAGCGATGGCATTTCAACCGGTATCCTGGGTCTTGCTCCTGACCTGAAAAGCGGCTTCGCCCCCGGCAAGCCTTACAGTCTTATTCTTAATAGCTTGGCCGATCAAGGCAAAATCAACAGCCGAGTTTTCTCTCTAGACCTTCGGCACTCTGGTGCTGAGAATGGTGCCATTATCTTTGGTGGCGTGGACACGGGCAAGTACATTGGTAGACTGGAACAGCGACCCATTATCAACGGCGCCAAGGGCGAGCCTCGGTAAGTAAACCTCTACAACTCACTTTTTCGTGTTCGCTAAACTGACATGCCCAGTCTCGCCGTCGATCTTGGTGGAGTGAGCTTGCATATCGCCAACTCCCAGCCTAAGGCTTACACCCTTGGCCCCGAGGATAAGAATGTGATGCTTGACTCTGGCACGACCCTGACCCGTCTGCACGAATCCATCGCACGCCCGATTCTCAACGATCTCAACGCAAAAACCGATAGCAACGGCTACTGGATCACCGACTGTTCCCTCCGTACCCCGCCCCTGACAAACGGAGGCGCCGACTCCTACATCAACTTCCAGTTCGGCCGCAAGACTATCCGCGTCCCCTTGAGTGACTTCATCCTCGACCTCGGCCCCCGCTCCGGCCAGTGCTATGTTGGTATCGTCATTACCACAGACCAGCAGATCCTCGGCGACAGCGTCCTCAGAGCAGGCTACTTTGTTTTTGATTGGGACAACCAGGCGGTGCACATTGCGCAGGCAGCCACCTGTGGGAAGGAGCAAATCGTGACCGCCGGGAAGGGGGCGGGCGCCATTCCCGCGACCGCTCTCGGACTTTGTGAAGGGCCTTCTGGGGACAGCGATAGCAGTGACGAGGATCAAGTGAGTCCACCATCTCCATCGGCTATTGAACCGGCAACGACGGCTTTGAACTTGGCTCCCTCAGAGCCTCCTTCTTCGTTTACCCCACCGGTTTCGATTGCAACTCCAGCGTCAGCTTCGGCGACTGAGTTCACAAAGACATTAACACCTTCTCAGACGTCCTCACCCGGTTTTCCCGGTTCCTCCTCGAGCGATACACATTCAGCGGCGTTTTCGTGGATGACTCAATCAAGACACTTGAACCTGCTTTTGGGTGGCCTCATGACGTTAACGGCCGCATTTTGGGCTATCTAAGGAGTCTTGTTCTTTTCTTTTTGTTTATTTTCTCCTTCTTCTCCAGGAGGCTTTTCTCCTCTGAGACTTTTGGGCATGGGGACAAAAGAAAAAAGCCTTGATTGATTGCATTATAAGAGACGGCGAGAACGTCTCTGGGAAAGCATTGGGTGGCCTGTTTGAGCGCCTGAGCTGGTTTGGCTAGGCCTTTTTTTTTTTTGGTTCCTTGTCTTTATGACCTCGCTATGATACCAATGAGACGAACTGTGGCTTTCTTTGATGCTTTGACTTATATCTTCATCTTCGCCCCAACATATTCCGTATTCAAAAACCTGCCACAACCTGTCTTCATCCAAGTCAGCCAAGTGATTTTCAAGCGAGCCAAGGAAAGCAGGGATCTCACTCGCCTGTACTGATCATCCGGCAATCGTTGTCCAACGCGGGCACGTTGCTTGATACGCCCAATAAAGAGATCTAGATTCGGAAAAATTCAGCGAGACACCGCCAACCACATCCGGCACCTGGGCACTCTCATGTGCTGGATTCAGGTGGTTAGACAGGCGGGCCAACAGTAAAAAGACCCGAGGCTTGTCTCATTCCACTGCCGAGAAGACACTACTGGCGACCTGGATTCGCCTGGCCGGTTCAAAGCTTGGAGGCTTTGGCCATAGCTCCCCTCAGTACCATGTTTTTCCTCTCCCCCCATCCCCCCCTTTTTTGGAAAAAGGAGAAAACTTGGGTCGACGGCTGTTAACACCAGTTAGAAACCAGCGTCTTATCCGTCGGCTGCGGTCTTGCAGCCCCTCAACAACCGACCCACGTGTATCTAGAGCTACGACCAGACTGTTTGCATCCAAGCAATTTTAATGCAGATAAATAATAATCCGTCTCACGGCAAGCTGCTGGGGCAGTTGGAAAAGTGGAATGAAGAAGACAGAGCTAACTTTTGAGTATCTTAACTAATAGCAAATTGCCAAATGCCAGCGGAAAGGCCGCAAGAATGACAAATGACGGGACTGAGCTAGTAATGTAATAGCAAGATCGCCTTTCAATATGTGGCCGGTATAGCGCCGTGATGATCAAGTCTCTCCCCAAGAAACCACGAAAACCTTCCTGCATGCCAAGCTAATGTGTAAACGCATCCGCGAAAATCAGAAAACTCAAAGGACGCCTCATAACTTGGTAACTTTTTCTCAAATCCGTCTTCATATGCCATCTATGCCTTGGTCTTGCGTCTTTTGTTGATAGGTTCAGTGGTGTCGCTATCATGCTTGTTGCCCGCCATCTGGGAGTTGATCTTGGGATAATCCCAGGCCGCGGAAATTTGTGGGAGAATACTCTTTTGAACCGCATCAACGCGAGCCTGTTCATCCAACGTCTCCAGATCAATGTGTCGAGATGTCAAGGCAAACCGGCGTTTTCCCTTGGGGTCAACCATGTGCTGTTGAGCAACATTAGTAAATAGGTCTAATGTCCAGAAAACGGTAAACGAACCTCGTATGCTCGGTGAATCCGAGTACCATGCATGACCACCAGATCCCCGTGACAAAGTGGAAATTTCAGGACAACAAGCTTGTTTTTCGCATACGATTTCTTATGACGGAAGGCCATCTGAGCCGGACTTCCTAGAGACAGTGTTGCCACTGTTGGCCCTAAGGTATTTTCGCCGTCATCGTGGAACTACACAAAATTAGACGGGAAAGGATATGATGCGGACAATGCCGGACTCACGTTTATTCTGTCATCCTCCATGTAACCCAACGAGAGGAGCTCATTGAATTCGACAAAGTCTTCGGAGAGAGAGGCGCATCGAGCTACATTCACCATTTCCTTTTGGAAAGCGTTGTTCGTTTTACTGACTGAGATCCGGCCAGCCCATCTCAATCTTTTGAGAGCCCCGATTATCGAGTCTGGTGCCTCGGTGAATGGTTTGGATGCCACCGCAACGGCAAACTTGTACGGAGCACCCCAGTTCTGCAGAAAGTGACGAGTCAGAGTCTCATTTGGTACTGGAAATAGTCAGTGATGTTCACCACGTGAACAGTTTAAGATCGAGATTTCTTACAGCCGGCGTGCATTGCAGGCTTTCTTTGGAGGCCAAAATCCATTGTGGCCGTTTGTCTCTGAAGGTCATCCCACATATCATTTGGCCCGCCTGATTCAGAGTTGATAGCTTTGTTCGACCGAAAGATGGTAACGGATCCAACAATTGCTGACTTGGTATTTTGATTAGGGTCAGGGAGTAGATACTGTTCTATGGCATAACCATTCCCAGTGTAGCTGGCCTGCAAGATGTTTTCATTGACCTTTGCAGTGTCAAAGGTCGGCTTTGCCCTCTGCTGATCTATTTCAGCTTGTACCACGCTCAGTGGGTAGGGTAGCGGCTTCGCATTCAAGACGAAGGTGCATGCTGGATTCTCATAGTTCCAGCATGTCCACAACCTTCGTCTTGAACAGCAACCGCACTGAGGACAGACAATCCCTGTCCGCATCTCTTTCTCTGTCCCCAGCAGACCGTCCATCTCCATATTTGGGAGTTGGGGCTTCACTGTAAACTGTGCTGGGAGTGTATGGGCTGTTCGCTCGTGTAGAAACTCATCCGAGTAGGTCAGATTGTTGACGTCAGTACCAGTTGGGAAGTCGAAATAAGCCGAACAGATTTTGTTAAGACAAGCCCAAGTGCAGGAGAACACTGTTTTGCTGACCTTGTGACATACCACACACCATGCCAGAGGAGCAGCTTGGTGAGACGCAAAAGATAGCTCCTGGATGTTCACGTGGTCAGGAACGGCGAGGGAATCTTCACACTCGCCATTTAGGCACGTCCAAATCTGCGAGAAAATCTGCTTGGACGACTGGCCACATTTGTTGCAGTCAGTTTCACCCTGGGGAAACCCTTTAACAGGAACTGTGTATTGCACGTCATCCTTAGATTGCCACCAAGACGGCTTAGAGCGATCCGTCTTCTCAAGTCGAATCTTCCAGACTGGAATACCATCTGGGCTGCTCGTGTCTCTTTCGGACCAGATATCTGTGATGGTGAAGAAATCCAGTACGTTGTAGTCATGATCGACCTGAATTGGAAGCAGGGGGTACTTGTCACCTAACAATGCATCAGTCTCTGATCACTCCGAACAAGCGTGGTGTCTGGTAACATACCCAAGATGACTCCGATTGGCATAATACGTGCCTTAGCATCAACACAAGCGTGGAAAAGGGATTCAGATCCCTCCTTGGCCCGGAACATGTCGCCACTGCTTTTCTCCTTTTCCCGACCACCGCCGCTATCAACATTTCATTAGCCAAGGTACGTTAATCCAGACACTGAACGACTTACAGTGTGGTGATAATTACTTCAGGTCCCATCATGTCACGCACTGTGGCGTGCTTGTTAATAAGAATGCCTTTGGCGGTTTTTTCTGATGTATAAAGGCTGCCTTGATGTGATTTATAGTATGACAAAGAATCGCAAAGGGCTTGTCGATTGTTCGCCCATACAAGAGGCTTGCCAAAAGGCTGAGAACGAAGGAATTGAACCGAAGTCATTATCAAGGCTACGCTGTGAACAGTGACTTTGTTCTTTTGAAGAAACGACCCAGTCGCTTGTTCTTGATTCAGGAGAATATTCGAATGAGAAAGTAATATCTTAGGTTAGTGTTCGTAGGGCATAATAGGGATCAATCTTGGAGAGAAGTTGGCTGTGTCTGCTTATACTGCAGATATATACGATGGATCTTGGATCTCTATGTTGACATTGGAATATGAAGTTGCTGCCGTAGTGGACGCAACCTTTAGCGGAGGTAAGAGAGAATAGATCTATGACCAGAGAAGAGATCTATGACCGGAGAAGAAGACTTGACGGGAGTATTCGAAATGGATGTATGGTCAGATGACGGCGGTAAACCACAGATACTGATGGTGCTCTAGGATAAGAAAGTCAATGGTCTGACAAGTTTGAAGCCATGAAGAGAGAATATGGCATATGAACGGGGGTAGAACGGCTACTGGACAAGGGGCTAGGGCTGTTAGGAAAGGGAGAGAAGGTAAAGGTGTGCCTGTGTGAAAGTCTGTTATTCAAAGCTTCAGGGGTGGACTTTGGGACTGGAACGCATGGTATGCTGGGAAAGTTGATGGATAACCCAGGGAAATAAAGAAGATGTGACCAGTAATAGGGTAGTTGTAGACGCGATGCGGGTTTTTGAGCTGTGAAGGAACGCGTAGTTCTTTAGGATGCAGAGAAAGAACGGGACAGAGAAGGAGGATTAAGTACTGCAAGCGCGTATGTACTCTCTGTGCGGAAGTTCATTTGTATTGATGATGAAAGGATATGGCGGAACTTACCTCATACGAAATCACCGAATACAGATACCCTGGCCTTGTTGTATTTGACGAAGGCTGGAGAGAAGCAGAAAAAAGGGGCCCTGGGGAGGATGAAGGGGTATTTGTAGGTGTGGGGCGAGGAAGAGGAGATGACGGTCGTGTAGTGAATCAGGAAGCTTCGATGTAGGAAGGGGCGGTTGTGGCAGAAACAGCGCCGGACGTGATTGTGGAAGGCGCGGTGGTACTCGTGAATGAGGGTTATGAACACGACAATCTGATGCCACTGTGATACACGAGAAAAATAGAACAGGACGACGAAAACAGATAAGAAAGACCGCTTAAGCATTTTGCTGGAATGTCATGTACAGCGTGACAGCCCCTAGCTCTAAGAAGCATAGACAATACTATGAGATGTGAAGAATTGGCGATTTGAAGTAAGGATCTATGACATGCGAGCGGGAAGTGGTGGACGTATGGTAGATGTTGGATTGGTGACCCCTTTCTGATGCTACTAAGGCGAGGGAAAGGCTTGGGTTAGAACTCAAACGAGCATCTGTCCAGCGTGGTTAGCAATTATCAAGAAAATCCATTCAATGAAGAATTCTCGCAATTTGGTTGTGTCGTTTGTAAAGTAAAACTGTGCCACAGGTAGCGAGTAACATGTATGTAATGGGTACAGCATAGCTCCAAGAAGAAGGGCTCGCCGTCCCATGCCCATCGACAATTCCAGCATGATCGATCTAGAATTGGTTAGGATAATAAGCAGAGTAGCCCTTTTGCAATTAGACATTGTCTGTAACAGAACTGGTATCTTCCCAAGTTGCCTACTTTTAATTGATCCCAGCTTCGCTGCACAATGATCACAAGTCCAAGGAGTTATGATAATGAGGCCGGCGTCCATAAGATGAAATGAAAATGTATATCCTCAGAGATGGTTGAAGGACATGATGGGATGGCCAAATACTATGTGCCATTCACAAAAGAATGGTTCAAACGAGTAAGACCTCATGTAATGGCGGGCTTGTGTAATTAATAATACTGGACATAAAATGAAGATGTGATGAAGCATCCGCCGATGTACTTTTTAATTCATGATTTAAAGGGGGGAAAAGTGACAAATAGGCTAACCTTACTCGCAATCTTGTATGACTATAACAAAATAGTGTGTCTATGGGCACTTCAGAAGAGAGCACAAGACAAGTTCCATCGATGGATGTGATCTGCGACTCTGCCTCATTAGAAAGAATACCTTTGCTCCATGGTATTATTCATCCTTACGACGGAGAAATTTCAGTACAAAGGGCACATTTCCGAAGAAAGTGAATTAGATTTGCGCTTTTAGAGAGAATAGGATTGCAGCAATGAGGGAGTTTCAATGATAGAGATCCATGTGCCAAGCGGGATAGCGATTGCAATGGCAGCCAGCTGCGCCCTTGACTTGTCCATTATAAACCAGCTTGTTTTAAAGGAGGCGGGTGTAAAATTTTCGTTCATTCTTCAACTTCCAATTTCGGGTGTATATGAGCTTATGTAGCCCTATGCAAAGACTAAAAGAAGGTAGGTAACCAAAGCACGGGCAAATCAGAGGACAGGCAAGATGATAGCACGGACGAGGAATCCGCATGGGACAAACCGCAGACACACAACTCCCAGGAATACAGAAAACAAGATACGAGATGTGGTACGGATGTAAATTAACAGAGAGCGTTGTTGGTGTTCATTGGAGGGAATGTACTCGGTCTGCTTGATAAGACCGGCTTAACGGTTGTGTCCTGGTTTGGTCGGTGCAGAATGACTTCTAGCAAGAGTGAAGCAGTTGGTGATTGTCAAGTTGAACAAATAAAGCCAGAAGCAGTCTTGCTTGGCTTCTGTAACATTGGAGAGGTGCTTGTGCTGCAACTACAAGCCGCTTGGCGAAAGGCAGAAAAACTGGCAATCCTTTAGAGATACCAATGCAAGCAATTTATGGCAAAGAAAGCGAGTTGAAACCATTCTCCGTGGTCACCCAGGGGCTTGAAGCCTAAAGGACTGGCTAATATGGATCTTATCTTATGCTGAAATTGGAAGCCCGAACCATCTAAAAGGTTACGTCCAAGAAGCAACCTAACTTACCAGTGCTTTGTTGAATCTGGCTTCGTCAAGAAGCACCCGCATAAAGGCGGCCTACGATGCAGTCGTTGACCCATAAACAACGCATGGGAGCGACGGCCTTGCCTGGCCCACTAGATGAGGTTGCAAAAGAAATCCGGGGACCGGAATTAATTCCATGTCGGAAGCTTCAAACGATCGAGTTCCGAGGCGCCATGTGGGTATGAACTGCAGTGCCTACATACACCTGAGTAATGCTAGCATTTATCTGGGGAGGGGCTTTTACATAGATAGTCGGGATAATCTCGGCTAACCTGGAAAGGGGATTTCTTGGCAGATAGAGGCAATCGAATTACCGAATAAGCTGGACGAAGAGACTGCGGATTGGGCAGCGCACCCAGTAGAGCCGATAACCAAGGCCCGACCGGCTGCGAGATTCTCCAAGCTAATTTTTCTAAGCTCACAGCCAGCAAAAGCTCGGCAACACTTTGGAAGCGACATGGATCATGAGTAGCCAAACTTCGAAGCTATGTGAAGCTCAGAGGCAGGTGAGCTAATTTGAGCCAGGATTGAGTGCTGACCATGCATCTTCGGCTTCTGGCATCGGATCTGAATTTGGGACAGCGGCCGTTAGTGTCTTACCAATTTGCCCACCTCGAAGATCACCGAAACTGACGGCGGAATACGTAGTAGGTAACTCGGACCCCTAACGCTAAACAATTCAGCGAAGATGCCGCACTACCAGGCCGGACTTTCTACCGAGGTGCAACAAGTCACACTTGTGTGGGGAGAAATGCGGAGAAGTGGGGATGACCATCTTTCTCCAAGTCTTGGGTGCTACGAATCTACAGAGGTGCAGCTGGGAAAAGCAGGGGGCGCCGTCACAGTTACCCAGGGCACCAAGGCGCAATGGTGAAGGAGGATCTGAATTCGGCCCAGCCCCCGGCAGGCGACAGGCGGCAGGCGGAGGCTCTCGATCCTCTCTGTCAAAGCTCCCCGCTGTCAATTTTCTTCTAACAAACAAAGCTGGCTGATATCTCCCTTCTCCTTCTTCTCCCTTCTTCTTTTTCTCACAGAGCTGTCGTGCGCACTCAACCTCAATCCAAAACTCCACATATCCTCTTTCATCGAGTTGACGTTCGACCTTCCAACGACCAGGCTGCCGCGTGTCAGAAGCTTGTAGAGTCTGAATTGAACACAGCTGCATCACAACTGCATACTGCTTTCATTCTTGCTGTCGAATTACTTCGCTCAAGATGGTCTTCACTTCGCCGAGTTGGGTCCCTCAGTTGCCCATAGGTAGGATTCACCCTCAGTTTTCGTGAGGCTTTTCTCGCTGCCAATGCTCATACTGCCGACATAGACCCCCCAGACTCAATCACTATTGCTGAATTTATGAGCAATGAGGAACATGGCCGCTACCCTCTCGCCACGTCTAGGGACCCCTACACTTGCGGTCTGACTGGAAAGTCGTACACGGCTTCCGAAGTGAAGCAGCGGACCGACTTTTTGGCGAGGGCAATTGCAAAGAAACTCGACTTTGCGCCAAACGAAGGGACCGAGTGGGATAAGGTCATTGGCCTCTATTCTCTCAACACTGTAAGTTGACGTCATGTCGAAATTTTGGAACTTCAATTTCAAGAGATTGCAAACATGAAAACTGACTTGCGCATAGATTGACTACATTCCTTTTACTCATGCCGTCCATCGATTTTCAGGCATTGTCACCCCAGCCAGTGCCGCGTACTCCGCTCCCGAGCTGGAGCATCAGCTTCGGTCCTCTGGTGCCAAAGCTTTGTTCACTTGTATCCCATTATTGGAGAATGCGCTCAAGGCAGCCAAGGCAGTCAACATCCCTAACGACCGTATTTTCCTGCTGCCGATCCCTGGCGTTACTCAAAAGACGCCGTACACTACCCTAGACGATCTTATCGAAGAAGGCAAGTCACTGCCAGCGTTGGAGCCTCTCAAATGGGTCAAGGGCCAAGGCGCGCGGCAGGTTGCTTACCTGTGCTACTCCAGTGGTACTTCTGGTTTGCCTGTAAGTGGCATCAAGGCTTCAGTAGAGCGACATAACCGTGTCTGACAAATCCACCAGAAAGCTGTAATGATTTCACACCGAAACGTCATAGCCAATGTCATCCAGTTTAGAACATATGAGTCTGTCTCCAGGAAACAACTTGGCATTGAGACACAGGTTGGACTCGGTCTTTTGCCCTTCAGTCACATCTACGGTCTGGTGGTTGTGGCGCATTGCGGCACTTACCGTGGCGACGGCATCATTGTTCTTCCCAAATTTGAGCTGAAGCAGTTCCTTGGTGCTGTGCAACGCTTCAAGATCAACTGTCTCCCTGTGGTGAGTTTGTCTCTTCATTCTGTGGCTTTAAAGCGTATCTAACCGTGCTAGGTTCCGCCAATCGTTATCCAGATAATTCGCAACCAAGAGCTCTGCAGCAAATACGATCTCAGCAGCGTGCGCTATATCTATACTGGTGCAGCACCTCTCGGTGCCGAGACAGTTGAAGATCTTCGAAAGCAGTTTCCGACTTGGCGTGTTGGTCAGGGTTACGGTAAGACGCTTGCAATTCTTGTCTTAAATTATCTCATAACTGACCAATCCAGGTATGACCGAAACATGTACTGTTGTTTGCTCAACATCTGAAATTGACATCGATGTTGGATCTTCGGGATCCCTCATGCCTGGCGCTCGCGGCAAGATCGTGGACCCCACCACAGGCGCCGAGATCACGGAGTACAATACTCCCGGAGAGCTCCTCGTCCAAAGCCCGTCAGTCGTTCTTGGCTACCTTCACAACGAGCGCGCCAACGCTGAGACATTCGTTTGGCACAATGACGGCCGTTGGATCCGCACTGGTGACGAGGTCCTTGTGCGCAAGGCGCCCTCGGGCAACGAGCACCTTGTCATCGTTGACCGTATCAAGGAGCTTATCAAGGTCAAGGGTCACCAGGTCGCACCTGCTGAGCTCGAGGCGCACCTTCTCACTCATCCTGCCGTGTCAGATTGCGCCGTTATTCAGGTCCCTGACGAGCGAGCCGGCGAGGTCCCCAAGGCTTACGTCGTCCGCGCTGCTTCCCATGCCAACAAGTCAGAGGCTGAGGTTGCCGGCGATATTTGCAAGCACGTCGAGGAGCACAAGGCGCGACACAAATGGCTCAAGGGCGGTGTCGAATTTGTCGACGTCATTCCTAAGAGTGCCAGCGGCAAGATTCTGCGCAGGTTGCTCCGCGATCGGGAAAGGGATGCCAGAAAGGCCAGGGGTGCCAAGCTATGACAGTGTGCTGTTATGGTTTTATATGACTGACTTGCGTATTTAGACGGGCATGATGGATGCGAGCCCATCTACTAGAAGTGTAGACAGCTTATGTGGTGTACGTAGTGTGCGGTGTGCTTATATTTAGCGACTTATGTGTTCTCGAAATGTTATTTCTACTGAATGTGAGTTCAGATTGACGGTTGTGAAACCGCTGGTGTCCGGGCCCCTTGCTTAATATGAACGCTGTCGGCAAGTGAGAGTCCGAAAAGACAAACAAGGGATGCTTCTGGCTAATGTTGAGCTTATTTGCGCCGCGGCGTTTTCCGGCCCCAGAACCTAAAATGCCAATCCGCAATCCCAATCATTTCGCTCATCTATCATCCACATCTACAATACTCATATGCCGAACAGCGGCCACTACATAAGTAGTGTGTTCTGTGAGCCTCATTGCTTAGCTGGACTTAGCATGTCTTGGCCCGCGTAGATCCAAAACACCAAGCCACAAATAAGTCGCAAGAAAAACACAACGAACGCTTGAATCTTAACCCACGTTCCACGGGAAAACTAAAGAATAATGAAGCACCACTCAAGAAGCTGCAGAGTGAACACACTGGATGTGGAGCACTGGTCCCCAGGTGCCGGGGTCCAAGAGGACCGTCCGAGCGATGACAGACAGGGGTACACCCAGTGCCAAGGGTCGGTTTCGTGAACAACCTCAAACGTCTGCGATACCTCTTGCGGCGTGGACCCCCTTTGCTCCCGACAACGCGCCAAGCGAAACGTCGTTCAAGTTCCCCAGGCACAGCAAGACTAGACTACGGCAGGTTCCTTTTCCCGACAACCCAGCCCTTGCTCGAGGTCGAAGAGAAATGCTCTGATTCGTTCATGACTGGCAAGAACTGGCTTGTTGGATGCTTTTGTTGTCGAAAACTCCTCGGAGCCTCAAACAATCGTCCTTCCATCCACCACAGGCTAAAGGACGATCAGACCCAGACTGACTTATCCCAACTCTCTCACACAAGCGAGTCCAGGCGAAACAACGACAACGCAGGCCTATCCCCTTCCTCCGTTACTGTTTCTACCCTTCGATTTGAGATGGTTCGCTTCCTGGTGAGCATGTACGGCTTGCTTTAGCCTGATGAGGGCTTGCGTGACTATGCCCTTGGATCAGACGCAGCAAAACACCGTGACTGGCCCCAGTTGCGCTCCCGTTAGTTCCCGGCCATTCAGATGGATACAATCCATGACCATGGGATGTGCTCGTGCAGCAGACCGTTCATTGTCTTACTCCTTTAAGATAAACCTAACCTGCCACCCCTATCTTTCTTTCCCTTCTTGACCTCTGATTTCCCCGGGTTTCTGGGAAATTCCGAACATTCACAAACAGTTCCAGAACTTGATCTTCGTGGGAGAGCGACGCGCCGCGAGCTTGGCAGCACCAACCACCCTGCATATTTTCTTAATCGTGATTTAATTCCTTTTTTTTCTTTCCCTTAGACACCACCAGACAGGATGTTGACCATCCGCTCACCAGTTGCCGCACTGGCGGTTGTGCTCAGCCTCATGAGCCTCGTCGACGCGGCGCCCCAAAACAGGGGAAACAGGGGAGGAAATGGCCGTGGAAACAGGCAAACGGCGCAGCAAAAGGCCGCGCAGGTTCCGCAGGGCATCACGCGAGCCACTGATGGGTCAATGATTCTCGATATGACTGCCAACGTCAAGTAAGTACAGCTCTTTAATCACCCGTTTCCCCGTGTAAACGTGCGCAAGTCTAATCATATCCAGCGGCCTCGACCTCCGGTTCAAGATCAGCGGCCCAGCCGAGCAATTTACCGCAGCCAGCGGTGTTCCCGGCGCGGCCGCTCAACCCGGCGCCCAAGGCACACTCGGCCTGAACGTCCTCCTCCACGGTGACGGCGGCCAGTCCTTCTTCGACATGCCCAACCAGGGCGTGCAGCAGAACCTCGCCGGCGTTGCTGTCCTCGCACCGGACCCGAACCTCTTCTGGGGCGGTGGTCAGGGTCTGCAACGCACCGACGGCGTTGCTCACTCCCAAGCCGTCAACGACCTCATCCAGAAGACGCTGCCCCAAATGATGGCCTTCAACCAGTCCAACGTCTTCTTCACAGGTGTGTCTGGAGGATCTCTGATGCTGTCCGGCTTCTTCATGCCTGCGCACATGCAGAACTTTGCGGGAAACGGCGTCCTCTTGAACTGCGGCGGCCTCGAGCCCCAGGTGACGGTGCAGGATCCTCAGGCTATCGCCAACACGCGCATCCACTTCCAGAGCACCAAGAAAGAACTTTCATCGCTGCAGCAGTCAATCCCCGCGGCCATCAAGGCGTACGAGCAGATTGGCACCAGTGCTGGCCTGGAAGCGAACGCGCTCAATGCCAAGCAGACGGTCAACAACTCCCCCAACGGCGGACACTGCGCCTTCGACGAGCAGGGTTTCGTCTCGGGCATCCAGCTGGTTGCGAACAACTACGCTACAATCATGCAGGGTGGTACTGGAGATGTCCAAGGTATCGGAAACGTGCTGACGGGTGTTTCTGGCAATGAGAATTTGCAGTTCACCGGTGCGGAGCGGAGACGCGATATTGGTTGAAGCGTCCTTCAGTTTCTGCAGACGATAGTGATACCACCCTCTCAGAATCGTTGGAGCAAAGAAGTATCAATAGCATGCGAGCTGTAAGCTACTGTTTATATCCGGATGTTTACGTTACTTTTTTTCCCTGCTTGCTCGCTGGCTGAAGATAATGAAAAAAGAACTTCAGATCCTATGTTCCCAAAATTCCTTAGGTGATCTTTTGTTCTTATCTCAGGGCGCATATGGCCTACTCTAGACGCAAAGTTAACTGGTAGTCGTTATCTGTCTGAGTCATTACTAGCTTCGACCGTATAATCACATCAGCTACATTGACGTGTAAGGTGGATAAGACTGTTGAGTTTCCTACACACCGCCCCTGCTACTGTTCTCCAAAATTGCCTCTGCCCGGTCTGCCTCCTCACAAGAATGATGTTGAAGCCGGTTGCGCACTGTAAGGAAAGGGACAGCTAATAATGAAGACAGGCTGGTTTCAACAATGGCGGGATGATGTTAGATTGGGGTTGTGCCATCATTTTGAGGTCAAAGCCAACTCTTTGTATTCTCCATTTGCCGAACACGTAAAACTCAACTGCTTGCGAGGCTCAAACTAGTAATACATGCCAGGGGCAGCTTCGTGATTGTGTTTATTTTGTCAGGAGCCAGTGCCTCATGTGCGGCAGCCCTATTTCCGATCATTTCAGGCACAGGGTCTAGGTAATTTCCCTCGACCTCCCTTGGCATGTGTTATTCATTGTGCTCTGCTTTCTTGTCTTCAATTTTTACATCACCTTCGGCAGTAGTCAGCAGGTTAGCCTTCTGCCTTCTTCGTCGTCTCAAGAACCAAAATTTCACCCAGGACGGGGCCAACGACAAAAATCGCTACCACAGCAGGGTTGGCGAACATAGACGTGATCGTATTGACATCGCCATTGCAGCACTCCGTTAATTGGTCCAGTAGAGGCTCGACAAGATTCTTGAGGATGTCTTGTGCTGCTTCCGCATTATTCTCCACGTATCCTCTGCATTGCCGCAAGATTGGTTTGAATCGCCGAATCTGGTTGGCATATCAAGGACTCTTATCCATTTCTTCAAACAAATTCTGAAAGCTCTTTTTGAGACGAAACTCAGATCGGTCTTTTTGGTGTCAACACCACGGCTGGAACTGCGTACGGCACTCATCAAGGCATACGGGCGGTGGGCTTGAGGACAAAGAAGTGGCCCAAGGAGCCGCTACAAGTGTTGTTCTGATTGTCGTAGAGCTAGCGATCAGTATAGCCCAATATTACGGTCAGCGGTGTTGGTAGTCTTGGAGCGCTTGGTGAGAGATGACAATAGCAGCCACAGCCTGGCGCGGCATGGTTGGGAGACTGGCGGTTAGATTCTGGGTCTTCAACCTAAGAAATAAACAAAAGACAGAATGTTATTGGGGGAGAAGTCCACCATGGAAGATATTGTACCATAGTGTGCGGGCTATCTTGGCACATTAACCGATTTCCAAATTGAGCTTCATAAATGGTCGTTTTGAACATTGAGAACTTTTGGGTACAAGTGTTCTGTAAGGTTGCCGGCGTAATGTCTCGCCTTTTGACCCTATGAATTGCTATCTTTCAGAAGTTCAACGGTAACATGCCCATAGGAGTGGGAACGTGGAAATTTGGAGGGTGAACTACATGGGAAACCAATGGCAAGAAATAAAAATTGTCACTCGAATGCGGTCTCAGCTCAACTGGGTTGTTAAAATTTATTAGTTATCGTTTTCTTTTGGCACGAACCAAATTCCATTTGTAAACCAGTCCTTTAAACCTGAAAACGCTACATTGCTGCTAATTTGCCAAAGAAACAGACGAGGTTAGTACTGGACGAAGACGCAGCCAGATTTTTCCTCGACTTAGGTTATCATAAGCAAACATTACCATTACCAACCTTCTGTATTTGCAGATCTGTGTCTTAGGTTCTCTTTTGGAAAGCAGGTTACATCAAACGAAAAGGACTGGGTTTACAGCGCATTTGGCATATTACTCACTAGTTCACGATTTACTTGCGACAGAGAAAAATGTCACAATCTAACAAACTAACCCAGTAGGGCACAATTTCTTAACGTTGAATTGTGGAAGAAAGTTGTTCAATGTTCTACGGGATATCTGCAACTTGTTGAACCTGCTGTGTTTAATGTGTCTTACTATCTATCTCCAAAGGACATCTCGCTCCTCTCGGAAGCCGGATTTATGCCATACAAACTCGCTCTGTATTCATATAGCTCTCAGGCCATGTGGCATAGTTGGCTGTTATCGCGGCAATGCTCGTACACCTTGGATGTCCACTCTGCCTTGACCAATGCTCCATGCATTCTTCGCATCGTCATACCTTCGTGCATCAATATCATCTCACCGATCCTTGCTCTCGTAAACATCACACAGAGGCGCTTGGGGTCATCCAGAAACCCCGCCGTCTTCGTTCGCACCGTATCGATAAACACAAAATCCGCTTCATGGCCCTGGGCCGAGTCAACAGTTCTTGCTTCCATCGCCGCATGTCTCTGTTCAATATCTAGTCTACCCCGAAGGTGAGGAGGGAGGCTGGCTGTGAACTGTTTATATCGAAAGAGAGCCGCTTTATAGGGCGTTATAATCAAAACCCGGCCCGGTTCATCTGGTTTGTCCACACGCCGGAATTCCTGATCGCAAAGTAATTCGAGGCAACGCTGGGTGATGAATGTCTCATGAACCGGATTGTAGAAGCTTTTGCGCTCCGTTTCCTCTTGAGCTGCACAGTGGTTGATCAGAAGTCGAGGGACTACCAAATTCTGATCATGAGCGAATTGCTGTAACCAAGTCTGAATGTGCTGGACCACTTTAGGAAAACGGTCGGTATTGGATATACCGGATTTTAAAAGCCCGTCATAAAACAACTCAGATGCGAGCAAGTGAAGGTTGCCATACATTCCTAAAAAATTTTAGCACTGCACAAACAGTTACTTCAACAATCTTACGGTGAGTAATCAACAGTTTGCTGCTGAGACCTCCAGCCAAGTCTGCCCGCTCCATCGTACTTATCATGAGCTGTTTAGCATACGGGTTCTTGCGAAGACCCTTCTCCATAATCTCAAATTTCGTCATGCTTGCTCCCTGCACAAAAGGCCGTGTCTGACGTGTATCACCAGTAAATATGTAAGCTCTAGCAGGAGAAAATGCCAGAGGAACAAGAGAAGTGAGCTCGCGGGCATGAGCAGCTTCGTCCACAAAGACAATATCTGGCTTGAAGTGCGTACTTAACTGACCAGAAACACCAACGGGAGTCGTCGCAATGAAGTCTGCCTTCTTGATGACATCAAAGTAGAGCCTCGAAACTCTGGCCTTGAGCTCTTTGACGGTCCGTTTTGTCTTGGTGGCACCTTCATTTAGCTTCATGAGGAGCGTTGAAAGTCCCTTGTATTGGCACGTATTCGCTTCGTACATCTCCCAAGCAGCTTCATCTAAAGAAGGGGCTTTAGTGAAGTCTCGTCGTGCTATAGTGTTCTGTTGGGCCAGGCGAGCCTGCTTCAGAAAACCGAATGTAAAATCCGGTGTACTCTTTACCTCCTTATTTCCTGCCTTTTGGGACGGATGCAGCTTGGTGCTGCGACTCATCTCCCGAGCGCATCCGCGGACTCGTATGACCAATGCAGGCAAATCCGCCTCTTTGCATGTTCTATAGACTCTGTTTGCCGCATCATCGCATGGGTCGTTCACATCAAGAACGTACAGAATCTTGGCCAGTCTTTTAATTCTTTTGCCGTCAACCGTTTCCACAATCGGCTGAGAGAGGGCCATTGCAGCAATGAAGGCATTCAAAGCAGTCTTTCCCGCACCGGGGCACCCAAGAATCAAAGCCAGTCCAGCTGGAATATTGTGTAATTGCTCGTAGACCTTCTTGTGATCCGAATTGAGGTGCTCATATAATAATCTTAAGGAATTTGGTGTTAACGGATTATCACTAGGGCTCTCCATATGCGGGAGTTCTTGAAAAAGGTTAACCCAAAAGCTGGGGGGTTTTCTGAAATCCAGGATATACTCAAAGGTTTGTGAAGCCCTTTTTTCAAGTAAGCTTAGGTCTCGGTTGTGATCCATTAGAAAGGCCAGTGCTTTCAATTCGGTCTCGTGTGTGATGAACTGGGGTGTGACGCGAAGGATGACTTTCACAGCATTTTCAGGCGTCAACTCCATAAGCCTGTGCGATGAGCCTAACCGAGGTATGGATATTGCTTCCAGCGGATGGTATATTTGTTTTGTGATGGTGTCTTTCATGTAATCCATGGTTACACTGAATGCTGCGTGGCCGTAAAGTTGATTTGGTTCGTCGAGTTGATTGAATGGATTTGGAATACGTTGAGCCTTCAACATCCCTGGATTGAAAGATCTTCCGGCAAAGAGGAAATCGTGCTTAAAACCAATGGAACAGTCCTCACCCTCGTCTGGAAAAACCTTATCATGTTCTTTAGGTAGTTCCACCAGCACGATCCATCGTGTTTGTAAATCGGAGGAGATAAGGCTAGGCGATCCAGGCAGCGGCGTAATTACCCAGGCATTTCTCTGTGTGGCGTTGTTATTAAAGCGACTGTAGGTGATTTCTTCGTTTGCCATCTCAATGACAGTGCCTTCACGGTGAACGCGAGCGAACTCTTCTCTGCTGAGGAACGAGTGCACCATTTGGCGCCCACACCCACGCTCAGCGAACCGCTCAAGTTGCAATGTTAGCGAAAATGGAAAAAATTGATGATTTCCGAATGAAACTTACTGTTAGGTAGTCAGGGCCAATGTCTGGAGGGAGTCCGACAACCAAGTTCTTCTGGAGTCCTTCCTCAGGATCAAGCGCAGAGTACGCTGTCGTGGATACCGACTCAGCGACACCAATCATAGCCTGAGGGTAGATAGGTCCACCTGACATCTATAGCCGTTTAGCTTTCAGAACAGATGATGTACAAGGCTGAGGCACCACGTGCTGGCTTACCTTAAAATCGAAGCTGCGAGTTTGCTTTGGACAGTCCCTGGCATAAAATTTATGTCAAGTAAAATGTGATGAGGGACAAATGCTATCTTCCAGAGAAAGATTATTCGCAGCGACAATGCTAACAACAACACGAAGAAAGAGGTTGGCTCGACGCAGAAGATGAGTGGCAAGCCGGCTGAACGAATAGAGAAAAACAGGTCTCGGCCACTGGCGCCTGCGAAGTCTGCCGCAAATGAGTATGAGCTTTCTGAGTGAAACCTAGAAAGGATTCTGTTGCGATGATGAGCGAAACGAACTGCATCAGCAGGATATCAAAGACCAATGGTTACGAGGCACTTCTTTGCCGAAGTCGCGGAGGTGGAATTGGTCACGACTGCTGCTGCCTGTGATGGAAGGGTCATCACAAAATGCCGAGATCGTCTTTTGAAAGAGGTTAGTGAGTGCCGTTAATGGCTAGGAAAAATAAATAAAAGGAAGGTAAGACCATATAGGCAAGAATGGTGAGTTGATGAAGTGAGTATCTATATGCTGACTGGAAGAAGAAGGTGCCAGAAACAGCCAAGGCAGGTACCATCGAGAAACAAGAGAAACAAGTCTAAACACCGCTTGCGCCTTCCCTCTAAATCTAACAAGTTCATCTATAGGGCTATCCCTATTCGAGGTCATTGTAAGTGAGAGATTGGAGATGTTGCGTGTAAAGAATGACGAGAACGATCTAACTCGGAAAAGAATACTACTGCTGCCTTGGAAGAATGATTAAGGGAGGCCATCTAATTGTCCAAGTCGGGTGGCTAAATCTAGAGGAAAGCTGTCCTGAATCAAGAGGGACACAGCTGCGTCTATGAAGCTATGGATCGTCAACAAAGAGTCGAATGCATTGGCTAGACTCCATGGTGTCAGCTTGAAGCGTTATAAGCGGCGGGACAAGCCTTCATTCAGCTTCTGAAAGTAACCTTTACCTAGGACAAGTTATTTGACATCATCAACAGGTTTAGACAATTACCATGCTGGGTTTCCCGCGACTGCCCAATCGGATGCTTTGAATTTGCCTTGTTGCCTTCTTGTCACGATCCTGTCCTTATTTTAATGTCATTGAAATTTCGAACCATGAACAATAGTCTCATGCACCCTTCCTCCTTTGAAGGATATCAAGTCCGTAGCCTGGCATATCCAAGAGGATTTTCTCAGTTGAAGCAATTCAAGATGAGCGTTTTAAGCATGGACCTCATTTGCGAAATCGAGAACAGTCAAACAATAGAAATGCCAAGTACACTAAACACGGTTGCAGACAGCCCTTGTTGGGTGAGATGTCGTTGACATTTCGGGCGTATTGTATCGCGTGCGGCAACCGCCAGAGCGGGTTCTGTGGCTATTTTAGCCCGAGACCTTGTCGCAGAACATCACCCGTTTAAATGGTATAGGATCCGCCATGACAGGGGTCTGGCCACCATTAGTCGCAGGTCCCTGGATTTTCCCCAGTGCCCAGCTGGACAGGCAAATTCTGGTTGGGGCAAGGGTCACGCTGTCAGTGCTAATTGATAGAGTGCGCGGGCTCGTCCACTCTACGATACACAACGCTTAGTGTGGCAGGTCCTTCATGCCACTTCCGTGCTGTAGTGACACTAGCCAGCTTGTAAGGTTTTAGACAGGGTGAAACCCGAGTACGTCAGATACACATTGTCTGGCGCAGACTCTGACTCTGCCACTGCCTTTGCTGTGTTATGAGCGATTTGTGTGCGTCTGCCGTGGTCTCCCTGTCTGGCACCGGTATCTCGGGCGCGGATTACGATCATCTCCGCTGAAGTATCTTGCCCACCTGAAGGTACCTAACGGTAATGGAGCTTGATCCACCAACTAAGGGTTTGGGTAGGCTGCTGCTCCTTACGGAATGATTCTCAGAGTACTCCCCAGTTGCAGCAACAAGGGCCAGTGGTGGCAGTGAAGAATGCCAAATGATGGAGTAGCCTGTAAGGAGAAGGGGGTATCTAACTGAAAGATTCCACAAAAACCAGTGAGGCAGGGGTTGTGGGGAGGCCGTGTGGCGGGGCAATGAGAGGGCGCTGAGAAGATACGATTGGCTCATTCGCGGCAGGCCGCCGGAATTGTGGAGAAAATTTCTGATAGCGAGGTACCTGCACATGGCCGTCATTTTCGTCTAGTCCCGGCTTTTTCTCCTGCCCGGGCAGGTTCAAACGGTGCTGGCCTTCACTCAGCCCGCCTGAGCCACAGTCGTCCCAATGTACCTCCTTACTTTGCAGGAGACGTGGAGGCGGGAGGCAACCCAGTTCGATTTTGGCTTCCTTGGTTTACTCTAACCCCGTACAACGCCCGCTCGCTGGTGAGGCTGAACACCTGTACTGGCCTAATTAATCCAACAGCCCCCATTACTGAGCTGACTTCGACTGCACCTCATCCGTTTCCTCTCTCGTGGGCTCATCGCCATCACGGCGACTGCTCATCCACTGCAAACCAGCTTTCGCCAGGCGCTTTCCCTGGAAGCTCACTATTGACAGAGGCCGCAGCATCGATTGCTCCTCCTCTCATCTCATCCGCCATCTTCGCAGTCTTCATCTGAGGGTTTCGGGTTCTTGGGGGGTTCATGTGCTGCAGCGAGTGCTGACGCGCGGTGCCCAAAATGGCTCCTTCCGCAGCCTCGTCTGAGGGTATTACCGCCCAATCAGACCTTGGCGACACTGACGACACTTCATCATCATTCTTAGCACGCTCGATTGACATGGATCGACTGAAGCCGAGCCGACAGACGCTTTCACTTTCCACTCGGTCGACCTTGGCGCCTCGCCGTGAGGCATTATCCAAAGGGGGAATAGCTGGGGTTGTTATTGGCATTGTTCTTTTCTTCGTACTGGCTGTTATTTGCGCCTATCCGTTTATCATTCGTCGCATCAGGAAGGGCAAGAGAAATGGATCCAACCGTCTCGACACGGCGGAAACTGCCTTCGTCCCTCCGCCGCTCCGTCCTTCAGGCAACGTCACGGCGCCAGGACCCGTCAGCCGCACATCATCCAAGGACTCTTTAGGCCACAAGACCGACGCTCTTCGAGGCGCGGAAAGACAGTCAACCAAGAATCTGGCCCTGTCCTCTCACAACGGTATCGATAACCCTAACAAAGATGACCTGGGTATCGATCATCAACGCCGCTATACTGGGGACGAGAGCACCCACCCATCGAGCGTCACGACTAGACGCGGCACTGATCACTCCTTTGGCCGCGCACCCACCTGGAAGAGCGAGGCTTCTTATCCTTGGACCCCTGTTGGTATAGAGCTGGTCGCTACTCGAGCTGATGGCATGGAATATTCAGAAGCCACTCAGGGACACAGCGCAACTTATTACAGCCCGATCATCCCTTCTGAGGCCTTCGGCATGGTTACTCCACCACCTACTGATGAACTGCCCAGTCGTGCGCCGCCGCCGAGACGCTCAAGTTCTCACGGAAGCTCTCTCAAACAGAACCTCTTCGGCATACTCCGTCGCATGAGTACCAAGGATTCTGTGTCAGCGCGGACAAAAGGCTATCCAGCCCAACCAGCGCAAAACGTGCTAAGGGAAGGCTTGTCGGATTCACCAACTGAGTTGAATGGCCCCTCTTTCCGCGATATGGGCCCCGGAGCCACTTCACGACAATTGGCATCTCCCATTGCCATGCCTAGTCCGATGTCGGAAAGAGGGGAGCTTGATCAAGGTCGAGAGTTGGAAACGAAAGGTGCTGAGAAGCAAACGGAATCTCCCCCTATCTTGCCGCCTGCTTTGCCCGCACCAGGAACAGTTAACCCGATGGATATCATGGCGCCGTCAAATGCAACAGAACACAACTGGCATACGAATCAGCAGCTCTACCAGATGGCAAACCCCCCTCCAAAGCCCATCTCAACATCGAAACCGCCAGCAGATCCGTTGCCAGAACCGCAACCGTCCCAGGCTCCCACTCCCCAGTCTCCAGAACAGCCATTTGAACATCATCAGCAACATCTTCACCAGCAACAGCAACAGCAACAACAGCAGCAAAAGCAGCAACAATGGCCTCAAACGGAGTCGGTAAATAGCGACGCACCAATCCCGAATAGCAACAATCACGGAAAGACAAATGGCTGGAATACTTTCAATGACAGCCAAACTTACAGCCAAGATGTACACATGAACGATCCTCCCCACCCGATTGACCAAACCCACCTCATGCCTGACCGGAACAACCACCACTATCTGGAGAGCGAGATGACAGACCCCTCTGATCATTCCCCTCCTATGGGTGGCCATGCTTCTTCCGGCGTCTCATATCAGACCACACCCAACACCCAGATTGACAGTAGTCCATCCCCCCGGTCAGACGGCAGTTCGGATATTCGTAACAGCACATCGCCATACCCGGGATTGCAGCAATCCCCTCGCACTTTTATGTGCGATGAATGTGGTAGATTCTTCGACCAAGTTCATAAATTGAAGTAAGTCGGGCCACATAGTCTTTACCTGGAGAATTATACTTACCACTTTCTCAGTCATCATAAGAGGTATCATGAGAGACCTCACGAGTGCACGCATCCAGGCTGTGGCAAACGATTTGGAACCAAAACCCACTTGGACCGCCACATCAATGACAAACACAAAAAGACCAAGAAGTTCCACTGCACTGTAAGCACTTGTCCGTATTCCAAGGCGGGTGGCAAGTCTTTCCCCCGGAAAGACAACTGGAGGAGGCATATGGTGAATATTCACCAAGTCACGCCGATGGGTGAGCCTGAACCCGACATTGCCGACGAGACTATGGGAGGAACCTGAGATACAGCTTGAGGGGCGTGTCCTGCCTGGCACTGGCAGGTGTTGGCCACCTGCTCATCGGAAGACGTATCGGCCATTCAATCCTAGACGCTCTGCAGTGAGCATAGGTTCTTGACTGGGATGCTGACAGACGACGGACAATGCTTGGGAAGTGGTCAGTCGAGTATGACAGACGCGTGACTTGCAAGCAAACTATCCCAGAGCTCACTTGTGGCTTCAAACCGCGGGTCTATTTATCTTGGTTCAGCAGAACTAGATCGATCCAATGCAGGATTCTTCGAGACCCAACAACAATACCCGCGACGCTCAATGGCGTCATTCTTTCCCGCCATAGAGCATACTGTTTATATCATAACCAAGGTAGTTACGCCCCACGGAAGGGACATATGGGGCAGAACAGGCACATTCATTAGGGACTGCATTATGAGCAGTAAGGCGTTTTGATGCCAACTGGCTGGCTAGGGGGAATATATGTAGAATAGGCAAAAAATGCATCACGGCGGCGCGCATGGATTTAACTCAAATCTTTGATTAAAGACCTAACGAGCTTCTTCTGCTGCTCGACAGAAAGATGGCGCTCGTCTGTCTCCTGAATGGCTCTTCCCACCGCAATAATGACCTTGACACTCTCGCTGTTCACCCAGATCTTGCCATTTCGCCCTACGGCTGTCTCAAATGCTGCACCAGTTGCACCCAGTTCCTCCAAAACCACGAGATCAGTTGTCTTGGGGCTCAGCAGGCGACGGGCTAAGCCAAGGGAGATATCGAAAAGCATGCCGCCCACGAGCGGTCCCAAGCCATCAGCCTTACCAGTGGACTGGTAGACGCACTCAAGTTCAGGGTCCATGTGCTTGTTCGCCAGAGTAACGCGCGCATAGACAAGGGCACCGGCCGACAGATTGGGACGGTTCTTCTTCGATGCCATCTCGAAAGAAAGTTGGGGTAGAATCGCAGGTGTTGAGTAATCGGCTAGAAGGACATAATAAATTTCGGAGGCAGAGCGTTGGACGGTGCCAACAACAAGATCGCCGACAGCGGGTATATACTTTGATATTACGTTAGATACTTCTAGTGACTTGAAATGCACGTGCCGTCTTACCCGTCCTCCTGTCTGCTCAACCCATATCGAGTTCTTTCTGGGATCTGTGAAGAGCTTGCCGGCGATGGTAGGCACTATTTGTCGGGGAGGGACGTGTCGGAGGCCAGGACCCAACCTAAGAGGAAGCTTTGGATGTGATGGAATGAGAGATGCGTCAATCTCATCGCCCGGAAGGACGAAGGGACCAGCAGTAGCCATTGCAAAGTGGTCGACGATGAGAATGTTGAATTGTAATCGTCAAGTATGGCTGGGCCTCACGCTTGTCGCCTTCCGCAGTCGATCCTGATCAGCCTTGCTGAGGCTGGAAAGCTTTTGGCGGGGCACTTTCCAAATTCGCTTCGAAGTTGATTGGTACACGGCTGGGGGTGTGGGGAGAATACACCGATCCCACTGGGCGACAACGAAGCTGGGAATTTTTTTTTCCTTGCCAAAATTTTGGCCTGGAACCCCACCATCCTTGAAAACACCCTTTGAAAGATCTCGATAGGAACAGCGGCCACTTTCGAAAAAATTAACCGTCTCCCCGCCCGCCCCAAGAGACTTTCCGAACGAAAAACACACGAGACTCACGTCCCCGCGATCATAGAACTAGCACATATGGCTGCTAACGGTGACTCGCGTCCCGCGCCGGGCGACCGTACCGTCATTGGTATCACCTTTGGCAACTCCAACTCCTCTATCGCCTATACCGTCGACGAGAAGGCTGAGGTTATTGCAAACGAGGACGGAGGTAAGCTGGTCTATTGCATACATATACATTGTGTAAGAAACAGAAGAGTGCTAATCATAAGAGCCATGCAGACCGTCAGATTCCCACCATCCTCTCCTACGTTGATGGTGATGAATACTATGGAGCCCAGGCCAAGAACTTCCTCGTCCGGAATCCCACCAACACCATCGCATACTTCAAGGACTTCCTTGGCAAGGAGTACGAGACATTCCATCAAAAGGATATTTGTTGCACAGAACTAACATGCTCGCATCAGGTTCAAGTCCATTGACCCTACGCACAACCACGCCTCCGCCCACCCCCAGGATGTCAACGGCACCGTTTCCTTCTCCGTGAAGGACAAGGAGGGCGATGAGCCTTCGACCGTCCCCGTCTCCGAGGTTGCCACGCGCTACATCCGCCGCCTTGTCGGTTCCGCCTCCGACTACCTTGGCAAGAAGGTCACTTCTGCCGTTATCACTGTCCCCACCAACTTCTCAGAGAAGCAGAAGGACGCCCTTGTGAAGGCCGCCGCCGACGCCGGTCTTGAGGTTCTTCAGCTCATTTCCGACCCTATTGCCGCCGTCCTTGCCTACGATGCCCGCCCCGAGGCCGAGGTCAAGGACAAGATCATTGTCGTCGCTGACCTTGGTGGCACCCGCTCCGACGTTGCCGTTGTCGCATCCCGTGGTGGCATGTACACCATCCTGGCCACCGCCCACGATTACGAATTTTCTGGCAGCCACCTTGACCAGGTTTTGATGGACCACTTCGCCAAGGAGTTCATCAAGAAGCATAACGTCGACCCCCGTGAGAACGCTAGGTCTCTAGCCAAGCTCAAGCTCGAGTCCGAGTCTACCAAGAAGGCCCTGTCTTTGGGCACCAACGCCAGCTTCAGCGTCGAGAGCTTGGCAGACGGTTTTGACTTCACTTCTACCATCAACCGGCTGCGTTACGAGATGGCCGCCCGCAAGGTCTTTGAGGGTTACAACCGCCTTGTCGAGGGTGTCATCAAGAAGGCCGAGCTCGATGTCCTTGACATTGACGAGGTCATCCTTTCTGGCGGCACTGCTCACACTCCTCGCATCGCCGCCAACTTCGCCAACCTCTTCCCCGAGTCCACCACGGTCGTTGCTCCTTCCACCGTCACTACCGCCATTAACCCCTCGGAGCTCCAGGCTCGTGGTGCCGCCCTCCAGGCCTCCCTGATCCAGGAGTACGAGGCCGACGACATCGAGCAGAGCACCCACGCCGCCGTCACGACTGTCAAGCACATTGCCAATGCTATTGGTGTCGTTGGCGCCGATGAGGAATTCGTCCCCGTCGTTCCCGCCGAGACCGCTGTCCCCGCCCGCCGCACCGTTCACCTGTCTGGCCCTAAGGATGGTGGCGATGTCCTGATCCGCGTCGTCGAGGGTGGTGCCCACATTAAGGTTACCAAGCCCGAGCCCAAGGCTAAGCCCGAGGCCAATGGCGACGAGGAGGATTCCGACTTCGATTCCGATGATGAAGAGGAGGAGACTCGCGAGAAGATCTGGAAGGTCGGCCCTACTCTGGCTGAGGCTGCTGTCCGTGGCGTCGGCAAGGGCTCCAAGGTCGAGGTTACCATCAACGTTGCTGCTGACCTTGGCCTCACGATAACGGCGAGGGAAGTCGGTGGCAAGGGTGGTGTCCGCGGTAACGTCACCGCCCCTTGAAGGGTTCTTTTGACCTAGAATTTGTTGAACGAAGCAAATAGAAAGAGCGCGTTGGCCAGGCGCAACATGGTAAAAGAAGGGGAATGTCAATTTTTTTTTTTTCCATTCTGTATAGACATGGATTATTGGGGGAGGATGGATATGGACCGGAATGACACCACTGGGAACATAGACGAGAGCAAGAAGTTAAAAGCATGAAGAAACGTCAAAGTGATAAATCATCGCGCCGCGCTTCACACAAGGAGAGGGTGCAGCAAGCTATCCTTGATGCACGATTGTGGCGCAAACCAAATCCATAACCGCTGCATTTGGCAAAAAATAAACACTTTAAAAGACAAATCCATGCGTTTTACTGTGATGCTTTGGAGAAGGAGATATGATGAGGATGATGCTTGAAAAGAGGGATCGCTAATGCACCCGTACGCCCTGCTTGACTGACCCTCCATAAACATTTCTGTCGTCAGAAAGAGGAGCAATTTCACCCTTAACCAGGTGGCTTCCCGTCACACTTCGGTACCGTTTTTCTGCCCGTACTATCTTCACGATACTGCACCAGGCAACCTCCACGCAACAAGATCGTCCCGAACGTCAAACTCTTCGAGTTCCCGGTTCCTCCTCATCCCCTCGCGCCCACGGTCACTGCTACCCATCGTCGGCGCCAAGCTCGCCATGCTCCCGCTTGGGCTCTGCGAGCGCCCGTAGTTGTTCCTTCCACTGCGTCTGTCATCATCACGAGAGTGGTTCCTGCGTCCTTGTCTGCTGTGCGACCCGCGTCGCCCAGTGTGGCTTGTACCTGCGGTTGTGCTGCTGGCAGTATCATTGGCGCGGGCTGTGAGGACAGTAGTGAAGCTCCTGTCGCTGGAGCCGCTATTACTGCGCGAATGGTTGCGGTGGCTGCTGCCGCCGTTCTGGTGCAAGTGAAGGTTGAGATGGTGGTGATGCGCTTGTTTCTGTTGTTGTTGCTGCTGCTGTTGCTGCTGCTGTTGTCGTTCTTGTTTCTGCAGCATCTTGCGGACGTCCGAAGGGCGAAGGGTGCCGCCCATACCGCCTTCGTCAGAACTCAGAGAACCACCATTATCGAGGTCAAAAGTGGCCGTCTTGCCAGTGCGTCCGACCCTTCCAGTACGCCAGCCGTCGCCGCCGGAGAAGATGTCTTCAATGCATTCATCCGCGGGGAGCTCACCAGGTTGGCAGGACCAGGAAGCTGCAAGGGCACGACGGTACATATCTTGAATCTCAGAGGCGTCACGGGATTTGGCCATGGTAGGAAGTTCTGCCCAGATCAGTTAAGGTGCTCTCAAGCGGTCAGACATGGGTGCTAAGGAAGAACGTACGCCCCGCATCATCTTGTTCGACTTGCTCGCCCGCCATAATGCCAGCGATACCGCCGAAAACGGGCGCTGTCCTGAGCGGTGGTGCTGAGTAGCCCTTGTCTCCATCAAGCTGGACCATAAGGATTCCGATTTTCAGCGTGCTGTTGATCTTGCTCTCTTGCATGAGGTAGCGCCTCACGATGCCATCCTCAACATCTAGCTCGCCTAACGTCGGAGCAAAAGTCGATTTGGGACTCGTACTACCCGTACCGCTGCTACGTTTACGTGAGTGGCCGCGATCGAAGCTGCTGCTCATACGGGCAAGGCCCTCACTCTCTTCGACATACTCGCTGAGATTGATCTGGACTTTGCCAAGCGAGATCTTTTCATCATGACCGCCACCAGAAAACTCCTGCAGGACTTCAAACTCAATGGGGCACTCAGTCAGGTTGTTGTTTCGGTCAATTCCGATCCTAATGTGGCTGACAATCTTGGAGTAGTTGTATTCAACCTTGTGATTGGAGATAGGACATTTTGGAGTGCGACCCCTGTGGTCCGCGATGATGGAATGAGATAGGTGCCATTTCACGATTGATGTTCCGGACACCAGTGGGACGTTATTTAGGTCATATATCTACACAGAAAGTCAGACGCGGGGCTTGGCACAGGCTGCGCGCAACCATGATGGAGGGGTTTACACACCTTGAGGTGTAGCTCAAACTTTGGCTGCGTCGCATAACGTTAGCACACGTACAGGCTGCTGAGTGGTCGGCATCCAAACTGCGCGTCCTCCGCTCTTGGAGGATTGAGTTTCTCATGGCAGGTGGTGGGTGCGGGTAGGTCTTACCTTTCTGTTTTTATTGACTGTGGGAAGGAAGCCTCCGTTAGCCATACTCTTGAAGGGACTCATGATGGGTGAACTGGTCAGAGGTGGTATATAGAATCGCGACAGAAGCAAGAAGAAAAAGGAGGCAGGGACTCAAAAGCCCCGTTGCCTCCAGAAAAGATGTAATTCAAGGGAGAGACATAGGAATAATAATGACAGGTGGTTAGGAACCAGAGCGAAGGGGTGAATTAAGTGAGGCTGGAGAAAGCCACAAGAAAAGCCACCAAGCCTTTTGTTTGTTTCAGTGAGATCTCAACCTCATGTACAGGAAAGTGATGGGCCAACCCACGTGGGCGTGCGGAATGTTGTAGGTGATGCGAATGGACAGCAAAGCCGGAAAAACTCAGCCAGACAACATAAGACGAATGATGGGGTGAGGACGAGACGAAGGAAGTAGGGTGTGAAGGCTTACTTAAGGAAGCCATGTTTCACAGAAGGCATGGCAGGTCAGGTACCGTCGGGGGTGAGTTAATAATACCTGCCCCAAAAGAGGACCGCGCCCTTTTGGATAGGGACAGAGGTGAGCAACGGCGCGCGCGCGAGTAGGTGCGGGCAGGTGCAAGGACAGGCAAGGAAGACTGCGATAGCGACGGTAAGACTGTAAGCGACGTGCGTTCGGTTTCGGTATTGCCGGATAAGACTGTACAGCGAGGGCTGACGGCCAGGTTGGGGGAGAAAGGGGGGTCAGGATCGCAATGTGGCTAGTCCAGTCAATAACGGAATGCCACTGCCGCAACCTGGAGTTTTACCAGTGTGCCCTTTTGATGGAAAAACTCAGGATTACATGCAAGGTTGGCGACCAATCAGCCGTACTAGCTCTGCGTTTCGTCCAGCCGTTGTCCGCCCGTGGAAGTCCAGCTGGATGGAATGAGGGCGTAAAATCTAATGGAGGTTCGGTACTTCCAGTCACTTTGTATGGGGTAAATGACTCAGCTGACAAGGGCAAAAGTAGCAACTGCAACAGATCCAAGATTCAGCGAGTGCCGCAAAGGATAAAAGGGTCCTTGGAACAAGGTATCGTGTAATACTGTCGCCTTTGATGTTGGTGCTGAAGATGAAGGAAGAGAGTTTGGACGGGGTCAGGTGAATACGTAACTCATCCGTTGTATTGGGAACAACTCTGCAGCCCAGCGCCAACATTCTGCATCCTGAGCCTAGGCGGGTAACTATGCTGGCCGCACACTCCCTAAGCCAAGGCGCTGCTGCTTAGAGTTAAAGCACTAATGAGCCTGAGCCACAGTCGAGGCCCCGACTTGTTGCATACTAGTAACTGTCTGCGCCACAATAGCCACCCAACTATTCTGTAGTAAAACACTTGCCAGCCTTTCGTCTTCTTGGAGAATCGCGAAAGGCAGGCAGGCGGTTGATGATGCCATCAAAACTGTTCAAACGTCGCATTCGGATATCTTAGAATGGCGGTCGATTGTTGGAAACTTCTCTCACTCGTATAGTTTGATGTTTCCCTTTTATCCCCTGTACGTGTTCAGACATCGTTATTCAGTGGGCCTTCCACGTCGGGGCATCTGCCGATTCCACACGACGGCTACTAGTTTGCTCTGCAGGGCGTCGAATTGCATGTGCTTAGCCTTAGCACCACCTGCTTGAAGAGTTCTCGAAAGCTCGACATAATGGCTGAAAGCCTTTGCAGCATTTACGTCCAGCTTTCTATAGACACTCGCCAGCCAATAATGCTAACGGGCGAATAACTTTGTGCTGCGGCTGGTAGTATCCAACCTCGAAGTCGCAGCTGTCGAATAATGGACAACTTTGTCGTCTGGATTACTCCATAACTACTTAGTACCCGAATTCATCACCGAGGGGTACACTCTCACCTATCCGGATAAATTGCTTTCATTGGATTGTAAAACTCATACTTTAGTTCTTGGTTTCTTGCGTTCTTCGGCTAACCCAGTTTTTGGTCACGATGTTGGCATCACCGCCCACCAGATGAAGCTTCAGCTGGGCTTCGTAGGGCGATCGAGTCTGATGATGGCCTACTATAGAAAGTCACAATCAGAGTCATAATCAGGTGCTTTGTCTTACTATTAGCACTTATGCAAGTGATCTCTCACTCATGATTCTCGGATTTAGCCTCTCCTCTTTAGCCAGCATGATCTCTATCCGTCATCACAGCCCTAAACCATACTTCATACTATTTTGGTCCTGTGGAAGCTGCAAACAAGCTTTGGGCATGAAACCTATCGCCTTACAAGCCTCTCCGATGATAAGCGAGAACATCTCGGCAAGCACCTCGAGTTCCAAAAATTGAAATTCAGGAACACGGCCTTCGAGCCAGTGATGATCCTGTTTCTCTCCCGACAGGCATGGCTCCCCTGCTTCTCAGATGCAACAATTCGGAACGATCCGAGTATTTCCCAGGATAATGCACTTTGGTCGTGTTAAAAAATCCATACGGCAGTATAACTTGCTGTCGTATTACGATGCGTCGTCCAAGACACGCTACCTGTCATCACACCCTCCAAGAGCAGGAATGAAGGGCCATTCTAGACCCTTCGCGAAACTATGAATCGCCTCATCCATCCAAGGGGAGAAAAAGGGCGGGGCAAGGGTGCGTCAAGCCCCGGAACACGCTACCCGTCACCCGCTGGCCCTCCCTCCCGTCCTAGTGACGCACTGCCAGCTCCACACCTCACTTAATACCCCAGTTCTGCCCAGGACCGAGCAAAAGAAATCCCCGAGCCGCACACGTCATACCCTCCTTCAGCCAAAACACCCCAGAGAACTATGTCATTTGTTACCCAAGAACCTGCTTTTGGAAGAGACGACGGTGGGCGGCTAGGTAGGAAGGTGGAAAAAATGAGACAACCACACACATACCAAACAGTGGCCTCGCGATCACCACGTTTAAGCGGCAAGGTACGTATCAGTGCAGATTAAGCACCATGACATGCCCGCCCCCAATCAAAATACTACGTATGAGGTGTTGCTCTCCGTTTACGTCCGAAACGAGCAATGAATCGACCAACAGGTCATCCGTAGTGGCTGGAAAGACTAACTTAAACGGGCGGCCCAAACCGTTTCTCGCACCTTAATCCATCATCGTCCGGGCGGCGCTTTCGCTCCGGACAAATGTCGTGTGGTGAGACAGTTGACCCTTTCCAGCTCATCCTTGGCAATTTAGGCCCTGCGTAGGGGTCACATTCACACTCTCTGGTCGCCTCTTCACCCTCGCTCTGCCGCATGGCTAGAACGAGATTACGATGTTATACAAAGTACGTACTCAAAGGAATGAATCGAGGGAAGGAAGGTGATGTATCACGGGGGGGGTTACCGCTTTGACGTCACTATGCGGTGTATGGCAAGTAGATCGCTGCAAACCTTTCATGCCAAGATACTTTCTCCAGATTACCAAAGGAAACGCAGGTAGGCAACTGTGTCGATAAGGTGAAATCGGTGATGGGCTTGAGTAGTAGTGGGGAGGAATGGTGTCACTGATGCATGGCTAGAAGTGATGTAAGGTGAAGGGGGATCCCTGGCTGGAGTAGACTCCGGTTGGTTCTAGTATCGAGGTCAACTGTGTATATAAAGACTTGCCCTCGTCGACCATTCACCTCACACCTACCCAATACAACAGAATCAAACAACAAACACCTTGATTAGAGATCACACTCTTAAGCCAAACACACCACTTTACACAAATTCAAACATACCACCAAACCACAAACCGCAAAAATGGGCGCCGTCGTCTCTTGCGTAAGTTGATCCTCCTAATAACTGGACCTTCCTTCTTCTGGCAAACATCGTACTGACACGTTACTCTATAGATCCAATCCGTCTTCCGCACCATCGGTAACTGCCTCACCTCTGTTATATCTGGCATCGGTGGCATTCTCCATGCCATCATCGGCGGCATCGTCTCCTTCTGCAACATCATCATCAGCTTCCTGACCTGTGGCTACTGCGGTCGCCGCGGAGGAGGACGTCGTTCTCGTCACACCACAACGACTAGAAGTCGAGTCTGAGAGAGCCCTCGTCCGCCAACATCAATGTAAAGAGCAGATGGGGGGGTAATCATCATGACTTGCGGCATGGAATTGTACGACTATTTGTATTGAGGCGGAGGATGAGTTTTCTTTTCCGACTGCGAAAGTTACTTGTGCGAGCGCAGCATCGATCAGCTTTGACAGCATACCCTAGTTTCCTTGAAGATACCCACGATACCAGGTAGCTTAGCTCATAATTGGTACTCTATTATCCAAAACATATCTTGCCTCTTGTGACATTTGTATAGTTTGATATAGTTCCTTATTACGCTCGATGGTCAATCCAAGTTTTCTATCACGACTGACCCGAATTGGTAAATATATTAGTACCATGAAATGGATAACGTACATGATAAGCGAGTGAGACAGACAAGCGAGTGAGACAGTAAACCGCGACCGTCGCACCTTGACGCGACCGGCACCTTTTCCTCTACAATAAATCATGGAATCAGCTAGTATTGAAAGAAGGTTACAAATTGCCCTTCAAGCAATGAGAAATGACCCAAAACTTAGTGCTCGGGCCGCAGGTGCACTCTATACAGTCAGTCACGCAACATTAAGCCGGCGACTAAAGGGAATAGTCTCACGACGCGACAGCATGCCTAATTCACGGAATTTATCAGATTTAGAAGAGAAGACAATAGTTGAGTATATTCTCGACCTAGATGCGCGATCATTTCCTCCCCGGCTGAGTGGTGTGGAAGAAATGGCCAATCGACTTCTCGCAGAGCGCGACGCGCCTCCAGTTGGGAAGCGCTGGGCTTCTAATTTCGTCAAGCGACAACCACAGCTTAGGACGCGTTTCTTTCGCAAGTATGACTATAAGAGAGCTCAATGCGAAGATCCAGAGGTGATTCGTGGCTGGTTTTCGCTTGTGAAGAATACAATTGCGAAGTATGGTATTGCTGATGCTGATATCTACAACTTTGATGAGACCGGCTTTATGATGGGCGTTATTGCTTCTGGAATGGTTGTTACAAGTGCTGAAAGGCGTTCAAATACGAAGATGACACAGCCTGGCAATAGGGAATGGGTTACAGTTATCCAGGCTATTAATTCCCAAGGGGAGAGCATCCCGCCATACATCATCGTTGCAGGCCAGTATCACCTCTCAAGCTGGTATACAGAAACCTCTCTTCCGGGCGATTGGGCTATTGCAACGTCTGAAAATGGATGGACAACAAACGAGAGAGGTATTGACTGGATCAGACACTTCGACATTTATACAAAACCACGTACGTCTGGGAAATATCGCCTCCTCGTTGTTGATGGTCATGAAAGTCACCACTCCGCAGCCTTCGAGCTCTTTTGTCAAGAAAACAACATTATTACACTGTGCATGCCGGCTCACTCGTCTCATCTACTTCAACCCTTAGATGTTGGTTGTTTTCAGCCGTTAAAGAATGCCTACGGTCGGCAAATTGAGAATAAGATGCGGCGAGGCACAACCCATATCTCGAAGGAAGATTTCTTTGCAGCATTTCACGAAGCTTTTAAGCAGTCTTTTACGAGGAAAAATATCCAGGGAGGTTTCCGAGGAGCTGGACTTGTCCCTTTGAATGCAGAAAGTGTTCTCTCAAAGCTGGATGTAAAGTTCCGAACGCCAACGCCTGAGGAGGGGGTCCCTCAGACACCAGACCCTTGGATCTCTAGGACGCCGAGCAACCCAAGCGAAGCAAGATCACAGTCTACTTTTATTAAGAGTCGAATCTCACGCCACCGAAGCAGCTCTCCAGCATCAATTTATAGTGCTGTGAGTAAGCTAGCCAGAGGGACAGAAGGACTAGGGCATCGGGTAGCATTACTAGAGTCAGAGGTTCAAATCCTTCGAGAGGAGAATGCAATATTAAGTCGGCGTCGAAGGGCTAAGAAAACACGTCTACAGAAAGGAGGAAGTCTTACTATATCTACTGGAGAGGATATACAGTCGCAAAGAGAGGCAGACACGCAACTACAAGAGGAAACGCGACGGAGTAGTGGTCGCAAAGTGAGGTCTGAGACGACTCATCGTCGGTGTGGCGTATGCGGGAATACAGGCCACAACGCGAGAACATGTCAATTTATTGAGGAAACATCCGAAGAACAGGAATCCGAGTAGTATTAATCAATCTAAGATTTCTTGTTATAGATTTCGATATTATTGTCGCGAAGGTCTGGTTTACTGTCTCACTCGCTTGTCTGTCTCACTCGCTTATCATGTACGTTAACCTAAATCGAGGATTTTTTTTTTTTGACATCAAATTTCATTTAAATATACGCCTGCTCTATTTCAGTCCTCTAGAACATTTCGGTTGAAGAATCCATGAATCTGCCGGCTAGCTTCCTTGCCTACCATCGGCGCTAGCTCCCTTTCGTTCAAGTTTGCAACCTCTCTCAAATTCTCTGTGGCCAGCACTACCCGCATAATGTTCTTAGGGTTAATGCCCGGCACAGCGGCCAGCATTTCTTGGGGTTCCAAATTAAACGACTGGTCCTCTGCCTTCATATCCTTGTCAAGGCCAGCGCGAACCGCGGCGATAGGGTCCGGCTCGTCCTCCTGCGCTTTAAGCGACTCGAATATCTCGGCTGTCTGGTAGGGTGACGAGGACCAGATGATGCGTAGTTTCGGGAAAGCGAGAGTAAGAAGCACAAGCTTGGATTGTAGATCCGATGAGACGTTTGTTGGCGCGATGCTATTGAAGCTGCCGGATAGGTCGGCGAAGGGTTCGAGGGTGAAGGACTTATTTTGATCGAATTCAATGAGGAGCATCGGGTTCTTGTAGTGCTGGAACATAGTCTCGGCCTGAGCGTAGAGGCGGCCGTCCTTAAAGGATGAGATGAGATCGCTGATGGACTTTCGCTCCACGCAGATGTTGGGCGAGAGGACGTAATCTCCCACTGTCAGCATGCAGGGCACAATGATCATTGATCGTCCGTGGAGTAGTGATGGTAGCGACGAGCGGAACTCTCGCACATCAACCACCACACGTGGCGGTTGTGCTGTCGCAGCGAGACGTCCGCCGCCAGCGATTCGGGTGTTGACAGTGCGTAAAAACACTTCTTGCGGATCTTCGACGCCATGGGGGTCAACTGTCATGACCAACGACATGGACGCGCGCTCTTTGATAACTTTTGTAAATGCGTCCTTTTCTCGGCGGACGCTAGAGAGATACCGTTGTTCTTCTACTGATTCGCCGTAGTATAAAAAATATACTCTGACATTTCTGTCATTGTGCGATGAACGGTAGACCTCGACTCGGCGAATGAATGCGGCGTCAGGTTCGTACATGATGATGTACCGAGGCTTCACCTCTTCCAAAACATGTTCGTCATGATCTCCATCGTATGCATGAACAACAACTAGATCTTGCATTTCATATAGTTGGAAGTAATCATCCATATCCTCCAACGGATCAGAGATTACCTCTGGCTTCTGTTCTGCCTCCTCTTCGGTGATTTGAACCTCTGCCATCAGGTCCTCCACTTCAGCTGGTCGTTCAAAGAATTGCATGATACTGCCGTTCTCAGCGCGAGTGAGCGATGTTCCCGTGGCTCCGCCGCCCCTCATGCGTCTCCGTTTGCTTGACGGCTTGCCCCTGAGCGGCTGACCTGCTCTGTCGGTAGCACCATTCAGCGCTTTCTGGTTCTCGGAAAATAGCGTCGCATTGACCTGAGCAAACTCTCGTTTCCATCGAAGGTAGTTGCGTAATTTCCTCCGCATCATAAATGCGGCTGAGGGTTGGTCCTCATCTTCATCATCCTCTGAGGGATTCTTCTCCACCTTGGGTTTGAAATGCATGGTCTGTAGATAGTCGCGAAGTTGCCGGCATGTATTGGTATCGCCACACATTATAAGAATAGTACCGTTGGAGTCATCGCGTACTGGAGGATCAAAATGCATATTGTTATCGATTTCCGTCAGTACGTCTGCCAGCCAAGCCCATTTTGGCTGCTCCTCGAGAACTGGTTTAAGTGAATCAATGTTCGCATCTGCCGTAGCAGCCTTCGAGCTGGCGGCATAGACACGTCGTCGAGCCGTCTCAAAAATCGTCTGCGCAGCGTCAAGGAACAGCCAGGGCGATTGGTTCTGTCTCGTAGAGCCCGGGGGTGGAGAATGCGCGGCATGGATCGTATCTAGATGTTGCAAGAACGAGACTGCGTCGAGTGTTAGAAGCGACGACAGCATGCCGCGGAGGACGCTTAAATCATTGACAATCTGTCGCGTCTTCCAGCTGACTCTATGCCAGTTTGGATCAAGCTGTCTCCTGATGATAACGTCGAAGTTCTTGTGCAAGGCGCTATCAAGGTTCCAGTCTTCCATTTCCAAGCCGGTGTTTCCTTTTTTCAGTTCGTGAATACTGACTTCAACGCATTCCAGCACAGCATTTTGAATATCTCGCATGGATTCGCTCATAGTGATATTCAACTCTACAACCTCTGCTGTCTTTTTACCCTCAAGCGACTGCGCCACTGTCACATGAAAGCGTGGCCATAGTGAAGCCTTCTTCAAGAAGAGATTTCTCATCATTGTGGCCAGTGGTGAAAACCCTGTAGAAAAGGGGTCAGGATTATCAGAAAAGGCTTTGAGAAAGCCAGCCTTGTTCTTTTGCCGATAAATTCTCAAGATGAAGGCTTCTAGGGATGTCGCCACTACGCGATCGGCGTGCAGAACTACCAAACCCGTGACCTTTTCAGTGTCGAGGAGATTTGTCAAAAGGTCAACGACGAGAATGCGCGAGGTAATGCTGAAAATGCCACCGCGAGTGTACATCTTTTCTCTGGCGCCAACGCTGGTGAAATCGGTGTTGACGACCGTGAGCCCCCTGGCGTTGGGAGACATGCTGATGGCGGCATGCTCGGCGAGAGCCTCACCAATCCAGTTGTTCTCGCGATCATCAGCGCCGACAAGAATAATTAGATTGTTTCCCGCTGCATCATAAGAGTGAAGTAGATTGGTGATCAGTCGCATCAATCCCAACCCACGGGCGAGCACGACCAATTCATCTTCGTTTCTCAGCTCCTGGAAGAGGTTCTGCTGGTACTCCTTGAGCGGGCATCAGCTTCATTCCTAAACACATCCAATCGAAAATCAAGAACTCACAAGGGGCAGCGAGAGTTTGACAGGCTGAGGGGCGTTGGTTGACATTGTGCATCATGGCTATCTGAGAGCCGACACGCCGGTGATAAGTATGGTGATGGGGAGATGAGAGGTGATGATGACCGGATGGGGCCAATAACCGTCGATGATGCCTGGAGATACAGTGATTGAGACTGTGCAGATGCGGCCACAGAGCTAAAAACTTTGCTGTCAACATATTCTCGCACTGTACCGCGCCTGGTTAAATAACAACCATGCGTCACATTGTGCAAGACTAATTTGTTTAACTATTTTTGAAGAAAGGGTTGTTCTACTTGATTTTCAATCTTAAGTTCTAAGCGCTATGTTTTCGACAACTATAAAGCTAAATACAAGATTTGGTAGGTTTTTGGGCGTCAGGTTCATTAACATAAGTTATTGTAGTTGTAACTATGAATTGTTAGTCCATTTGCACACGCTTTTCTCACGTCACATGGTAAAGCACCACAACTGTGGCCGTCCCAGGTACGCCATATATTGTCTTTATAGCATCATTTTACTTGGTCAGCCGGTCTCACGAGCCAAATTACACATACACGATGAGTCCACAGACTAATAACGACATCTTTCGAACAACGGCCAATATTTAGCGTTGCTCTTCCATATGTCGTCATCAACGCCAAAGGCGCTGTCAAATAAAGATGAATCCCAGACTGAATCTAGCCCACAAACCCGTGGGGTAATGGGGATTGGCCTGCTGCACCTCAGGAAAGCAGCATCTGTCAGGTTTTCGGCCATTTTCTAACACCCTAGTGGCCTCGTGGCATGCAGGCAACTCGCCAGTGACGCTCAGGAGGACATTGTCCAGTGTCTCGCCATTGTTCTGGATGGGGCGGCTACGGACGGCCAACACCTAGAACACGGTGTAGTACGTAGTCTTTGCTGTGGGAGGCCTTTTGAGTTGGCGGGGATATGCTGTCTGGTGCTGTCCAGTCACAGTTGCATAAACTGCCTCCCTCAGTAGGTGGAACGACGTCATCAGCCGTCGCAACCCTCCACGTACCATAGTGCACGCCTCAACTCACATGTAAGCCTCTGACAAGATACTTTAAAACAGCCCGTTTCCCTCCCTCTGCCTAGCCATTTATCCTGCCCAGAAAAAGATTCTCCCTCTCTACCAAGAAAACAATACCTGAAACCAAACAAACAAAAAAGACCTTCAACACATATTCACAATGGCCGACAAGGTTAAGGAACTCGTTAACAACATCACCAAGGGCGATGTAAGCCACACAAGACTCTTGCCCCCCTAAGGAGAGTATCATGCTAACCTCCGGCGAGAACTCCGACAAGGAGAAGCAATTTAGCACCCAGCCCATCGAGGAGGGCAAGAACATTGACCCCAAGTTCGCAGCCCATCAGGCGCACCCCGGCCCTGCGGTTCCCAAGGATTTCAACGCCCAGGAAGAGGGCACCAAGGAGGAGCGTCGGGCCAAGGCGGAGGCTCTGAACAAGTAAAAGAGTTGTCTTGCAGTCGACACCTTATGATGTATGATCAGAAATGATATTGTAGACTATGGGTCACGAAGACGGCAACTGAGTGGATACGGAGACATCGGAATCAGATGGCGGAAATAGTCGTAATGCTACCAATGATATCACGAATCGATTCCCACATAACGTGAGACCTTCAGAATGTCCCGGAATTTCAGAATCACGCAGATAATAAGTGAGTGTCGAAACAGTATCCGTAATTTATGCCTCCCTCTGTTTTGAGAAGCGGAGAGAAGCCTGAAAAAACAGGGGGAACACAATCTCATCGAGATGCGAGTGATGATTTGTCTGATGCTCAATTCCATCAGCCAATGCACCCTAATTCTTGGGAACCAACAAATGTTACGCTGCAGGTTGCGCGTCCCGCAATGACGACAACCTTCCTCTTACTTCCACGTGGCGGTGCAATCACTTAATGTGTGGCTGGAAACAGCACCACATGCCTTATTTGGGGAAGCTGGGGCCTTGAACCGACGCTTAAGCAGCGCCCGAGAGTGGAAATCATCCCAGCCCGCCTGCCACTGAAACGAACGACTCAGCCACCTGCGGTGGCCCAGTGCAGACGGTTACGAGTCCCGTCCTTTCCAGTCCAGTCACCTCGCTCCGCTGTAGCCTGAGTGTACCTCACCGTCCCTCCGTCCCGTCATCCCCTCGCTCAATCAGGTCCAAGTAACGTTATCCCATCGCACACACACCAAAACCTACCCGGACCTCTATCCTCGGGCGGCACAACCCTCCTCTCTCTCAGCCTTCTCAAAAGTCATTCTATGATACCCTCAGGGTTCCCCCGTTGAGTGGTGTGAGTCCACATTTCATGAAACGCCCCCGGACCCGGAAGCTCTGGCATCTTTGAGCGCAAGCTTACCACTCTCACATTAGACGCAGCTTTCTTTGGGCGCAGAACGGCTGCCTCTATTCTAGTACGCCAGCGCGGTACCGGCACTGTACTCTGCGTTGTTATTCTGCCGCGAAGTACACCATAGTACTGTAGAGTTACCTTTTCACCCCCAACACCACCAAGCGACGTCGCCCCTCGAGTGTGGCCAGGAACCTAGTCCATTCCATTGCTGAAAGCGACTGACCAGAGGAACCACCATCCCGAAAGAGGAGGTGTTTGCCCAGACACCATCGACTAAGCGCCACTTGCACTTACCTTACATACACACACACGTACGACACAAACCGCTGCGACTGCTGCTGCTGGTACTGCAACTGCTGCCTCGCCATCACGGCTGCTGCAAGCACACGACCAGTCCCATCAACTCCACCCTATCTCTATTCCACCATCAATCGACCGCACACGAACCTCGACCTCTACACTAGACAATCTCCTCCCGACGACTCCCCTCCTTGACTAACCCTCGCCGCCATCATGCCGTCGGTATTGAGCGATGACGATAAGGAGACTGTCAAGCGATTCGTCCCAAAACAAACGAACAAGATCCAAGCCGTTGCTGTTGCTAGGTTATATGTGGCCTATCCCAACCCCGCAAAATGGACGTACACGGGTATTCAGGGCGCCATCGTCTTGTCAAATGACTTGGTAGGCAACACCTACTGGCTCAAGATGGTTGATATCTCGGTAAGCTTCATGCCCCCTGTTTTGGGCTCCTCCTGGCTGACATCTCTCAAGTCTGGAAATCGAGGCGTCATCTGGGACCAGGAGATTTTCGACACGTGGAACTATAATCAAGACAGAACCTACTTCCATACCTTTGAAATCGAAGAATGTCTCGCCGGATTATCGTTCGTTGACGAGAAGGAAGCGAAGCAATTCAAGAAGAAGATGGACGATAGGGAAAAGAACGCAAGTAGAGCCACGAGATCAACTCCGTTCGGAGGAGCCGCACAACCTGCTGCCCACAAACACGGCCTGCTTGGAGGACTTTTCGGCAGCCGGCATGCCTCGGCCCCCACCCCTCCTGATTCGCCGCGATCCAATCTGCCTCATGGCCGAATGCCATCCATTGGGAGTGCAAATGGTCATAAGCCTTCGGAATTCCCTGTCCTTGATGCTTTTGACCCTCAGTGGAGGGAGAACTTTGGGCAAGACCTGCGAGACAAAGGCTTGACCGACGAATTTATTAAGGAAAATCAAGAGTTCATTGTCGATTTCTTGAAGGAGGAACAGGAGAAGTTGATGTCAGGACCACGAAGCCACGTCCCGCCCCCACCGCCGCCGGCACCGGCACCTCAATCAAACGGTATCGAGCCAAGAAACGCGAGGGCTCCTCCTCCACCACCACCTCCTGGTGGAAGTCACTCAGATGGTCCACGGGCGCCGCCTCCACCGCCGGCTCCTCGACGAGGTGCTGCGCCTGCTCCTCCACCAGCTAGGAGATCTGGTAAAACGGAGCCCCCGGCTGTCCATAGGGAACCGACTCCGCCGACCGAACCTGCTGCGCCAGAGCCTCCCAAGAATCGATTTGCTGTACCACCACCGTTGCCAGATGCTGGCAAGCTGGCCCACGCATTGGGAGGTTCTGTTAACTCCATTCGTGGACCCGCAAATCCTGGGCCGCCTCCGCCTCCCCGGCCACCGAAGACGCCAATGCAGGAAGAAGAAAGACCTGCCGGTCAGAAGTTTGGATTGCCTCCGGCTTTCCCTGGCTCCAGACCACCACCGACACCGAGCCGTGGACCAGTTCCCCCTCCTCCTCCGCCCCGAGCAGATGCTGGTCCGCCACCTGCTCTCCCTCCCAAGACCCCGGCAAACGAGCCACCTCCATTACCGCCGCCGTCTTCGCGACCCGTGCCGCCTCCTCCTGCTACGGGTATTCCTCCGCCTCCCCCGCCTCCTCCGCCTTTCCCAGCGTCGCATGCTCCTCCCCCACCGCCGCTGCCCTCATCGAGCGCTCCTCCCCCCCCACCACTACCTACCTCTCCGCCGCCTTTGCCATCATCCAACGCGCCACCTCCTCCGCCGTTACCTGCATCAAACGCTCCTCCTGCCCCGCCTCCACCTCCTCCAGGCGCCGGTGCGCCTCCGCCTCCACCACCCCCACCACCAGCGAGCTTGGGCGGACCTCCACCGCCGCCTCCCATGCCGAACCGAGACTCCGGATACTCCTCCGGCGTTCCGGCTCCCGCTCCTGATGCTGGGCGTTCTGCCATGCTGGGCGACATCCAAAAGGCTGGTGGTATCAAGGCATTGAAGAAGGTTGACAGAAGCCAAATTCGAGACAGAAGTGGTGCTACAGTTGGTGGCAGCAGCGATACTGGTCCGCATGGTAGTGGCTTACCTCCAGCTGGTGTTTCGTCAGGTGGTGGCGGTGACATGGCAAATGCCCTCGCCGCAGCACTGCAGAAGAGAAAGGAGAAAGTTAGCAGAAGTGGTAAGTTGAAGGAACTATGCATGTTTCGAGCGCTGTGGCTAACTCTTTGAGTAGATGATGAAAGAAGTGACAACGACGACTGGTGAGCGATCAAACATAAGCAGCTCGAGAATGTGGACACGCCGCTTGGAAGCGACTTGCCCTGTCCGTAAGGTTCTTCAAATAGACTGGGCATATTTGCTGAGGCATTCAATTCTTGCTATCCTTGGCGATAGCTGCACGATTAGGGACGAGATGGATAATTGCTAGTGGCGTCTGTTTAGTACCTACGAAGTAGCGGTATGGAGCAGACGGACACCAGCAACCAGGGACTGGCAGAATGGCACGAAACGGATCAGCTTTCTTATAAGCGCGTTAGCCACATGTAAGAAGAGATTGAGATCAAAAACATTAAAAGTCTTCAAACCGAACAGTATACTATAACTGTGATTCACAATAAAGAATCATTTGGAAGTCAGGTATATATGAACATTGAAAAGTGGCCCGAAGACCAAATGCCAATAATTCAATTAGTCGAAACATAAGGAAATAGTTCTATCATCTTCATACTCCGACGAGCCATGACGTCTCTCCCACCATGGCCGTCCAACGCACCGCCCTAGACACCTTGACTGTCGCGGAATCCAGCAGCTGACGCAAAGGTTGGCTACTGGATTTGAGAGAGAAGACAGCATTCCCAACTTCTTTGGTCTTGCAGCAGAAGACCGCCTGAAGAGGGAGGTTTCGGGGGCTCCACTCTGACGCGCATAGAAAAAAAACACACGGGAGCGAACGCGTGCGTTTTAGATGTCGTCAATGTCAACGTCCTTCTTGCCACCGGCGCCGGCCTCGTCCTCGCTCTCCTCGGACTCGCGGTCGTCGTCGAACTCGAAGTTGCAGTCACCATCGCCGTCGGCACCGTAGGTGTCGGTCTCGTTGATCTTTGCGGACTCGGGAAGCTCGCCGTAGGCCTTCAGAGAACGGGCCTCATCGGCAGTGTACTTGAGGATGACGTCGCCCTTGTCGTCCTGGTACTCACGCAGGGAAAGGAGGATAATGTCGCCCTGGTTGATCCAAACCTTCTTGCGGAGCTTGCCACGAATGTTGGCGAGACGCTTGACGCCGTCGAAGCACTGAGCCTCAAGACGGCCGTTACCGAGCATCTTTACGACCTGGGCATATTCTGAAGATGTGTTAGTTATGTTTTGAGATATTTCTATGGCTTTCGAGAGAGGGCGGCGATTGTGTTGACGGATGCCGTCGGTAGTGACGGAATTTTCATGTACGAATTCTGTTCGTATCGACCTCTCCGAAACAAAGGGGAAGTGTAGCACTGACCTTGGCCATCTTCCTTGAAGGTGAGCTCACGCTTCTCGTGGTCGGACTCGTTCTTGCCACGTCTGCGGTTCTTTCCTCCCTGTGTGGTTGTTAGTTCATGATCAACAACTTCTCCATCAACAATAACATCATGATCGGTGTGCGTAGCCTTCAAATGGCAAGGAGGGGGCGGGGTTGTTGGCGGGTCCGACTAAACAGGGGAGGTGGATGTTTTTTTTTTCTCCCCTCCCTTGGGCGACATCATTATAAGATTATTGAATAACTGACCTTTCCCTTGTTCTTAGGCATTTTGACTCTCGAGAATACCTGTTCTGAGGTTTGATAGAGGAGGGGGGTGGGAGAGTGGAAGTGTCGAAGGTCGAGGAGTGGGAAGGGAAAGAGTGTGGGCGGTGATGTTGGCGGGCTTTATTGTGCGCGAGCGCAAAAAAATGGGCTTTGGGCTGGTGCACCCAGTTGCCTTACCTGTGCAGTGATTTAATGGGTAATGGGAGGGCGCTTGCTGGGACCACTGGATCTGGGCTGCTGGAGGGGCGAATGATGCAGGCTGGTTTTCCTGTAAGAAAGTGGTACCGGTATGAGTCAAGTGGGCCTGGTTGCGGGGCCGCACCGAATGCACTGTGGCTCGGTTCACGGAGTTTGGTGAAAAAGTAAGCCACAGCAGATGCATTGCATGTATGATATGTATGATGCACACAGCCCACCACTGCAAACCCCCCAAAATATGGTCCGGGCTTTAATCTTACGTAATCTTCGATTCTGAGGGGAGCTCCAAGCTACCGCGACCTCATTGTGTTCGCTACCAATCTTCTTGTTCGTGATAGGTCTCTGAACTTCGACTTTGCCTTCCGGAGGATCTGTTCCCCGGCTCATTTTACCCTCCTTTACTTTGTCATGGGTCTTCAGTGACTCCGCGCTAGTTATTCTCCGGGCCATGACACCGAGCTAAGCACCGACTCATAACATACATGCCGTGAGGCATGACTATTCTTTCGGTGCCGTCCAAACCATGGCGATGATCCCGGTACCGCTACGAAATGTGAGTCGCACATTCCGGCGACTGCCGGCGGTGACGGCGACAGCACCATTCATTAGCTTTATGCCTTTTGTTCGATATTCTGATTTCCCACGAAAAGCTGCACACAAAGTGGCTAGTCAGTTCACGCCTCCAGCCTTCAATGCGTCTCGCCTCAACATTCTGTATCCGTTGAATTCAGATGTTTCGGAGAAGACGCTCCCCGCGTATACCGAAGCTATGTTCAAGCGATTAGATATCCACTCGGCACACGAAAAAGGCGTATACACCAAAGTTCCTATACCCAGGCATCTCTCAGCTGGGAAATACTTTTACTCGAAATTTACAGCACGTCATGTTGTCGAGCAGTTTGACATGCCGGCTTTTGCCCAATCGCTTGGAGAGCATCCGAGGGCGGTCGTAAGAGAGCACTACTACGAAAAGAAGAAGAAGAACGAGCCGCTATGGCAGTGGTTCCATGGAAGCCATGCCTTTGGAAGCGCAGGCCTTGTCATTCATTCCGGTGGCAAATTTATCAAGGCAGTCAGGAAAGCACTATACACCAGGGGATACGGTATACATGGGCGAAGACTTGGGAAAAGTTTGTTGGGGGCATCATCTTCGAGGAAGGACGATGGCTTGCGAGGCACACTTCTGTTCTACGCCTTGAAACCCCTAGAACTCAAAACTCAAGTTACAATGAAGGAGATTCAGGAAGCGGTCGACTTTTGTATCGACTACTTCATTCTTAAGACCCGACAGGAGAGCGGGAAGCAGGTCCCGGGGAAAGTTGCGCACCCCAGCAGCATGTCGAGACGGGCGGCCAAAAGGGAGATGGCACTGCCCGATCCAAGCTTAAGAGGATTGGTTTATCGACCTTGGCTAAGGAAGGAGGATATGCTTCCACAAGGACATGAGTTCCCACAGAAGAAAGCAGTCGACCGCTTGTGTAATCAGCAAGAGTCGACCGAACAGCAGCGCTCGCTCCACGTCCACGGGAAGTTGAAGGTTAACAGCAGGCACAAGAGGGCAGGCTCCTTAGAAGGGCATCCACCCTTTAATCCTGCCAAAGACGATGGATTGCCCATGATGAGGCAATCGAATCAAAAGAAACCCACTAAAAGAGCAGTAGCAAAGAGGGAAAGATCGGAATAGCGACAACTTCCCTTAAGGCCAGATTAAGCAATGACTGGCAAGTCAAGGGATTGAAGCCCTTGCCTTTGCTGAAGTAACGCTGGCGTGAAAGACTTGTACAACTACAAGCGGTATTCAATACCCAGTGTACCAATATATATATCTTTGATACCCAATGCATAAAGAAGGTAGGTCAAATAAGTAAATACTTGTATCGTGATCCTTTTTGCCTCTGCATTTTGTAGAACACCACAGTAGTATAGATCTCTCTGGGTCAATCCTTGAGAATGTTATCCCAAGTACGGACTGCAGAGAGCCAAGAGGTATAGCTAATTGGCTAGGCTAATTGCGATATACAAACACCGTTTGATTAGACAAAGGCACACAGCCCAGGTGAAATAACATGAATTGCTGGAGCCGTTGAACGATGGAAACACGGAAGGAATCAAAGGGCGAAGCATAGGGCAGGGTACGTACCTGCACACCTTGAGGACGGGCGGCTCGTTCCCAGGCTTGCCAGGAGAGGACATGGCGACGAATCACATTGCTAGCGCAGAGCTGTCAGCCGAAACGTTCTGGAGCTGCCAACCTGGTAATTAACTGAAGTGCGTTGCATCTCTGACCCAGCATATGTGTCTCGGTCTTGCGAACACGCTACACAACGGACCCAAATTGTCTTCCGCACTGCACGAAGTCATCGTGAGCTTGAGCTCGAACCGCGACAGCAGCAGTGACGAAACCAACTCTCAAACTGCACAATTGATTCGGCTGCAACCCAGGCAGATTACGTATCGTTTTGGAGACATTAGGCCAACCCCCTCAACACTAGCAAGCACCTGCCCACGATGCTAGTCTCCCTGACTGTCGGCAAGGTCGACGCCGGCGTCACGGTTCTCCTGACTCCCGATAAGCGCCTGGTATGTCAAAATCGACTCCCATCTCTCTCTGGCGATGAGCTACGGAGCTCTCCAAAGGGAGTAGTGACGTCTACCAGCTCCCGATCCACCTAAGCCAAGCCTTCCCCTTGACATCCCTATACTAATCTTGAGCTTCCCAGATCGAGTTTCCCTCCATCCTGCTTCCTCCCAACATCTCCTCCGGCAGTATCGTTGACATTACCGTCTCCCGCAACCTAGGCTCTGAGTCCAAGACCGAGCATGCCTTCCGTGAGCTCCAGGACCGTATTTACTCGGCCTTCGGCGCCTCCGCGCCGGCGACGCCCGTCCTCCGCTGCCGCAATGCCACCCAAACATCTGTCGTCCTCGAGTGGGATCCTATTGAGCTGGCCACCGCCGACCTCATTTCCCTCTCTCTCTATCGCAACGGCCAAAAAGCCGGCAACATCCCCCGACCCCTGCAGATGCACAGCACCAAGATCAGTGGCTTGGCTGTCGACACTGACTACACTTTCCACCTCGTGCTGCGTACTACGGCCGGCACATTTTCATCAGACAAGGTCGTCGTCCGTACGCACAAGATGACGGACCTGAGCGGCATCACCATCACCACGGGCATCATGCCAGCAGCCACCCGAGAAGCGCTGACAGCCGCCGTCGATCGTATCGGCGCCAAGATCGTCGACTCCGTTCGCATCGACACGACGCACTTTGTAACCACCGAAGGCCGTGGACTTGCGTGGGAGAAGGCTGTTGAGACAAACATCCCCGTCGTACGACCTGAGTGGGTCGAGGCCTGTGAGAAGAACGGGCGCATTCTGGGTGTCACCAAGTTCTACCTCGACGCCCTCAGACCAGGCCCTTCGAGCGACGACCTCCAGCAGGCACCAACGCCACCGCAACAGCAGCAGACTCCTCAGACGCAAAAGGAGCTGCCTTCACCCCCTGTTGCGAACTCCCCTGAGAATGGTGACGCTTCGTCTGCTAAATCCCCCGAGGGGGCCGAGAAGCCCCCCGCTCCAAGGGCAGAGGATGAGCAACCAACGCCCGGCGACGAGGAGAAGGAGGCCGAGCAGAAGAGAATTGCCGATCAGGAAGAGCAAAAGGTGCGATTGGAAGATAAGGACGAGCAGAACCTGGCGCACCGACCGAAGGAGGAAAACGACTCGGGCAGCGAGAATGGTAAAGGCGACGAAGACAACCCCAATGAGAAGCCAGGAACTTCTCCTGACGGAGCGTCATTCCAAGACGTTGCTTTGTAAATCAGCCGAGGATGGAGATGGGTTGGGGGAGGCTAAAAGGCAGCAAAAGTGATTGCAGTCCTTCCACAGCACGGAGTTACCAGAGGAGAAGTCTTGGTTTCATGTACAACTAGCAGCCTTTTCTTCATGACAATTATAGAGTAAGTTGCACAGATTTTTTGACAGTGAAGCCGGCATCTATGGTGTCTTCTCCTACGTTTCCCCCCTCTTCCACTATGCCAGGTTATCTCTTCTCACGGCAAAATCTCCTTGCCTTGCCAATCCCAGCACCTTCCCCGTCCATCAAGCCCAACCTCTTTAGTGAGCACACTACACATCCTCTCCACGGCATACTCCGGCTCGAACAGTTGGCCTTTGGGCACTGTGCTCCAAAACGCCTCACTGAGCCCCGTCTTGACGGTGCCAGGGTGATACGCCACGGCCATCGCCTTGTCACCGCTCCTCGCGCCCAGCCAGAGGTCCAGGCTCTTTGCGAGGCTCGTCACGCCTGCCTTGGACGCGCGGTAGCTGTACCACCCGCCCTTGCGGTTATCAGACGTGCTGCCCACGCGCGCCGACATGGCCGCCCACACCGCGTGCCGCGCGAGCCCTTGCTCGTTTTGCAGGGGGACCGACTTGCGCGGGAGGAAGTCGCAAAAGTGCTTCATCAGTAGCATCTGGCCTAGGGTGTTGACCTTGAACGTCTCGAGCGCCTTGTCGTACTCGACCTGCGCCAGGGACTTCTCCGGGTGCAGGATCCCGGGGATGGCGAGCGCAAGGCGTAGGTGGTGCGAGTCCGTGGGGAACAGGGCCCGCGCTTCCTCCGCCGCCGCCTCAACCGTGGATTCGTCCGTCACGTCGACGCGTACGACCTTCAACCGCGGCGCGAGGTCCTCGGCTTCCGGCAGGGAGTCGAGTATGTGCTGCTTCGCGGCGGTGTTGTCAGCGCGGGATGTCGCGAGGATCGGGGCGGTGGTCGTCCGGAGGAGATATCTGGTCAGGTGGCGGCCTATGCCGCGGCTTGATGGAGATACGAAGATCCAAGGGCGGGACATTGTCATCTTTTGCTTTTCTCTGCTTTTTCTCTCGGGGCGACGGTCTGACTTTCTTTCTTCTTTCTTTCTTTTCTCTTTTTTTTTTTTTATGTTTATTTTTACTTCTCGGCAGTTCTAAACTGAGGCGTCACGACTGAGACGGAGCATTCGGGAATATATGGCCCAGGGGGGTGATGGTTCATGTTCAGGTTAATGGGACTCGGGCGTTCAGTAGAGAGGCCGGGATTTTTGAACGTTGACCATTGAGAACGAGATCCATATCAATTCCTTGTAAAAGAAAAAAAGTCACCATGTTCTAATTGAGTTTCAAGACGGCCCAAGTCGAAGACATCATGACTTTGAGAATATTGGGGCTCCCCGATTCCACTGTCCCTCAGGTAACGGGGCATAACGACGTCATTGGTCGAGAATGTTCAGATCCGCGTTCCTGCCCCCCTCCCCCTCCAACGACGACGCACACACATTACACACGTCTGTTCTCGATCGGATCTGCGAACGGGCCAAACTGAGATTTCATATCGGGGATTAAAAAGCGCACGTTTTGATCACTATTTTCAGATCGGCATGTCCAAGCGGGCAGGGTCAATGTTTGAAGAAACTGCTTCCTCATCAATTTGAGATGCGTCTGCGTCCGGCAGCGCTAAAAGAAAGGTAGGGGGGGTAGCCTCAGTCATGAGAGACGGATAAGTTACAAAAACACGCCGCGAGATTCTCGTCGTTTCCCGGACACGGGTGGGGGACTGTTTTTCCCCAATAAAAAGCCTTCCAGACAAATGAAAGAGAAAGAAAGAAAAAAGAAAAAGGGAAAGGAATGATTCCTCGTCAAACGCTAACCCCGCCGGTTTGAGATTGCGGTACCCTGGATATCGCCACGTACAGGAAGCAGAATGAAATGATATAAGAAATGAAAAGGGCATACCCTCGTTGCGAATATTAGACCTCCGTTCTAAATCATGTTGTAGGCATAATCGTTCGGACCACCGGGCTGCGGCGTCTGGATCCTCTCCGTCCGGTTTAGCTCCTGGCTAAGCCGCGCCGCGAGCTGCAGCTCCCTTATCAGTGGCTCCATGGCATCCAGCCCGCCGTGTGGGACGAGAGACGGGAGGTTGGAGACGTGGTGCTGGGGTCGTCCTGTACCTATCCTGCGTGATCGCGGGGTATCGTGTGAGGACGACGGGCGTTGCGACCTGTTCTGGTCGCGCTCGTAGTAGTCGCCATCAAAGTCTACAAAGACGTCTTCACCGTCCACAATCCGGCGGCGAGGCCGTTGGGAGGGCTCTGACTGGTGTTGTTGGTGTTGTGGTCTGTTTTGCAGGCGGCCTGTTCTGCGCACCCGCACCTCATGCCGGGCGTCGCTGCTGAAGCGCTGCTCTTCGTATATAAAGTCGCCTTCGTCCAAAGGCCAGTCAGCAGGGCGATGGGCCAGGAAAGGAGAGGCTGGGAGACTTCGAAGTTCGTTCATGCAGCGTTCAAGGCGGTCGATGAAGGCCATCTGGTTCCTTTCCTGTTGATGCATGCGCAGCTCGAGGCGCTCCTGATTGAGGAGCATCTCGTGCGCGAGGTTGTTGACTCTTGCGCTGCGGAGCATCGCGTAGTGGTTCCGCAACTCACGGGAGGACATGGAAAGGAGACCGAGAGGGTCATCCTCGCGCGACCTGCTTCTAGGCCGTAGAGTTGCCGTCTCATCCGTGTCACCATCGTCTGTCGAAGAGTCCTGTCTCTGCAGGGCGGTTTCCTCACCATCGCCCCGTGAGGTGTGCATGAGTTGTGAGTTCGTGTTACCGGCTGGGTGCTGCCGATTGAGCAAAGCTGAGGGTTGTTCAGATATCTGGTTTCTCGCGAACGGCGGGTGTGACACTTCAAGTACCGTCATTGGTGAGTTGAGAGTCGAGGCCGACCACCTCTCTTCAAAGGGGCCGCTTGGCACAACCTCTGCAACGGGCATAATGGCACTCAACCTCGGCCCAGAGCCAGGTTTAGGAAACGCCGCGATGCTGCCGGCGATGGACCGGTCCGTGAAGTCAATTGGGGCTCCACCGAGTTGGATGTCCGGGTCGATTAAGCTTGAACGGGGTGAAGTCAGACGGTCTGAGTCGACTTGAGAAAGCGTGGCAGAGTCGGCCCGCGACAGCCTGGTTGGAAGCGAGGTCGATGAGTAACTGCCAATCGCCTGTCCGATCTGCGTCAAGCTCTCATCTGACAGTGCAAAACTGCCTATCCTGTCCAACAGCGGGACTGAGCTTGCCCAGCTAGTACGGTGATAACTTAACCACCGGCGGGGAGGCTCGGAGCTGGCGGTGCTGTCCCTGGCCAGGTTCTTGTCAAACATGCTTGCAGCGGAATCGGCGGCAGCCATGGTTTCATTGAGAAGGTTAGTATTTGACCAGTCCGAAGATGGTGAGCCCTCCTGTGCAGTCTCCCATCCGGGCGTTAACTCTTCTCGCGCGGTCTCCCAGCCTGGTGTCTCAACTTCTTGTTTGGCTTGCCAGTTTGAGATTTTGGTCGAGGTTCTGTTGGAGCCGTGGCTTGAATTAGTCTCTTGGGACTTGGTCATGTTGGCTAAATTAGACACAGAGAGTTTGGTGTCAATGCCAAAGGCATGGATGTTATCTGTAGCCCCAAAGGTGCCGTCACGAGAAGGTAGACGAAGCGAGCTCATATCCGTCTCACACGTCCGTGGCCTCGGAGTAATCTCACCATCCTCCTGTTGCTGCATCTGTTTTGTCAGAGCCCTCAAGGCCTCCATGTCCCGCTGCTTGAGGGACTTGACGTGGTCTTTGCGACTTTTTCGCGAGGCAGCAGTCCTTGTGGAAGGGTTACGTGAAGCAAGGGACTCGTTCACCAGCGTGGTTTGAGCCGTATCACTGCTACCGGGTCTAGCGGCAAAGTTCTGCCTTGGCGGTATTGAATCTGTGTCCTGAAGAACAATCGATGCGGTTGAGTAAGCTTTTGCGGACCGGGCACTTGAGATGACCAGTTCTGATAGCTCTGTCGTTGAAATGCTCGGGGTGATGGATGGCGCTTCCGAGAAGCCTGGGCTGAGCTGAGGAGTATCAGAGGTCGCGCTTCGACGCTTCGTAGCACCTCCAATCATGCCGTCGATGGACCTTTGTTGGTTTGATGAAGTCTCTGTTTTCGGCCTTACGATCTTGACACTGGATCTTCGAAGTGGGAGTGTAATATTATCCGGTCGTTTTGAGGACTGCTTGACTTTCGGTTTATGTTGATTTGGGATACGTGGCGGGGCAATCAGGTCTGTCTGAGACTCAAGCCAACAATTCTTTTCAAGCGTGTCGTCGGGGCTTTGAGGCATGATGACCGGTGAAGCCGGAAGCTCTGCGTATTGCGGTGGCGGGAGAGGTAATCTATCTCGTCTCCTTCTAGAAACGCTCGATGGTTTCCCCCTTAAGCTTCCGGGTGGTGTCGAATACGGTGTCTTGGGTGGACTTGGCGGACGGGGATTGATTTTGGGCCAAATCGATACTGACCCTTTGGTCCCTTTGGAAGTTCGCTGCGATTTCGTGCTCATGGTGTTGATGGTGTTCAGAGTCGAAATGGAGCCTCTCTCGCTGACTGCCTTTAAAACAGTGACGGTGCGTTCCGTAGCATAAGGCCTAGGATGGCCGTTGTTCTCATCAACTTCCCCTCGGGGGGGAAGGTTAGGGGGAAGCGGCGGCGTGGCATTGAAGACGGCTAGTGCCCAATCTGAATCTGGTCCTACGTGACAGTACTCCAGCGGGATCGAAATTGCGATATGTGAGTTCCCGCTGGCGGTCTTGGACGCAACGGCAGAGTTGGGAAGCCCGGCAGTTCGAGGTCGGCGGTTAGGCGACTCAGATCTAGTGCGGACGCGCGGGCGGCGCAGCTTCTTGAACAGCCTCCATCTGTCTGGCTCTTCCTCCTGGGGCTCGGTATCGTCGTCGAAAACAGACCGCTCGGGGAACTCAGGCGGCGGTGCAGTCGTCCTGAGGAAGTCGATGAGGTCCGCCATACCTTCTCTATCGTTGTTCTCCCTGGCACGAGCGCGGACCGCGCCCCATTCTGAGTCGGTGTCCGCGGTATCTATCCTACTGAGAGCTTGCGCAAAGAGGTCGTTGGATGATCTTGACGTGCGAGGGAATAACCCACCACGATCTCCATCGCTGCTGAAACTGCTGAAAGTTCCTCTGCGACCTCTGGTGAGAGCCAGGTCCAGCCGAGGAGGACCCGAGTCAGATGAGACGACCATTACCTCGCTCTGTCTGCTGACATTACTCTCGTGGATGACCATATCGTCAATAAGAGGTCCTTGGATATGAAAAACGGTTCCTGGATGACATGCCCGAGTAGCTGGCCAGTGTAGCGGAAATTTCAACGTCCAGGAGGGAGTTTCAAGTTGAATTGAGTCCGTACATCTGTGGTTGTAGCGATTCCAACCAGCGACTCGCCTGCGGCGCAGCAAGTAAGGGTGGATAGTACGGGACAATCGGCGACACCCTTTGGTGCAATGGGATGATGATCACGCAACAAGAAACGAGAAAGGCCAGTCGTGCTTAGTATTCGCGGTTCCCAAAAAAGACGTTACGCGTAGAGAAATGGGTAAAGCAATATAAAAGGAAGGGCAGGTGAGGGAAGAGGAAAGGGTGGGACGGGGAGAGGGGAAACGAAATATCAGGGTTCGTGGAACTATCACTCCAGAGGGGCTCTCTTCTCCCGCTCTCGAGCGCAGAATGACGGACGACAGGGATCGATATATGTTCTGGGCTCGACGTCCCTCTGGGCGACCGTTGGGACGAAGAAAAGGCGGGAGGGGAGGCAGACGGCGGCAGACGGAGACAGTGGAAGCGTCAAACCATCGCCGGGAGGCGTCCGTGCAAAATGATTGGAACGAGGGGCTAGGGCACTCAGGGCTTGCGCCATGGTCGGGCTCCAGGAAAGCAAGAGAACAGACATGGACGCACCAAGGGACCAGTTTAGACAGATCAAGGGAGGGTGAAGGCGTCGTCACTAAGGGTTTTGGGCTGGCATCTAGGGGCTCGGGCGGAGGGTGGGCTCATGGCGCTGAGACTCGGGGTTGGGATAGCTTCGTTCAATTTACAATGGCAATTTTCTTTTTTCTTCTTGGCCTGACGGAAAGAAACAAAACGTCCACGAGTTTTCAAAGACATTGGCAACCTTGCCTTTGGTCTTGGCTCCGAGAAGGATGGAAGAAGAATGAGGGATGACCAAGGAAAACACCCCAGTGACAACCGCCACAATGGGGTTCCATGTTTCTTTTGCCGGCGCCTTGCAGACCGAGCTCGACCAGTAGTGCCGTATCAGTGTCACTTGAGAGACAGGAATTCTGGTTGAGACGGGTAGTGGAGGGGAGGATGAGGGATATGTAAAAGGCCGAAGCTGTTATGGGCTATGGCGTTCATCGACGACAATGGAAAAAGTGACTGGCTGTGTGATGGGAAAGCAGCAAGGCCTGATCTCGGAGCATTTTGATGCCGTGCGGCCAGTAGGAGCGGTAGTCTAGCATGGTGACTGCCGCGGAAATTGCTTTTTTCCCCCTTTCTCCTCTCTCTCTCTCTCTCTCTCTCTCTCTCTCTCTCTCTCTCTCTCTCTCTCTCTCTCTCTCTTTCAGTTGTTCCGCTGTGCTGCCGTAGAAGGAGGACGGGGAGCCAATACTATGAAGGGAAGACACGGTGCGCAGTGCAGTCAAGTCGAGGAAGCTGGCCTGCAAGAGGACGGAGAAAAAAAAATAAAGAAAAAAAGAGATCCAGCCAGTTTGGCGTGGGTCGGACAAGGACATGGCCAGTTGAGTGCGTCTTCGGTTGCGAGGATCAAGGAGACAGAGTAAAAGAGAAACTGCGGGAGAAATGGTGGTCATGTCAGTGGTTGGTTGATGGCACCAGGAAGCTGGGTGGCCCCAGCAAGGGACTTGCGGTAGGGATGTTACGCAATGGCAGGCCAGCAGCATGCATGCAGCGGCACGATACGATGAGATTTGCTGCACCTGGTGTTTGCCTTGATGTGCTGCAGGGGTTCGACATACATGCGCAAGCTGTGTTTAATTTGCTAGTGAGGTACCAGGGACGGTTACAGGCAGCAAGAAGGTTGTCACCCGTCACATTATCTGCTTCTCTTACACACTCACTCTCACTCTCTTACTTCTTATGTATCTCATTGACATCAGCCTTCTTTGCCAACTCATACGAAGAAAGCTAGTTAGTGACTGCTACCTTTCTGCTATCCAATAACAACCTTTGAGCACATGTTTGCCTGTCTGACTAAGTAGGAACTTCTTCATCTGGGCTTGCTGTTGATCGGCCCGGATCATCCTTTGAGAACCTGTTATACCGAGAGAGAAAAAAAAAAGAAAAAAAAAAGAAAAAAAAAGAAAAAAAAAAAGGAGAAAAACCCAAAACTCGGCAAGGACTGATGCGACTGATTCGAAGCGAGCTAGAAGAGGTGGCTGAAGGGTCGCCAACTCAACTTCATGTTCAGCCGCGGGAGTTGGCAGGACACTGTGGCTTGTTTTGGCCCTGTCATTTCTGTCAGAATGATCCTCCATAACCAGGCCAAAATCACCGAGAGAATAGAGACTGGAGTGTAGCTGTTTCGAGTCACGTCTTGTTGGACAAAAAAAACTGGCTTGCCCCAAGGAGTGGAAGTACATAGTAAGACTAATGGGAAGAGAAAAAAAATAGGTGTGACGTCGGCTATTCTTTCGGATGTGTTGCTGCCGCGACGATCCCCTTTCTCTCGTCGTGTGTCGCGTCTACCAGTAGCACATTACGTAAAATGCCTTTAATTTCCAGAATCATAGTTTGGTGTCTCATCGAATAATAGTCTGAATGTCCTATTGGGGGACTTGACTACCCATTTACACACGTAGCGCCTGTGTTGGTCGGGGCGGAATTGCACGAATCTTGGCTCCGGCTTGGTCCCCGGTACCGCGTACCCGAGCCGCGAGGACGACGTCGTGTAATTCTACTAATCCTTCCATTTGAGGAGCAAAGTTCGGTTGGATGGAGCCTTGTAAGGTTGAGTAGACAGTCCGCGTACCTCACCATGTCAGGTACATCATGGGAGCGGGTCTTCCACTAACAAATTTGCATTGCAAACAGTCAACACTGGCCGTTCCATCTACAACGCCGTCAACGGGCTCAAGCATTAGCGCCATCTTGGCCCTGCACCCTTCAGGTCCAGCACACAGGGAGTGAGCTAAGGAGTACTCCGCGCCCGCGCTCTCTCTTACACACACACACTGTCTCTCTCTGTCTGTCATCTTTGGCTTTCTCTTTTATTCAACTGAGTGCTCATTTCCACCCACCAATGCTCACCTCTTCGCACTTGTATGTGTATTTTATGCCAATGAGAGTTGAGCTCATCCGACAGACGCGACGCGCAACCCCAGGCCAGATCCTGTAAATTAGTGCCGACTTTCTTACTGCTTAGCTCAAGTCATATAGACTTCCATTCCAAGGCTGAACTAAACTACCTTGCTCCCTACACCATCATGATGGATCTGATAGATGATTGTTCTGTGAAGTCCCCCGAGGGCCTTGCCCCTACCCTGTCCTGTCAATGCCCGGTCCATGTCCTATGCTGAAGCTTTACCTCTGCCGATGTTGCGCTTTGCTGCATTGCACCACTGACGACCCATGCACAAACCGCCGCAGTGCGCATCCCGCTCGCTAAAGTTATCCCAAGTTCCCGTCCGTCGTCACCCGGACGGATCCCCGGCGGGCTTCTCCCTGCTCTCCCATCCTTCCCCGTTCCCCACCATCCACCCTCCCGGCTTCTTCCCCATCCACCACGAACCTCATCCTTCCCTCCCCACCCTTTCTTTCTATCCCTCTCTTCATATCCAGTCCTGTGTCACCGACGGCATTTCCACAGACACTTTAGTAGTCAGATCGCTTGCTAGATCGTGATCGTGATCTTGATGCTACTGCGAGGTGATATTCATAGTACACAATCCGACGAGAAACCTGCCAACCCAAACTTTCAGCTCCACCATTCCCTATCCCTTTGACCCCTTTGACCCTCACGTCCTACCCTCGTCTCGCCTCGCCTCCCCGACACTGATCTCTTCTCCTTGTGCTCCTCGTCCTCGTCCTCGTGATCTCCTTCTTCTCCACCTTCTTCGTTTTTTCCTCCCCACTATCTTCGTCTTAACTCTAAGCACTCTCGGCCCGCGTAACGCTCGCGCACACCCTTTTCTCGCCTCCGTCAATGTCTCTCCTCCTTTCCAGCGAGCGACCAAGGCCGAAACAGGGCCACCTCCCAAACAAGGAATTTTCACGCGCACCTCCGTGGAAGCCGAACCGAATCTGTCCGACACCAACAGTCAAGCCACTGCCAAACAGAAGAGACACTTGATTTAAAAGACCAAGACATGGTGGGCATGGATGCTCAGCTTTGCGATGCGTGCCATCACGACCGAACTTGGACTAACTCTGCAGCCGAACAGGGAGCACCCCATACCCCCCTCCGCTTGCTCCTTACCCATCCATGAGCTCCCCCTGGTTCGTTCCATCATCATCGAGCGAGGTGTGACACCCGACAATACCTTCGGATGAAGGAGTGTGTGTGACATGTGTCTTCTCTATGCGTAGTCGTAGTAATTCTTCCTTCCTCCATCTTTCTCCCTCCTAATCATGGCCTCTGACATATTTTTTTGCGCCGATGCTAGCATACCATACATAGCTCTCACATTCGCAAAGTGAATCACTCTTCTTAGACCCAAATCTCAAGACAACATATTTTTTTTTTCCCGCCAATCTGGATTCGCCGAAACAATATAACGAAAATAAAACATTACGTGACCCAAAATCCGACTCTCTGGACTTGGGGCCAGAATTTTTTCACCTCGTAAAACATTTCAATTCATTGACTCTCCTCATTCTCGTCTCCGCCTCCATTTTTTTTTTTTTCCTTTTCGGCGGCGAGACTCTTTCCACCTTCGATCCATCAAGACATAGACATGCCGAAGAAAGGAAAGAAAGAAAGAAAAAAACGCCATGTGGTGTGCCGCCCCTGCGGTAACCTTCTTTCTTCCGCCCGTCAGAATTTCTTCTGTTTCTTCTCACCCTTTTTATTTTTTTATTTTTATTTTAAACCCTTCTTCCCTTCCTCTCCAATTCCGCGCCCCGTTGACGATAGATGATGAATCACGCGCCCCCCCTTCTCCTCCACCCTCTCCCCAAAGAAAATCCGATAGAACAGCCTACACATTCCGGCTCGCCCTCGGACAGACACGGCCAGCCACAGCGCCGTCAGACCCTGCAAAAGTTTCAAACCATATCCCGACCACTCATGAAGTTAACCGGCCTAGCCGCAGTCGACCCTGGCTTGCCCTATCGCTCTTGGTGACTGGACCATTTATACATGAGGCGGCGGAGAAAAGAGGGCTTCGCACCATATTGCCGATATATGCGATAAATGACACAACTCATATTCGAGCCCAGTCTCACTAGATCCCGTTTTACATGGGAACGACAGGTATTCGTAGATTTCCCCCATGCCTGCTGGCTGGTGAGAGGCTAACTCCATCCCCGCCTTTTCTCAAAAGGAACCGATGATCAAAACGGCTCGGCTTGCACCACCAACAGCCACGCGACTCATAATTGAATTAAGCCTCGGCGTCACGAATGTCTCGTCTGCTGCAGCATGTCTTGGTCCAACCGGGGCCTATTCCGCCTATCTTGACCAAAGACAGCTTAGGGTAGAAGCACATCTCCATCTTTCTCAGGACTTCCTTACCCATGCCTTTTCTTGGGAGGTTTTTTTTTTTTTTTTCTTTGTTCATCTGCTTCTGCACGTCGTTGTGAGCTTGCGGGATCTCTCTACACCCGTCCAGAAACACACAGTTTCCGAGAAGCCCTTGCCTCATCTACTCGTCCCAAAAGATATCTATGGTAGCTCGTATGTCCCAGAACGAAGGTTGCACCATGGGTGCACGGGATACTATCCCCGGCTTCCTCGTTTGTCGCCTCATCAATCGTCACGTACTGTAGCGCCATGCCATACCATGCCATGCCACTACCGTCTTCCATCTCTCTTCTTGCTAAAACATATAAGGTATCCTGTAGTCGTACACTAATAATGCCTCCTCAGCTGTGTCTTTATAATGTGCCACGCTAGGACTCAACCCCTCCTGCCTAGCTCTCAACCTTATGCGCAATCCATGGCTAGCCCAAAGATCGAGAGGTGACACCTGTCGCCGTCGCAAATGCCATTTGCCCCCCTTGCCTAGACCTGTAACGCCAGGGAGCTCGTATTGCCCCCTCTCTCTGATGCAAAAGCCCTGTCCAAACCCTGTCCTGTATCGAAACTACTATACAAACCAAGAAGCATCGTGCGTGAGCACTCTCTTAGCGTCTCGGGGGCTTCCTCTGAATGAAGGGGTCTGCCTTCGCTTTCTTTCTGTGAATGATAGGTCCGTTCTGTCCGGGAGGCTACCTAAAAGTTAGCGGTGCCAAAGAACCATGAGGCGTTTCTTTTCTTACTCTCGGTGGCAAGTTGCGGTTGGGGACCGTTGACGAACTCGAAGAGGGCATGTTCAGATTCGATTCCGTCGGCGCTGGCGGTCGTGCAGCTGGTGTCAGACCGAGAGCTACCATAGCAGAAGGATCCTTCGCCTGTCTCGGTTCCTTCGGTGTGCTATTCATTGCCTTTGGCCCGGTCGGTGGTTGCCTGCCAGAAGGCCGATTCTGCTCCGTTGTCATCTGTGATTGGGTTAGATATAGAAAAGGACGCAAGTACAAAACCGACACTGTTTGTGTTGTAACTACATACCCTCTTTGGCACACGCTGTGCATCGTTAACATCCGATGGCCTCTTTTTAGATTCCGGCTTTGGTGCAGATGATTGGATAATGGGAGGTCGGTCTGAGTTCCGGGAGATAACGGGCTGTGCTTCGCCTCTCTCGTTGATTCGCTCAATGCGATTACCACCTTCCCAAGATCCTGGACGGCGTTCGGTGACGGCGTTGTTGGCCGGAAGCTGCTGTTGTGGAGGCGCAACTCCATTTCGGGCATAGGGAGGCAATGGCGCCGAATCTTTCATTCCAGTTCCTTTGCTAGGAGTTTGCTGAGCTTTGGAATCAGCGCCTCTAGATGTAGAGTCGCTTGGAAGTGCGGGCTTCGCTGGGGCAGGTAGTGGCTGCATTGAGCTTGGTTTGCGGAGCATCGATAGAATATCTCCCTTGGTGTAGAGGTTTCTTTCTCTTGCATTCTCGATGAGCTTGCTCCAAAATTCTCCTTGGACGAGCGCCCTCGAATCTCCCAAAATCCAGAGTGATGACTTTGCACGCGTCAGACCGACGTTCATACGTCTGATATCTTGCATGAAACCAATACCGCCGGTTGGACTGGCTCGAACACAAGAAAAGATGATGATTTCACACTCTCGACCTTGGAAGGCATCAGTTGTGTTGAATTCGATCTCATCAGTGATACCTTCTCCATATTGACGTCCAAATTGGTACCGGAGCTCTTGCAGCTGGGCCTTATAAGGAGTGATGATGCCGATTTTGCCACGAATATCCGTCTGCCTTCCAAAGTCCGCCCGGAACCTTTCGTATAGTTGCATAGCAACTTTCAGTTCCGCATGGTTGACCAAAGAACGGCCCTTGTTGCCCTTTTCCTGGGAACCCTCAACATCGAAGAAACGGTAAGGGCCGAGGAGAGCGCTGGCGTGCCATGGCTGGCGACGAAGGTCACTCATATCGTCTCCGTCAACGAGTTTGCCTTCATAGAACTCCGAACTAGGGAACTTGCTGATCTCTGGGTGCATACGGTACTGTCGATCGAGCATGTGGATAAAATCGGGATGGTTGCGCTGCATTCGAACGAACAAACTTTGGTCATAACCGAACCTGGCAGCGGATTGAGAGAGAACCGTTGGCGGCAATTGCTTCGGATCACCAACAAGAATACATTTGGTGCAGCCGTACTTGAGCGGAATCAAAGCGCTGAGTTCCACACACTGCGCGGCCTCGTCGATGATGACTGTCTCGAACTCAACGTTCAAGTTCTTGAACATTTCGTGGCCACTACCACTCAGTGTGGCGCAAAGTACCTGTGCTCCATCCAATATCTCCTGTTGAATCTGACGACGACGAATTTCGGCTTCGCGAGTCGCCGTGTTACCGCTCGCCTTGTCCTCATCGATCTTCGCACCGATATTAATTTGAGCACGTCTCAACTGGTCAACTGATCTTTGCAATGCTTGCGATAGATTACGGTCACCGTTTGCTCGAGCCTCATCTAGCCGAGGTCGGAGAACTGCAAGCTCGTCTCTGATCTTGGCAGCATCGTTGTGCATCTTGTCGCGTTCTTCCTTGGCTTTGTTGCCAGTGTTGTCTCCTTCCAGCCGTTTTTTGACAAGCTCGTCGAGAGTAACGTCTCGAACTGCTGCATTAATAGCATCACTTCTACCCAAACGAAGAACATTGATCTTGTGGAATGATCCCGTCATTGTCTTCACACCCTGCTTCAGACGCAACACGAGCTCATCGACTGCAGCGTTACTCGGCGCGCACACCAAAAGCTTCTTGGGCATAGCGTTTTGGTTGGCTTGGCCAGGAAGCTTAGGTTTGATGGCTGTTCCTAAAGGCTGGATGTTGCCAGTGAGCAACGAGCCTACCATGGCCACGATTGTCTTTGTCTTGCCTGTTCCCGGAGGTCTGTCCATCGTTAGCATTTATCAAGGAATACGGATAAGATATCTTACCCCTGGATGAGAGTAAAGCCGTCATTGTCCTTCGCGCCAAGGATAGCCTTAGCCTGACCAGTATTAAGCTGGTAGTTCTGCATCACGCTTTCGACGGCCTCGTCGCTATACTTCAAGATAGGTGATGGCTCGGCTCTCAAGACTTCGAGCATAAGGTCGTAATACTGCAGACTCTCTAGGGCTGCGTACTCTCTCTCTATGGTCGTCATGTTGGTGATTTTGACAGCCTGGAGTTCAGACCCAACACCTAGAGCATTCGCCGCTAGCAAGGGGTTATTCTTGCTGTTCAGGCGATATGTCACTTCAAGTCTGTCCTTTTTATAGCTGGTTTTCCAGATTCTCGCCAGGGCATGGGCATCAGAACTATCAGTTAGAGGGTTGGAGCCCTTCGACAGAAGGATAATGTCTCCTTCTGACAGCATCCTCTCCTTGTTCTCCGCAATAGGGACACTAGCTGTTACTTCAAGAAATTTATCAACGCTCATGCGTGAGGCGATCTTCAGCCCATATGTTTTGGATGTCGTCTCATCTTTTGCAGTCGCAAATGATCGCCAAGCTTCGGAGATTAGGAGACCTAAGAAAGTCTGCTTATACTCCTGAGGGTGAGCATAAGAGTCGGCGACTCGCGTGCAAGCAATCGACCCAGACGTAGATGGAGGGTCGTTACCCTCATGGAAAATATCCCACTCCAAAATAGCCTGGTGTAGCTGATCCATAGGTGGGATCAAACGAGCACGCATGTCTTTGGCTGAGCGTTGCACCTTTACCTTCTTGACCGGACCGCGAGTCTTTTCAAGCAATGCCCGCTCGCGACGTCTGGTAGCTTCATCAACAGCCTTCTTGCCTTGTTGTCCCTTGTTGATGAGATTGTCAAGATCCTCATCATCAGAATCATCTTCGTCTTCCTCATCGCTGTCGACCAAAATCTGGCTTTTCTGTGGGGTATGTTCTTTTCCAACGACACCACCAAGGCCCTTCAACCCCGATCCCTCGCCAGCTACGAGTGGGCCTCGGAGAGCCTTTGCCTTGGCAATCATTTCGGCGTCTCTCTTAGCTTTTTCCGCCTTAGCCTTCTTCCTCGACTCAATGAGAGCATTCTTCGATGCTAGGGATACAGCGGGGTCAGGCCTAGATTTCAGTGCAGTCAACGTTGGCCTAGGAACACTTGGCTGGGGTTTTTGGCGAGCGGCCATTCTGTCCAGAATTGAGCGGTTCTTATCGACTGAGCTGCTGAGCTCAAGAACATCATCCTTGTTTGTTCGATTGCTCTGAGGTGTAAATGCTCCAGATTTCGACCACGCATCAAGGGAGCTCTGCTTCTTCGGCTTCTCTGACTTGGGAGCTGCACTGATTTGAATGATTTCGACATCGTCATCTTCTCCCAAAGCCTTGAGCAGCTCCGCTCGCTGCTGGTCACTGAGGTTGGTACTTATAGGGTACCTGCCGTTTGCAGCCTTGATGCAGGAGTCTTGGACGAAAGCCTTTGGTTCGGTCGGAATCTCGAGGTCGTTCTCGCGGAGTCTGTTGAGAAGCTTGGCAACAACTTTGACTGTTACCTCGACTAAATACAAGTCCCTCAGCCGCAACATCCGAACTATGCCATTCAAATGACGCTGTGGCTCCTTAAGGAGCATTTGCATTTTGGTCAGTTCTTTGCCTGATGGCTGGACTGGACCTTCTCGCAGAGCCGAAGCAAACAGGCCATCCTGTGCTAACATAGCGTCTGCAAGTTCGATAACGTCTCGACAGAAATCTTGCATCACCTGTATCTCAACCTGATGAGACCAAGCCCCAGTAGATTGGAATGCCATCTCTATGTACTTCCAATGAGTGATCCACCATAGAGAGACTGCATTCGACTCGCCCTGATCCAGAGTTCTGGAACGGAGTATGCCGTTTGACAAATCGCTGAGGCCTTTGAGAACATCTTTGGCGGTGTTGATGATGTGACGTGCAGGTCCCCAGGCCAAGTTCGAAGGCTCCAAGATCTTTCGCGTCGCAAAAATCATTGAAGAACAAGTGGTACTGAGGTGGCGTTCCAATAATGCTGTCATCGCATCCGATCGGGAAGAGGTTTCAGTAATGGTTTTGATGAGCTCAGAGCTTGCACTACTAATGTCGTCTTCTCCATGGACAGTGAAAGCGATGATGGGGCGAATGGAATGGCCTCCAAGGCATAACTGGTTCAACTCTGGCACGGTAAACTCGCAAAGACGCTGCATAACCCTTCCCAGAACTTCCGCAATCTTAGCGAACCTCACGTTGAAGTCCTGTCTTGCCTTGTCAAGCTTTTCTGGCTCTTTTCTCGGAGGGCGGAACCTCTCAACATTGATAAGGGGGGCCATTGCCACCAACATAGTCTTTGCTAGAGTGGACTGGCCACTATAGAGATCGTCGAGAAACCCATCCCACAGATCGGCCGAGTTACGAGTGACCGCCGTCTGGATAGCTGCATGATCGTTCTTACGGAGTTCAAAATGCTCTTCCGCAGTAACTCGAGAATCCAAAGCCAAGGCAGCACTGATGACGCTCATCGCAGCCTTGGGCACGCCAAGAGTGTGCTGGTCTTGACTCTTCGTCTGCGCCCCATCCTTGATAACGTCAATGTGCTTGAGTGTCACATTCAAAATAGAGTTAATGTAGACAGATGTTGTACCGGAAATGACGTTGACTGAGGGGTCCAGAAATGACCGCAGGACATGTTCAAGGGCATCTAAGCCAGCTCGGATACAAGCTGCTCTTCCCTGTTCTCCTATGCTGGTGTCGAGTATCACTTGCTCGAAGAGAAGATGAAGCAGCTGCTCACAGGCATCACTTTTCTGATTGCGATTGAGGGACTGAATCCAGGTGTTGATCCACGAAGTTGTAACTGACTCCACATCTTCTTGGCCAGTGCCGTCAGAAGACTGAATGGCAAATGTCAATGATTGTGCGAGGAGTTGCTTGAAGATGCGCGATCCCAGGACGTGTTCCACGACGACGAATGGTCGCGCGTCGCCAATAGTATCCCAAAAGGCTTGCCGGGATGTTTGCAGTAGGGCTGTCAAGGCCTGGATGACCAGCAACAAGATAGCCTCTGATTCGCACTGCATATGTGCGAAAAGCAGATCGTAAAGTGATGGTTTGACTTCCATGCCGCGGATGCCATGCAGGACAAGCTTTTCATCCAGAGCCTTGAGAATCCAATTGATCGCTCTCCAAAAGCGTTCAATCTCAGGGAGGTTGACAGCAGCGTCTCGATTAAGTTGCGCGACGGACTGGATCGCCTGCGCCAAGTTGTCATGGACGGCCCAGTCAAATTGCTCCTGTGTCAATGACTTTGGCCGCAGTCGCTCCCAAGACTTCTCGGCAAACTGCAGCCGGGTCTTGTCTTCGCCAAACAGAAATTGTGTCATTGCGGGAAGCAACACATTGTCGCCCAGCTTCAGAGGTTTTTTGCCCGAGAGGCGGACAAAAACGTATTGGAATAGCTGTCTCTTCTCCGGCACACTGACGTAGGCCATGCAGCAGAGAGCCTCATAGACAGTAAGAAGGACAGCACCCTGATCTTCGCCAAGATCCGCCCTCGAGAAGACACGTCCTGCACCTTCCACCTCCTCGATGATTTTCTTGGCCCATTCAAGACCCTTATCTATGCGATCGAAGTCGAATCTATGAAGACAATTTTCGATACCGGCGACGGCATCTTCTGGCCATTTTCTAATCGTTAGTTAGCATAGTGCTCGAACTCGACAGGGTTGGTAGTCAAAGCTTACTCGGAAAAGATCCGGAGGTATTTTTTGCGGTACATATGCCAATTCAAGACGCATTTGTCGCAATTGTGAAGATTAATGGCCATTCGATTTCCCCATTCTACCAGCCAGACGCCGGCCTTGTCCTTTCCATAAGCAAGCAGAAGGCTTGTCCAGTAAGCGATATCGAGTCGCTTCTTCCAGTCCTCCACTCGCTCCTTCTTTTCAAGGGCCGTTATCTCCTCGCCGGGAGATTCCAGGTCATCATAGTCCTCAAAGTCATCTTCGTGGACTTTTGGACAGAGAAGATGAACGTCTGGGGGTATTTGGCCAAACTTGCGAAAGTTTTCCTCGAGGATATCCTCGACTGGTTGTGACTCCATTTTATCGCAGGGCTGGTAACAGTTGAGGCATATCGTGGAGGCAACACTTCCGACTACTCTGTTTGGTAAGTGGTGCAGAGACGTTGGGAAGTATGGTGGTGGATGAGGTGAGAGAGTGTCGGTGGGTGGGATGTGAGGAAAGAGGTCAGGAATCGGAGATAGAGGCCGCCGCCGCCGCCACTATAGCCTGAGAGCAAGTCGGCAAGAGCGAGATGCGGATATATAGGGCAACTATCGGCGAGCCACAACGGGAGAAGGCACAAGTCGCAAAGGGTGCTGCGTTGGCTAGGTAGTCGTCGAGTCGATAGACGGATTGGTGGCCTTCGGTCGGTTGAAGGAGAAGGGGAGGAACAGAAGGGAAAGAAGGACCTTGTTCGCCAGCCAAGGTTAAAGTGAGAACTGGTCGATCTCCTGGTCGTAAGGGGCAGCGAAACAGGGTCGTCAGTTGTTGTGGAAAGAGGAAAGATATCCACGATCCGGAGGGCGGTGATTGCTGGGGGAAAAGAGGGCATCGGCTTCCAAATTGAAGTGGGCTGCAAAAAGTGCAGTAACACGCTCTGGCCCGGCTAAGACGCGGCCTGGCGTCGAAATTCCATTAAAGCGCATCAACCGTGTCGACAGGGGTGGTAGCGTGAGCCATTGAGTAGCCAGTCTCTTTTCTAGGTTACGTCAGGTACACTGGGCCGATGTTGAAGGAGGTGCTCAGTATGTGTACCACTAACGCTTGCACTGTGACTGTTAGCACAGACCACATCTTAAAATTCACCTCGGCAAGAAACCGTCTGGCGCCTTTCAGTCAGCAAGCATAGGGCTTTCTTCACAACCTCAACCCTTTGTTGACTAGGCATGTCCGACAGATGGGCTCGTATTCAATGAATGGCAATCTTCTTTCACTATGTCAGCTTTGATTTTGAGGGCAGGCCCTCTTCACAAGAAGTGTAAAGTTGTCATCCGTTTGATAAGTGCGAATCGCCGACAATATATCCTTTGATTGGTCAGTCTAAGCACCTAAGCTATTACATGTCTCGCCCGTTTGGCAAGTCGTTTGAAAATGGAAAATCCCCTAATTGATGCCGGCTTTTTTCGTCCGCGGGAGCTATAGATATGATACGCGATGTTGTTCACTAAAATGCCAGTTAGTGGGAGTGAGCTTGCTAGAAAACATCGGAAACTGTACGCCTAAGCTGTCAAGTGTCAGGTACCTTATTGATGCCTCAAACTGCCCCAGTCTTTATGTAGCTACTCCATATAAGTCTCATGGTTCGATCTCAAAACTTGAGTGTCGCTGTAGCTTGTAATTCGGACCTTCTTTTTTATTTAGCCCTTTTCAACATCCGCCACCACCGACATCTATTCGAGTTTGCGTCCCGTCCTAGGCGGGTGGCAGGCTTTTGTAACTCGCTGGGACCCGTTACAAAGTGTAAAATGGTTTGTCTGGGCTTCGCTCTCTTACCAACCCCCACTCCAACTACTACCGCTGTTCTGTTTTTTTTGTTGGCTTGGGTGCTGATGGTGTGAATGTTGGAAGTGGCTAAGAGACGTCTGGGTCAGCCTTAGCAGTCTTGTCGCCTTCTTCCCCGGTAATTTGGCCCTGGTTTGGGACCCCTTCCCCATCAGTCGTCGTCTCGACTGTATCTTCGGCATCGACTCCCTTGATAGACGTGTTGGAAGCCTCCAATTTAACGTTTCTCTTCGTCTTGAGAGTTATAATCTTTGTCGTCTTCGACTCTGCCTTGGTTTTGCGCTTGTCGAAGCGGTCCAGTAGATGCTCAAGAGGGCAAGTAGCATTGACCCATTCCTTAGTTCCTTCTACGGTGATACTCCGACAGCGCTCACAGGTTTTCCCATGCTGAATAAAAAGCTGATGAAGTCCATACTTGAGATGGTCCGGTACTCGAAGTTCGCAGTGCATATATGTCTCGTCCCTAGAAGCTCCCCGAGGAACCCAGCCTAACCACTTGCACATTCGCCAGACGTGGGTATCGACAGCAAAGCTGGGCTGTTGAAGGCAGAACAAGACAAGGCATGACGCTGTTTTGATACCAATGCCAGGGTACTTGGTAAATTCGAGCATGGCTTCACCCGGGGTCATACAACGAATATGGTCCAGTGTCAGTATGCCGTTTTCAATTTTTGAAATCTGATGATCCTTCTGCCCTTGAGTCAGTCGTGCCCCGCCAAGAACATCTTCTGCCTCTCCAGTCTGCTTTTCCTTAGCAAACGCCTCTCTTCTTATCTGGTTCTCTTCGTACACCCTGTCGAGTATTTCTTTGATCTCTTTGCTTTTAGTCAGGGCCAATCCAGCACTTCTGATAGACTTCATGATATCTTCCTTTGAGGAAAGCCGCACCTTGTTCCAATCAATGGCTCCAGCTCCGATGCCATCTCTGTCAAGCTGGCCGTATATGGAGATGACGTCTTGGATAGCTCTGTTGGCGTTGATCATGGCAGTGTGTCCGCTGATCAATGTTCGTATCATAGCATCGACGAGGTCTGGAACTTCTCCACATCCTGCGATATCTGTGGAAGGTGGAGGTATTTTGCCGGGAGACCTGAATTCGCCATGCAGTTGAGTTAGTATGTCGTGAACCTCTTGGCACTGTGCTACAGTTGGGCTGTTATGGCTTGGATAAGGGGTTCGGCCAGGCATTAAGCCATATGGGTTGTCTTTTGTCCGTCTTGGTGTGTGCTTCGCCTTTTTGACCATCACATCAACACCTTGGTCAGGCTCATTTTCCCCCCTGATTTGCCTGCCTCTGGCCGTGATTATTTTGTTGTTATTATTGTTGGGAGTCTGGTGCTTCTGCCCATGATCAACAGGATTGTGTATGCTTCCCAGGCCGTGAGGAAGGTCTTGTGTGCCGTGACACGCTTGTGATGATATCTGCTCTTTTTCTCTCTTTACGCGCTTCTTGCCGTCGGTTTTCTCCCTTTCAAGTGATATTGTAGTGTCGGCTAGTCGCTTTGTTCCAGTTTGCATAGGTTTTCCTTGATTCTCCTCAAGCTGGAGTGCAGTCTCTGCTGCGAGTTTTGCCTGAGATCGAGTCCTCATGGTGTGGCAAAATCGTTTTGGAAGAGGTTTTTGCAACGAGTGGTATCAACTGCACGTAATATCAACGATAAATTTTAAGGAAGTGAGAGTGAACTTAGACAAAGATCAAATGGAGGTTGGAGGTTGAGGGAAGCGTGCAAGAATTTGTGCCAGTCAATCACGAAACGGTGAGTTCTTTCCTTCTTTATCAGAAACACCCACTTTCCAAAGGACTGAAATTTCCCATTGTGTTAATCAAGTGATAGTATTGTTGCAGAAGGCAAGAGCGAAGGTGACATGTAAAATGGGTATCTCGTGGCTTCTTGTCAGGCCTGAATTCCTCTCCAGTCTTGGCCTACAGAACTTGCATGAGTTAAGCTTGTTGTATAACATAGTACACTTTTTCGGGGACAATAACTTGTTAATATTTCCTTAATATTTTGCCTTAGGCTTAGGTAGCAGTAGTGGGTGCCATACTTGGATATCATTGAATTTTTAACTTATGCAATCAGTAATGAACTGGGAGTTGCGCTCAACGGGCAGGCAACACATTTTTCAATCTCCTCGGTCACATAATCCCGATGAACGAGTCATAGTATCCTGAGTGCTCAGCTCGTCACGATCGATCTCATTGTTAATCCCAGGTATCATCAAGTATTTGCTATCTGCACTCCTTTCAAGAGCACCCTGCTGTCGTGATTTTGCCGTATTGGTGACTCACATGCAGTTGTAGTTGTTTTCTTTCGAAATAGTTTGTCTCTTGTATCCATGGTGGACATTTGTTCATAAATACAAATTAACTGTGGCAGTCAATGCTGCCCCGGCGCAAAGATGTGGATTGTAGTAACATGTCGCTGTCAGTGAGTGATCCTGAGGGGAAACTCTCAGCTGACCTTTATCACGCTCACAACAAATAAATTACAGGTCCAAGTGCCAAAGCAGAAATAAAAACTTGAAAGAAACAAAAAAGTCATTACAGTAAGTTCACTCCAGCTTTCATAGTCCTTCCCTTCTTGTATTTCATCCATTGCCATCGTCTCTTGAAGCTCCCGCTTTTACCTCACAAGCCTCTTCTTACATTCTCTTCTTCAACTCTTTCACTCCCAATCCTCCTCTACGACACCAACAGAACTGGATTTTTTCTTATTCTAGCCACGAATCCGAGTTGGTTTTTGTATTGACTTTTGCCTCGTATCTTCCGTTCTTTCCGTAACAACATCAACTTCCCAGCATTCTCTTCTCAACGCAAGCCCAGATTCGCCCCCTCACTTCAATTTTGGGCTCTTAGGAGGCTAGGAAACTGTTTTCTGTATCGAGACTCATTTGTCCGAAGGAAACAGCTCCTGTTTAACACAACAGCAGGAACGGCCTGGTTGCTCTCCGGAGGTGCCGTTGTCATTAGGTTCGTTCTTTTCTACCACGGCCCATACCTGAATCTTCAGGTGTTTAGCTCTCTTCCTAACTCTACCTATTTTCTACAGTATCTATGAACTAAATCATCATAAGTCAGGCTAATTCGGAGCGATGGGCGACTTGTATGCAGGCGGAAGCCCGCAAAACGCAATCGATCTGGAATACGACGAGTCAATATACTCTGCCGCAGACCGAGAGGTTGCTGATCTTAATCGACAAATCCACAATTATCGGCGCCAAAAACGCAGGTCATTCACTGTAGCAAGTGAATGGATAGATGAAGCACGAGATGAAGAAATCGCTTGCCGGGAGTTAGCCGACCTGATAGACCTAACGGTCGACGACGAGCCGATATTTGTCCGGCAATCTCGAAAGCAACACAGCCTGCCTGGCATCCAGGTCCCAGAGAAGCAGTACATGAAATATGAACGAAATGGAAAGCTTCCTATCAGAGTGAACAAGCTCTATGAGCTTAAGTCTACTAAGCTTCCAAATTCCAACCTTTGTCTTGGCTTCATTTTGGTCACATCCATTACCCAAGATTTGCACACTCGACATGTCAAAGTCTGTGGAACACCGTTCTATAGGTCGAGAGCACTGATGGGGAAGCTGCCCCGAAAGCTGAATGAAATCTATGCGCTTTACGAGTTGGAAGAGGATGACAGCCGCCCGCCAGAGCAGCAGGCTCAAATTGAGGTTTCACTTACGGATCTTTTGAAGCCTCGAACGCTGCATCTGACTAACGCACCTTACCCGAAACACAGGTATGAGCGAAGCATATTCACTTCCTTGAAGGCCATTCAAGAGGATGGCCCGCTGGTTTGCCGATGGCGATATATCTTATACTATCGCGGTTCGAAGGAGAAGTTGCTGCGCAAACCCCATCATTGGACATTGGAGCGTATAAACGCTAATGATGTTCGACATGCATATCTTCTTGTTGAGGAAGACGCTCTCAGGGCGGAGTGGAGAGGTGAAACTATCCTTGGAGGCTCGTATACTAGCATGGTGCCAGGCAGCAACAACAACAACAATAACAGTGAACAAAAGTATACAGTTGTCGACGCGTTCTCTGGTGCTGGCGGTTTCTCGCGCGGGGCAGAACGGTCTAGGCTACATATCAAGTGTGCAATCGATCACTGGGACAAGGCTTGTAACACTTACAGGCTCAACTTTCCTACCACTGAACTATTTCAAATGTCGGTAGATGAGTTTTTGCTTGTCCACGATGATATTCCCCTACGCGCCGACATACTCCATCTATCTCCGCCATGCCAGACATGGTCACCTGCTCACACTATTCCTGGAAAAAACGATGAAGCGAACATTGCGGCTCTCTTTGCATGCCGCAGTTTGGTCGAAAAAGTACGACCACGCATTTTCACTCTCGAGCAAACATTTGGGATCCTACAGAGTTGCCACGACCCTTTCTTCAGTTGCCTCGTGGGGGGCTTTACGGAACTAGGATATTCTGTTTCGTGGAAAATCGTGCATCTGCAAACCTGGGGCTTACCACAAGTGCGCAAGAGATTGATCATGATTGGAGCATGCCCAGGAGAACAGTTACCTCCGTTTCCCAGCGCAACACACTCTGAGGCAGGAGCCGACGGCCTCTCAAGATACGTTACGGCCAGGCAGTCACTGAGCAGGATCAACGGTGATTTATACAACCACGAGCCCGAAGAGCCAAGGGACGTCCTTCCGAACGGCTCAGTTATATGCGAACCCGACAAGATCTTGCCACGATGCATCACATGTTCAGGCGGTCAAAACTTTCATTGGGATCTCCGACCCTTTACACCTCGAGAGTTTGCTTGTCTGCAGGGGTTCCCAACGTGGCACAAGTTCGCAGGCGAATCATGTCTGAAAAAACAGATTGGCAACGCATTTCCGCCGTGTGTTGTTCGACTTCTCTGTGAACACATAAAGAACTGGTTACTAGAACGTGACGGTCTTGCTTCTTCGAGGATGTCAAGAGCCAGTCGCGAAAACCAAGAGTTGATTTTAGTGTCAGCAACCCCTTCGCCTCCGCCTCCGGTTCTTCCTTCGAGAATAAGCGGTAACTCTTCAGAAAATGCCATTGTCGTCTTTGAAGATGAGGTTCAGTGTGAAATTAAGTATGATTTTGATTCGGACACAGAGATGGGCGATGTCCTAGACGTACCAGACTCACCTCGATCAGCAACCTTGTCGTTGGGGACACCCGAGCCTCTCCCAATCGGATACTTCAAACAATCAGCCATCGTAATCGACTAGAGAAATGGCGAAGTACATTTTCCGCAGAGAGAATACGCCTAGTGATATGAATTGCTTTTTTCCCTTTGTCATCTGTGGCTTTGAGGGTGGATGATTTCAATTTGTGGGTGACTGTCATCGGAGAATCAAACATCTTCTGATGTCTTCCTGATGTTTGACATGAAGGTTGAAAAGGGCGTTGGTGGGAGAAATATAATGGTCTAGCTGGTATGGGTGGGGGTTGGGCACATCACTGTCATACCGAATGATCCAGACATTATTTGTGGGTGGCAGGCCTCGCCGGCCCGTCACGTGGGCTGACGGCCGCCACCACTGGTCTTAGCCAGCCTCCACAGCCCTCTAGCCAGTTAGTTAGTTCTTCCAACCAACAACACCACTTTTCCCATTCTGAGCGTTCTGTGCTGGTTTCGCCCACAGGTTATGAGCCCAGCGTTATTCTTTCGGAATAACGTCGTTTTACCCATTATTCTACTCGTCTGTCAATTTTCTATTGATTCACGAATTTTTGCGATTTTATTCGCTTTATTTACCCTTCTGTGCGATTTTCTCGCTTTCTTTCCTTCCTCTTCGCTGACGAATTTCACTTTCTGACGCGACATTGGCTGCCTGGCGCGCACGAATATCACGTGGCACGCGACCGACCACCACAACCCACTGGTTTTCACGAACACCACGGTCAACAACAGACTTTTCAGTCACAACTACAACTTTTACTTCGATTCCTCGTTTTTCACGAGAATTCAACCATTTCAGCTTCGGTTTTTCGAACCAGCCCATCAGTTTCTCGTATCTTCTACGAGTATTCATTCTTCCCTTCGATTCACCGTATTTCTACGGTCGGATCTCACAATTCCACCCATTTCTCGTGTTCTTACGCAAGATTCTCCCTCCTACACAATCCAACAGCACGCGTAGGTGGCAGCGAAAGTAAGCCATCTAACGTACAGACACGCCTCCAAAGCTGCGGCCTCGGAGAAACGCCTGTGATCGAGGTGCGACTATAAGTCTGTCCCGCACTGTTGTGATACCCTCACTTTCACTTCAAGATGTCTCAAAACGACTTCAAGACCGTCTTCACGCCTCTTCCTCGCCTGAAAGGTGAATCCAACTGGAACACATGGCGCATGCTTGTTACAGCGACCCTGCGAGGATACGACTTCGAGATATTCCTCGAGACTGACGTCCCTCGCCCTGCTGACCCTATCGCTGCAGAGGAATGGAGAAAGAACCGTAACGTCACGAATGGTCTCCTCATGAACGCCAGCGAATCGGTTCTTGACAGACTCTGCACAGCGGGTTGGGTTGACGATGGAAACCCTTACGAATTGTGGCAGGCGCTCGAGAAGCACATTCCGAGAATCTCACAAGACGCCACAGCTGCCCTTGTTGACGAGTTTGCCAAGACCACCGCCAACGATCACAAGACTCTTCACGATGCCCTCAATCGCTGTCACCACCTCAGAAAGCGTATTGAGACCATTCACGGTCGTCTGCCAGACTCCTTCCTCGCTGTTTTCCTCCTTAACTTCTTTAAGGACCGACTTCCCGATACGTACAAGCATTTCACATCGAAGGGCGCCACCCATCCCACGTGGAATGAGGTGGCTGATACGATTTACACGCTTGCCCAAGACGAGGATCAAAAGCGCAGTTATGCCACTATTCGCAACACACCTGGAGGCAAGTCTGCTGGCAGTGGGGGTCCTGCCTCTCCAGCCGTCACCACCACCGTCACCTCCACTGTCACTGCCTCCAAGGAAAAGAAGAAGTGCGACCACTGCAACTGTGATCACGAGACCACAAAGTGCTATGTCGCCCACCCCAATCTCATCCCTCTACACTACGTCAACCGGGATAAGTTGATTGAAAAAGCGAGAAAGCACGTGTGTGGCGATCGCTGCCGCTGGGATCAGCCTACTTCTGTTGATGGCACCCGCCAGACTGTTGTCAGAGCGTCACCTGCCATCTTGGGTCAGTCTGCCCTTGCCTCCATCGCCAGCCCAGCAGTTTTCACTGCTGCCCGCGATGACCTCATCACCCGAGACGATATCGTTCTCGATTCTGGTTGTACTACTTCAACCTTCAACAACTTGCGATATTTCGTCAAGTACGCTGAAAAGAGCGATTTGACACCTTCCACTTCTGCCTCCGGCGCCCCAGTCCGGTCACTTGGCGTGGGCACCGTCTTCTTCCAGACCCAAGACCCCACCAACCCTGACGTTATTCACGATTGGACACTTCACAACGTTGAGTACAACCCTTCCAGCCCAGCCAACTTACTGAGCCCTGGAAAACTTCGTCGTGATCACGTGGAATATGATTGGCAGACCTCAAGCCTCATACACGTGACACAGCGCACTTCCCTTGCCAAAGTTCATTGGGTTTCTGACGTCTGCGTCGTTGAGACTCATGATACTGGAAATCACGTGCCTCGAGATATTGCTGTCAGCCTCGCCGCCTTCCGGGCTACCCAGCGACCGTCTCTTGAACTGATGCACCGCCGGCTGGTTCACGCCCACCCATCACGTGTTGTGGAGGCTTGCCGCCGTGTTGGCATTCGGTTCACAACGTCAGAAATTGACGCTTTCTTCTGTGAGTCTTGCCATCTCAGCAAATCCACTGAACGGATTAGTCGAGACCACCCACTTCCACTTACGAGTATTGGCGATGAAATTCACCTTGATCTCGTTGGTGTTCTTCCCCTATCAACAAAAGGGAACCGTCAGGTTCTACACCTCATGGATAAGTATAGTGGTTACCACTGGGTTGTTTTTCTGCCCAACCACAAGTTTGCCACCATCCTGGCAGCTATCAAGAAATGGGATACTGAATTCTACAGTCTCACCGGCCTCAAGCCCAAGGTTTGGGTTTCTGACAATGCTCCCGAGCTAATCAAGGTTTTCAACGACCCCTACTTCGAGGGTACTCGCCACAACACGACTATTGCCTACACGCCTTCCATGAACGGTACTATTGAGCGTGCTGGTCGTACCATCGTCGAAGGCGCCCGGACACAGCTGATTGACATGTCCCTTCCAGAGGAACTGTGGGATTACAGCATCGATTCGGTGACTCAGATTCTCAACCTCTTGCCCACACCCTCCAAGGGTAACTTGAGCCCTCACGAGATCATGGCGAGAGAGCTGAACTTGGCTGCTGAACGTGAGGCCCCCCACATTGAACATCTCCGAACGTTTGGCTGTGCTGCCTACGTACACAAGAAGGGCCCTCGACGCCCTATGCGCTCTGCCAAGATGGAACCACGAGCAATCAAGGGATTCCTCGTCGGTTACGGTTCTCTTCGTGGCCACATTTACTACGTTTACCTGCCTGATCGAAAGGAGGTTATTCGCTGCAGAGATGTTCGATTTCGTGAGGAACCGCACAAGACAGTGTTGCCTCCAACTACTGGCACACCCAACATTGATGAAATTGAACATGATGCTGCGTTTGTCGAACCAGATATCATCATCCAGTACACCATCCGTCAGAAGCCTATTGAAGGTGAAAAACCCGTGACTGGTGATCCCAAACCAGATGAGACCATCGTTGAAAAAGCGATGGCACCCACTGATACACATCTCATGTCTCCGCCACCAGAGAACCTGTTGGAGACCACTGCTACACCTCGTGACAGCATTACTAACGAATTGAATGATGACGAATTCGTCGCTTCCGTGGAAACAATGGAAACTGATCACCAGGACCCTGATTCCCTCTCCACGATTGTTGAGGAAGCAACGAGTCAACCGGCAGAGTCCTCTCGACCTCGCCGCGCCTCAGCCCAGCGACCACCTGGTCACTACCGAGCCGCCAGTGGCGTACGCTCCTATGCTAAAAAGACTTTTCTATCTGCTGACATTCCAGCTTCACTAACTTCTCGTCAATTCTCTCTCAGCGTGCTTTCTGCTACTGCCCTTTCGAAAGTCCTACCCGACGGCGTGGTGATCCCGAAGTCCTACCGTGAGGCGCAGAAGAGCCCACAGTGGCCCCAGTGGGAACAAGCCTTCGAACGAGAGATGACTCAATTCACGGAAAAGGGGGTTTACGAAGTCGTTTACCCACCACGTGACGCTAAAGTCCTGCCCGGCAAGTGGGTATGTGACATCAAAACCAACAAAAACAACGAAATCGTGCGCTACAAGGCCCGATATGTGGTTTGTGGAAACCACGAGAAAGGTGACTGGTCATCGCAAGAGGTTTACGCTGCAGTTGCCTCTGCCACCGCAACCCGCCTTTTCTTCGCAGTTGTCGCACTTCTCGATCTTGAATACGAAGTATATGATTTCGACACTGCTTTCCTAGCCGCCTCGATTCCAGAGGGGGTTAAGGTGTACGTCCGGCCCCCCGCTGGCTACGCCACTGCAGACAACAAGGTTTGGCTGCTCCACAAGGCACTCTATGGATTGAGAAAATCACCACTTTGGTGGTTTCGACTTATCAAGGGTGAAATGGAACGAATTGGCTTCACTGCTGTTGATGGGGAGGTTTGTCTCTTCGTCAATCACAAGATTAAAGCGTACGTTCTTATGTACGTCGACGACAACGCCATCGCCGCTCCCAACAAGCAAGTCATGATGGAAGTTCGTCGTCTCCTCGAGAAGGTCTGTTCTCTTAAAGACCTCGGCGAGGCTACCGATTTTCTCGGTTTCCAGATTGAACGCGACAGAGCTGCCGGTAAGATTTTCGTTTCCCAAGCCAAGTACGCAAAAGCAGTGCTTCAACGATTCGACTTTGATGGTTTGAGTGCTGTCAAGACGCCTATGGCGACCACTGACGATCTGCCCGTCACCTGGGACAAGAACGAGTGCTCGCTTGACGAACAACAACTTTACATCGAACAAACCGGCTGCCTTAACTTCCTGGTGGCTGGAACTCGCGTTGACATGGCCTACACCGTCAGTAAATTGTCACAGGCGAATTCAGGGCCTTCTAAGGCCCATCTTCGTGCTATTAAGCACTTATTCCGATACCTCAAGGGCACCGTTTATCTCGGTATTGTACTTGGAGGCATCCCCACGATCAACGAGTTGGGGCTCTACGCTGCTGCAGATGCCTCTTTCGCTGACAACAAGCCATCACGAGTCTCGACAGGTGGTTACGTCGTCTTCCTCGCTGGTGCGCCGATTGCTTGGAAGTCAAAGAAACAGACTTTCGTGACTTTGAGCACCACGGAGGCTGAATTCATCAATCTCACACCTACGGCAATTGCTGTGAAGTGGATCAGACGTTGCCTCTCCCAACTGCTCGGCAAACCCATCACCACGCCTACTATCATGTTCACTGACAGTGCCAACGGCTACGACAACGTCATGAACCCACTCAACGAGGCACGAACCCGCCACATCGACGTCCGATACAAATGGATCATACAGGAGGTTCACACTGCGAAAAGCATCGAACTCCGACTCATCAAGGGCGCTGATATGGCCGCCGATGGACTCACGAAGCCACTGGTTGCGGTCAAACACAAGGAATTCGTTCGTTTGTTGGGCATGGCGGAGGGATTGGATTGAGAGGGGGATTTTGAGACTGTGGGACTATTGATATTGAGACTTCGGGATTCGGAGGATTTCACGGCCTCCTATTGGCCAGGTTTAACCGGTAATTGACCGAGTTTTCTAATAGTTGAGAACTCCTCGGATTTGGAGGATTTGGGACTTTTCCTGTATTTCCTATTATTCTACTGCTTTTTCGCTGAGGAGTCTGAGAGGGGGTGTGGGTGGCAGGCCTCGCCGGCCCGTCACGTGGGCTGACGGCCGCCACCACTGGTCTTAGCCAGCCTCCACAGCCCTCTAGCCAGTTAGTTAGTTCTTCCAACCAACAACACCACTTTTCCCATTCTGAGCGTTCTGTGCTGGTTTCGCCCACATTATTTGTATTGCTTTTGCTTAGAATGGCCTTGGTCAGGAACTATGATCTTAATACACTCTGGTCAATCCAAGAGACGAATCCGGGCTTGCCATCCTCGGTTTGGAACACATCAACCGGGTTTCTGTACGGCTCAACTCCCTTATCGTTTAGCACAACTGTGACACCGCTAGCGGCCATCTGATCAGGCGTCCAGCCAGGGCCCCTATCGTTGTACACCGCCATGAACGTGAAGTTGTTTGTGCGCGGGTCCGTTGATCCCCATGGAATGTACCCTTGGGGCTTGATGCTCGCGTCAAAGTAGGACTCCATGAAGATGGAGCGGTGCTGCGCGTTCCAGGGACGGCCAAGAGGGCAGGCACCCTTAATAATGGGCGCAATAGATGAGTTGGCAGCGATAGCCTGGGAGTCGGAGATGTAGACTCCGTACTTGTTCTCAAAAGTGGTGTTTGTTCCTAGACCGACTGTTAGTGAATACGTTTAGAGCAAAGCATGGGGACGAGCTAACCTTTCCATGCCGTAATTCCACCGCCGCAGTTTCGCAGCGAAAGCGTGGATTTCTCGATGTACGCCGTGCCAAAACCGTACAGGAAGTCTGTCTGGCCAGCAATCACGTTGTCGTAGAAGTAAGCGTTACCCAACTTGCCAACGTACAACGTATCTTGGTAGCTGTACAAGCCGCAGGAGTAGAAGCCCGCGTTGGCTCTGCTAACGCCAACAGCGTGGGCAGGGCCATTAGACCGCGGGAACTCATCGTTCCTAAAGTCAATGTTGTAGGCGCGGAAGTCGACACATCCGAAAGGTGTGCCTTCTGGCACAGGAAAGCCCGTCGGACCGGAACCGGTATAAGTGGCGTTCAGGTTGGGGCCAACAGTCAGCACACTCGTAAAGACGTTGTCCGGGAAGATGGCATCGTGGTTGGCAGCGTTCCACCACACCTGGACCTCGTTATGGTTTGAGGAAGTTGTGTTGAGGTTGACATCGGCATACAGGCGGTCAGAGGCTGGCCGGTCTGTCATGCCCAAGAGGGTCAAGGGACCCGCACGGGTGACATTGAGTTGCTCGGTGTAGTTCCCCGGGGCGATAAGGATTGTGTAGGCGTCCGTGTTATTGGGAAGAGACGCAATGGCGGCCTGGATAGTGGTGAAGTTTGCCTTTGGGGAGGACTTGCTGACGAAGAGAGTGCCAGGAGGACAGCCCTCAAGGGGGTTACAGGTCTTCTTCTGGCAGTCTGCGTACGTCTTGGCGGGACCGCTTGGAATACCTGCTGCTGAGGCAATTGATACCAAGGGGAGCAATGCTCCTGACAGGAGGGAGAGGGACACGGAGCTCTTCATCGCGACGAACTACACACTCGAGAACTCGGCCGAGCTAGAGAAGGGAGGGGGGGTTGGATGGCATGCAGTCAACACACCCTAACTCGGTCCCAGAGGTCTGGTAACTATATAGTCTCTTTCTTCACCTCCTTTCCTCCATATTAACCGGATCGCCTCATTCACTTGACTAGCTTTTCCGGCTTCCCCTTGTCCGGATAGCGTTTTTCATCACAGATGACAACGGCAAGCAAGCCGAATTGGTGACGTTGCAGCTTGACTCTGGCATGGTCAACGCGGGGTAGACGGAGATATTACCCCAGACAACATGGTTTTTGGGAGAAAGATATGCGAACAAGGCGGTGTTTTTAACTCGGTAGACGGCACATAGCAAAAGAAATGAGGGGGTTGATCCCTTCGTTACCCCAACTTTTGGGGCTCTGCAGATGGAAGAATTTCAGCGGCGGTTTGAGATGTTCCACGAACCACGTTCCAAGCTGGAAGCGGTACCCCAGCAAACCCAGCAAATACCCATCCCACTGAAAAGACGGCCAATGCGGGGGAGGAGATTGAATCAAGCAAAAAAACCAAGCCTCGGAGGCGCGGCAGTACAGCAAGCCAACCCGCCTTGGCTTGTGGTCCCCCCACAACGGCTCCGCGGGGTATCCCAGCGTCCACTATCTCTCTGTCTTTAGCTCTTGCTACTACTATGTAATTAGCGGTAACGTATACTGTGGCCTGTAAAAAGCCGACACCGAGCAAATTTGCGGATGCTTTTAGCAGGGGAGAACATCCACTTCATCCGAACTTCGCCACCATCCCGAGGGAGCTCTCCATGCGTGTGGATTTGGGAGAAACATCTCCCCCTGGCACGACGGCCGGGGCTCCATGTCTAAACAACGTTCATTTCATCAACTCTTGTCCGATTTGGCTTTACTGCGAAGTAAGGCGGAAGCCACGGAAATCACCGTACCAATCATCACGGGCATGTCCCTGGCATCACCAAACGTATCATGAAAGCTAGTTGTTTGTCTTTCTCCACCGAACTTGATGGGACGACTCCTTTCCCTCTCCCCTTTCTTCCCCCTTCATATGGACGGAAAAATCCCGACCCATGCCATGTGCTGTCCCTGTAGATCCCTAGTGGTATAATGCGTCAGCTACTACTATGTATTCATTGAGTGTCACTGAAGGTGGGTTCCTTGCGATAGCCTGCTGAACCGAGAACGAAAGCCTCCTATAGAAAGAGAGATCTAGTGTAAATCCCGCTGCTTCGTAGGAAACATTGGACAACCACGACGCCTCTCATCACTTGGCATCGCTTGGCACATACATCCCCTGCGTCGATTCACGGATATCGTCATAATGGTTGCTCCTACCCTTCTCGGTGGCCTCGTCGCCGCCGCCTTGGTTCCCCTCACCCACGCCGCAGATGCAGCTGCTATCAAGCGCCCGGACATCAAGGTCGGGCCTTTCAATCCCGGCCGTGTCTACATGGCTTCCCCCGCGAGGAAGAAGACATGTGCCGTGAAGCCCGTCGGTGGAGGCGGAGATGACAGTGCCAACATCCTGCAGGCCTTCAAGGACTGCAATAACGGTGGCACTGTTGTCCTGGACCAGACCTATAACGTCTGCTCTCCTCTGGATCTCACTTTCCTCAACGGTGTCGATGTTGCCATTGTCGGTACCGTCGGATTTTGCGATGACATTGACCACTGGCTTCCGCGGACGTTCAAGTACGCCTTCCAGGGCTCATCGTCGATGTGGAAGTTCGGAGGCAAGGATGTCAACATCTACGGAAACGGCATCGGCACACTTCAAGGTAATGGCCAGAAATGGTATGACCGATTTGCGTCCAACGCCACCCTTGAGAGGCCCATCCTGTTTGTCGCAGATGGCCTCAAAGGTGGTTCCATCACCGGTCTGAAGATGGTCAATTCGCCAATGGTAAGACCTCATAATCTTCCCTGAGATCTTCCAAGCAAAACTGACTCGAATTAGTGGTTCAACCTCATTGCCAATAGCACCGACGTGCTCATCTCTAATATTGATATCAAGGTGGGCTCGACTTCGAGCAACCCGGCCAAAAACACAGACGGCTGGGATACCTACCGTAGTGACGGAGTTGTTATCCAAAACTCACACATTGCAAACGGCGATGACTGTGTTTCCTTCAAGCCCAACTCGACCAACATTGTGATTCAGGGGCTTGTTTGCGACGGCTCCCACGGTATTTCTGTCGGTTCCCTCGGCCAATATGTCGGTACCTTTGACATTGTCGAGAACCTTTACATCTATAACACCACCATGTCCAATGCCTCGGACGGTGCTCGCATCAAAGTCTGGCCAGGCATCGACACCCCCTTCCAGCCTTCCCTTTCCGGAGGCGGTGGTTCTGGATACGTCAAGAACGTGACTTACGACACCTTCCATCACTCTAACAACGACAACGCTATTACTATTGACCAGTGCTACGGCCAGAAGAACCAGACGCTCTGCAACCAGTATCCCGTAAGTTTCCATCAAATTTCTTGAGCCTAGAGGCAGAAACTGATCCTCGCATTAGTCCAACATGACCATCAGCGATATTTACTTCAAGAACATGGATGGCACTGCTTCTAAGAAGTACGACCCGCGGGTTGGAACCCTTGTGTGCAGTAGCAAGGAGGTGAGTCATACCAAAACTTGACTGATAATACCATGCTTACAATACCTACTACAGAAATGTCTTAACATCAACGCTAAGAACATCAATGTCAAGACGCCGAGCGGCAAGACGGCTCAGTGGCTGTGCACCAACCTCAACAATGGTCTCCTTGACATCAACTGCGTGGATAAGGTAACTAAGAGCTGATTCTGAGACAAGGAGAAGTCGAGGTCTTTATATTCTTTTGTATATTTTGTATATCATTGTATACATACTTAACAATTACATGTCTTTCATTTATCTGTCAGGTGGTGTCATAAGGACGTGATACAAGAACTCATCGTACTCTTCAAATCACATTACGATGTACTTAGACATATAGGAGTACAACATAAAAGGCGGTCATCTGTTTCCCTATGCTACCTGGCACCCGGTAGCGATGCACAAACGACTTCCACTTTCAGTCCTCTGATGATCTTGAATGTACAAACGTCCAAAGAATCGCGTGGGGTTGCCTTCGCTGCCGGAAGTGTATAATGCTGCTAACCTGGTGGTGCCACGGCTGAGGGCTTGACGAATCTGAAAACCGCCAAATCTCGCATCTCATCGAAGCGCCACACCTTAAGGCTCTTCTTACTTATGGTGATAAAATTTCCGTCGCACTTCTCTGCTACCCTCATGCTGCCGAGATTCATCGGGTCTATCTGGGCAATAAGATGCGTTATCTCAATTTCTCCGTCGCCATCTTCTTCGCTGTCAGGCTTGCCCATGTTTTGTGTCTGGTCACTGACATCCAAAGCCGGAGTCACATGGAAAGTAACGATGTCTGCCTCGTTCTTCTCCCGAGTGCCATATATAGCTTCTCTCGGAGCCTTGCGTGGCTGGCTCCAGTATTCATCCAAGAACATCTTCACAGCGCGTGTTGCATAACCCTTTCCCCAACAGTCAGACCTCACCTTGTAGCCAATAGACAAACCCCAAGGCGACTCTCTGGTTGTCTTGACGATACCGACCATCTTGGGCCTGGTGTTGCCGCTGCTGCCGTCACTGTCTGGTGCCGAGTACTTCGAGGACATAAAGGCATAGTTGATGATCCATGGTTTTTGCGGGTTCCATATGAACACCCGTTTCATCAGCTCTCTTGAGCTTTCGAAGCTTTCGGTGGGACGCTGGGTACTGGAATGGAGGTCAGTATAGGCCAACATTGCATTCAACAAGTATGCTAAAGCTTTGACTCACCTCCATTGAGCTGCTGACTCATCGGCACACAACTCGTGGAAGTCTTGAATATGATTATCAATTGTGAGAGGCTCCAACCAGAAGTCTGGGCTCACCGAGGGACGAGACGATTGCATGATCAGTCTTGACGTCAAGGTGGATAGCTCAAGAACTTTGTCAAAATGGGAAACAATCTTAACGCCGAGCAGTCTCCGGGGCTTATGGAAATCCTTTGAACTGTGGTGTTGAAGCAAACATCATAATTTTACAAGGTAGTCCCGTCTGAAGTTAGTCGTGGCAGAATATTAGATTTACCCAGTGAGTCACTTTATGACCAGGGTAGGATGATCACGTTCCTTGAGGCAATCAGGTAAGCTGGCCTATTCCCTTTTTGAGTAAATACCTATACAACACTACGTAAATGAATGTAATCAATCAAGAAAGAATATTCCAATTTGGATCGAAGGCCCCTCAGTTCAACTTCAACATGGCAGAAAGGAGGGAGAGGAAGAGTCCCGACAGCTGACATTGCCTATTTGGTCCTCACGCCTGAATATAATGTTCTCAACACACCAATCAAAAAAAACTATAGCAGCATCAGATAAATGAAAGTATGAGTCCTAGATTACCAAAATGCAGTACCGGTACCATTGATTTATTTGAGTTTGATTTGCATCAGCTTAGCGAACCATATTGTATTGAACAACGACTGCTAGGATATGCTGTAGTTAGCAGCGCTACTCGTGTAGTACACTAGTGTTCAACACCCCACATCGCCCCGCCATTTCTCTAACCCTACACCGGTGTCAACCAACGCAAATGCGATAAGATAACGCTTTTTTCGGTCTCTAAACTTTCACGACGAGAGCGATTACGCGACGACGTCAACCCGAAAGACGCATTATACGCTACTGGCAGACGCGTCATGAACCGTGATGTCGGCCGCAGGTTCTAATTCGAGGCCACTCAAATCCGCCTTTGCAAACAAGAGAAAACAGGGTGCTCCAGGAGACAATGGCCGCGATGGAGGAGGGAATGGTGGCGGAGGCGGCTGGGCGCAGAAACGCGTCAAGATCCGCCAGGACAGAGAGATAGCTGCGCAACAGTCAGAAGCTGCTCTCAAAGACGGCGAGCTAGATCTGCAGGCGTTTCTGAACGCGCGTGAGTTCGAGATTAAGGCCCTCGAGGAAAGCATGCGGCACACCAAGGCCGAGGCTACGAGCCGCGCTTTTCAGCAAGTTCCCCGCGGCATGCGACGACGGACGGCGAGTCACAATGCGAAGAGGGTACCTAAAAGGCTGCGGAGGAGGGCGCTGAAAGAGATGATGGAGGACAACACGCCAGTCGTGATCTCGAGACGCAGAAAACCCAAAACGACGAGAGCAAGGATCCGCGCAGAGACGGCGAAGAGGCTGGGTACCTTGGCGGAGAAGAAGCGCAAAAGGCAGGCAAAGGCAGCCAAGGAAAAAGAGAATAATGGGGAGGCAGGCGAGGTGGCGAATGGAGGCAGGGTTACGGTCACGACGAGGGCGCCGAGAGTCAAGATACGACGGAACCAACTCAACGATCCACCGAAGCGTAAATCAAAGTTCAGGAAGCGCCAGATCAACAAGACCTGGTTACCGACACATCTGTGGCATGCGAAGCGAGCGAGGCTGACCGAGCCCAAGAATCCCCTTTGGAGGTTCGCTATACCCCTGACGCCCAACGAGAAAGTATACCGAGCGACACATCGCGCACAGGGGGAGAAAGGCGTGGTTGCTTGGGATACGAGCTACATAAGCACAATCGGGCTCTATGGTACTGCCAAGGGTGTAGAAACAGTTTTGCGCAAGCTGGGCGTCACACAGGAAAGCTGTTGGAACGACAGGGGAGCCAGGTGGAGGACTGGTACTCGGCATTGGACGGGCTTCTTGAGCAAGGAGATCCGAGATGTAAGACGAGATATATGCCCTGCTTCAATTGTCTGGAACCCGGAGTCTGCACCAGAAACCTCCACTTCGGAAGGCACAGCCAAACCGGACAAAACTCAAAGGCAGGTCTTTGTCAGAGTTCACCCATCCGCATTCCTTGAGGTCTTCAACGAGCTTCTTCGGTTGGTGAAGATGCAGAACCCTAGACCATACATTGAAGACTTGCGGTTTGAGATTGGCAGCATTGAACTCACCGGCCCAGCTTCGACTGAAGCTCTCATGGGTATCCTGCACCCATATCACACGAAGGAGCAGTCTAAGGAGCAACACGCAGAGGTGTTTGGAGGCCTTACCAGCGTGATGAGCCCAGCAACACTTCCTCCGAACGCCGTCCTTGCGTTTTCCATTATGGACCCCCGCCTTCGATATCCCCCGAAAAAGGTAAACGCGCCAAACCCAGATGATGAGACGGTGCAAAATGCAGCCCTGAAATTGCTGGCAGAGTGGCCGACAGACTCGGGCTTGAAGCCTTACGGTCTATTTCAAAGAGACGCCCGGGCCACAGCATCTCAACTTCCGTCTCAAAAGTCAATAGATCGACGGAAGGGAGCAAAACGGCCTGGCACGCTTCTTGATGTTTCTGACATCGACCCAGCAATTCCCATTCTTCTGCTGGCTTCCCGCTCAGGCACAGGCACACAAGTGCAGGGCAATTGGACACTACTGGCGCCATGGAGGTGTATCCAACCGATCTGGCATAGCCTCGTGCACTTTCCCTTAACCTCGGGGGGGAATCCACGTTTTTCGGGTCTGAATGAGATCAGGCAGGTCGCGTTTGAGCGAAACCAGCCATGCTTCCCATTCGACCACTTGGGAACCAACGCTGGCGCAGAGTGGGAACTGGAGGAGCGTGAAAAGCGAAAGCGAGAATGGGAGCGTCGGCCCAAGAGCAAACGTGTAGCTTGGGAGTCACTCGATCTAGGAGCTGGGCGCAAAGGAGAGATTGGAAACGGCTTCGCTTGCGATATCGAGTATTTGTTCCAAAAGAAGACACAAGCCACGACTACGCCATCTCCTGACAAAATGGACGTGGATAGGCCTGCCACTGAAAAGGAATCATGCTCAGGGACCTCTACTGGAGGATTTCTCAAGACCCTTCACCAGGTCCGAAAGGATCTGTTCAAGGCATGCACATCAGCAACGAGACCTACGCCTCTCCCAGAACGCGCCGTTATCAACGTCAATGTTTCCATGCTCAGCCGCGGTGTAGCAAAAACTTGCGCTAGGATTTATCGTCTACCGGCACGCCCGAAATCCGTCCTCCCTGCCTCCTCGGCCGAGGTCCCTGCAACGGTACCGCCCCAGCCAAAGTCTACCAATGGCCTACCTTACGATCTCCGCAGCCAGTGGCTCGCGGTTTTGCCTGACTCACCGTCCAAGGTTTCCAAGAGCCAAGTACAAACAAAGCAGCGAATTCCCCCGAACGCAGACCTCCAAACGCGCAAGAAGCTTCTGGCTCAGACCCTGGTCAGTCCCGCAGAATTTCCACCGCCTAAGCCCAATCAGACAGATATGAACGGCCATCCACTGGTCCCTAACGAGGAAGACCTCATCGGTTTCGTTACGACGGGCTCATACTCACTGAGTGAGGGCAGAGCGACGGCCATCGGATGTCTTTCGGCCGAAAGGGCTGCAGAGGCTCTTAGGGAAGGGAGAAAGAGCGGAGAGGGCAACTTATGCATTGTACGAAATGCCGGAGAGAGTGTTGGATGGATTGCAAGATGGGAGGTTGTATAAGGTTCTGCGGTTGTCATTCGTGATACCCGGTTGGTGGTTATTGGTGCTGCAGGATAATGGGGTTGGATAATGCAGCCAGAGCCCGCATCAGTGGGGGTCATGGTCTGTAACGAGATCGGCGCCTCCCGCTGCCCCTCTGATGCGTGACATAGAGATGCACAATACTTGCATTCGCGATGACCAACGTTTAACGTGAGCGGATATGCGAGTAGGTAGTACAAGTCGCAGGGCGTCGTTGACAAGCCCAGGCAGCCGTGGGGATGGCGATCGACTATAGGGAGAATATATACCCAATCGACAACTCGTTCAAGCTTACAAAAATTCTCTCGTTCAACTAAACAAATCTGGCGACTTTCAAACCATATCTTGTATCTCTGAGTAGAGTAACGAACACCGCTTGAAGTTTCACCTCACGCCTTATTTCACAATGGCTACAGAGCCCTTCCCTAAGCCTACCTCGATCACGGGCGGCTGCCTCTGCAGCTCCATCCGTTACCGCGTTGACTTTCCACCATCACATGACTTTGTCTCGGCCGTGAGTTCTATCCAACTGAGCCATTTCCCCGAGGTGACCTTTTGTGAATGTACCGCAGTTGAACTGACCAATTGCGTATCTCATTTCCAGTCACACACTTGCCAATGCACCCAATGCCGGCGCACCACAGGTTGCCTCTTCCTCTCGCTTCATTCGGTGCCTCGTTCCGCCTTCACCTTCATCCCCTCCGCCATGACGAAGGATACGGCGACGTCGGAACCGACAACTCTAAAATCATACCGCACGACTCCAGGAGCTGAGCGCTGCTTTTGCGGTGATTGCGGCTCGTTTCTCTTTTGGCGATCCGACGCTGAGGACGAGATGTATCTAGCCGCCGGGTGTGTTGACCCTGAATTCCTCTTCGGCGAGGAGCGCGGCCCTGAAGGGGACGAAGCTGCGGGCAAGCAGAGAAATGAAGGGTTCGGTAGGGCGTTGGCTGGGGCGAAGACGCACGTGTGGTGCGCCAACGAGATCGCTGGCGTCACCGACTCTATGTTGCGAGGCAAGAAAATAGAAAGGGGTTCAGAGCAAGGGGTCATTTTATACGAAGACTAGACGAAGAAAAGTGAAGAAGAAAAATTAAAAAAAAAAAAAAAGCATTGTTTTGTAGACAAAGATTCGACAACCTGTCTGAAAATTGTGCATCTGACTTTCAAGATATCCTGCCTGGTGGTATACTGCTTTGCCTGGGCTATGGCTCACTTGACAAGAGAGCGTCCATAGATAACAATCAAAAAAACGCCTTTTATACCCCTGATAAAACGCCGTCATTATATCCCAACCAGAAATATGTCACCACTCAGGCTGGTCTTCTTCTCAAACACATCATGACTGTTCTTGCACTGGAACATATCCCAACGCTTACCTTAGTCCTCCTCACTCACCTCACTCTCTTCGGCATCGCCGCTATTTGCGGCTTCCAACTCCTTCTCCAGCTCTGCCTCGAGGTCGTCCTCCAGGGCGTCCTCAAAGTCAGGCTCCGAGTCGACCTCCATCTGCTCAGGCTCGGCCTCGGCCTCTTCTTGCCGTGGTCTTGCTTGGTTGTTGACAGGGCTGGGGAGGTTGAAGTCGAACGGCGCCTCGTCGAGATCTGACTCGCCGTCTGCGTCGTCGGCCTCTGAGTCCCGCAAGAAGTCTGAAAAGCGCCGGATGTTGATTCCCTGAGATGGGAAAGCGGGAGAAAAATCCGTCTTTTTGTTCTTGTTCTCATCGGGGTATTCTATCGTCAGGCCAAAGTCGTCGTCGTCGTCTTCCTCCTCCTCGTCCGAGCCAGCCGCCTTGCGCGTCTCCTTCTTTTTGGCAGGGGGAGCCGCAGCGGGTTTCGGCGGCGGAGGGGGCGCGTCATTAGTTGGTAGTGCCAATGGAATATTGACCGGCTCCTTCTTCTTCTCGACCTGTTTCCGTGGTTTGGGGGCAGCTTTGGGCTTGTTGACCGTGGATGCGGCGGGCTTTGCTTTTGTCTTGACGGGTGATTTGTCTGTCGCTGCGGAAGACGACGAAGGTTTAGCGGGGGCTGCAGTGATGGAGGTATCAAGCTGCTCGAACTGCTGGCGCAAGGTCTCTGGGTTGTCGTTGGAAGGGGTGCGCGTAATATTCATGTGGAAGGTAGAGTCCACCTTGTCGAGGATGAAAGCCTTTCGCGCCGGATCGAAGTATAGAACATACTGATTGTCGTCCATGGTGCGGGTGCCCGCGTAGGCGTACGTGCCGTTGTTGCCATCGGGGAAAGAAAGGTCGAAGTTGGACTTGCTACCCGGAGTCTCGGGCTTTAACCTAGCTGTTGCAGGCTCGGAGGCGAGGTCGGGCTTGTGATTGTCTATTTGTCGCATTGCGACGTTAGCCTTTGGTCCCTTCAGGGCGCAAATAGAGGAGCGAGCAGGTTCGGGGTCATATACATCGTACGGCGGTAAACACCTCCTTCTGGGTGCGCCCAAGCAACGTGTCGCTCAGGATGACGGGGTATTTCCCCGTCTTGGTCGGGTCAATGAGGCCATTCCCAGCCGCAGAGGCTTTAGGAGCAGCCTTCTCCCTGTGGTTCGGACGAAGAGCCGACATCGTGGCTTCTTTGTCACAGGAGAGGGGTGTAAGGTGATGGGAGAGCGTAAGGAGGAGACGGGGGCCGATGATCGTATTGGAGAGTGGGGAGATGGGCCTTGTAAGATACGCAGTAGAGCGAGCTAGGGATTATGGCTCCGCTAAGGTCGCCTGCGAACTGTAGAATATTCCGTACTGTCGCGCGCGGAATGGCCGAGACCGCAGGTGGGTTGCACCACTAAGGTTGGTCGACAAGGTTCTTGGCAGGAAGGAGAGTAAGCACCTAGCGGCAAAGAATTGCTCGTAGGTAAACGCCTCGGAGATTTGATTCTGGTTTAAAAAAAAGTAGAGTTTGATGAGCATGTGTTGTAATGAACCAAAGAGACTAAATTTGGAGAAAATAAAAAGATTAGCCGCGTCACGTTCACTGGGTTGCTGCCTCTTTTTTGGAGGAGGCCTTGGCTCAATTTGCTGTCAGTGACTGTGAGACAAGCTGACGCTTCAGCGCCTTAATCAGCGACAATAAGATTTAACCAGAGCCTTTTTTAGGGGCGTTTAAGGGCCCTTCGGTATCCCAGCGTGATGGGGGGCATGTTTCTCCGACGTTTATTTTGAATAATCCTTACTTAGTATGTCAAAACTCAATAGAGTTTAGAGCCCGCAAGATCTTGGAAGGGGTTGCCACCGCCTACTCGCCAAATGTTGTTTTCATACACAGGCAAGCGATGGACAAGTGATGATCAACAACAAAAAGAAACTTCTCATCAGAGTCGAGCTTCTCCCAATTATTCCCAGAAACAGAAATCGGACGACGGATTTACGCTTCTTAAGATATACCAAGGCCCTTTTCAACCCGCTCTTGGGTAGCGCAAAGTTGTATGGCTTTCTTGGGTTCCGAAAAGAATAGGACAAAACCTCTGTGAGGGATGACCGCTTTCCGTGAGAGTATGCCTGAGACTCGCCTAAGACTGCAAAATTGAACTTCAAAGTTTCCAACGAGCCCCTTTCATCATGAGCCGGATGTGAGGAAATTCAATCTTGAAGATGTAGACATGAGCAGTACAAGCCATCGGCTTAAGCTCAGTGCACCAATTTAGGCCATTACAGCCAACACTTGTTGAGCAAGTTGTGTCAGCTTCAGCCGTTTCAAGTTGCCTTCATCACCTAGTCTATACGCAGTTATCATACGCATGTAGTCATTGGTGTTGCTAGGACATGATCACATTACAGTCAAACAATGGTGATCTATTTGTTGTTGGCCCACACACCTCCTCTTTACATATTTGGTAACTTACTAGGATTTCGCCAGCGATATAAGCAGCCAGTTAAGGCACGGACCAAACAGAGCGAGAAGTTTTTGAATCATCACTTGAAGGAAAGATGAAGGGATTGAAACTTTGAAATAAACAAAACGCAAGTGTTGCAACGGTGTAGTCTTTTCTTGAGTGGCCATGCCTATGCCAAGACCAAATATACTGCGATAAAAGATCCTTATCTGTTGGCCGCCGCTAGCCGAGGACGAACGCCGGTTTTTACTCGGAGCAGCTTTATGGCTCCCCTCAAAACACACCTTGAGTGCTGAGCCAGGGGTCTCAGCAGGGCAAGCCTCCCCACATTCCCCCCCAACCTCGCCTAGATTGCTGTCAAAGCTCCCCCGCCGCTGCCCCAGGTTAGGGAGGAGGTGCACCCATCGCAGTGCAGTGATGCCGCAACTGGTACTCCTCCACTGTCATCATGGCCGGCCAGGGGTAAGCGCAGACAACCTCGGATCAAGCTGCCACACAAGCTTCGGCAGCTCGCGGCAAACCGATTCCCCTTCAAGCGAGCCCAGAGACAAGCTGCGCCTTGGAAAAATATATCTCTGTTTCTTCTCCCTGAAAAGCTTCCCTCTCTCACCAATTCCTCCCACTGCCTCTGCTCAAGTGACATCCATCTTGGTAGCGTCAAGACACAGATTGTTGATACCCCAAGGTTACTTCATCTCCCTCCCCGGTATCTTGGTCTTCGCTCCTCTTATCTGTCAATCAATTGGCCTGCACACACACTGCACAGCTCGTGGTCATGTCGGCGGCTGTCAACCGAGGTCTCAGGACTGCTTCCCGATCGCTGCGTCTCCAATCGCGAAGCGTCCGCCTGGCTACTCCTCTCCGCGCCGGCGTCGCCTCCACTAACTTTGTCGCTTCTTCCACAACTCGCTCCGCCACTCAACTCTCCCACAACTTTTCAACCGCATCTGCGAGACAGAGCGCTGCACCCGCCATGGCTGAGGCACGAGAATACGACCCCGAGATCAAGGACATTGCTAGCTACGTCCAAAACTACAACGTCGACTCTGAGCTCGCCGTGAGTACCCCGTCTTTTGTCCTTCCACCGTCCCTGCCCTGTTAATCCTTGGCTGCTGGTGACCCGCACCGCCTTTTTCTACCCCGCGCCCTAACCAGATCGCCGCCGCTAACCGCCATTCTCGTGAGAACAGTTCGACACAGCACGATGGGTTTTCCTCGACACTCTGGGCTGCGGTCTTGAAGGTCTGCGCTTCAAGGAGTGTGCCAAGCTATTGGGACCTATTGTCCCTGGTACCGTCGTGCCCAATGGCCCCAAGGTCCCTGGTACCGACTTCCAACTGGATCCCGTCAACGCTGCCTTCAACATTGGTGCCATGATTCGCTGGCTCGACTACAATGATTGCTGGCTCGCTGCTGAATGGGGTCACCCCTCGGACAACCTCGGTGCCATCCTCGCTGTCGCCGATTGGATCACCCGTACCAACAAGGCCGGCGGTAACATTGCTGGCGGCAAGCAGTTCACCATCCGTGATGTTCTCGAGGGCATGATCAAGGCCCACGAGATCCAGGGCTGCCTGGCCCTCCTGAACTCCTACAACAAGGTCGGCCTGGACCACGTTGTCCTCGTCAAGGTGGCCAGCACTGCTGTTGTTTCCAAGATGCTCGGCCTCAATGAGAAGCAGATCGCCGACGCCATCACCCAGGCTTGGGTTGACGGCCAGAGCTTGAGAACCTACCGCCACTCCCCCAACACCATGTCCCGCAAGTCCTGGGCTGCCGGTGACGCCTGCCAGCGCGCTGTCAACCTGGCCCTCAAGGTCATGAAGGGTGAGCAGGGCATCCCTACCGTTCTCTCGGCTCCCGTCTGGGGCTTCTACGATGTCCTCTTCAAGGGTAAGAAGTTCGAGTTCCAGCGTCCCTACGGCAGCTACGTCATGGAGAACGTCCTCTTCAAGGTCTCCTACCCTGGTAAGTTTCGCCATTCCCCACGTGTAATGTGAATGTGGCTAATAAGGCATAGCCGAGTTCCACTCCCAGACTGCCGTTGAGGCGTCGTCCAAGATCCACGCTCAGCTCAAATCGATGGGCAAGTCCGCTGCCGACATCAAGGGTGTCACCTGCCGCACGCACGAGGCTTGCATCCGCATTATCGATAAGCAGTTCAAGCCCATGGACAACTTCGCCGACCGAGACCACTGCATTCAGTACATGGCCGCCGTCATGCTCGTTTTCGGCCGTCTCGAGGCCACTGACTACGTCGACGGCAGCGAGGCCGCGACGTCGCCCCTCGTCGAGTCCCTGCGCCAGAAGATCAAGTGTGTTGAGGACCCTCAGTTCACCAAGGACTACCACGACCCTGCTCTCCGTACCATCTCCAACGCCCTGACGGTCGAGTTGAACGACGGCACCGTGCTTGAGGAAGTTGTCGTCGAGGCACCTCTCGGACACCGCCTGAGAAGAGAGGAGGCCAAGCCTGAGATCTTGAAGAAGTACAAGAGACACTTGGAGCCCCACTTCGATGCTGCCAAGGTTAAGCAACTGATCGATCTCGGCCTGGACAACAAGAAGTTGGAGGCTACTCCTGTTGATGAGTATGTCGATTTGTATGTTGCCAAGGACAGCAAGTTCTTCTAAGCGAAATGAGAAAAAGGAAAAATAAAAGATTGGATACTCTAGACACTATGTTTCTACAGGATTTAGATTCGGAAATCTAGCAATGATTATTTGGCGCTCATTGTGGGAGCATTGTTGGTGCTGTGCTTCTTTTTTCGTAACCAGCTCGTAATACAGTGGCTACCTCTGTGTGGTACGAGGCTAAGAGTGTGTGGTCGGTCAAGCCGGCACACCGTGGCTTGTCGCTGACGAGGACTCGCAGAGCTCTCTCCTAACTCGGAAAAGTGCTGGTTGGTGCGTCGAGAACTCGCGGGTCTCTGCAACACCGCGTCCGCGTCCCGGGATTTTGTTACAGGATGATTGGTCCAGTCGTAAGACTAAAGATCGCCAAGCCACGTTCCCTCAGCTGGCGGCTGGGCGGGTTCATCCAGTGGATTTGGACAGTGGAGTTTCCCCCCTAAGTAAGGGGAACGGGTAGCTCGGTTCACGGATTGTTTTGGGTTTCACAGGCCAGACACTTCCGATGTCCAGCATGCTGCAAACCATTCAGGCAATGTGAGCCTGTGTTACCTAAGCCGCACTGCCACCGGGGGTCCTCCACTAGAGCGCCACTTTATTCTCCGTCCTGTCTCCTGGCGGGCTTTAACTCCAATCCGACATCTTTGTTTGTTCTGGAAACAACATCGCTTCCCGATTTTTTTTTCTGAGTCAAATCATCTTTCCTCTTATAACGACAGAGCGACGGTTTTGCTTCCATAGGGACTGGTAAATTTTTACTGGCCCTTAACCATTACATGGGATCTTCCAGCTTCATCCCCGCTCCAGTGGTACATCTATCAGCCAAGATGGACAGACAGACCATCATTGAGACCAACCGGTCGCTGCGCAACATCAAGAACGTACGTTTTGGATTACCGGACCGCCGGCCATGGCAGAGAGGGTTTCGATAGGCTGAGAACACTGGTTTGGACTGAACCCATGTTTGACGCACTACTCCAACTTCTCGGGTCGCAAAACATCAGAAACAAATGGCTGACATTCGATAGGAACTCGAGAACCTCCTTGAAAAGGGCGTGATTACCGAGGACGCCTACGACAACATCCACGCTACCCTCCCCGCTGAGACTCCTCTTCACGGAGCCGCCAACCGCGCCGCCCCTCAAGCCTCTACCCCCGTCCAGCATTCCAACCCCACTTCTCCCCCGACGGCCGACCTTGCCGCCCTCAACATTCAGCCGAATCCCTCTCCGGCACCGCCGTCCTACGCCCAGACAGGACCCCCATCTCTCCCGTCTCGCCAGCCTGAGAAGCCCATCCTCGCGCATGCCCGCGCCCTGTACCGGTACGCCGGCGCCGACGCCCGCGATGTCTCGTTCGAGCGTGACGACCGCATTGCCATTCATGAGTACATGAACGCCGACTGGTGGATGGGTCGCAACCTCCGCACCGGCCAGGAGGGCATCTTTCCCAAGACGTACGTTCTTGTCGAGCAGGACTCGGCTAAGGGCGCCTTCGCCCCGCAGCCTCAGTACGCCCCCCAGCAAGCCCAGTGGGCTCCTCAGCAACAGCAATATGCGCCCCAGCAGCCCGTATACGGACAGCCGCCTCAGGGCCCCCCACCCCAACAGAACCCATACAACGCGGACGCTCCACCTCAGGCTGTGGCGGACCAAAACACCAACGCTGAGGGCAGCGGCGGCGGCAAGGCTGGCGAGATGGGTAAGAAGTTTGGCAAGAAGCTTGGAAACGCTGCCATCTTCGGTGCTGGTGCCACCATCGGTTCCAACATTGTCAACAGCATCTTCTAGACGTACGCTAGTTGCTTGGTGAGAGACGTACGGAGGATGTTCATAACGGGTGACTGTTGCGTAGCGTCGACGGTGGTCGACGAGGATACCGAGGTGTTGATACAGAAAGATAGATATGGTTTTTGTTTTTAACCCGACGCGCTTCCGTTAGGAGGTGCGAGCTGAATTCGGGCACGGCCGCTTTTTTCTTTGGGTTGGAGATTTTTCCGACGAGAATGCTGCACGGGAATGGCAACGGGCACGCTCATTATCACATAGCTGGGTTAATAGTCATGGGTTAGGCGTTTAATGCATATCGGCTATTTCATTATGAAATCCACCAAGACAACTGATGGCATCTACTTGTATCTGTACGTGACAGGATCCCATCGCACCGTTTCCATTATACGGAGAGTTTCATATTAATTAGCCCATCATGGTAAGACAGCCATGTAACGAGGCGAGATCTCTTCCGAGAGCGTGTATTTGGTTGGTTAAAGACATACACAAGGACATCGTCTTTAATTCGAGAAGGGATCCGTTGACATATATTCCATATCGAAGAGGGCATCATTGGACCAATCAAGCCGAGAGTCTCGGAAACGACGTTGATGCACATACCACCCACGTATACTTGTTGTTACAGAACACCATCATCGCCTTTCTCGCAGTCTCACAACTCGGTCGGTGTCAGTCCCCCCCTTCCGGGGAGGAACATGCTGTCATCCATTTCTCGGTATGCTCAAACCTCCGTCGACATCATTATTATTATCATCACCGTTATGACCCCACGGGGTAAAGTTCCAAGGAGCAAGGCAAACACACGAAAAGGAAAGATGACGGGGCGAGCGCCAACTTTACAACGGCCCGGCCGAAACTGTATCGCGTCACCGCGCGGAAAGCAGAGGCCACCCGCAATCGGGGGCGATGAATAAACTACAATTCTTGCCACACAAAACGTCCAAAGCTGAGGAAGAAGGACCCATAACTCCTTGTATTTCGATCAGGCCAGATTCGGTGTCCTCGGGGTAAGGGTAGTTTCGAGCACCTACTACGCGCGAGCACACACACACACACACACACACACATTTCCACTCCCTCCCAGGTCGGAGCCGTCAGACCCGCACGCTTTGTCTCCAAACTCTCGTTTTCTCTTTCTGTTCCCCCCCCCCCCCCCCCTGTTCTTGTCTTCTGGGGCCCATCCCACCCTCTTCTTCCGTGCTTACCCCAAAAAGTGTCACACACGTCGCCCTGTCTAGCTAGCATGGATCAGGCCTGATGCTGAAAAAAAACAATGATTTGTGGACAGTCGGCATGCAACAGGGAAGGGATATTCTTAGAATCATGCGGTACCGAGGCCGCGGACGAACATGTGCTCCTCTTGGAGGATGGCTACTCCCTGCCAATCTTTTGAAGGACGTGGAGGTTGCCGACGGTACAAAGTGTTGGGGATATTGAGTTAAATCTTCTTCGATCTTGAGTTCGATATGTGTCTTTGCAGGCGGAAGACTACCAAGCACAAACAAAAAATAAGGATGATGTAGTTTGAGCGCACAGAACAAAGTCTTACTCACACTTACTCCATATTTCACACGCAAAAGAAAAGTCACCAATTCGCGCGTATAGTGTCACCAGTGAGCTCTCTATAGTAAAAGACAAAAAGAAGGTTGATTCATGTATTCTATGTTCACCCATCAAGGACACGCGAGTCTGCAATGTCTTGGAGAACACGCGGTCCTGGCGACGAGATGGACGGGAAATGACGGAAAGTTCTAATAAATCGTACAAGCGCGCGTATAGAAATTATAGGCGCTGGAAACGACCCAACATCTTCTCCCCGCAAGCCCCGTAGGCATGAAAGAAGGTTCAAGCGAAAGTTCGTGAAACCACTGGGTTCAGCGGCCGCCCGTCTCCGCTCGCTGTTGTTACTCACGTACGCTGCTTCCACCGACAGACATCCGGAGGAGTTCAGCCTGGGGTTGAATCCTCCAAATCCCGTATGACACGCATTCCGACCACCGACAACCACCGTGGTTCCCCAACGCCAGACCTCTCAATCTCTACAGCCATGAGATGTGCAAACCACCATTTTACCAGTCTTGCCACTCCAAATGGAAATCTGTAATCTGTTGCTTACTAGGCCCTCTCTCAACCTACTCATGCAACGGTGTTCACACCTGGGTGTGAAGCGCTTCAAGATATCCCTTTACATCTTACATCGGCCTGGCGACACCAATGGGAGTACCTGGAAGGGGAAGGATTCTCATCAGCCAAGTTCGCCCCTGTGCAACCCGCAGCTTAGATTGCCCTACCCAACTTCTCGTCCTGCCACTGAGGCTTGTCCTGGTTCCAGTACTGCTCGTCGTCGTCTTCGAGGGTCTTGGCCGGCATCGACGGCTCGAGGCGGCCAGCAGTCCAGGCACGAATCTGCTTGCCGTACTTGTACATGACGGGTAGCAGCATAGAGACGCCAGCAAGAGCGGCACTGTAAATGCCAAAGTTCTTGGAGAAGCCAAGCTGCTCAATCCAGGTCGTAATATTGAATGACATGGCGAAGCCGATAATGAGACGGGCGGAAGAGACGTTGACCAAAACGGGACTAGAGAATTGTTAGTGATATCTACTCAACAGAGGGGGTTATGAGAGAAGGGAGATTGCTAAAAAAAAATCATCCCCAAGTTGATAACGCACCCAGCAAACTGAGGATAACTCTCAACCAAGTACACAGCAAAAATAGTATTAGCAGTCAGAAGACCGAAACCAATCAAGAAGATAGAAACCAGCACGACAATCGAGGGAAGCGTCCGAATGTTGTCGGCCGCGTAACCGAACAGGATTGGACCGACGATGGAGGCCAGGAGGGGGAAGACCAAACTGACGAGATGGCCTTCGGGCTCACGACGACCGCCGTTGCGCTTGGCGAGGAAGTTGGAGATCCAATCAGCCACGTAACCGCCAAAGAACCACACGAACGGACTGGCGATAACAATGGGGATGACGGCGAAGCCGAGCGTCTCGAACTTCCAGCCGGCTGCAATAAGAATGGAAGAGCCAACCTGACCAGCTGCGCCCTGCATTGACACAAGGATGGAGTTGATGAGGATAACCCAGATGATGTTGGGGAAGATGGTGGTCTTAAGCATGTCGAAGACGGACTGCTTGGCAGCCTTCCACTCGTAGCCGTAGTTGAAGAGACCGAATTCATCCCAGTTGGAGCGCGGGCGGAATGCGGACTCGTCGATGCGAGGACGGGTCTCACCGGGACGGAGAGGATAGACCTCCTTTCCGGCTTTTGTTATGTTAGGCACGTTTGTTGTCATCAGGTGATGATAATTACTTACCCAATTCGTCATTGCTGCGCATCCAGCGGGTCTCGGGGACAAGGAGAATGAGGCCGATCCAAGCGAGAACACCAACCCCGGATGTGATCCAGTAGATGAAGCGCCAGGTAAGGCGGGAGACAATGATGGGGCTTCCCAAATGTGTTAGCCCATTTCCTACGAAATCGAACAAACCCCACAAGATCGAAACTTACCTCATGATACCTAAGCTCACAATAAGGAGACCCTGGGAAGCACCAACAGAGGCAATGGCCTTGTTGCGCTGATGAATGAACATCATATCCTGGATGATCAGAGGAATCAAAGCTTCAACAGCACCGGCTCCGAAACCCTGAAAGCAACGCGCAGCAAGATGGCTAGGAAGGCCCTGAGAGAAGCCAGCCCAGAGACCGCCAGTCCATGCGAGTAAACCAGACAGCAGCAGCACTGGGCGGCGGCCGATGGCAATCGAAAGGGGCACAAGTAGGTAGGAGCTGAGACCGTTGACGAGCAGCGGAACGGAGGCCAGCAGGGAGACCTGCCACAGCGGAGGGCCGCCGAGACCGGCGAGAATCTTGACGGGGTCCAGAGTGACCTCACCAGGCTTGCTGAGGGCCGAGATATCGATCTTGCTGAGAATATGGGGGTCGATGCCCGAGTATTCCAACACGAAGACTGGCACGAGGGCACCGACGATGAACTCGGCGGCGAGTGCAAGAGAACCAACTACAAGAGGGTCAGCATCTCAAGGGATGAGCGCGAAATGACGAGGACGTACAGAAGCAAAGCGCTCCGATGGAAGTCCACTTTCTCCAGTTCGGTAGGTTCAGAGGATCTGTTGGTTCGTAATATTAGCGTCGCTGTCGTACAATTCCTACGAAGCTGTTGTCCTCCCGCCACACAACATCGCACACTAACCCTTGGGATCCGGTGTGGGCATCGGAACATATCGAATTTGTCCTCCCTCGGCGAACAACTGCGATGTTCCTACCACCTGGGCATCAGGGGACTCGATCCTGCGCACGGCAAGATCATCCGTCGACTCGGTCCAGCCGCTCTTTGCCGACATCTTGAAGGTCCTGTCCAAGGCACTTGTCTAGATGTCGAAGAGATGTCGTAGTGAATGCGGAGTCCCTATCCAGGGAAGTAAAAATATATATCGTAGTTGTCTTTCGTATCAAATCATTCGCTCCAGATAAAAATCAGTCGCTAGTATATTCCTCCCCGCGGAATGATATGTTTTTGTCGTCTACCCAGAAAAGGAAATCAGGTATCTCCAAGGCGAACACGAAGGGGGCCAGAGATTATAATCGAAGTACGGATGCGCTACGCCGGCGCGTGGGTGACAGGAAGTTTACCAGGCGCGGGGGGCGAGCGCTCTGTCATAGGCTGGTCGCGGTTAGACGAGCAGTCCATTCTGAGACGAAGGCCTGATGTGTGCAACTGCGCAACTGTTTGAGCGCACGGAGCACTTGTATGGAGGAATAAGAACAAGGAGGGGGGGCAAGAGTCGAAGACTTTCCGAATTGGTCAACTCATGCGGCGAGTTAGAGCAGGGGAAGGAACTTGATGTGTGTGGGTGGGCTTGGGTTGGCTGGGGACGGCATCGGATCGACTTGATCCTAGCATCACATCATAATGAAGAACCCTCATTTAGGCAATGTCCAACCGAAGTATTGAACCGAAGGACTCGAACTATTCTGCAACTGAATATGATCCACTCAAACAAGAATATGGAGTTCAAGTCGATCGCTCCCCCCGCCGCTATTCTATCACGGAGCATAACCAAACAAAATCTTGGTCCCACATCATCTCAGTAACTGAACTGTAATTGCCAAATGAAGGTAAAGGTCACAGTCCAAAAGCCAAGCGCTCTTAAAAAAATAAAATAAATTCAGCTCTTCTCGTCGGCCAACGGAGGACGCATACGATCCCATCCAAACCCAATTTTGGCAAGATTTGCTTCCCAAACAGGTAACAAGCTGCCCTTTCTCTCCTCTGGGTATTTTCATCGGCTCAGCACTACAAAAGGCTCGGTCTTGCGAGGACGTCGATAAGATGGGACGGTAACAAATGACGGCAAACACAATCACTTGGCCAGTCTCGTACCGCCACAATCCCACTCTTGTAAAACTCTCAAATACGGTGAAGGGTTTTGAGTTGTTGCGATGGAGGGGTGCGAAGACCTCGAATTGGTTCGAGCTGAAACGTCAAAATTGTACTCCATGCAAGGTCAACCCTTGTCCGCTCGCCTTGAGCCTCAACCATGTCCCACCCCTGTGAGGGGCGGCAACTTACTGCAGACCAACGGCAGAGCAGCACTCGGAGAATTCGACTACCTACTAGTAGAGTTAATTTTAACAAAGCCGGCCAACTCACAATCTTGGTCATTTACTTTATAACTTATACTTTCTTGTTGAGATTAAAGACGAGATATTTTCTTTTTGGCACGGCGCCGGCGCTTGTCTTGGCCTTGACAACAGGCCGCCAGCGACAGAGAGTCATTAAATGGAGATGCGACGCCAAGAATTCCCCTCATCCGTCACTGATCTTCCAAACATGCTTCAGTCTGTCATCGTCTTTGCGTTCCGCAGAGAGCCCTGCCCTTAACGCTCATCCACTGACGCCGACGCCACACATGGCCCGCCTTCACAAGCTGCCAGCCTTGGGACGAGCCTCGGTCGAACCCCAGTAATCCCAAAAGCCTTCCTCCCCCCTACTCAGCAAGAGAAAGTGGCTGGTGCCTTCACTGTTGCTGATTTTGTGACTTGAAGCCCTTTCTTCGGTTGCGAGGCGCGTTGTACGTACATCAATCAGCATTGGGAATCAACATGATATTAGATAAATCGTCCATTCGTGGTATCTGATCCCCTTCATGTTAACTAGCCGGCAGTTTATCCCGCCCGTCTTGTATCATGAAATGATCCCATCGTCTGCCCATAATCGTAAATAGCTGCCACGGGGAGCCAATGGCTTTCCGGCGTGCGCCTCAATAAAGCCCCGTACCAAGATGCTGCTGATGCAGACGGAAAGAACTAATGAGTATATCCATGCCCAGTATAGCCTTATTCCACCAAACTCCTGTAAACACCCTATCCCAAGGTATCTGTGTGAGAAAAACAAAATGAATGCGAATAAAGTTCGGCGCAAGTAATGCCATGAGAACCGAATGCTGCCGGCAATCCACATCGTTCAATTAAATTTACTCCTCGCTCGTCGGAGAATCAGGTGCTGATGCTAGAACCTCGTCCTGTGTCTCCGTGTCGTCGGGCCATGCTGGCAGTTGGAGAGACGCATACTGATCCTTGGTTCGCTCCTCGAGCTCTTTCCGGAGAATCTCAATCGCCAGCAACCAACGCCGTTGCAGTCTTTCCTTGCGGTCGTTAAAAATTCTGACCAGGGTATCTTCTTCTTGCGCAAAATCCGTTGCCAGATTCTCTATCTCCTGCTCCTTCTTATCAGTCAGTTTCTCGAGCTCTTGCTCCTGTCGCTCGAGAAGCTCCTCCATTCGTTTGGCCTGCCGGTCTCGCAAGACATTAATCTTGGCTTGGTGCAGCCGCTCCATTCCATCTCGCACATTGTATTGCTGTCCAAGCAGGCGTAGGTCTCTTTCGGTGACGACTCTTGGCGGCAAATCAGAATTCTGGGTTCGACCAAGCCCGTCGCAATAAGCCTCCATGTGCTTTAGGCGAATCTTGACACTCTTCTCACTTTGATCCAGGGTCGATCTTAAATCCATCTCGGCCTCGATTTGACGTTCCTCCAGGTGAGCCGCCGTTTTGGCATGTCGTTCCTTCATCTTGTCGATCAGGTCTGAGTACTTGTCCACCAATGCTTGCTTTTTCTCGGCTTGCCGTGTCCACATGTGCCATTTCGTCTTTCGCATGTAGAGTCGGAATCGATCCAACTCCTCCTTCATGTCGCTCTCCATTTTGGCAAACAGAGGATCTTCCCGCGTACGCTTCTCTGCTTCGATTTTTTCTGCGGCTTCAGCAGCTGCAGCTGCCTCTTGTGCCGCCTTCTCAGCCTCCAATTCGGCGTTCCTGGCTTCTTCCTCCATTCTCCTTCTTTCCAATTCTTCGTCGCCGTTACAGAAATTAGGGCAACCCACTGAGGGATCCCAAATAGCGCCACAGATGTAGCAAAATTGAGCCTTGCATCTGCATGTCATGTGAGTGCAACCCTGGCTTAATTCAACCAAAGTCCGACATTTGTAACATCTTCTCCAGCCCGACTTTTCGCCCATCTTCAAGACGGCCTCCAACTCCCAATCTGACGGGCAATCCTTGCCGACAGCGTGTGCGTTTCGTTTACACATCACGCAGACCCTAGTTCGGCAATTGCGACAGACCACATCAAAGGGGTGTTTCGGGTCGATTCGGTTGCGAGGAGGAATAAATTCGCCGCATGCTGTGTTTGGGCAAAAGATCCTAGCTTCCCATGGTGTACTAAATTGTTGCACTGCCTTTAAAAATGCATGTTGTTCCTCTCGGGTGAGTATTTTTTGAATTGTAGACGCCGGAATCGGTTGTGTGCAGCATCGGGGCGGCATCTTGGACTCATCTGTCGTCGCTTGCTGAATCATGATGCTGAGGCAATCTGCGCAGTACGTATGGCCGCAAGGTAAGCTATGCAAAGCGTTCGACTTATTGAATTCGTTGCGACAGCATATACAAGAACTGCGACATCTGGTTAGCGTGTCATGTTAAAAGATATGTCAGGTTGAGAGCCTCACATTGTTGATTCCACCAGTGTTGATCTCCTCTTCCAACGAATCTTCCTGATCCCTTCTTTGATACTGAAATAACTCCTCCTTGTGGTCACACTGAACAAGCTGTGTGCCGAGTTATCGATGGCGGCTGGTATCGGCGCCTTTTGAATCTTGGGCTGATGAATGTTTGGATCTAGCTGAGAAAGGTACTTGTCGTATTGCGAAAAGGTGAGACTCTTGGATCGTTTCCTTGCTAATGGGTTCGGGGGCGCATCGGCTGCGGTAGTAGCAGCCAGAGCTGTGTTCAGAGACGGATGGGAAGTCAAGGTCGTGCTCGCTGAATCGCGCGAGGCGGTCGAGAATGTGCGAACATGTTGAGTCGCGACAGTGGAGGCCCGCGACTCTGCGCCGGAGGTATCGCAGTTTTCAGGTGACAGGCCCGACGTAGAAATACCCAGTGCCGCAGCCTTCGCGATTAGCTGGTCCTCGATAGCTGCTTCGTTGGTTGGTGCCGAGAGACGCAGCACATGGCCGAGATATTCTGCCTCGTCGTCCTCGGGGGACGGCAGAACAACCGGGCAGGGGGCCATGTCAGGAGTTGAGCTCGTCTGGCCGGTGAGCGAGCCCATGGCGGGTAGTGGGGGATGGAAGAAGTAAATGGTCAGGTCAGGGCAGCGCATACAACGGCATCGTGGTTCAGGATTCGGTGTAATTCGCAGCTCTCCGGGCCACGCCGGGTCGTTCAAGCAGATGAAGAGCGCACGACTAATTGTCGATTAATGCGCAGGCGTTTTGAAACGGCAGTTGCAAGTATTGACTTGACATCGAACGGATCGAGTGAAGCCGGAGAAAGGATGAACCCACGAGGCGGGTTAGCCACAAGCTTTGGCAAGCAAGCGAGGGGGACAGCGGCAATGATAGGACGAGAGGTCGGCCAAGGTGTGCCCGCACGACGGCAGAGAGGGACAGGCAACCAGGCAAGGAAGGAGCAAGTACAGGGAGCAACTGAGCTGGCTGGCTGGCTAGTGGTCGGTTGAGTGCAGCACGGGGAGGGTGACTGGTGACTTTTTGGGGTGGTGTGAGTTGTACTCGGGGGAGCCAGTGGGTGCGGCCTGGACCGTGGGCGGGCGTGTCTGACGGATGGAATGATGCTAGGTTTTGAAGGAGGGAGGGGAGCTGAGCGTCTTGCTTCTGCACGGTCGGAAGATGGTCGAGTCAAAGGGCGATTGATGGTAGGGCGAAAGCGCAGTCCTTGGGGACCCTTGAGAATGACGAGGGGGCGACAGGCTAGACCAGAGAGGGGAGTAAAGTAGCGACTGAGTAGCAGTCCAGTATCCTTGCCTGACGGAGGACGCCGTAGTGGTTGACTGCGGGAACAAGACAGTGGCAGCCGCAACACCTTGTCGCCGTCCCGGCACAATGAAACGCTTTGAAGGTCGAGGGCTACACCAATGTTTTGCTAAGTTGGAAGTGATGCGAGAGGCGAGAGGTGAGAGAGAAAGAGATATAGAAAGTAGATTGTGAGATTGTGAAGGAGGCAAATGATCAACAGGTGTTAGAAAGAAGGAGGAAATAAGCCCAGGAACGGCCGGGATAGGATAGACTGGGTGGGTATTGTGGTTTTCGTTTTTTTTTTTTGTGCCCTTTCTTTTTCTTCCTTCTGATTGTTCTATTATTTTTACTGTATGTTTTTGGTCAAGTCCAAGGAAAGGTCGGGTTGGAGCGGGACGTAATTGAGATTTGGACTTGATTAGTCGGCTGATGTATAATGAGGAAATCAATCCTGGTTCGACCTTGGGTCCTTGAATCTTTTCCTTCACATTAGGTCATTCATGGGAGCCCTTGCTGAAGACTGGAGACAAGACTGGAGGCTGGCGCCTAAAAGGGCAGCGGACAGATTGGGATGGGTAACATGTTTAAAAAAAAAAAAAAACGACAGACAAAAGCAAGCATATGGGGGTTCGGGCGGCCTGGTTTGAGATTGACAGTGCCAGTACTCCGTCGTGCCAGCGTCTTCATCATTACCTCCCGTACCAGCGGGCAATGACCATGATCTTTGTCAGAAACCAGCCGCGGTAATAGAGGAGCAAAAATGACCAAGATGGGGCACCGGAGGGCTGGCATGAAGACTAACTGAGAGCCACAGGATTGGTCTGGTTTGGGAAAGATTGGGCAGGACCTTGGATGGGCTTTTGGGATTGGCGTTTTCCTGCTGCTGGCGCCACATCTGATGGCCTGATTTCCATTTCTTGCATAGACGGACCAAGTGGCGGCACCGGCCAATGGGTCCTGGCGCTAGGTACGTTGTTCCTATTCAGCACCACCACCATGCAAGAGACACAATGTTAGCCTTACCCACAGGTACCCATTCGCGGAGAGGCCTGCCAAAGCGGTACATGCAAGTTTCACAAACTTGGGTCGTCCACCACTGGTGTTGCCTCGGTTTGGTACGTATCCAAAAGCCTCCCCATTTGGGCTGCTTGCTGGCGTTGCTGCTGGATTTAGCACCTATCCTTTCTGTACTGTAGTCGTTACTGCCGTAATGCAGGTCATGCACGCGCGACAGATAATTACTGCAAAAGTTACAACCCCGACAGCGCTTTCCTTGCTTCACCAGCTGGGCGAACTCGCTGCAGAAGTAGCTGTCGTAAAACATGCAAAGAATGCATTTTTTTTCTTCGCCCTCTCTCCCTTCCTTAACCTCATATCACCTCCTCGTTCAATCCATATTTTTCATTCCAAAAAAAAAAAAAAAAAAAAAAAAGAACACACCTCACTTTCATCATCTAAGCTTCATCTTCTCCTTGACCCCAATACTCGCTCGACCCTTGGTTTAGGCGCCCGCGGTGGGTCGAATATAACTGTTTTCTATCCACTTGCCTCTCGTGGAAGGATGCCGATAAGACGACTAGCCATGTCGATGCCAGTTGGACATGCTCTATTTTATGCCCGTATATCCGTAGGTCTTCCTCCATTTTCGTCCCCTGCGCCGGACGCACTGTCACCCGGCGGTGAAGCAAACACAACGTCCGTCGCCTCCAACTGCTGTCTCCTGAGGCAGCGAGTCCCCAACTTTGGTCAGTTTGGTTCGTTTGTAAATCACGTCACCTAGTCTGCACCTGTTTTCTTTGTCCTTGTTAATCCCCCCAAGCCTCTCATCCTTTGTCATTCTTGTCTCGGTTGTCGGCTTCTGACAGCCAGATCTTCCCCAGCCTCAAGTCTTATCGCCTGGATGGACTGGGACAATCCTCAGCCGAAGAAACAGCCTCGCAAGCGCCAGACGTTTTCCAAATCCCGTCGGCTACTGAGGTCCGGTCTCTCTCCATCCCAAAGCAATGGGACCTAGTAACCCTCGACAGCTGCAGCCTGTGTCTGTTCTCCCGTCTAAATGACAAAATGATTACAGTCGAAGGTACTTGATTGGATTGTAACAGGGGTACATGAAATCAGCCCACTTCTCCAAGATATCCCCATCCCGGTCCCGCGTGACCGGGATCTAGCTATATGTTAATTGCTAAGCCTCACCCTCAATGTCCTGCGACCCTCTATTTCCCATCGCCTACGGATGTCCGCATTTACAGTCATCGACAACGTCAATTGTTGCTGCTGTTTGGTACACCGTTGGCTAGCAAACAACTTATGTTTGTAACAATGCTTAAAGTAAGGCCCCATTACACATCTACCCGGCAACTGTGGTGCTCCAACCACTTCACCTTTCTTGAGATCCGAATCACAGTTACATACCGCCAGATCTCCAAAAGATACTTGAGCGATACTTTGAAACTTACAGCCATCAAATGCTCGCCACTTTAGCTTTTGGATTTTAGGTCCGTGAGACCTATAATGTCGATAGTAAGGTCAGCCGATGGCCTAAGCTCCTCAGCTTGTTGCAGGACCAACAAGCCATGACTCCAGAAGTTTACACCCATCCTCCTCTTGGATTACCACCTTGACTCAGTGGTAGATTTCGCCAACCCCGCAAACCGCCAAGGTACTCACTCTTCCCCAAATCTTAGGTGTCCGCCTAGACTTGCACTTTGGTGTCTCTCTCATGATCCGCATGATCGAATCGACCAAACCTACGCCTTCTGTGGCACTAGTGGGGCACGTCCCGCCCCGGTCCCACGCCGGCCGATCTGTCCCCGCTGTCACGTCCGGACCGGTCTGTGGAACACCGTTACTGGCGGCCTAGTCACACCATGATTCCATACTATGGTGTTCCTGCCCCGGCTTCAAGTGCTTGGGTCTTAATACGAATGGATTAAGCCTTAGCTCCTACGCCTTCGCCTTGGCAACGACATTGGACATTGGTGCGATATGACCTCTGTCGATACGAGCATAACAGCCGGTCCTCAGGCATCACCGGCTAATGTCTTTTACATATATGAATCCCTTCAGCCTTTTAATTTCAGGTTGAAAAAGGCCACATCTGAACTATTTGTTTTAGATCTAGTGTCCAAATACTTCATCTGGTAGTTTGACTTTAGTTCGCATCCTCAATGTGATTGCCGAGCTCTGCAGCCATGGAGATCAAACCAGAGAATAACCCTGTTCATGTTCTTGTGACTAGGCGTGAAGAGTATCGTTGGGTTTGAAACGTTCCTATGCATCTCTTTCACTTCTCGCGGCCTGGGTAGACCAATCCTTGGCATCATAGCGAGAATATGAATAGCCGAATCCTACTCTCAATTGCCTGAGCTAATGCGACTTTTCCGAGGCCGTCGCTTGAAGGAACAAGGGGCCAATCGCAGGAATAAAGCTATGCGATCCTTATTTTCTATGTAGCGCGTTCAGGAACTTCAGTCCTCATTTTCAGATGCATTCGACTTGGCTCTTCTATCCTTACAGTCAGCGAATTACCCTGCTAGCCCTGATTTTCCTCGCCTTCGGAGTCGTCACAAAGCTCCTTCGCAGCTATCACAGCGGTATGGCGCCGTCAACGCCTATCAATCTATGCAGTAACTCGCTCACTATTTGACTTTGGTACCGGCCTTCCCCTCTAGTTGTGGAACAAGGAGCCACTAAGAGCGAGGATGATCAGCGGGAATTGGTGCTTGTAGAAGTGCTTAAGCAGCAAGGCAACACCCGCAGGCCAAAAGGAGAATATACTACCTTTGATGGCTGGCCTCATCCTAGTTGGTGGTCGCTCGTTTTCGCCTTCTGGCCGTTTAGCAGCTTTGTTTTACACCTCCACCACCACTTCATGACCTGGACTAAATTTCAATGACAGAGCAACCACCGCGAACAATGACGGTGAGGAAGGAACGCCTCTTTGGGCGGAAGCTCCGTTTGAGTTCCCCGCGTAGCAGTTCTTTTTTGGTTGGTGTAAGCTGCCCCAGGAATGCTTCTTTGTCTGCTTTCTCATTTTGCTCTCAGCCCCGAATCCAAGATCTGGCTGAGCCGAACGTGTTTGGAGGCTCTATGCATGTTTACTCCTGCGTATTAATGCAAGTAAGCATGAGCGACATTGGGTCCCAGAGCGAATGCACCACTGCTTTTGAAGAAAAGACTGATGCAGTACAGAGCCATTTACTAGCTGCCGAAGAGCTCTAGCTAGATAGATTCATAACGCATCTGGTTCGACGAGTCAGTCGAGCGCATCCAGCAATTAGCAGCCGGGATGAGGATGCCTGGGCCCTCCTGCTCCAGGTCCAAGGTGGCTATATTCAACCACTTGATAGCTACGGAGATAGTCTCCGCCCAACCACAACGTTGCGGTTACTTTGTGGTGGCAGAAATAGATAGAGTGGGTGAGTGAAAAAGAGAGAGAGAGAGAGAGACCACGAAGCTCTGGCCCATCCACGACCCCGCCTAGCCACCATCCGCCCAGTCCACACACGCGAGCTAGTGGCTTTGCACCATTGTCAAACTATGAAGCTAAAACAGCCCTCGTTTTCGCCTGTTCTCGCATGGTTCCAAGTTGTATGATCTCGATGTGCCTCGAGGATGTGTGGCATGGGACACAGGACGGTTTTTCCGGGTTAGGCCATATACACTGTCTCGAGGAGGGGGGAAAACATAAAGAGAAAACCCAAAAAACAATACAGATGACACGGGTACTTCGCCAGGCAAAACAACAAAAAACTAAGGTCTTTTGTTGAAACGAGACCACAAACAACGAGGAAGGGCGTTTTTCCCCCCCTCTTCCTGTCTCTAAGTTTTTTTTTATTTTATTTTTTCCCCTCCCCTTCTGCTTTTGTTCGCTCTTCACCAGCCCGTTTGTTTCGTAGTCCGAGCTACTAAGAAGACGTTTCCGGCAACTCGCCTTTCCATTGCCATCAAAGGGAAGAGTCTCCTCTGCTCTGAAAAAATCTCTTTTAGGCGTCCCACACACACTGGCGAACAGACGAACGGAATGAAAACTGAATATGCGGAATGAATGCCCTCGAGCAGGAGCCATCTCGCTTCGGAAATGTTGCTTTTACTATGCCGCTTACCAGTCTCTAAGCCGTAAAGGCTGGAGGAATCCGGACTTATTCATCGCCCGACGAAACCAAACTACTATGGTCACACATATCCGACATAATCTGATAATTTCATCGCGAGTTCTATTTTGGAGGGGGTATACTATAATTGTTGAAATGTCTGGTGTATCGTACAGGCCCTGCCCACTAAACTCCGTACAATGAGATGAGAAGATGACCCCGTCTAAGTTTGCTTCGTCTGAGTATGTGCTGCGCACCATGGTACAGTGGTGATGTACAATTATTTGTGAGAGCTAGTGCATTGCGTTGTAAGAGAACAAGCGGGTGGAAGTGTGCCTATCGTTTTGCTAGTCGCTCGCTGCTGGACGCCTCTTTGCTTGAATGCTTATCAATGCAATTCGCCTCTCCCTTTTCCGGAACGCCATGGCCCAACCCGTCAAAAGGTTGCCTGCGCTGATCCCCAAGTCCTTTAGTAGGAACTTCCTTTTGTTACCATTCGGCTAGAGACGCTCCCGCGCTTACGCGCAAGCCGTGGGGCAGTGTAGTATGAGAAGAAAAAGAAGAAGAAAGAGAAGGGAGAGAAAAACGGTCCTTGCCGCTTTCAGAACCACTTCTTCTTGGCCGCTTCCTTAGAATTAGCGGCCGCAGCGGCTGCCTTCTGGTTCGTCACCCTTCTAAACTTTTCGCGGTTCCGGGCCTCGAGTAGGCCGACGGGGCCGTCGTCCTGGAACCAGTGTTGGCTCCGGTTGCTCGTAGTGCCGATGCTACTACTGCGGGAAAGAGGCCCGCGTTCGTCGAACATCATCTTGACGCGCTGAACCTTGCGCAGCTTAACGAGGCCGTACCAACAGACGATGAGCGAGCATACGATTGAAATGCCCGTGACGCCGGCAAAGCCCCAGTTGGTCTCCTCGATGAAGTTCTCGAGGTTCATACCGTAGAGGCCGGCGAGAAAGGTGCCCATGGCTAGACCCAGGGTACCAACGCTGAACTTAAGGTCCAAGAGCATTAGGGAGTTGCGGTTTGCGTCAAGGATGGCGCGAATACTGTTTGGGTCAGCAATTGCCTGTTACGGGACTTCAGAGATAAGCATGTAGTCTTACATTTCCTCGGTATTGCGGATGCTGGACACCAAGTTTTGGGCCTCCTGTACGATTTCGTCGCAGAGCTTGTTGTACGACTCTAACAGCAACTCAACCTCGGTGTGATCGTCCACGCCGCGGTAGAGATCGTGCGCCTTCTCAGTCAGGTACATAGCCGCCAGATCATCGTCCGCCTCTAGCAACTCCTCGATGGCGTCCCGCACGAGCTTGGCCTTTTGCTCAAAGGTGCTCACCCTCTTGGAAAGAATAAGGAGAATACGCAGTTTGTGACGGTCAATGTCGTCTTCAAGCTCGCTGAGTACGCGAATGACGGGGTCACGTACGGATTCGAAGTCGGCTTCTAGTTCGGACGTGACCGATGTCAGCACCGCTTCCAAGGCTCGGAACTCGTATGGCAGGCCGTTCACGCCGCCATGCACGTTTTTCTGCTTCAGCTTGCCCTGCAGGTCGTACATGAAAGCGGACTGCGGGTATGAAGTCTTCGAGCCGTAAACGTCAAATAGTAGCACGCGGTCCTTCTTGATGAGGACTTTCAGGTGCAGAAGATTCAGAAGAATCGCCGACTGGCGGACTAGAATGTGAGGCAAATTGGAAGAGTCAATCTTCCGTAAGTCACGAGGCAGCAGGCCGTACTGTAGCAATGCCTCGTTAGCATTTTGAAAACCTCTCGTCTTGTGTCAAGCGCAAGCTGACCTTTGCAATGAGCTCCGTCTTCTTGAATTCTCCATCCACCAGAATTACCTCCCCGTTTTCGTCCACTTCAGTGCATCGCAGTCTTGGCTCCAAGGCAGCCTTCGCGGTCAATATTCGGCGATTGTTGAACATGGAACCGCCTTCACCGTCATCGTGTACTGGAAGGTCGTTGGGTTGCAGCGGCTTTGCCCCTCCTCTTCCCCTTATTCCCCAGAGCCTTTCCTTCCACGTCCGTCGTGGAACTGGCGAGCCATCATCGCAGGCATCCCGTCTTGTGCAGGTTGTGCTGAAGAATGCGACGTCTGGGCTGCATTTGCGGCCTACTCGGCTGGTTACGGACTCGGGGTAGAGTGGCAAAGTTCGAAGAAGACCGGGCCTCTTACAAGTCGTCGCCGCCGCCGTTGTTGAGATGGATCTCGTTCCTGTCCTTACGGGCCTCCTCGCGAAGCAATGGGGATTCTGGCTCACGGGTCGAGCGTGGCTAGATCGAAGGGCAGCACAATGGTGGCCCTGGCCGAAGGTAAATGACGTCTCCGTTTGGGATCGCAGGAATCGTAGCAGGCTCGTCGATGGCACAGGAGTACGCAATGTCGGAGACATTGCGATGGCCGGCGGAATGCAACACGGTTTCCTTGCTGGAAATGTGAGGCCACTTTCGGTGGTTGATACATATATCGCAAGCTTGCGATTGGCGACGCGAGCTCAATGATGCCGCCAACACTTTTTTTGGCCGTTTTACCACGCAAAGAGTTTAAGTCGGGTCCGGAGTGCACGGGCCATCCAATTACGCTCAGTTCTTGACATCATCCTGGCCACAGTGTCTGCACTGTATAACCCACAGATGGGGATCGTAAAAAGACCCTCTCCTTCACTAAAGCTTTCCTGATTAGGGTCGTTGAAGGGTTTTCATAGTGACAACAATCCGATATGGCATCACATCTCATGCACTACTATTTTTTTTCGTCGCATCTGCGTGTATTTATTTTTTTTCAACTGCCGGAGGAAAAATTGTTTTGGGTCATCTGAGTCCGATATTGGAGGCATAAGGTTTTTCACTTACACCATTCTTACCTCAGCTTCGGCCATCCATTGAACCATCTTTGATACCCCCTCCTCTGCCCGGCTGTAAGTTCAGCACATGTCTGGGCTTTTATCTTTTCCAAAATGAAGCTGGTTTTTGACAGTGTCACAGGTCAACGGCGGTAGAAGAAAGATTACGGAACTTGTTACCCGTAGGATGAAGTTGACTCCCATAAAGGTCAGAGGCAAACGTGGCAAAGCCGCCACTTCCAAAGCAACATCGACCCAGAAACCGCCGCAAAAAAGACCTTCACGGCTTGCGGCACGTTTGGCTACTAAGCGCAGATCTCTGATAGAGCTTAATCTGCCACTCGAAATCCTTGAACGCATATTCATCTTCAGCGAGAACTTGAACTTCCCCCGCGCTAGCCCCTATCTTGGTCGCATGCTCTCTGGCCGTTCGACACTAGTCAACCTGATTATTGCCGCTTTTCATGCTACCTGGGACTGTTGGTTTGGTGTCGACAAACGTACGATCAAAACGGTTCTGAAGCGCAGCACAACAAATGAGTCGAGGTCACTCAGTCAACTGGAAAACTTCCCTGAACTCTTCCCAGGGGACCCTGAGCTTCAAGTATGTATGGCCTTTCCGGCAACATTGAAATCAATCACGTTAACAGTTCTCAGTCAGCTGTACTAGCTAGCCCTTGGATCAACGTGGATATCATTTTCCAGGCCCGGCAGATATGGGCCTGGCGTTTCGCTCGTGATAGATGGTACTCACATACTCATGCCAGTTTGAAAGACGAGGAACCAGACGACAACAAACCGTTGGATTCTCCTCACGACCGTAGTGGCGGGTTTGGTCATTTCGACTCAAAAGACTGTTTCGAGTATGACTGGCTTCTTTACGGTCTCGATGGCGCCAAACCCCCTCTTGGCTTTTATGTCGATGTACACCCCAAAGCCACAATACCCGATGATCTCATTACTGGGCCTTGGACACCTGAACAGCAAAGACTTCTGTTCTGGCTCCGGAGAGGCGGCGCCAAGATCCAGTCTGAAACACAAACTTGGGAGGTGAGATTACGAACAGCCCTAAGAAGTGCTCCTAAATTGACAGAAAACCTAGACACTCCGAACAGGCTTGCAAAATGCTGTCACACATCGAAACCCTGGAAGCCTAGATGGTCGCCTCATGCAGACCCTATTACTGTTGGATGACTTTTTTCCTTCGCAAACCCTGGACGAGAGACAATCTCTCTGGCCCGTAGACGTTTTGGAAGAAGAGCATGCGAAAGTAGAAAACCTTGTCAGCGCGCGGGAACGCAGTAGTGCCGGACCGCTATATGAGCTCACTGAGCTTGAAAGACGAATGTTTAACTACCACCGTCGCGAAGTTGACCTCTTGACATCGAGGTTAAGTCGGTATGATCGTATGACACCTCACTCAATGATGGCCGTTGGACTTATAACCCGCCCTAGGAACCATTGAGGAACACCAAAACTGCACGTGATTCAATTAGTATCATCGGATATGCATATGCGCTCAAGAAGTAATGTAATTAAGAGCGGAAAGTGGGGGAACAACTTGGCTCTGACAGCTCGCTCTGCGATGTAACTGTCTGATATGACGCGGATATTGAAGGCTACGGGGAATTTTGAACGGTGACATTCTGATTGATACTATAAAAGCTCTGCGGTTACGTTGATGATCAGCAATTGATATATTCAGGTCGTGGAGCTATCGGCTTTTGAAGTAATTAATGTTGAAACTCTTACGAGTCAGGATATAAGTAAACATCTATGTAGAAAAGTTGTTTATCAGCATCAGCTCAGTCCCATTTGCGTGACCAGATGTGAGAGACTTATGATTGAAGCTCAACCGCAATACTCACCTGATGATAGCTTTTGGATAGTACTCATTTGAGATGTACAGACAACAGAAAAATGCCTACATGTTCTCGTCTAGTGCACTGATTGATGATCTTGACCATTTATACTTCTTTGACCAATGACCCCTTGATGAAACTGGATTCTCCTTTGTACAGCCCACACCAACCAATAGAAAGAAGCTGCATAAAACAAACAATGCTTAACGACAAGCCATGAGACAGTCCCTAAGCTGGAAAAGAACCACGGTGTATGTGAGGTTTTTGGCTTTTGAGTCAGAACTTAGTTCGATTAACCGCGTGGCGTCTTCCGGTCATCGCTTGCTGCGGCAGCTCTTTGGATTCTGACGATGTGTTCACTTGTTTCAAATTGCGCCGTCAAGGCTTATCATAACCAGCCTGTTCTCAGGTTAGTAACAGGTCTATAATGTAGTGCCAAAACACCTGTTTGTTATAGATACCTGAAGCCACCAAACACACTGATCCTTTACGAATCGAGGACGGTTTACTTATGACAGCACACCCAAGAAGTCTTTCCTATTGGCTCTTCGACAAACTTCAAATACTCCACTGAAAATTACATTCGTACTTGTTTCGTCCTAAAAAGTCGAGGGTGGTACAGTGAAAGCTCGAGAACACCTCGTTCTCGAGATGTTCTCGAGATGATGGCTACTAGGCTGATGATTTTGTTAAAACTTAATGGTTCATACTTTCAAAGTATCAACTCATCATGTAAGTTCATGTATATATATGTGCTGGTTCACCCTTGGTCTCCGAATAGTCAGTTCGAACGACCTGCCTGCAAGACGCAATTTACAACACCATCTGCAGCCAAATATGCCCCTCTGTTCGGTCCATGAGCACTTGGTTATGATAGAAGCAAAGCAGCAATAGTAGATGAGAAGAGGGAGGTGCAACTTGGAATCAAAGTATTGACCGTCTTCCATTTAGAAGGAAGACGAAAGTTCGAATGGCAGCCCTTCTAAGACCTCATCTGTAAGCTGTTCAGACAATACGGATAAACTTGACACAGAGATCGTAAGAGCAAATAGTATCAGAGAATTAGGCCTTGCTGGGCGCTTTGGACCTTCGAGAGAAAAGGTCCAAAACGCCAAGGATTGAAGCTACCAAAAGCCAGCTTACAAAAGCAGGATGTGTACTCCAACATCCAAGAAGCTGAGTATTGATTGCTCCTACTTGTTATCCTTTATGGAAGACTGGCCGGACTTACTAGAGGACACAAATGTATCACGACATCGGGAGGCAATCTGCGCCCTCCCCGTAACCCCTCATATGAGCCAAGATCTGACCTCCAACACGGAACAGATCCCCGGAGACGTATGTAGCTGAAGCACTTACTTTCATGCAACCTCCTGGCACAAAGGCATGGCCGACAAGCTGAACATTCCCAATTCGTCTTGCCGAAGCAAGCTTTCAAGCCCACCAATCTCGTCTCACATCGGCGAGCCGTATCAGGCATCTCCTCGTGCCCAGTGACCCTACATCTACACGTTTAGTCGCCGAGATGGACGAAACAGCTTATCTCGTAAGATATTACGGCGACTTTAGGTAAGACACTCTCCTTCTTCCCGGCGTGAGTAAGGCGGCCAGCGACATTACATCGAGCCTAAGGAAACGTAAGTGAGGGCAAAGACAGCCACTAGGCGTTGGAGGACATGTCATCTCCCTTGCTTTTCCTCAAACCGTGTACTTGAGAACAATAAGAAAATGAAGTTATTCCGGATGTGCCGAGGTGTGATTGGTCATGATGAGCCATCTCATCCTCTCATCTACCTCCCTGGACTGGCGAAGTTACATGTAAGGCAGCCCAACATACACGTACATGCAGTGGGACCCTCCTTCATCCATCCTCCCAATCCCGGGACATTCGAACAAGTATCCGCGGTGTGACCAAAATAGGCAAGTGACGAGGCATCGCAGAGGCCACTGCGCGCGGGCCCTTCCCATCCAGCAGAACCACTCTCGCCGACGAAACCTCACTACCCAGGCTTCTGGGCTCATCGTGAGCATCACCCGGTCCTACCACAAGCGTCCAACGTGGCAAGTTCCCTGTTTCCACGGCGCTTTTTTCGTGTAGCAGCCGCCCCCTCCTCCCAAAGACCGACGTACGGCCACCACTCGGTGACATCCCATCTGCTATCCACGAGCCACTAGCCCCATCCACCTCACCGCAGCAACACCTTCAAGCCGGTGCCCAAACCGTTGTTGTCTAGCCCTTATAATCGCTCATGATGAATCACCTCATCGGGCGTCAGGCCGATTCGACCGGTGTCTGAAAACCGTGACATTAACAATCGGTACCTCAGGCCCACGCGAATATCCATGCGTAGCCAGCGTACCGCCCGTCAAGCAACCGTGAATACGGCCGTGTCCACCAGTCGTTGTCCCGTTAGCGCAAAACGGAAACACCCTGTTCGACAGTAATATGAGCCATCATTATACCCAGCCCCCCATTGGTCAGGCACCGCGACATCTTCACCCCGAAATGAAGAAAACACCCCGGAGGTGGAGAGCAAAGGTGGGTGGCGGCGGTGTGACTCACTCTCCCGTGACAGTCCGCCAGTCCCCCCCCCCTTATCGCCGACAACCACCGACCCAACCGTTCGGCGTTCTGGGCGACCAACCCACAACACTCATCAGGTCTCACCAGTTGGTCAGTCTTGTGAGTAAACCATGTCCAGATCTTCTTGTTTGGCGTGCCTTGCTCACGTACCTTCAAACGAGTCTCCGCCTTCGGAGAAGTCGGACCAGGTTGTCGCCCAAGTTATCGCTGCCTCTGCAACGTCATTGTAAGGCTCCGTTTCACGGTGGATATGTCGTCCGTCCGTGTGACCATGGAACCTCGCAACGCCAGGTCATCGTACATGGCAGAACCCGTTTTGTCAAACCAAGGTGAACCTGGAGAGTAGGTACACATGGCAGCAAGGCCGCAGAAGCAAGGCATACACACAGGCCAAGACTTTATCCCATCATGAAGAGTGAGCATTGAGTATGGTGTACAGAAGCAACTTGTCCATTTGGTTCCAATAAGCTAGCTATGATCTCTCGAAATGTAGCTTCATCGCGTTGAGCGCGATAAATTTGGCATAACCAAAAAAAAAACAAATGTTTGTACTGTGATCGATGCCTTATTATCATCTTTATTTTTGTTGTCTTCAAGCTCATGAGACTTTTTGATATCCCTGCGGGCGAAAATTGGATTAGTCGCCCAGTGATCGCGTACAGGGACAGATCGAGACGTGTCTTGTTCAACTCGTTCGGTCGCCCCTTTCGGATCTTCCGTCGAGCACCCAATCAGACCATCTCATATTCTAATCGTGGGCGTTTCCATTTGAAAGACCCCCAATCATGTCCCGTCTCGTGAGGCAACCGGCCCTCCGAGTTGCTTAATTCCCTCGACGCAAAAGAACGCAAAATTCAACGCAAAATCGACTCTCTTCTTCAGGTGATCGTACAAACACAAATTGCGACAAAATAGCCGCTGTAAATCCTCCTTCGCCGTCCACCTCCCAAAATGCCCGGGTCCGTTGATGCATGCAAGATTACCACGCTTTTCGTGCCGTTCCCTGACGCAATCTAAGTTTCTAATGACTCGATGTACCGCCAAGGAGGTATCAAAGCTCTTTCCGATTCCCGCCGCCCCCTGTGATGGTTTCGTTCTAACAAAGGAAATGGATAGTATTGCACAAGAAGGTCAAGTTTTGGTTGACGTTTGACCACTAGGGTATCCTGAGGGTTCGCAAAAAATACTTGCTTAGTTTAGAATTCCTTCCCACATGCCTGGTCCACGGTATCCGCCAATTGAGTGAAGGGCTGATGCCTCGTAAGCTGGTGTCGCTTCAGTCGCGCAGCAGACACGCTTTCTCGGGGAACCCCGATCGTTCATGACGACTTGGTTAGATCTGGGGCGGACCAAGGTCTGGGGCCATGGCTTGCCGGTGAAACTACCAGACAACATATCCCGAACGTTTTCCTGGAGGGAATTGTCTACTACCGAGATCCCACGCGCACGCTTGCGTGAAGCCGAGGCGATAGGAGTAGCATCGTCGGTGCCGTAATTCTGAAGCTCTTGAAGTGCGCGCGCAGCGTCATTGGCAGGGTCATGAGCCATCTCATCGAGGTGTCTTTGAGCCAAGGGAGTGTCCAACGACATTTCACCAAGTCTTCCCACCGGGCCGGTGTAAGACTCAGGAGATGAGGTGATACAACTTTCCTCGTAGTCCTCAGGAACCGAGGTGATCGTCGGTCTCAAGCTCGACCTCTCACTGCAGAGCTTCGCAGACCGGAATCGCGCCTGGACACCCAAGTTGGGAGCCGGCGCGCTAGCCAGTGACGAAGCAGACGAGATTGAGGAGGAGCGCGAGGTTCGCGACGAGTCGGAAACCATCGATTCGGGAGAAGACGCGGTGGAGATTGAGGTGGCCAGAGATGAACGACGAACCGGGTAGTAACCCTGGGGCGACGTGTTTGTTACGGGCCAGCGATCCAGACACTGAGCGGCACTGGCGCAAGAGGCTTGCGCCATAGCGAGACCCATGGCATTGCCCTTGCCGAGATGGGATGCAGTACTCACAGCAGGAGTACTGTATCCACTCGACTGTGGCGTGAGGCGGGGAGTTGGAAGCAGACCGAGGGCGGGAGCCAGCCGACCGGGAGTATATACAGTGGCCGGCGTAGGTTCCATGATGGTGGGGGTGTTGAAAGATCGCGGGGTAGGGGTAAGCTCCGCTGAGTCGTATCCCAATCCACAGGCACCGTTCATAGCAAGAGCATCTTGAGTGGCCGGTCGAACTTTGCGGTGACGAGCCAAAACATGGGTGCTAGATGTGAGGTGGGCAGTGGGAATCAGACCCTCAATGTTGTCGAGCTCAGGGTTCAGTTGAAGAATGACCATTTTCCAGTTCGAGCTCTGCTGGGCGTACCACTGAGTTGAGGTTCCGGGAGCAGGAGGCGACGGAGGCGTATACTTTAAGACAATATCAGTCCATCTCTGGAAGACTTCGTCGGTGATATGAAGCTTCCACTCAACAGCCAAAAGGAAAGCAATTTCGTTTTGGTTGATCTCTGCCGTGTTGAGTCCTGAAATCTTACTCCAGGCTCTAGCGGAATAGTTTCTGTCTTGCAGATACTTTGACGCCAAGATGAGAGCTGCAAGGAACATGCGACGACCGCACTGAAGAGCGCGACATTCATGCTTGTCATCTGGCTGCTCCATAGTGAAGTCATGCTTAGGAACGTGAGGCTTAATCAGGATCAAGTAGTACAGAGCAACCTGGAGAGTGGAGTAGCTAGTGCGTGAGCGTCGCAGAGTTTCCTGGATAAAGGTACGGAGGGGCAGCACCGCCTTGCTACCCAACTCATTGCGGCAGACAACTGAAGACAAGGGCCAGATAGCCTCAACAATCTGAGTCGACGAATCTAAGAGGAGCAGTGGGTCAGGAATCATATCGATCGAGTGCGTATTCATATTGCTGTTGCTTACCAACGAGATTGTCGACGAAGTTGTGCTTGCGTTCGGATTGGCGAACGAGAGTTGGCGGTGCTCCGGTGCGGGCAGGGTTTGCACCGGTCCGTCTCGGGTTTTGTCGCAGCTCGGCAGGAACAGCAACAGGCGCTTGCTGAGTGGGTTGTTTAGTCCAAGAACTCGTAAATCTCACGGCAGCGTCACGTGCGGCGGGTCGCGACAAACAGTACGAGTCGGCAGAATCGGAGTCGGAAGTGTTGGTCGGAGAGGTGGAGGTAGAAGATTGGGAGGAAACAGCAGACCAGGCGGAACCCGAGGAGGTGGATGCCAGGGATTCTAGCGAGGAGCTGTAGGTGTCGTTTTGGTAGGAGCTGATGAAAGCCGACGAATCATCTTCGACGTACTTCATCTTGGATATAAGGTTTGGAGGGTATCGGCGTTAAAGATTCGAGTGAGGTGAAGGTACCTCCAGTCGCCGTCAAGCTAAGTCAACCGGGTAAACCGTCGGGGGTTTTGTTTGTATAATCAGATCGTGATACCGTAGCTAAAACGCGAACCTCACAGCAGCATATGGCAACTGTTGCAAAGCCCTTTAAAGTCGTAGATATGGAAGGTAGCTTTTAGACGCGAGAGTCCACAGCCAACTTTACACAAACGATCAAACCGGAAGACGAGGCGAGACGAGCGACTGGAGTAAATTTCGTGATTCGGATCAGAGGCATCGTTGGTTTAATACATCTAAGAGGAGGGGAGAGTTGTCTGGTTATATGGTGAGCTACTGTAAAGACACCATACGGTCAAGTAGGCGAATGCGACAAGTTTGGTGATAGTGAAGTGAAGGTGTAAGTGAGTGGGGTAGAGATGGGTGGATGAGGTTGGTGATGGCAGGCGAGGTCGGAGTCGGAAGAGATTAGGTGAGGGGAGAATGGAAGGTGAGGTGAGGATATGCAGGTACTATAATGTGTGGCTGGCCCTCGAGGTTATATCCAAGCGGGTGGGATGAGGTGTGACTCTTTGCCTTGCGCGTGCTATCTTGAACGTGTTCAGAGGGGCGACATGCTGGCGTGACGAAGTCGGAGGACCCCTTGGGTGGCTCAAGTCTGGTCCAGCTGGTAGATGACTCTTTCGGGTGCTGGAGTGGCGAAGGGGGGTGTACCTGGTTCGTTGTCGCCGACACAGGTGGCTCCAACTGGCAGGCAGGGTAGGCAGAAGGGGCAAGTTGGGGGTGAGGAGGCAAGGAAGGGAGGAGTGCGGGAGAGTGGCAGCCTAGGGAAGCCCGACCGACCAGGGGGTGTGTGTTGGGTATTGGGAGTGTATGAGTGGCCCGGAGAGGTGCGTGATCGGTCGCTTGGGTGCTGAAAAGGGTAAGGGAAAAAAGAGGGACGGTGGCTAGACAAGAGCAGTGTGTGCTGCTTGCCTGCCTGCTGTGCTGTGCAACCAAACTAACCTTTGAGAGGGCGGTGCAGCTACTGCTAGAAGTCTCTCGGTTGGAGATGGCTCTTGGCGAACTGCGGCGGAATGTGGCGAAGGAAGTGCTGGGTCAGCGGGTGAGCGCCAGGTTGAAAAGATGAGTCGTAATCGTCGTGTGAGTTGTCGCAGTTAATCGAGCCGTGATTAAAAGAATGAGTATAGTATAATGACAAAAAGATAGCGTAGGGTATCGGGATTTTTCTTGGGAAGGTAAATAAAAGAAAATGAGAAAGTGAGTAACAGGTGAAGGCAACAGCAGAGGGTTTCGCTGGGAGTCGATTTTATGAGATTGGTGACTCGAATAAACCCAGCGCGAGGGAGTTGAAAGCCTGCTTGAACCTGGCGTTGAGCTAAAAATGGAATGTATCCGATGGTGATGCCTTTGTGAGTCGCAAGGAACAAGTGAATGCCGCTGCGATTTACTAGGCTGTCGGGGGTTGGTGATGTTGGCGAGTGAGTTCGAGGTTGTGGTGGATGAGTAACGTGACCGAGGGTGACCGAGATGACTCTTACTGGCGAGCAAGAGAGTAAGTCGGGCAATTAGGACACGGATGTGACGAGGGGAGAGTGATGAGAGGAGATGATTGCAAAAAGCATAAAGCAAGATACAAAGGAATAAGCGGAGATGGGTCTAGAGTCTCTCCTCAGATATTCTGAGAAGAGGCACGTCTAGCAGACTTCGGAGAGTCGCTGTCGTACGAATTTAGACCTTGGAATCGAACATGGCGACGGCGATTGTTCGATAGAGCAAGAAAAGGGAAGGGGGGGAGGACACGAGTGCACGGCGATGTGGGCGCGGCGATAGTTTTGAATGCCTTGGAGGCCAGGAAGGTGCGGTACGGACCAAGGTAAGGGAAGGTGAGGTAAGGCAGGTACCTGCTGCAGATGGTACCTCTGATACTGCCACTCTTCCTCCTGCCGTCCTGCGTGTCCAGAGTGGCCAGTCACTGTCGGAGCCAGTGGGAGGGGGCCACTGCACCGACCTCTTGCCTTCTGCATTGCTACTCTGTGTGGCAGGTATACACTGAAGGAGGTACCTTCCGGCCGGAGAGAGGGGATGCAGCCGGATACCCAGCGAGTCTCAGCATCCGTCCACTGTCTTTTCTTCAACTGTACTTTGATTGGCGTACTGAAGCCTGCAATGTGGGTCTGTATTCGTCTTCCTTCCCGGGGTGAGGGGGGAATATCGAAAACCAAAAAAAGTACGTACCCACTTCTCTCCTTCACACCCAGTCCGCCCCCCCCCCATCAGTCAGTCTCTTGGCCAAGGTCTCCTCACTCATGCTGCTGCCGGGCTGTTACTCACACTCGCACTTCCACTTTGATGGCCTCCTCCCTGCTTTACTGCTTGCTTGCTGCTATGCCTTGCTGTCCTCTCTTTATTCTCTCACACACCTCTCACACACACGATTCTCGAACGTAACTGGCAGTTGCATTTTCCGAATCCACCCCCGGCATGTTTCTTTCCCCCTCTGTTTGCTCATTCAGGTCTCTATAAGGTGCTACTGGTAAGGTACCGCTGCCTCTATTCCCATTTAACTGAAGCCCAAGGCAATGCCCAACATGGCGTCTTTCCCCCCCTCAAACCCAAGTTCCTCTTTCGATGCCATTCCATGCATCATCAGTTGACCCTCTCTCCTCTTGGGTTTGAGTTTCTCGCTGCTCAGTGTCTGAGCTTCTGCATCTGCATTTGCTACCGCCCGCTGGTCAGCCCAACTCTTGCTACCCTCCAGCTCATAATTGTCTTTTGACTCTGACTTATTCTGTGACCACCTGGCTGCTCTTGTCCCAGCCTGTTGTCTAACTGGTCAGCTACAAAATGCTATTCTTCATTTGGACTAGCTTGCCAAGCCTAAAAGGTCGTCTAACCAGTCGTGTGCCACAGCACCACACCTTCTCTTGCAGTGGCCCCCATCCTTTGTGACTTTTTGGCAAACTGCTGCTGGCTGGTTGGCATGGCTGCCCAGCCCCAGCCCGGCAAAGGTAGGGGAGGAGAAGAAAAAAAAAAAAAAAAAAAAGAGTCATCGTTCATGCCCCTCCGCCACCGCAAGTGCATCCACGATTGCACGAAGCCATCCCCAACGTCACGCACAGCTGTCCGTCCCATCCTTCTCGTCCACCCTCCAAATACTGTCTAGCTCCATCCTTCACGTTGTTGGTTTGAATTTTCACAGTAATCGGCCAGGCATGGACACAGCTACTCAGGCACGAAGAGCTGAAGTGCCCTGTGTAAGTTCTCTTTCTTGGTGATCTTTTTTTCTCGGACGAGGTAGATTTTTATTCCACGCGAGGATATACTTTCAAGACGAGCGCGATGATGGCGTTACGGACTGGAATAGAAGCACGTATATCACATTCTTTTGCTCAGCCGATTGCACGCGATGCCACGGACATCAGCAGGCAAGCCGGGTTGACACAAATCGACTGACAACAGCTGTTGCCTCGATCAAAGTCTCGCCACAGCTGGTCAAACTTCATATCAAAACTTTTCACGCTCGTCCTCTCATGCCATCATGCCACCCACACCCTCAAGCTTAGGCCAGCAAAGCCAGCCAACCGCGACGGTTCTAATTACCTTAGCTGTCTTGACTAAGGCAACCGCCTATTGAGATGCCAACACGGACACACACTCTGTCACCATATACTCCCCCATACATGCACACCCCTTTTCTCCTTTCGCGCCACTAGGAGTCATAAGTGAATTTTGATGCCTGTACAAACCTGATCTTGATGGTTGGTCCTCAGCGCAAGGCTTCATTGATCAATCTCGCTGAATGCTACATGGCGTGCGGTCTGCGTTACTCGAAAGTCCGTCATTCTATTACCGGTGATATCACATTAATTTCGCAATCGGGTTCTTGTTATAGAGCCGAAGACGCTTTCTGCCGAGGTCGACTCCAGTCTCCATCTAGAATGACGCACCAGAGTCGCGGATGCCAGTCACACTGGTCGTTGAACGGGTCCTGTATTTAGGAACTACCTCGTAGAGTCGCCATGGACAACCTGTGGATAAGGTCACTACAGGCTGTCAAGTGGCTCAGAGCGCATTACAAGGCACTGCGCCTGCGCCAGATGGACCTCCCACCAGTCTCTACAGTGGATGCCAGCAGCACCAAGCATCCTGGTTGACCTTGACCTCGTTGGGATCGTTCTAGTGAACCCGGGGCGTAGGTTTTCATCTGTGGACAATGAGCCCCCCGAAACGCCAAGTTTGATTCCCATATTCCGCCACGACTCCGCTTCATAATCTGCTGGATTTGGCAGAGATCGAGAAGTAAGAAGAAGTAGAGTCCAATCAGCTGTTTGTGGGCAAGATGCGATTACGTGCACATAAGGAGCAACAGGCATGTCTTGCCCGATAGAAGTGACTACCCACCGTCTTCTGCTAATCGAAATCTTTGTCAGCCGCTACTATGAATGTCAGGCCCCTTAATCATCGCTTTCGCGTGAGTGCGCGCGAAACATGGTCGTCTCGGGAGCCGTGGGAAATATGCGTCCGACGGATTCAGCCACACTTGTCACCTCCACGCTGAACATCTTACGTACCGAACCGTCTTGGGCCTGCTCCACAAGAAGCCAATGCTCAAATCATCCTTCATCTCGATTGATGATGTGGTTGCCATTTCCCACTCACGAACCGAGCGTCCCGTCATAATTTCCTTGCCTGTCCGGCTGTACGACTTTGTATCCCTAACAAGATAGAACAGCTACATACAGCCTTCATCGCATACTCCCAAACTGGTCCCAGCTCAGAAGCACACAAGCCTGAAGACACTGGAGAGGTCACTCAGTTCTCAACAGGCCGTCGTTTGAGCTCCAGATAGACACTCTAAAACATCTTCGGGGGACAGTTCTGATACATCTCGCGAGGTCAATCATGTTGGTACATGCCGCAGGTACTTACGCGTTAACCTCCACCTTTCACATCTCACCTGCTCG